CCTGGACTGGGTTACACAAGTGGACTCACACAGCTGTGGTCCTCTAGCATGTGCCGCTGCATGTCTTCTTCTCCAGGGAATCAGACCGACTGCTTCTGTGCTTGGGGTGAAATCATCAACTCTGGCTAGAGGTGAGAGTAGAAAACTACGAACAAGTGTGCTTCAACTGGTGCTTGCAATGGCTGCACGGGATCCAGCAAATGAGTCTATATTCAGTCCGAAAGTGAAAAAATTGATGGACAAGTCTGTACCTTCCATGACTTACTACATAGATCGCCTGTAGAGAGGTATCACAGCTGGTTGTGCATGAATATAATGACTAATATACCTCTGGATGTAAAAATACACTTGGTTTGATGCAGATTGGGGCTTGATTATCTTTCCCAAGTGAGTCCGAAGGCACTCCCGAAACACCGAAAACCCCTCCGAAAGCACATCTGACCATCTCATGTATTCCAATATTGTACTGCTTAGGGTCACTAGTCATTGTGTCTACCCAGTGCTTATTTGGATAGTCATAAGCTCTCTTGCAGTGATATATGCAGCCATGACTGTCCGAAATTGGTCAAGGCTGTCCGAAGTCGGTCCGAATTTTGGGGACAATTAATCCTACTACAAGGATCTCTCGCTCACTGACACAAGAAACAGTGAAGTATCTCTTGCAGGGATGTATGCAACATGAGCCAGGCTGGAAGAGTTCAGACATGGAATGCATTACACAGGCTAGTTCACACACAGATGAGACATTTGGACCCCAAACATAGAAAGACCGAAACATGAAATGAAAACACCGAAACGGAAACTCGGCAAAATGAACAAGTGACAGTACATACAAGGGAACTGTAACACGGATTTGATTGGCTACATTTAATCTTGAGAAGAATGGAGATCTGCATTTGTGGGGATTGTGGGAATGGCATCATGAGGTGTTGGTCCTGAAGAAAGTACATTTTCGGAGTTGGAAGGGTCATTTTCGGGATTCGGTGCGGTATTTTCGGAGTTTCGAGCGGTGATCTTGGTGGAAGGGAGATCAAGACTGTGAGCTCTTCTTCGGTCAGAGTACTCGTTCGGCTTCGCAGGGGAGGTCCTAAGGTCAAAGCGGAATTGTTGCCGAGCCTTTTCTTGTTTGGCCTCTTGGAGTTCTGACTCAAGTTGCCTGATGGTGTAGTTGGCCGATTCCCACTCCTCTTGATCCACTTGAAGGTCCGCCCGTAACTTCTCATTTGCTCCCTCCAACTGCGCTTTGAGTTCCTTCAACCCTACATTCTCCATCTCAGTCTCATTTTGCAGGGCAGCGGTAATTTGCACAAACTGCAATGCCTCGTCGATTTGCTGTTGCATTACTCCCTTAGCTGCTTCAGCCTCCGAAAGACGAGCTCGGAGAGTTTCCAATTCGGTGTTTTCCTTCTCAGCCATCTGTCTGGCCAGATCTGAACACCGCTGTTCAGCAAACTGACGAGCCTGAGCCTCCTTTTCCTTATCCCCCATTGCACTAGCGAACCTCTGGCTCATAGTCTTGAGCCCTTCCTGAGTCTCCTCCAACTGCTTTCGGATTGAAGCAATTTCGGCGTCCTTTTCGGCGGTGACTCGGGCAACAGCATGATCTCTCTCCTCATTCTTATCAATCTGCTCTTTGTACAGCCGGTCCAGTGTCTTTACCTCTCCTTGAGCCACATCTCTTTCAGAAACCACCGAGTCATACCGCGCTTTGAATTCACTCCATGTCCCATTGATAGCTCTCACACCCGAAAGTGATTGTGTGACACTTTCGGAGAAGGCTTGATGACGTCCTCGGTTGATTTCTCGGTAATAGTCTATCATTTCGGAAACTTGAGCAACCATTCGGGAAGAGAATTGCTCCTCAAACTGAGCCTGAGTCTCTTGAAACTCACTCATACGATGCAGACACTGTTCAACTTCGGGCATGGTAGACGGTGGAGCCGGGATGTAAGGGACAACCTTTTCGGGTGCAGGCTGGTCCAAGGAAGGGACAGTGGGCCTTTGGGTCCGAAATTCGGGCTGGAGTGGTGGGTTCATTTGAGGGAGTTTACTGACCACATTGACCGAAGTGACAGGAATGGAGGGTATCTGACCTGGCAAAGCTGTGGGACCAGAGCCAACGAATTCTGAATGAGAACGAATGAGAGAAGTGGGAGGTGGAGTCTGAGGGGGAGCCGATTGGGAAGCAAAGAGTGGAGGAACTATGGGCTTCGGAGCCATCGTGGGTTTCGGAACATTGGTTGATGGGTTTGGACCAGGAAGACTCTGCACACCTGATCGACCCAGGCGCTTCTGCTGTAGCCACTGCTTTACCTCTGCAAACGTATGCAGTGAGGTAGGTAGTGGGGAGATTTGGGGAGGGCCAGAGACGAGAGAAGAAGACCCAGGTTGAAGGTTTGGAGGAGGGCCTGCTTTCGGAGCAGGGGAGGGGCTGGGGAAGGGGGCCGGTGTGACACTTTTAGCTTGGTGAGGCGAAGGGATTGTTGGTGATTCTTGCAATGTAACACCCAAAACCGATTGTGTTTGTGCTATAAATGGGTCTAGAGCAGAGGGAACGGCCTGTTGTCGAACAGATACGGCAGGAGAAGGAACAGGACCAACAGGGGACATTGTGGGCACCTTTTCGGAGGTAAGATCCATTTCGGGCTGGGGAGGACCTTGTTCAATGGAGAACGGACGAGCCCGTTTCGGTTCGGCCTGGGACTCTTCTACATCCTCCAGGGCACGCTTGTTCACAGGAGGATGAACAGGACTACTTCGGACAAGTATCGGAGAAACCCCAGCTGGCAAACCTGCAGAGAAAACGGGGGGGGCGGTTTCGGAGGGTTCCTTTTCGGGAACAACATCGGCAAATTTTGGAGGGCGGGGAGGGAATCGTGGCCTCTCATTTCGGGCTGTAGATGGTTCCGGTTGAGGTCCTTCTTCCCCATCATCTTGACCCAAGCTGGAATCTTGAACAAGAATAGGACCAGCTGGAGAAGACAGTTCTGTTTCTCCCTAAAAGTCAGCTGCTGAGACTTGCTTTCAGTTCGGAACCTAGAAAACTCACCTCCGAACGAGGTTGCTCTCTAGCAGACGTAGGCGCTTCGGTGAGAGGTTTCGGAGAAGGTCTGACAACCCATTTCGGACCGGGTTTTGCAGCATCCCCAGCTGCGACAGTGCCTCCCCTAGCAGTCCTACGCTTGTCCTTCGGTCCTACCGGTTGCTGCAGTGGCGCATTTGAGAACCCAATCGCCGTGGAAGCTGCAGGGGGAGCTTTTTCTTTTCCCTTTCCTTTTCCTTTTTCGGGAGGGGGGGGAGAAACCGATTTCTTGGGAGCCGAAGCTCTTGTGGAGCGTGTTGTGGTGGCTGGCCGGCGAGGTTTCGGAGGGGAGGGATGTGGTGAATGTTCAGAGTCCGATGAGTCCGAATCAGAATCCGAGCTGTCCTCAGGCTTGTCCTGACCTTGTGATGACTTTTTCGGTCGTTTTTCACTTTCGGAGGACTCTTCGACAAGGAAATTGGTCGGCTTGCCCTTGAGGGAGCAGGTGAGAGGGGGCTTTGTGGAGTTATAACAGTGCACACAGACACGAAACTTTCCTTCGTCCCAACGGTTGAGAAACACTGGTCGACCATCAGGTACATTGACACATTTCACTTCGGGATGTCTGAGATCAGCATTGAGTTTCGTTAATTTCTCCCGAATTCGGGAGCCATATTTGATAAACCAATACTCACGTGTAATTGAAAGCCGAAACACAAAACTGGACATGACAGTTTGGCTTTGTGGCCGACTCATCCGCCGAATAACATCGTGACCCTCTAGTAATCGCCCGAATACCCTCTTCCTTCATTTGTTTCGGGGTAGCTTCCCGAAGTCCTAGCTTTTCAGCAAGCTGAGGAAGATACTTCGGCTCTGCATGCCACCAGGGCTGGAGGTAGAACCCTATCTCAGCTTGAAAAGAACGAAGTGATTTCTCATTCTTCCAAATGGGGTGTTGTGGCTGAAGATACTTTTGGAAGTGAACATGGTCGGGGTGTAATTTGTAACCCTTCGGAGGGTTTACACTGGATTTATCTGTTTTTGGGTCGAAGGGGTTCGGCATTTTGAGAAAGAGGTCAAAGAGGTCAGAGAGATTGGGAGGAAGGGGGAGTGGGAAGACTCTAATTTTGATGATAAGATAATTCGGACGAGCCAAGGCGGAAGGTGAGATGAAGCACACAGATGCAGAATGAGCAGTGAGATCAGTTGAGAGTGAGCAGTGGAGAGCAGATGAAAAACGCTGGCTAATGTATGCTGGAAAAAGATATGAAGATGCTGAAGTGAAGTGAAGTGAAGAGAAGAAGTGAATTGAAGGAATGAAAAAGGGGGAAAATCGCGTCAGCCCGTGTTAGTACTTAGTAGAAGTTCAATCAACACATCACCATCAGACACGTCAACATGATGGATCCTTAAGAGAGTTTTGTGCATTCAGAGGATGTATTACCATGAACATGAACATACATACATACTTACATACATGAAAGAAGCTATTCACTTGGGTAGATTGGTAGTCAGTAGTGAGTATGTGACTATCACCGAAAGCTCCCGAATTCGGCCGAAAGGGGACCGAAAAGGAAGTAGGATTTCGGGCTGGGGACATTGCCCATGCCCCTGTGGTCAATACTCCGAAAGCTGTGCCGAAAATGGTATGAATAGACTCAGAAGGCGTCAGGCATTCCAATGATATCAGAAAAGCCACGGAAAGATGATTTTTTAATAGTGAAGGTATTTGGGTCAGTAGTGACGGGATATGGGAGTTGAACGTCGTATTTTGGGAGAAAGTGGCAAAATTTCGTCGGGATTAATTCGAGTTCCGTCGGGATTATCCACTTTTGCGTGAATGGTGGGTCTGAAATTCTCCCACGGTTGTCCAAATATACTGCACCGTTTCTTCTCCAACCGCTCCAGCGAGAACAAATCTTGACATCCCTTCCACTCCTTCTCTTACGAAAGCACTGCAAGAAAACTACAGCAAATCATGCCGCCCCCTGCGCAGACCGTAGCGGGCGGTTCAACATTTGACAAGAGTGTGTTTCTCTCTCTCATGCGTGGATAGAAAGGTGCTGATGGAAACAGTGAAAATGGGTGCAATGATGGGGAGTAAGTTTACTCTTCCGCAATAACCTCTTCAACATTCTCAAAGATCAACTACCTAATACTGATCAAATCTATTTGATTATATGATGGATGATATGAGAATTGATCATGCTTGGAATATACCCGATGGCTGGTGGGATGGCTGATATCTAGGCATGGTGGGTTTATCCATAGGAGCGATTTTTGGAATATTTTCCATCCTCCGTGCTGGACCTGGACCTAGAGGTGTGGTAGCTACATTATCACAATACATGTTATCATCCGCTGCTACATTTGGTTTTTTTATGTCTATTGGATCTGTGAGTTGATGGTTTTTTTTTCTATCATTTCCCCCCCTCTTTCTCATGACAATACCCAAGCTTTGTACCTCGTACTCTGTCCTGCATCCTCGAAGTAACAATGTCTTCCACTACGTTTCAATCAATGGAACCAATGAAACATCACCTTTTGGACCATGGGATCAAGCAAAGTCTCGTCATCCACCAGGAATTATGTGAGAAGATCGGATAGCTCACCCCAGGTAATCCGTACGGACTCACCGTTGGCTCTACCTGTCGAATCAAGATTGGCAGCTCTGAAAGCTTCTTCACCTTATATGACTCTCTACCGATCACGTCGACAAGTGGAAGTTCAAGTGAAGGAAAGACCATGAGGGGATATATCAACACGCTTCAAACACTTTTCTCAAATCATCATTCATATTCGGTGTAAGACGGATCATATGCATCTGTTTTGGTTTTTATCTTTCAAGCTCATCTTTTCCCTCTTCCCTCTTCCCTCTTCCCTCTTCCCTCTTCCAGCCCCTATCCCTATCCCATATCCCCCATCGCCCGTCGCCGATCTCCTTCCCCCCGGTAGATTTATCATTATCGAGCGTCCTGCATGGTATCTTGTTCGTTCGCGAGTCCTACGTGTCGTTGGTGTGATGGGTCAGCAGTCATGATGAGGATCGTTGAATATAGATGTATGGTCGCGTGATAGACGAAAGGAAAGAAAAGGAGCAATTGATGGGTGTGGCAAGTGAAACTGAAAATCATTAGGAGAATTGAGTTATAAACCATGTGAAGTGGTAACATGACAGTCGTGAAGTGTCGAAATCCGATGTAGAAAAATTAAGAACGAAGTATCAAAGCCGTCGTTGAAGAATCACCTTTGACTGTATCTACGAAAGAAGAAGAAGGTGAAGAAGGTTGTATGTTGAAATCTACTTTCCCACTTTGGTGAGATGTTTCAAAAGTGGAGGGCGTCAGTGGTCCACGTTCGAGCAAGTCATCGTTATGAAAGAAGGTCTTGCTTGGTGATTGTTCGGTAGAGGATGTGAAAAGGGATGAATCGTTTAAAGTTGAATGTTGTTTAGTGAGAGAAGTAGGAGATGATTGTTGTATTTGTAGGTTTTCAGAATCGTTTTGGATGGACTGGGGGGCCGGGGGATGTATAGGATGTTGATCAGATTTTTTTTTGGCTAGACGTGCACGTCTTTTGTCATATATGAGAGTTATCAACCATATGATGGGCATGATGTGTTTTTTGGTGTTTCTTACGATTTCGGATTGAGGTCGTTGTTTGAAGAAAGATAGTTTGGTGAGTTTGGTGATGGAGTGAATATGTAAGAAAAGAATGATATGGGATGGGGCGTGGATGGGGATTGTTTTATAAAAGACAAAGATTGACTCCTTTGGGCACTGGAAATGCGCAAATGCACTGCTTGCAAGCGACACATGAGTAAACGGTAGAGGTACGCCTCTGATCCCATGATGAATGGTGCATGGTGCAAGGTCCATGGCCCTGGAAAGCACTCGTAGTCATTGCGTGATTGATCGTTGTCTACTCTAAGTGAGTCATTCCAGGGGAGAAACAATGATGCCTGAACCTGATGCACATCTAACCACACAGACTATAAACCATGAAAACAAATGCCTGGACATGATGATCTGATGAAATGAAAATTGAAAATTGAAAAAAGATGATAAATGTGAGAGGATTGGAAGTTTGTTTGAACAATATATATACTTGTATAATTATTCTCCACCTGTTTGAGCTTTATCTTTCGTTCTTTTCACCTTGGTCACTTTGACATAAGCATGTGTATTGTGTACAAAAGAAAAAGTCAAGACTCACTCTCTCGAGATACAGTGTTACTACTTGCGAACCCTTCTGGGAAACAATCCACAATCTATAAATTAGTTTTGTTCTTCCACTCTCACAAGACCTCCGAAAGCAAGTAATGTTTGCGATAATGACACCGACGAGATAATGAGATTGTGTGATGTATGAAGTGAGGGTCGGTAAGAAGAAATGACATGCCTTTTTGTATAATCGGCTTTTAGTTGCAGTTTCCGTCCATTCCCTATCTTTTGATCTGGCCGTCGAGACATTCCATTCGCTATGATGTCAGCCTTTCCGTATACTAGCAATGAAGAGGGAAGAGAAGAGGGAGAAGGACAGAAACCCACGCTAATCGTTTATTCAAATCTAACATATCTTGCATATTGTCCAACAATTGATCTAGAACCGTTCGCATATCCGGTGTCCAAGAAAACTTCTTCGTCGGTTCTCTAGGTCTTTCACCGGGTCCAGCAGGGACATCTTCATCACCATTAGGAAACGATGGTATCGTAGATGAGTCCTGATCATGTTCGTTATTGACAACACCAGTTTGTTTCTCATCTATCCATCAGTTTTGAAATGCACAGTGAAAATTGATAAAACTCACCGTATTCTTTCACCGCCGTCTCGTACATTTGTCGACTTTCTTCAAACTTCATCACCCATATCCCCTTCTCTTCATCTACCATAGTCTGAAGTTGTTCCAATCCTGTCTTTTCACATTCTTGTAGAAAGTTCCAATATTCTTCATGACATAATCTCACAACTAATTTCTGACACATCAGCCATGACTCAGAATTGTGATGACGCACTCACTGTTAGCGTAAAATTGTTATAAGGTAGAAGACTGGGTAAAGCGAGAAAGAAGGGTTTGTCGTCTTCTCTATCATTGAACATATTATGTCGGAAAGCAGCTTGTCCAGCTAGACGAAGTGGTTCTTTTAGATGTTCCGGGAATTTTCCTTTGCTCGCTACGTCCCATGGGTCTGTTCATCAGCACCATTCGAAGGATATCGTTGGTACTCACGCTTTGAGCTTTCTTCCCGAAGGATACGAAGTCTCTCTCTTACTTCTACTGGGAAACCTGGGAAGGGAGGTAAGAACTGTGCGTCAGTGCGAGTCCCGATCATCGACCGCAACTCACTCGCAAATCTCGTGAGGCATGTTTATACAATGATCTGTCAATGTTGATTTCCCCTGTTAGAGGCGGAGGAGCTGGACGTCAGACAACATTTCGCTCCCTGCTTACGATAACTCACGTAGTGGCTTTACAGGTGAATACGACGTGCTGGGTCCATCTTCTTCATCGTCAATTTGTATGGGAGAGGCTGGTGTTCCTTCTCCTTGTGAGGCTGGAGGACCATATAACCTGAGAGCCGTCGCTTCTGCCAAACTTCTTCTCGGTCCACTCGTGATCTTCCCACTTTTCCTAGGTCCAGGCTTGGCCTTGGGCTTGACAGGTGATCTGTAAATCAGCATTTGTGTACAACCATGTTCAGCGAGTGCTAACTCTTCCAATAACTCTAATTTTCCAGAATGTACATAAAACCCTTCTTTCTTTGGCCGACCGAAGTGTGTGGGAGCGTCAATCAGCAATTCTGAATCATCGATGAATGGGTCGTCGAGATTGTACTCTTCCGTCTTTTTCGACTACTTCATCAGCCCGCCTTTTGAGTTTCACGATGAAAGATGGAATACACACCGCAGCTTTCTTCTTCTTTCTCTTGGGTTTCTCAGCATATCTCTCCTCCAACTGCCGTGCGAGCTCCTCTGCAGCCTTCTGTTCATCTACCTCCAGTCCTGGCACACTTCCTAAAGGGTCGGTGGTGAGAATGGCTGATTCGTTTGGTCTCGAGGGTCCATCTTCCTTCTCTTCCGGTGGTATCCAGACATCCACCATCCCTCTTTCCCGAGCATCTTCGAGGATATTCCACATCAATGTCTGGCCATCCAGAGGAAGCACCTTTTTCAGACGGATGGTCCTCATTGGTGGAGGTGGGGGTGGTAAATCTTCATCTTCCGACATGGACCTTCGTCTAGCCTTCCGCTTCTTGGGGACTAATGTCTTAACAGCCTCAGCTTCCATCGGTATTGCTTCTCCTTCTCCGGCAGGTGGGAGTGAACCTTCTTCTGGCTTCTCCTCACCAACGATAGGAGGCGCAGATCCTCCCGGTTCACGAACAGTGAGGATGTCCAGATCCTACTGGTCAGTCTATACTCATACAGGTGGATATTTTTGCTCACAGAGTCCAAATCTTCACTGCCCACCTCGGTTTCTTCATCATCATCTTCTCCCTCCTCTTCGTCGTCATCATCCTCATCTGAACCTTCCTCCGCATCAACTCCCTCTACAGGTTCTTCTTCTTCGTCACTTTCACCTTCCTCGTCCCCTTCTCCTCCTTGCTCGTCATCATCGTCGACCGTCTCCGCCATGCTGATATCACCATCCGTTCTAGCCATTTGTGGGAAGCCTGACGGTGTGCTAGGAGCAGTGGAAGATGTTTGCAGACGTGAAATTTCTACTCGAGGTCGGATCGGAGAAGACATGTGGGCCTCGGGGGAAGATGTTGTGGGTAAAGGGGTAGAATAAGACCCTGAACTTTCTGGGGGTGATGGTTTCACTGGTGATCTGGATGATCTGGATGAACTTTTGTTAGAAGTTGGTTTCTGATCAGTCAGTAAAGTCACGGATACAAGCTCTGAAGGTATGAGGGGAATGGTGTGACGTACTGGGGGAGGATGACTGAGCATGACAATGTCAGGTGAGGAAGCGCGAGGTGGGGGTAAGGGTAGAGGCGAACGTTCCTCCCGATTCAAGAGGTTGGCGAGCATCCTTGACATTCCTGTAAAGTGAATTGAGAGGGTAAGATGGGGTTCAGAGTGATACAGTGGATCCTTTCGAACCTTTTGTGGATGAGTAAATGCGGGTTATGTAGAATATATGATAAGTGAGAGGGTGTAATTTGTTAGTGATGGGGAGAGAGCTAGAATCAAAACTTGTTCCAGTTGTGGTGGGTCAAATTACGCGGAGCGAGGCGCCATGCCATTCAGCTCCAGGCCAAGTACCTCCGGGTTTATTGACCACCACCTGCATAGTTGGGTGAGGAATATAGGTGTATCTGGGTACACATACAGATATGTCAGTCAAAGTGATCCCGTACTAAAGTTGCATGCGATATATACGTGCTGTATCTAGCCAAGAGACACCCAAGATGGCCAAGAAGAGATCGACCTATGTAGCGGGATCAAATTCTGATAAGCGTGCCTGGGGGGAGGTCACCCACCACAAGGCGATGTCAAACTGTTGCTTCTCCACTTCTTCTCTCCCTTTACCGAGCTCACAAACCCTCACCCTCATTTGAAATCAAAACATTCTCCCTGAAAGAGGAAAAGGTAGCTGAACAGAAGCGATTGAAAGACCGTTGGGAATCAAATATCATTTCAGATGTCACGGATATCAAGTAAAACCATCTTCCTCGGAATCGTAGGATTGGCCAGCTTCGCGTATGCCAAGTCAGGTTGGGGGGAAGCTTGTTCGTGAGTCCTCTCACTTGCTTATGCGGAAACTTGTTGTTGATTTTAGACAAGCAAATTCTCATCTTGACTCTGATACCTGGGCGTTGGACTCTGATTGCGATGCGACAACTTACTGCGCGGACAATTCTACCTGCGCGTATCGTGGATGTCGCAAGGACATAGTGAGTTCACCGATACTTCATGAATTATATTTGAGTCATGCTGACTTTCAGTATCCATTCGGATACAATGGTGTAGCTTTTGATCAACTCCCAGCCCTATGTCCATTAGGACAATTGTGCGTATCTCTCCCTTAGATGACATTCCGCAGTAATTGGGTTTATAAGAGAACTAACATGAAAGTTGTCCGGACGAAGGGGATCGCTGTTTGGATCAAGTTCCCGTTGGGGGTAGTTGTCAAAAAGATCGGGATGGTAAGTGGGTTATCTTCTGCATTGTGCATGACTAATGACATTTAGATGAATGTGCACCTTCTCCTGACTGGAACGATCTCAATGGATATCTCAACGTGAATGGTACTGTTTGTCTCAACTTTGTTTGCCAGTGAGTCCATCAATTCTCCTTGTCAACATCGATCACATAATTGCCACCTCTGTTTCTCGACTTTCACACCATTCAAGAATGTATGGGCTGATATGAAGATATGCCAATGTCACACTTGGCTTGCAATGCATATTGGAAAACACCCCTTACACCGGGTATTTAGATTCAGGTGCTCAATACGCTTTTGTCATTTCGAGAGATAAGTGAGTCTTGTCGATCTGTTCCCTTCTTGCGAGCCAAGATTACGAAAAGGCTTGGCTGATTTTCAGTTGTGCGAATGGACTGTATTGCGACGGCACAGCTATGCAGTGTATGAAAGATAAAGCTTTCGGTGCGGCATGTACGGGTAACAAAGAGTGGGTTCTTGTGTCAACCTCCTGTAACAATCACAAACTTCCTCTTCCTGTCTCACCTTTTTTTTTCAATCGTACATACATCGCGGATCGTTGTCTCGCTTCGCGTCCCATAAAGGTCGTTCGTCTGGCTCAGATACTGATTTGCAGATGTCTATCATACAATTGTGGCTCTGATCACAAATGTGGTCGAGCAGCGGATGAACCTATCCATCCTGGTACATACGCCTACGTCCTAGTTGGTCTAGGTATAACCATTCGTCAGTTTTCCCATTCATTACTCACTGGAGTCAGACGTGAACTGACAAATAGTAATTCTGAGCGTCATGATTTCACTCTGGTTCGTCCATAGAAGATCAAGGAAAGAAAATCAAATCAAGCTTGAACAATATTACAACGAACAAGTGCTTCTTTCCTTCTTCACCTGTGACATCCTTACTGATAACCTTCAGATCGCTTATAGACAATCAATCATGTCAATGTCACATGCCAAGAACTCTTTATTATCATTACCACCCAACACTGTAAGTCTTTCTACTGATTGATCAAGTGCCAAGGGTTGATGATACGTCCGCGGATCAAGCTCGTCGGTCTATTTTCGCCGATCCAGATGACGGGTTCGCTTCCGCTCATGATCTCTCAGTGCCGAATATCAGAAGAGATTCAAGTGCTGCATGGAGTGATGCTGCCGCTTCGGACAGTGAGATATTGTTGAATGGGGAAAGGAATGGTGAATCTTCTGCTGGACCTCGATATCGGGGATAGATCCATGGGTTTTTTTCAAATGTAATTACGACTCTTTTGCTTTGGTAACTTTATGATTCGGTCTGCTCTTTGACGATCTATGCATATCATACCATGCCAAGAAAGATATGTGTAGTGAGAGGTGAAAGCGTGAGGTTTGCGTGGGCGCGTGGAGACATGCAAGAAAATGATGTTATTGCACCAGGCCCACGATTGGGGATAACAAATGATCATGTCGTACAACGATCGACGATCGACGAGTCTCGGCTGGGTAAGTGGAAGCTGAGACTGTGTGAGAGTGGTTTGAGACGAAATGGGAGACAGTGGGTAGATGTGTAGATGTGTAGATGCGTAGATGCGTAGATGTGTAGATATGTAGCTATTCAAATCAAGTCGGGGTAGAATAACGAAAACGCAACCAAGAAAAATGTGAAAATGTGATGTTTTCAAACATCCAACATATCCTCTACTTTTATAAACTTTTCACGTTCTTTCTTCCCTCCTTTACTCCTCACACGTTCTATTTCAGCTTTATCAATTCTTTCCCATCTTTTCAAATCTACAACTTTACCTTCTCTCATTCCTTTTAACAATTCATCAGGTAATCCATTCAAAGGTCCCTCTTTCATCTCTCCCCTCGATCCATCCGTCATCCCACTGAGAGTTCCTTCTGGCTGAAGAGTGGGGGAAGATTCAATGGGAGAAAGATTGAAATGATCTTGAATGATTTTCGTAGATAATGAATAAGCGTCAGACATCGTACTTGCTATTACACCTATTGGACCTCTTGCTACCCAACCCGCAGCGTATACACCTTTTATCTATATATAAGCATTTCTCTATGTTCCTTATGGAGGAAATCCATGGTATCTGAACTAAGGATATATTTGGAAGATTGGGGAATACACTCACTACTTGACCTTGATCATTAACCACTCTACCATTTATATTCTTAATTCTACCTAACACATTATCGAATGGTATTTCCCATGAGTCGTCTAATAAAGGTTCAGACTTATATCCTACACTTTCCACTACCATATCCGTCTCAGTCATCAATTTTTCACCCGTGTTCACAGCTTTTATTCCATCATCATCCATTCGTAGTTCGTTCAAAGCCCATTCCACTCCTCTCACACTCTCTTGTTCAATCTTCCTTTCTGTTGTATGGTCTGGATTTCTCAATGTCGGAGCAGTAGCTAAAGTTTCCGATGTCGTTTCGCTTGCTGAGTTTCTCAACGTCATAGGGTTTGTGGTGTTTCTCATTGACTTGAAGTTAGAACTGGATATAAACTCGGTTGGACTTTTCAAAAAATCCAATATAAACTCTTTCCCTTCTCCCTCAATTTTAGTCCCCATCAAACCTATCAACCTACTTTTCATCCTATCTCCTTTTACCGACTCTTCGGCCATTTTTAACAATCCCTTCTCTACACCATCATATCTCACATTTTGTAACTTTAACATTTCTCTGAATTCTTTAGTGGTAAAAGCCGCTTGACCAGGTCCACGTCTCCCTACCACTCTCACTCTCTTCACTGAACTTTCTCCCAACGTGTTCAAAACATTCTCAGGCATATCTGTGTTTTCCAACTCTGACATCGGTTTCAATAAGATCCGAGCTACGTCAAGAGCGACATTTCCTTGTCCAACAATTGTGACATCTTGAATATTTCGAAGATTCGGTTGAAGATGAGAAAAAGCTGGATGTCCATTATACCAACTTACGAATGATAATGCTGGCCAAACATTTTTCAAATGATTAGAAGAAGATGAAGAACCAGGGACAGAGGAAAGTGAGTTTGAAAGTGATGCTCCGTATGTCAGAACGATAGATGTGTAATATGGTCTAAGAGATGAAAGAGGTATATGAAGAGAATGAGGATAAGTGTATGATGTTAAAGCTGTCGAAGGTGTAGGGAGAGAAGGGGTTGAGGAAGGTGATGAACCGATGGAAACGTTACCGAAGAATTTGAATCGAGGATCGGAAGAAAGTTCATCGAATTTATGTTGACAATTCTGTAGTCAGTGGAAAGGAACTTTTTAGATCATCCTGATAGTTCTGATTATCTATCGTACTATCATACATGATGACTGTTGACAGGGGATCAAACCTGTCGCTTCCATGGGCAGGTAAGTACCGATCATCTGCCCCATGACTTCAGTCACATAAGGTGGGAAATGGTTCGTGAAGACGAAGCTGAGTGTTGGTGAGAGGCAAGCTCTCGTCAAGAAGAAAGCAGATAGTGTCGGAGAAGGGGGGAGAAGGGGAGGAGAAGGGGGGAGAAGGGGAGGAAAAGGGGAGGAAAAGGGGAGGAGAAGGGGAGGAGAAGGGGAGGAGAAGGGGAGGAGAAGGGGAGGAGAAGGGGAGGACAGAAAGGGTCTAGTTCATAAAGTAAACCAACAACCCACCTTGACTTCAGGATGATCAGGAGCCACACCATATCTCACAAGTCCATATGGAGTAGGTAACCTTTCGTACATATGTACCTCTACACCTTGTCCCGCCGAAGTATCAAAAGTAAGGGTTGAAAGTATTCTCGAAGCTGTATAAAAACCAGATGGACCAGCTCCTACTATTGCCACTTTCAATGGGTTTTCAGGGTCAGTTGATTTCGCGGAATACGTAAAAAGTTGGCCTGGTCGAATTCGTTTGGATGAAAGTGGAGTGGTACGTTTGGTGGTGATACTCTTCAAAAAGGGTCGTCTGCATTGAGGACAAAGTGACATGTTGTAGAATAGTGAGGAATGACAATACTCGTAACTTAGCAGGAAAAGTGACGGATGACTCAATTGACATCTGCGGTGGTGCCCCACATTCCTCCTCCCCAAAGTCAAGATGCAGCAATGCAGCAGTACGAGTAGTGGGGCAATGAGATACACATAGCAATGAATTGCGTCGACAACGTGAAAGAGAGAACAAGCACACCTGCAGACCAGATTCACTATACTTACAGTCTAGACGATGCAAACACCAAGAGTGGACGGTGCGGACAAAACTGCATAAAACCATTCAAGTTCAAGTACCGACCGCTACATTTCTTTCAATTCCTTTTTCAATCCTTCAAAACGTGATACATGATTTTCCTACCCCGAGTCATACGACGTTGGTTCATTAATGATGTTGTTTGGCTTGATGTCTCTTGAGTGCGTCCATTCTGTCTATGAGCGACTTTACTTCTAACCACTTTTTGTTGACAAAGTAGGGTGGACGAGGAAAGTCTGGCAGCTGATTGCTCATCACTGCAGAGACGGTGGGGGAGGGGGGGGGGGGGGGAAATGTCTCCCTCACGACATCGCAATGGACAGAAAAAGAGCAAAAGCGGAGAAAAAAGAAAAGACGGGATATGGAGAAATGATGGTGGATCGGAAAGAGAACAGGAAGGGGGGGGGAAGTCAATGTGGCAAGTGGAAGAGGAAGAGGGAAGAAAGTGAAGAAGAACAAAAAAAAAGAAACCCACCTGGTAAAACTCTCATCGCAAACATGACACATAACCTTTGGTTTATCTTTCATACTACGCCATAACACAGCCTTTTCTTCACTCAACTTCCCTTCCATGACCAACTCTCCCTCCCTTCGACCGTGACGAGCCATATGTCGAGGTAAGTCATACTTCCGTGTGAAGATATCTTGACAACGATTGTATGGCTGTAAGTCAGCTATATTCCGACTCTTTTTTTTTTTCGCAACCAACTAGGTAACGTATTACGATGCAATACTCCCGGACGTCCTAATCATAGTAAAAAGAATGCTTTTGATGGTATAGAAGGGGATGGGGATGATGACGTTAAAAAAACCGTACTCACGGGTAGCGGGTTTACATACTCGCATTGAACACCTCCACCACCTCCACCTCCACTAAATCGTCTCTTTCCTCCACTAGGTGACTCATTTGAAACTCTACTCTTCCTCGGTGCCGTCTTCGACGCTCCTGCTGAAGTAGAACCCACATTGGTCCTTCCTCTTCCAGTTGTTGTCGTTACAACCCTTCTACCTCCACGAGCCTTAGGAGCGGGAGTCCTGGTTGTTTTCCCACCAGTTTCACCTTTATACTCACTATCTCCTTCGCTGATCCCCGAAGACTCAGAACCATAACCCCATGATCCATGTTCTTCCAAACCTCCAGCGTCTAGAGGAGTATCCTCCCTATCTCGAAGGACGGGATCTATATGTTCCATCTGTATCTCGCTCTTACGTCTTTTCTTCGTAGGAGGACTTGTCTGAATACGCTGTCCGTTCCTTGTAGGACCAGTGGGAATTCCAGATTTACGCCATTGAGCAACAGCTTCCGCACCTGCTTTACGTTTACCTTTGTGATCTCCTGGTAGATCATAAGGTGATGGTGATTTTGCAGGAATATCTCCTGAAGCTGCTCTCCATAAAAGATCCAGACCTGAACGAGCTGATTGAGAAGAAGTGGAAGGGGAATGTTCTCGATGTCCAACGGTCGCATCATCGTCTTCCTCTTCTACAGGGGCATCGGGATGATGACCTAAAGGAAGTACAGATGATTGTGATAAACCTCCAGGGGTGTGCGCAGTGGCGCCTACAGGTAATGACTGTCGATGATCAAAAGGAGGAGCATGAGATGATGAACCGTTGGTAGCCCCACTAGCACGTCGAGTAGTGGAGGAAGGAGGTCCCATACTGGGTCCACTCCGTTGAGGACTTTTCGGAGTGATTTGTGATAGAGGAGCTCCCCAAGGTGAATGTCCAGGACCTGGTGAACCTATAATTGGTCTTGGGACCCATTCCACTACAGGTATACAGAGATCTGATTCTTCAGAAGAAGTCGAACTTGCTTCAGTGGAAGATGTAGATGATTGTCTAGTGACAGTATGATCGATCGGTGATCTCGCTTGATGATTCTTGCCTGAATATCCAGCAGGTTTTATGAAACCAGCTAGGTTCCTCGGCAGTTGATAAGCGTTATCACCTATGGGATATGGTCCAGCGAGTGGTGTTTGATACATCGATCCTGGATAACCTGGTCCTTGATAAAGAGTAGGTGTACCGTTAAGCTTTTTGATAGCTTCATCGGCCGCAGCAACAGCAGCTATAGCTTCTGCAGACATACGCATACCCAATTGTTTAGTCGGATCTGTGACGTTTTCCGAAGAACCAGAATGTATAGGGAAACCTTCTGGACCGTACATTGATCCTAAATGAGATGGTGGGTTTATGGATGAAGATGAATCTGTGGAAGAAGAATATTGTCTAACGTTCTTATGTGAACGTGGTTGTGAAACAGGAGTAAGAACTTGTGATAAAGATTGTGGTGGAAGTTGTTGAGAATTAAAAGCAGGTGAACGAACTTTGAGTTGATCCAAATCTGATGCTAATTGTTCACCATTTTCAGGTTTTAATATTGATTTTCTAGCTTTGGGAGTTCTCGCACCTCCAGATGAAGGTGATAATGGTCGATTGACATTTCCAGGTGGTGTCACGGTAGATGCCGTAGGAGCAGAACCATTAGAACCGTGTGACAATACCCTTTTGAGTAAATGTGTAGAAGTAGCTCCACTCTCTTGCGTGTCTTGTTCCACTACCACTTCTGGTCCAGTCTGTAAATACATTGAAGTCGGAGATATCGGGTCGGTTTTGATCGGAGGTGAATCGGGAATCGAGGATAAAGATGAAGTCGAAGGGGAAAGAGTACGAGATGTCGTATTCGTCATGTCATCCGAAATGATAGAAGATATTGGTAGACAAGAAAGGTAAGGTGAGGAACAAGGACTATGTCGTAAAGATAAAATCTTGATCAGCATCACTATTAAACGTCTCTTATCCTCCAATGAAAGGTTCATGGTGGGCATGAGACTCACCGAACGTTTAGTCAAAGAAAGCTGTGCTGACAAACTCCGCTGGGGGTGAAGATCGTAAGAGCGAGCGGAGACGGAATGGTGGTGGAATCCTCGAGGCTAAATGAGGTGATTTTTTTATATCCTGTCCCTACGACAAGGTGCAGTACAACACCCAATGACGTTTCTTCTCAAGTAAGAAGGTGATACAGGAGAGACGGCAACGTGGTAAGGGAAGAAGAAGGAAGAGAGAAGGGTGAAGAAGAGGAAGAAGAAGAAAGATGTGCGATGGCTTAGTGAGACATGGTTGCAGTCAGCGTAACAGCTCGCGGCTTAGCGGCCTTTCGCCGTCGGGTGGCAAATTCCTCTCCAGTGGCAAAAATCAAAAGTGGCAAATTTGGGTGGAGAGATCTGATACATGATGCATACAGTGTCAGTACAATCCCATCTTCGTTTGGATACAATCATGATGCTTCTATCAGTCTGCTCGGATGCGTATGTGATCTCTTCACTTGTTACTCTTCTTACTCCTCGTTGACATTCTGGTCCTACTCGCAACTGAGCTCGTCCTTTCACCAGAAGTCTTCGAGCCCTTGGCGGTCCGTTTGACCCCTGTCAGGTCGTCCAGCAACTGTCGCATCTCATCCGCCGCAATATCGAATGCCGTCTTGCTCGGTCCTGCCGCTTTTGATTCCGTTACCTTGCTAGAGGACCGGAACACGCCTCCGTCTGCAATGTCGGCTCCATCGTCCATAGTCTTCCATCTGTTCGTCAGACACATGTTCCATTCCGTCCCATATAAACCGTGCTCACTTGTCCAGTTGGGCACGAAGGCTTCGAGCTTTCAGTCGGAAATGAGTTTTGATTTCGCTTTCGACTGCATGGTCAGCTCCAGCATCATCGCATAGGTTTTGGAGCATGCAAGATGACTCACAAGCCGCGGGAGGATTGCGTAGATTATTTGCCATGGCGTCTTTGACCACCATGCGTCGCACGTTGGCAGAATATGCTTCCCTTGCTGCGTTCTATCCCTTGTAAGCTTAACGGCCAGAATATTATCAGTCGAAACGCTCACGTCCGTGCTCGACTCCCAGCCGGGTTCGTTGTCATATGGTTTCTCACAAAAGATCAAGCTTTGGATACTGATGAGCACTTGAAGAAGGGTAGACTTTCCAGCTATCCATCCAGGACCGTTCCATGTTCCCAGCAAACTCAGACAAACTTTCTATCACAATCAGCTTTTTGTCTGCACCAGGGATGTAAGCTTACTCCATCAGCATACAGATTGGGATTGTAGCGATATTTCCCTCCGTTTGTCGTCATATAATGCACACTCGGGCACTTCCAATTATAGTCCAGAGGCTGTCCACGTTAGCGAAGAGAGTACGGTATCGAGTGATTTGTAACGTACCAGAAAGATATCGAACAGAAAACAGCCATTCTCATATGGAGTTCCTTCCGGTCCGATGATCATGGCCTGCCAGTCAGCGCCGGTCAAAATCATGAGAGAGATTGACCTTGATGCAGTCCACTCGCCCCTCGTCAACTCGCAGGAAAATGCTTGAATGCCATGCAACTGGGATATTTGTCGTAAGTATGGCGAGCTCCTTGGCGATAGCTAATGATCGTTTAGGGGCTGTCTAAACGCGGTCAGCTTATATGTATGGGGTTGACAGGATAACGCACGACATTGTTCAGGGAGCGTATAGACGAGTCGTAATGATGATCGTACTGGACAGAGGTGTCTGCGTCGCCGACGGCCTCGGCTGGAGACCGTGTCAAATCGCAGTATTGAAAACTTGCTCTCCCAGCCCATTCCTCGTCTAAGCCCATCAGCGTCCACAATCAGGTCTGACATTGACTAACAGATTCTGATGACATCAATTTCGTTGTCCCCCGCTTCAAGCTCTTCTACTTTCACCCCTGATTCCGGTAGTCTAGGCAGTGATTGTCGCATGCGCTCGACGAATGCTGAGCCCTTGGTCTGGACCAAAGAGGCGTCGATGTTCTTGGCCGATGATATTATTCGTTCACTACTTATCAGTGATGTGTGACAGCGACGATAGGAAAATGGCCCACCAGAACGTTTTCAGTTCAGTGAGCCCAGTGTCATCTTTCCATGGTAATTTCTCGGCTTGTCTTTCCGCTCCCTTCGTTGCGTCCTCAGCAGCAGGTTCTATCCGTCGATTTGTCGAGTCAATTCCCTTCAGTGCCGACTGAGCTTGAATGACACAGTTTTCCAGCAATTCTCGTGGGCTGGGAGAACCTTCGTATACAACTTCTATCTGTTGTTCTTCTCCTGGCCCAGTAGCGACAGGTTGTGATCGAACAGGAACCATGCAAGGCATGGCAAGCATACTCGCCAGCGATTCATGACTCGAAATGACCTACAAGTCAGTGAACTTGGGCCATGAACCTTGATCTGAGACTCCCACTCACTTCAAGCCAATCCAGCAAGGCGTCGTACACAGGGAAACGGTTGGACATTCCGAGGAGCGAGTCGTTCCGCAATAGCTCATTGACAAAACCGCTGCGTCGCCGGAGATGAGCGAGTGCAGTAGGATGTACAAGATGATCGGATGTTCGTGCACCACTCGCTCTTCGGTAGGACGGTAGATAGATTCGAACCTGGCCGAGCAGTTTGGCAAACTCCCCATCCATGACCCGTTGAGCTTCCTCCACTGCCAACTGTCCCGAACGCTGGTTTTGTCAGCAAGGCACTTCACGAGATAGCATTTCTCACGTCTTCCCGATGAGTCCCACCATACCCAACACCTCCGGAAGCGACCGGCCCTTTCGAAGCAAAGCCGTAATCATCCTCATCCTCATCAAGATCGTCCGGGATTGGTGAGGGTTGGCCGAAGAGGGAGTTCGATTGTGAGGCATGAAGGTAGGACGTTATGCTGGATTGAGGACTCGTATGTGTCCGCCGATTTTCCTTTCTCTGCTTCTTGCTCGGAGGCGAGGTTCTGGCAGCCTCCTCGACCGTCATTTTTCCGACAGCAAATTGCTTTTGTATCGTGTGTAATCCCATGCCAATGACGACACCCTGCGATATCAGTCACAATGGTCGTCTTGAGATGAAATGTACAAACCTGCAAGTCAGGGCAGTGAAGCAGCTCATCGCGCTCGATGTTGTCTGTTCGCAACAATGTCTTGGATCTGGGGTCGTGGTGACGGGGGATATCGACTTTCTCCCCACATGCCAAGCAGGTTGTGACGCTGCATTTAGGACACGTTTGCTGGACCCAGCCCGCAACATGCATGATGTACTCTTCGAAGTCGGGCTTACGACTTAGTCTCTGGCCAGTACGCGTGTGAGACAACTCACAAAGCACGCAAAGAAGTCATCTCCGGAACGTGTGAACGAATGTTGTTTGCAACTCGCGCAGGTCACGACTGGTTCTTGCAGACCGTGGTATAATTGAAAGAGGAAGCTCTGTTCTGCTAAGACCGATGAGCTTCGTGGAGACGACGAGACCATTAGACTCACACCCTTCAGGACAACCACTCATCCACTCTCCTCTTGACAAAATTGGAAGTTTTGCTGGTCTGAGGAAAGCCCTCTCTCCATCTGGAAAGTGGGCGAGTGCCGTTCCCTCGTTGATTTGCCACGGCATAGTCACACGGCGAGTCTCTTCTTTACTCTCCCTGATCACCTCGGTTCTATCTTTGGAGAAGAACACGTTGGCATAAGGGTCGGCCGTCCCATGCGTACCATCTCCGTCCTCTGTGACTCGTCAGCCTCATAATGCGCAGTTGAAGATAGACAGTGGCTCACGTTCGTCAAAATCCTCCATCTCCATGTCTTGTTCATAGTAGCTCTCGGCGTCTCCTTGGTCATTGACACTGCTGATAGCATCATTGTCATGAGATGACGTGTCATCGTCATCCGAGGGTATATCGTCAAAATCACCGGCGAACACCTTCTCCTGCAATGGTCAGGAATAGCACCACAGTCACTCGGAATCTGGAAAGGATTCGAAACCCGTTATGGTGAGAAAGGAAGCAGAGGATTTGAAAGATGCACGAGTGACACTCACAGCAGCAGACATGGCATCCCCTTTGCTCTTGAGCAACGCTGCTTTGGCTCTGGCTCGGGGTATACCCATCTCACGGAGCTGGTTGATGGCTAATTGGTCTGCCATGGTGAGAGACCTCGTCCAAAAAAGGATGATCAAGTGAGTAGTGATGGCAGGAATACAAAGCCTTGCTGTCTTTTCCAGTTAGTACGCACAGACCCACTGCAGCATCCCAGTCAACCGGTCACGTGACTCCATTAGTCCCTTCGGATCTCCGGCTAAGCCAACAGCCGTCTACACTCCTCACTCCCCATTCCATAGCCCATCATACAGCAACAATACCTCTAGCAACCTCTCCCACCACCACCACCACCACCACTGACGAACGCTCCGTATCACGCAGACCACGCTTCTTGAATCATACAGTCAGCTACATTATGCATCGGGCCCCAAACGTAATCCCGTTCACTCAACAAAAAGTTGGACACCAACTTTCTTGCGCCCCACGGAGTCTTCTATCCCTGCGTATACCTCAACGTAATCATCTACCTGCCACTCTTCTCACATCTTACTCTCAACGTAGAATGTTCGCCCTTTCTTCTATTTCCCATGGACAGCCAAAGACCTTCTCAAACCAGGATGTCCTTCCCCGTCTTCCTGTACCCGGCCTGGACCAAAGCCTGCAAGCATATCTCAAGAGCTTGACACCGTTGTTGGAACAGAAGGTGAATTATCGCACAAACTCCAGAGTCGTGGTGTTAGTTAACATATCAGTACGCAGGTGCCTCGTTGACGCATGAAGTGGAGAAACGCCGCGTTTTCATTCGCGACTTCGCCGCCGAGGACGGTATTGGTCGAGTCCTCCAGGAACGTTTGAAAGGTTGGTCAACTTGTGTCGCGTACATGCTGACCAGTAAGATCTTGATCATGTATCCCCTCACAATTGGCTCGACGATACCCTCTGGCTGGTGCTCGCTTATCATTCATGGAGGGCCCCTCTTGTGGTCAACTCCAACTGGTGGTTACTCTTTGCTCCAGATCCAAAGGATCGGACACCACCCATTCAGGACCTATCACAACCGAATCCAAATCCTGCGACCACCACTTCCCCCGGTAGTCAGGGAGGAGGTCAACAGTGGCTTGACACACACGAGAGTTTTTCTCGAGACTCGATGCCGTCATCACTTATCGTGGAAAGGGAATGGGTGACAGACTGGCAGATACGAAAATCGGCATGGATCCTTCGACGACTAGCAGAGCTTCGCTTGAAGTTGCAACGGTGGGTCACAATCTGGCCTTTTTCTTCTGTTCCACTCTCTGACGAATAGCGAAGAGATCTCTCCGGACTCCTCCCGATCTGGACCATTCTGCATGTCACAGTATCGAAAGTGAGCTATCGTCGAATCATAATGATCGCTGATGAGACAAAGATTATTCAATTTCTCCCGTATACCCCTACCCAACTCTGACGCTTTCTCAGCTGTCAAATCTAGGGCTATTCATGCGACTGTCATGATCGACGATAGGATCTACTCTGTTGAGGTATTCGCGTCGCCGACATCTCCCCACGCTTTCCCAGAGCCTTTGTCACCGGAGGACATCGAAGCGAATCTCAGATCGGTGGTCAAAGATGCGAAGCAAGCGCGAGACGTGGATGATAATCCTCCCAAGGTCGGTCTGCTCACGGCTGATGAAAGAGACCAATGGACCAAGGTATCTCATCATTACTATTTGTCTTATGGAGGCTGACCTCAGAACCGAGAACATCTCCTTCTCCTCTCCCCTACTAACCGTGAAACACTCGACTCCATATCTTTTTCTCTGGTAGTGCTAAGCCTGGATACCTATACTCTGCCTTCAAGGCCCACGGACGATCCTCTTTGTCTTCCTTCCGTTGACGCCCATCTTCGTAATGTAGCCACGGGTGTGGAAGGGGGACGAAACCGTTGGTTCGACAAGCCTATATCCATACCTGTTGAGACCACCGGTCGGGCGGGAATCATGGGTGAACATAGTCCTGTTGATGCTTTGATTCCGTCTATTGCAATCGAGTACGTTCTGGGAACTCCAGTGGATGAGAATCAGTTTGAAGGCTCTGGCAAGAATGGATCGGGCTGGAAACGACTGGAATGGGTGGTGGACGATATCCTACTGAGTGAAATTGATCAGTGTCAAAAGCGAAATCAGACTCTGATAGAAGACTCGGATGCGAGTCAACTTTGGTGGGGAGAATATGGAGCGGAATGGATAAAGAAGCATGGTGAGTGTTAAGCTTCCTATTTTCCGCTGAGTACATGAGCTGAGCAGATAGCTAAATTGTCCCCTGATGCTTTCCTTCAACAAGCCTTGCAGCTCGCATGGTACAAAGACCAAGGTTACGCCACTGCCACGTATGAAACCGCTTCGACGAGAACGATGCTTCATGGTCGTACGGATGTCATCAGGACTCTCAGCGTTGAATCGAGAGACTTTGTCAAGGGTATGCTAAACCAAGAGTTACCAGTGAGCTGATAAGCCTCATCGTGCGGGACTAGAACTGATGTTTAGGATGAAGAAAAATATGAACTTCTCTCCGCCGCTTGTACAAACCATAACATTCTTACTCGAACTTCATCATCTGGTCAAGGTTTCGATCGTCATCTCATGGGTCTGAAAACTCGTTTGCGAGCTGGAGAGACCCATCCTCTGTTCGAAGATGAATTGTATGCGAAAAGTCAGGAATGGAAATTATCCACATCTGGTCTAAGTGCGGGACAGAGGTTCATGGGTACTGGTTTTGGAGCTGCTTGGCCAGATGGGTATGGTATAAATTGTGAGTATGACCATTTGTTTGGTTGTACCAATTCCATTGATTTTTTCATACCTTCCTTTTATGTTACAGAGTCGAGTATGTCACGCCACTCCTTATACTCTCATACTTGGTGTTTGGAAACACCCCAACAATTCAGGAAATGGTTGTACTCCAATCCCGACTGACTCTCAGATCTCGCCGGACCAAATTTGATCAAATTTGGTATTGAGTCCAAGTATTCTTGTCCAACCACTTCGACAACGATTTTTAAACATCATCTCGTTCAAGCTCTTCGAGACATGCGTAGGGTCTGCGAAGCAGCCGTCTCCCCTTCATCTTCCTCTTCGATGGATATGAAATCAAAAATGTGATTATCTTGTCTCGTCCCTCGGTGCGATACATTAAGTTAGTTGTTGTAATGAAACATATCATACTGTACGTCTCACATGTTGCATGTAATCAGTACCAAACACAGTATTCCTCTCCCAAATCTTACTCAACTCAACCTGTCCACTGGCCACTGGAGTGAATTTCTCGAAAACCGGGATTTGAGTAGAGTAGACCTAACACTTATCATACGTAAGACATGAAATGAGAGTACTCTACTCTAGTCAGAATTGGTGTCACTGTATACATAGGTGGTGATCCATGATGTTGAGTATGGTCAAAGGATATATAAAAACGAGACGTGAAACATCCCCAACCCCTTTATCCCCCAATCGGGGTCAGAGTCAAAGGTGAGTCAACGTATCATAGGTCTCACTTCACTTGTTGACATTTTTTCACTTTCATCAAGACAATTACGATTATTCAAGTGAATCTCATTCTTGATCCTTCACTAACGTCTTTCCAACTCAGGGGAGAATATCATTAATCACTAACTTATCTGCAAACATCCTTTAAAGTGATCGATCATCAGATCCTGTAACTTACCTCAAGATCAGATAGAGTGAATAACAATTCTTAAATTGACATAATATACCATGTCAGCATTATCGTTAGCTAAATTATCTCCATTCTCAATATCACTTCTGACTTCTTCTCCAATAAATTCCGTTCCGATTCCAACTTTATCAGAACTTCAAAAACAAGCTAAAGATTTCGGTGGGAGTTTTACTTCTTTAGGATCTTTACCAGCTTATAGCGTTCAACCAAAGATTGAACCTTCTCCTCCGGGATATGAACCGAGGGATCCTGCAGATGGTAAGATTAGGAAAAGTAGGAAAGGTTGGAAGAGGGTAGAAATACAGGGTGGTATACCTGGGGAAAGGGGAGTAAAGGACAAGTCAGGTGAGTGAGGATAATGATTCATTTTGTTCACACATATAACTTCACTCAGTCAGACTGGGTCAATTCTGGTCAGGATAATGGTTTAGTAGTTACTCTGATTAGTGAATGGTGTTGGTATTTTCTTGTGAGAATGTGAAGAAGTAGAGATTTATGAAGGTCTGTAGGAATTACTTGAGGTTGTGTCGTATTGGACTAGCCGACTGGGAATGAGTATGTGGTGTTAGTTTAGATAGCAGGCGATGGATGAAATGTTGACAGGAGTTATAGGGAGAGGGTGACGAGGGAACAGGGTCGTGAGCTGATGGTCAGAAGGTCAGAAACCAACTTTGTGGCAATGGTCAGTAATCAGCTTCATTCAGGTGCTCATCAAGCTGATAAATAGGATCACATGCCGAGCTTATTGACTTACCCAGACTCGCCCCAACCTGGTGATACGACTGAGTGGTAGAATAAGAAATTTGTAGATTGCCGGCTTAGATGGTATGAGAAGAGTGAAGCAGTGTACAGTACATGCAGAGCATGAATGTAGCAATTCTACGCTTCACCATTTCTAGATCGAGTATCACGCATGATCTCTCCTAACATATGTGCTCGAAGGTAGACCATGGAAGTGATGACAAAGTATATTGCGCAATCCACGGTCTGAGAATTAGCTCATTGTGTTGATCATAGTCTGAACGGAATCTTCTTGATGAGACCGGAAGACTGATAGTAGTATGCCGTCCATTCCGCCGTGAGGATAAGTACCGTTTCGATGATGGAAGGGGCAAGACGAATGTTGGAAGGACATATGTGGAGATGAAGAAATATGAAGAATAGACTTACCTGGTACACCATGATACCCACGAAACCAGCTAGGAAATAAACCACCACACGAGCGAGGAAATTCCTATGTAGACCAGTACCTTTGATCTGACTCATGAGCTTTTTCGCTGAAACGAACATTTCGACTCCCTCAGCAACAATGCAGCGGAATGGACAGGGTTTGGTTAAGTAGTGCTTGGGTAAGGACAGAAAGTATAGTCCGAACGTACCATAGGCAACGGCCATTCAAGCATCAAAGCGAACAACGAAAAGAGTAGCGTGAATATCTGCAGCAGAGGAATGTTGACGACGATATCCACTAAAGGTTTCGTATTGTTTCCCGGACTAACAATAAGTGTCGCTGTTCAGTCGCAGAAGAGATACTCACATGATACCTGCTGGTCCTAACGTTCCTCCGCTGCTCATCAGCCAAAAACATTTCAACCTCTTTTCCCTATTCGACTGAGGACGAGTCACTGGGGAGCAGGGGGGGGGGAGAAAACTCACATCATATCCCAAAAGAATTTGCGGTAGAAGAACGCCCAGAAAGAAGCTGAAAACATGAGCTACGTACTCCATGAATGAATGCAGAGGATAGCTCACCCCATACCATATCTGCGAGATCAGTACCAGTACTGATAGACTGATCCTCAGAGGTGAGAACTTACAAGATCCTGACGCCAGCGCTAGGAGACGTCCCCATTCGTGCCAAATCAGTTTCCCCATTGCGTCACTATGCTATGTTCGATTCTTTGAGAGTACTGGGAAGAGATCGGATTTAGAGAGTTCAAAGTGGAGTCGGTCCTGCCGTGCTGGCCAGCAGCGAATTCACAAAGTCGAAAAATTGAAGAAAGGTGGGAACAAGACGAATTGAGAGGATAGTCAAGAGGATTATGTAGTCGATAGCTGAGAAGTCCAAACCATATCTCTCAGTGACGGTTAAACAAATATTCATCTATCGATCGTTTGGTCGTCAAGTCGGATGATCGGGTTTTGATGAACTTGTTATAACTTAGTGGTTGACGACCGTTGTCAGGGGTAAAATTGGTTTGGGAAAGTGGGTCGATATGCATTTGACATCGTACAAGCAACAGGATTACACGGAGAAGCAAAAGTTGATAAGTCGGTTTATAAGATGGAGGTAAGAGTGGAATAACTTCTGTAATGGTCAGCACGTCAGCACGTCAGGGAGGAGATATGGGAATGAACTACTGACGAGATAATTAGTACACAGACCTGTATAAGACCCCATAGAAAAGGTATCCATCTAAGTGTTAATTTCTGCGTCGTTCACAGATGTTTTTTGTCTCCATTATGACGTCAAAGAGTCACAGGGGAGACAGGTAGATAAAGGACCAAGAGGTCGGTGTAAATGGTAGGTAACAGGGTAGTAGGGGATGAATAACGATGTATACTAGTTGTGATGAAGATACTCACGTGGACATGGCAAAACCCCCAGCGGAATAAACAGCAGCTAAAGCAAACCCAACGACAGTACCACTGATCACACCCACCACACCAGCGATAGAAGTCATTATCAAAGGAAAGATGAATACTGGCCATAATGGTGGTTTTATCCTTTTCGCTCTCATCCTCTTTACCAACATTTCAGAAGCTTCCGATCTTCTGCTCGTACTTGGAGAACGACTTGCATTTACACGAGATTGATCTTTGGGTGAAACATTAATAGGATTATCGGAAGGACGAAGAATTGTCAGAGATAGTAAAGAAGTGAAGGATGCTAAGACAGAACAGATGAAAAAGATTGATCCTAGGAATAAGAGGGTCCAATAAAGGGTAAATTTCCATATAGCTGATATGATCAGTAATGGACAGGATGAACAAAAGTGTAGAAGACTGACTTTCAGCTTCGTATAAGAATATACCTACTTGAAGTCGGGTGCTACGAAATGTGGGGATGTATAAAGAGGGAAATGAGGGTGTTACATACCCCTCTGGGATTTCTATGCCGGGCTTTGATCGTCAGCTTGTGTCACCTCAGAGATGATATACGAGTTGTGGTTATGATTAAAGATAGTAGAAAAGACTTACACTACCTCGGTCGGGATCGAGAGCGGATGAAACGGCGCCCATGTTATGGGACCGTCAGCTGGCAGAGTACAGGTCGACTTTTCGGTTTGACGGATGGTCCTCCTTGGAGTCGTCACATGTGGAGATGGTGGTTGAAGAGCACTGTTGACATGAGGAAGAAGGGGTAGAATCAAGCAGCTAGCAGCAATCGATTGTTCGACAAGCACAGGATATAACAAGTAGATATGACAAGTGAGAAGGAGGAGAGAACACCTTACGGATCGAGTGAGATTCAGCTTGATATGACCTCGTTCCGACATCCAAAGGTTAGCCTATTCTTTCTCATTCATCGAGAGTATGCGGGAAAGTCTACACTCAAGAGATTTACTGATACTAGCCAATGCATACAGTTTATGTTCAACTCTCCTCTTCCCAGAATATGATCCCACGTAGGTCATGATATGAGTTATGAAGAAACAACCTTCCCATTCGTCCCTCCCTTGCCCTTGACCTTTTCTCCTCCTAAAGCCGCTTTCGCCTCTCTGCGCTTTTTGAGCATTTCCATCCTTTGTTTGAGGTGTATAACTCTGGCGTCTGCATCTTCCCTAATCAATCAGCCCCTTTCTTAGAGTGAAAAGGAGACTTTAGAGTAAAAAGAAGAGTCACTCACTGAGCTCTTTCTTCTTCTTCCAACCGACCCATAATCTCTTCCCTCTCTTCCTGTGCTATCCTCGCCCTTTTCTCCGCCTCACTTTCCTCCGGTTCTTCCTCTTCCTCTGGCTCCTCCCCTTCCGCTCGACCGATCAAGACAGGTGCGGCCTGATATGACACTTGAGCATCTTCCGTCTCTTTGTAACTCGCTCGAACGGGTTTTCGTTTAGTACTTCCTTCTCCATTCTCTATCAAATTCGAAGGCTCGATTTCAGGTTGAGGTTCAGAGAGCGAAGCGAGAAAATCATCTAATTCCGCATCTCCCGTAGCTTTTGGCAGCGTGAGATTTATCCCCACTTCTTCCACTCCGTTGATTGAAGGCTCAAGCTCCACGGAAGGTTTGTTGGTAGATGAAAAGAATCCCTCTGGTAATCCTGATGGTCCTTCCTCCTCCTCATCTTCCTCGTCTACCTGTGGTTGTTCAAACCGCGCCCGTTTGGCAGATTCAGATAATGAAGTTTCTTCCGACGGTCGTTTCTTGGCCGCTGCTTTGGCTTGAGCTTCTCTTTCTCTTTGAACTGATTGACGATGTTGTTTTGTTACTAGATGTGCTTCCCATTGTTTGACTGTACGTCAGATATGTCAATCTTCTCTTTGACCTTCCCCTCTTTATCTCCTCTAACGAAGTACGAGCAGTGGATAGCGAAATATTCTCGCTTCGATTGAAAAGGTGGTCATTTGACTCACCAGGAATAGCACAGATGGAACATCTCAGTTGTCCAGCAGAAGAATATGAAGCGTATGGATGATCTATACGTGCTTCCGCCTTCTTGGCACGTAATAGAGATCTTGCGTCCATCGAATGTGTAACTGCTTACTGGGAGTGTCAACACAGTCGCCTGACTTTCTTGCGATGGAAGATAGGTATTGTAGAGATTCAACAGGAAGAAGTTGCAACCTGGAATTCGAATTTACTTTGTTCTTTTGCCTCTTCACACTTCACCATAATCCGCAAGTACTACGTTGAGTAGTATGTAGAGCTCTCATAATTTTGCTAAATACGAACCTCTCTACTATGATCGCGGCCAATATGTTACCTTACTTGACTCTTCTTCTTCTTATATGGTTGATATTGTGTGACAACGTCAAAGCCGACACCGAGATTCTCAACTTTCGTCTTCCACTAATTTCCCCGGCAACTCCATTCGAACTTCCTCCCCATACCATAGAGTATGTACCCTTCAATCTTTCTGACACCCCACTTTCCGCTCTACTCATATATCTTAGAGATGTAGCTGCTATAATCTGACTCGCTTATCTCTTTCACCTACTCCCGTACACCCCCTGCGACACCACTTCCTCCCGAAACCCTTGACCCTTAACGCTTCAAACGATTCTGTTTGTGCCCATACGAATGGATTTTTGTGCTTGCCTTGCCTTGACCTGAAGAGGGGTAGGGGTAGAACTATATGTAGAAGGGAACTTATCATACAGACTTTCCTCTACGCAACATCAACTCCAACTCCAATTCAACTCATCCTCACCCGAACATTGGGTGTTACTTCACTTCGATGAACCTTATAAAGAATGGACGACCCGTCTTTCTTGGCCCGGTTCGGTAAGTAACATCATTACAATAGTCTTTCCCTCTTCACCACTATCATTCTATCATTCTAGCATCCTCTGGGTATATGAACTCATGTGTGTCGTACTTCCAATTGACCCAATAGAGTCCAACTCGGTTCACCTTGACATTATACGATCTAGAGCCTTCCGAGAATACTGCCTTACTCCACATTCTATCCACCCCACTTGCTCCTGAATTTCCTCATCCCCTTCTCTCCCTCCCTCTTCCATTCTTGATGGACTATCTACGAACTTTCTTCTCCACTTCTGCTCTGCCTTCCCTCACAGAGCTCGGTACTTCTCGATCTCCCGATAAGGGTCATATCAAGGAAGAGAATGACGGAGATGATGGACTATCCCAGAGACAATTTTCAACTGGAAGGAACGAGAAGGGTCAACTATGGACATTCAATACATCCGCCCATCTCGTACTTGAACCTCTTAATCTGGGTATACCACGTACAACCTTACCTCTCCTGATCCATCTGATCATCTTCGGTTTAGGCGCCATATGTGTTGTACCTATCATCATCCGTTTACTCGAACGCGCTCAACGTTGGGGAGAGATGAAACCAAAAACCAAATAAGATGCATACTCATATCATATCTCGTCATACAACGTTCAGTCGTGTGAGCATAATCATCTAACATATTATAACCCACTGAAACTCCTATTATTCCATGACACGCTCGACGGACAGGTGGTGTGAAGAAAGTGTCGAAGGGTCATAACACCACGGCAGCTTCTACTTCTCTCATCTCTCTAGCTTCCGATCGAGTGACAGCGGTCGGTAATCGCATATGAACTTGAACTACCGCTCTAGCCGCCATCTTCTGCGCTGATATATGATCCTGACCTGTGGAACGAGGTCGATTGGATATACGACGCGTGATAATTGCTGGCGAGTCTAAAAGCTTTTTCGATGCATCGACTTCTTGTTGCTCGAGGGATGGAACTGGTTTTTCCGACATCAGAGGGAATAGGGAATCATCGACAGGCAGAGAAGGGACATTATTGACATTGAGAGAACCATTGAGACGGGAAGAAACTACTTCAAAGTCACGTTTGCGCTTCTTGGGAAGAAAACCCGCGGAGGGAGCTAAGGGCGTCAGATCTTCATTATCGGTAGAAGGATATTCTGGTAATGGAGTCAAAGGACTAGAAGCGGCTGTATTGAGCAAGAAAGCGGATTGAGGGGTAACAAGGGTCCGAATGGTGGCATCGGTACTACCTGTCGTAGGAGTGGTCAGGTCGTCCGATTCAATGTGAGATCGTTGCTGCGATGGACGTCCGCGACGTGTTTTGGACATGATGATTTCCTCACTTTGGTTGAGAGGTTGTAAAGAAAGTGAAGAACGTCTGCGTTTAGGTTGTGAACTGAATCGGGTTTCCGAACGATCCCTCGTGGTGGAGGAAGCATTATGCGAACTTGTCACGTCGGCTTTTTCTTCCAGATGTTGAGAAGTGTCTAGGGGCAGTAGAGAAGTAGAAGAAAGGGAAACATTCTTGTCATTCTTTCTCCTAAGATATCAGCACGTCTGTCCATACGAGAACATGATAGAGGCGAAGAAGGAACTTGAAAAAAATGGGAAAAACTCACTTTCTTGAATCAGGGGGAAGCAACTCGTCATATCTCTTCAAATCTTTCATAGCACTTCGTAAAACTTGAACTCGGAGCCACTCCACACCTTCTTCCTCTACCTTGACTCTCGCGTCAAACCATCCCTCGGGACGGGAAAGAACGGTACGGACCAACGTTGTCCAGGCCATTTCTGAAAGATTACGAAGGAGATCAACTCGGGAACGTAATTTATGTCTCTCAAAAGCGAGAGTTTCCTTTTCTCGTAACCACATTGATTTCTCGGCGACTTCGTGTTTTCTATGACGAAGGATGAACGTTTCGTCCGAGTCGTCCTTGTGATCAGCCCCCTTTCTCTCAAACGTCACGAAACACAATGTCAGAAACTAGCTCTTCCATCCTGTGCAGTGAAGCGGAGGCAAACCAAAAGCTCCACTCAAGAGGGCAGGATATGTGGCAAGTGAACTGAGTAGATTCATAAGAAGAGTCAGGGGTACAAGAGCAAGGTTAAGATAAGCGGGGGAAGAAGGAAATACCCACCTCTTCCATCTGCGCCCTCCTCGTCTTTTTCGGACTCTTCAAATCTATTTGCATTTCCAAAATCGCATCTTCTCTATCGTCTTCGCCAGGTGCGATAACCCTCCAACCCGGAACGTGTATCTTCCCTTCTTCTTCCCTTGTAGGTAGCGGCACACGCGGCGAGGGGGGGACGAAGCTTCTGGGACGGGTGGGAGTTTGAAGGGCTGTCTTGGGTGTACTACTCGATTGATCTATGACATATGTCGGGGGGTTGAGGTCAGACAATGGAAGGGTAGTGAGATGGATGATAGTTTCCGAAGGGGGAGTAGAGGGGATTTCATCTGATCGTCAACATGTGACTTGTACAGTGGCGCACATCTTATTCTCATGTTCCGCACCCTGTAGGTCCTATGCTGACGCTGGTCAAGTCGAGCCTTGATTTTGTATAAGGGAAAAATGGGATGCTGCCGAGAATCAAAGCAAACAGATACCACACGGCCTCACTCCAGAGATTAGAGAGAGGTCATCATTAACAGGACCAATATCACTGAATAAGGGCCATACAAGACCTCAGGACCAAGGAACTGGGATTTGGTAAAGAGAAGAGAGGAAAGGTAAGAGACATACGATAAGAAGTCAACCAATCAATGACCATCTGTTCTACATCCCTAATCCCTTCTTGTCCACCTCCAGCAGCCCGTCTTATCCTCGTTGGACGTTCATTAACTGCTAATGAGACCTTACTCTTTCCTTTTCCTTTACCCTTTCCAGACACTTCCTCGTCAACATGTCTTTTCTCACTGACCATCCCTCCAACAATTCCCACATGATCATCTCCATGCTCCAAGATGAAAGTCGCGTCGTTCTGACGGATCAACACTTCCCTTTGACGCGTCCCTGGACCTGTAGAAGATCCGGCTTGTAAATCCCTATCCACCTCAGGTTGTGCGGAAGGACGAGCAGAGCGAGTAGGTTTGAGAAGTACCGAGTTTGAAGGATTCGCGTCATCCTCATCGGACTGGTTGTCATCTGTTTCAAAGCTTTTTCCGGCGTGACGTCTTTGTTTTTGAGGAGATTTCGGTATTGACACGACATGTTTTTGAGAGGTTCGACGGGTGGGGATTGACTTGCGAGGTTTCGTATTGGTATTCATGGTCTTTGAACGTGATGAGATAGACATGGTGGGTTTCGAGTACTTTGGTGATGCGCAAAGTGTAATAATTACAGTGAGAAAGGATAGGAAGGAACAAGAGTAGTGAAGGAAGAGTTCATGGACCGTTCAACGGTTTGAAGCAGTTTAAATTTGGTGATCAGGTGAAAGTGTAATTTCTCCAGTTCCGATTTGGGGACTTGTTATGTAAATAGATCTTTGACCCGAGAGAGGAAGGGATGAGAGAGATGATGGGTATCAAGAAAAGTGAGGAAGATTTTCTCTTTTTCCTTCGACGCCCTTTGCCCTCGGCCGCGGTACTCGGCAACAGTGTTGTTATATTAAGGGTTAAGATATTAAGGGTTGTAAAATGGGTAGCCAGGGTGGGTTATTAAGGTCTAAGAACGTAATATCATCCCCTACTATGAGTGATGAAGGAATAGGTCACGTGACACAACACACCTCCACCATAGTCCTCTACCTTCACTATACTGCAATCATTCATGTCACTCCTGCCCATTTATGCCATTCTGGAAGCTGTAGTCACTTCAGAGGCTGATGGAATGTGTTGATACAGTGCATGTGTTACTCAAAGTAATGCAGGAATGAGTCCCCACAGCCCAGCATGAGGAAAATGATATTACGTTTTTAAGCCCTTTTTTTTGGACCACCAAATTAAGGCTGTAATTACGGGTTATTACGTAACTTAAAAACGACCCTTAATAACAACCTGACAACACTGCTCGGCAATGACACAGCTTGACAAACTCGACTCTGACTCTAACTTAACTGCGCTCATTCTGGACCACATACATGCTCATTACTAGTCTCAACATATCACTGGCCATCACTGGCCTTACTGAACATCAAGGCTAGAAAGGTGTAATAAATATGCCTTTGTATGCAACTCCGTATGTTCACTCCTCCGTAAGAGGCTTATAGGAACTGAGAACTGAATTGAAAGGTATCCTCACATCATGAACTCTCTCAATGGTCCCACATCACCCAAACACACTTTTATGATATTTTACTCTAGTGTGGTGAATGGTCAAATGTGGTGTCCAGTCGGTATCATTTCCCTCTACCTCACTACCCCTTCCACTTAGGCATACTCGTCTTCATTACATTCCCTTCACAGACCAAATTCAGGATCAAGGACTTGAATCTCTTGAAATGAACGATAACGTGTGATCCTCTATCTATCTCTTATACGATGTGTTTTGAGCGTCGGTCTGATAATCAGGATTGCAGAAGAGTAGAAAGTACGGTGAAAGAAGCGTTTGACGGACCTGATAAACCTAGTGAGTCTCATGCTCGATGACTGAGACAAGATATGACATGGGACTGATAAGACAGAAGCGATCATACATTGGGTAGGCGACAAAGCTACGTGAGTTGACCAATTCGGACGATGGTTGGTCTGCAGAGGGAACTGACAAACAGATGGCGAGACCCCAAGAACGAAGCTCGGATTCAGTGGAAAGTTAGCAACGTACCTACGATCTTGAGAATAGAGAATGTGAGCTGTTGTCTTCCAAATCTAACGGGGTTCTGTCTCGTCAAAGAAAGTCTCATTGTTTGCTCAAAAGGGGCCTGGAGTGAAGACATTCTGGAACTGATGAGTTGTGAGAGCTACGGATGAGGCTGACGTTTAGGGCAAAGAAGTGGCTAGACTAGGTGACGACGATGAAATCATGGACTCGAAGAGGTTTCAAGCATTCTTGAACCCTTGAAGGAAACTCGGAAGACAAGCTAGTGTGTATACTTACATGCGTTTGTTTCAATGTACAAGAAAGATCTGAATGCTACATGGTATCTCTCCTTTCCAGATCTCATTAATCTTCGTCACACGGTTCTCGTCTACAAATCATTAGGACACTCGGTGTCATCAGGAGAATGAAAAGGCCTCGGCTTGTGGGGGAAAACAGTGTTGTGACGTCGTGAGAATCGTTCGACGCCCTAGGGGTAGTCGGGAAAATAATGGATCGGGTTGAGCGGCGTTTCGGATAAGGCCAAGGGCGAAGGGAGGGGTGAGGGATTAGGGATGAGAAGATTTTGTCGATCAGGCCTTGGAGTCACGAGGGAAGATGATGTCGACTTCGGCTTCGGGCGAGAGAGAGGGGAATGATCGGGTGGAGTTTGGATTGGAGGCAGAAGGGGAAGAAGGGAGTGAAGTGCATCGTTTGCGTAGGAGTAATGAAGAGGGGTTAGAGATCTGAATGTTAGCTAAAGGCTTTCGCTACTCTTGAGACGTCACTCGTATGGTGAAAAAAATGCAAAACGTAAGAGGAAATAGTTTAGGGGGCAGGGGGGAGAAGAAGACTTACACGATAATCCGTTTCTGTACGTTTCATACCCGGTCTCAACTTTCTCTCCCCTATGTCCAATTCTGTAGTTTGACTACCTTCAGACGAAGTGGAAGTATCGGAAGAAACACTATCTGACCGATCTCGTAAATGTCCACATTCGATATTTCCGGAAGATGGAAAAGTGATCGGATTGCATTTTTTATCCTGCTTTGAACGAGGGTTGGCTGGTGGAGGTGGAGGTGGGAGATGTTCTTCCGCTTCGACATAAGGGAGTAAAGAAAGGGTGACAGCGAAGACGAGGGAAGCTATGATGATGGGCATCTTATGGTCGATGGTTGAAAGTTGAATGATTTTCCTTTCTACACAATTGATAGATGGGATATATAAAGAATTTGCCACGACCCGATAAAACCGATGCTGGTGGGGATGACGAGGATGGTACGATAAGTATGGATCTGCGATAAACGAATGTCTTAGCTATCGGCTTTTGGGAGATTAAGCGATGGACAAAATGAAAACTTGTCGAGGGTTTGTTTGGTGTGTTCGAGTAAAGAGAAGAAAAGGAATGATAAATCTACGTTGAGGCAATAGCAATAGAGAAGGTGATAAACCCTTTGATAGTTGTCCTAATTTCCTTAGTGCGTAAAGTACCCTGGGATCTGGGAAAGTGTCACATTGATCCATTTTAGCTTCGTTTCTAAGGTGAAAAACCGCGCAATGGCCATGTGACTCGTGGCAGATCTTTGATATCTTGAGCTGCTGTATGTTCCATCTCTTCGTATATTCCAAGATCACTTCATTACATGCCATGCACAGCATACTTGCATACTTGGCTGTTCGAAGACACACTGCTATTGAGTGAAACCCGAAGAAAAGGCGAATGATTCTAAAACCGAACCTCAGTGATTTATTGGAAACCGAGTACACCGAGCAGGTCGTTCTCAATTAGTGTGAAACATGTTATTCATTATCTCATTTGTCCGAGACATTATGGATCTTCATTTCCGTACAATGATCTACCATCTTCTGATACCTTAGATGTCTCTTCCTCTCCCTCTTTCTCGTCTACACATCGACCATTTAGACAAGGATACATTTACAGACCAGCACGTGTCCTTTAAAAAAAAACGTCGGCTTGTAACCCCCCGCCGCCACATGATGTCACCCGCCGGCGGTAAATAATCTTCCCTGAATCACTACTTTTTCCCTGATCCAATCTTCCAACCTTCCCAAATTCTCACCGGTAAACATGTCTTCATCCTTTCTTCCTGCTTCCGAACTTCGTGTGTGGGTATCGAGTAATCGAATGATATTCATCACTTTCTCAGCGTTCTGAGGTCAACTTCCCGCCAGCCCACCACTATGATGAAAGTTCAACTTACCTCAAGTAAAGCACTTGGTATCTGCTTTCCCGTTCTTTCCGGCATTTCCAAAGAAATTTCCTCCTTAGATTTCACATCCATTTTATCCGTCCAAATGACTCCTTCAGGCCCTACTTCTGAGGATAAGGTATCACCACTACGAGTAACATTTTGACCAATTTTCAATTCCTCCGCTATTCCACCGACGACAGTTCTTAATCGTGAAATCTCATCTTTCATATCGGCAATTTCATTCCTCACATTCGGTACTCTCACCCTCAATCCCATTTCGTTCGAATTGATAGTTATTTCATCTCCGTGAAGAGGGTGAGGGAAATTGGATATATTCGTATCTGCCGAAGAAAAACTTGCATCGGCCATATCTCCATCTTCGGGGATCATACGTCTACTGGCAGTCAATGGAGGTGTGGGCATGTCGTATTGATCAGAATTGATAGGTTGGTATTGTCTCATCGCTAAGGAGGGAAAATGAGGATAGTAAGGATTGGAGTTAGGTTGGATATCGTCAGAATTCTCAGACTCGGACGAGGGAAAGAAGTCTGGGAAAAGCGTATTGAGTTGTTGTCGAATATAAGACATCCAAATTTCGTCTTGATCTTGGTTTGTTAAATCGTTGACTTCTACTACAGGCTCCCTCTCCTCCGATGTGTTGCCCCCCTGTTCTTGATGATTGGAGTCATTCTCTTCATCCTCCATGCTTAAGCTGTCTTCAACGTTGACATTTTCCCCTTCTGATGTGATTGGCGCAAAGTGATTGACCTCCTCTTCCACCTCCCTCAGGATATCGGCATTCTTCAACTCTCGCACCGCTTTGGCCTCGACATTCTCTATATGTTCCTCCTCGGCCATCCCATCATCGCTCTCCACCTCTCTCACCGAACCTGTTTCCTTATCTTCCTCTTCCTTCTTCCGCAACTCCTTCTCGGTTCCTGCAAAAACACGGTCCTCTCCAGCGACCGATGTCGGGTCCGTTGTATGATCACCTACTGAAGTACTAAACTCCTGACGAGTTTGAGGAACATCGGGCAAGAGGGCGTATTGCAAAGTCCCAGAGATCGTCCTTCCCCCAATCCGCATCACCGAATTACTCACTGAACGCTTCCCTTCTTTCGCGAGGTCTGTTATCGAAATCCCCCTAGGAGTTTGGTGAACAACAGAATCCCATTCTTTTGGTCGACGTGGGGGCAGGAACGTCTTAGCTTGTGGTAACTCGGATTCGTGGTCTTTGATAGGATTAGAGGGTTCGTGAACATCGGGTTCAGGAGATTTTGAGTCATCTGGAGTCAGGGCGTCGGCAGTTGAGGATGGGTCGAACTGAACTGGTGGAACAAGGGGCGAAGTTATTGACTCTTGCTGGGGTTGACCACTGTCAAGAGGGGAGGGGGGAGAGGGAAGATTTTCAAGTGACAGATATGGGGAAAGCGGTGGAGAAAGAGGCAGGGGGATCTCGATAGGATTCGACATAGCAAAATAGCAAGATTAAGTAAGAGAAGGTAGGTAGGTGGTTGGGATAGTAGACGAGGCTGCGGTTGATCTGCTGGATGTTGTGTCGCACATGATTCAACGCGTACTCATCCGCCCCGGTTTTTTGATGGAATGATGGTACCTTTTAGGCGTTGAAGGTTTGTGGGAAAGCACATACAGTACGAGTACCGCTCGTGAATAGCCCAAGCATGTCTGTCCTCGATGGGACATCCCACAACTTCTCCAAGCGCTGAAGAAGAGAGTCGGTACTTACTGCATATTGCTCACGGGTGAGTCTAGAGCAACATGCAACTGATCATGATCATTTCGACATTAACTAGGGACACAGACAAGTAGAACTACACAATCGTAACAAAGTCCAATACGATACTTCTTATACGCACACTTCTCCTCTCTTGGTCATTCTATTCTCTTCTTCTTTCTCAGTGCCATCCTCCCTTCTCCCTTTCCGATCACTTCCTTCAAGAGGATGCCTCAATAACCAATCCCCCAACTCGGTCAAATCATCTCCATTCATCCATGACACACCTCCACGTCGTTGAACACCCCACATACCTTGTCTCACATCTCTAGGAATCCGAGCAACTCCCCACCATCTACTCTTCACTCCTCTAGCTTGAGCCTCCTGTGCATACTTACGCATGTGTTCCACCACGACATTACATTTAGGCATGAGCAAAGCCAGATGATATCTCAATGGTAATTTCGACGATGCGATAGGAGAGATTGTCCCATTCCATTCGAATGATGTCGAGGGACCGAAGGATGTTTTAGGTATCGTAATGGGTGATGATATTGTGAGAAGAGGAGCATCGTAGAAGATGTAACGAAGTGTGGAATGGTATACGGCTGGAATGGGAGTGTCACCGGTTCCCACTATCATAAGAGGACCGCGGGACCAAGTTGAAGTAGTAGTGTTGTACGTCGTCAAATAACCTTTGGCGAGGAAAGGTTGAAGAGCTTCCACTAGATATGGCCAAATGGCTTCCCCTGAGTTTTTCTAGGGAATGAGTACTGTCATCTCATAAGGGGGAAGGTGAAGAAAGAAGGACTTACCATATCGATGGAGAGAATCACCTCGGCGGTAGGATCATCAGGATACAATCCTACCCAATTCTTCTCCACGTCCGCATTGTTCTTATCGAGTATCTCCATCAGAGGGTCTAGGTATATTTTCGAGAGAGTGCGGGAAGAATCAAGATCGGGAAGTTCGTGTCCTACCAGCAGGGTGAGATCCGGATTAAGGTGAGAGGAGGTTGGGATATCGGTATTTTCCTTGGTATATGGTCCGGTGATGGGTGCGAGGTAGGTATCAACTTCTATAGCTCCGAAGCCTAGAGACAGAGCGAGGATCTGTGGGTCAGCGTGTGCGACACAACTATTCATGGGATCATTCGAGAAGGTAACTGGGGAGGAAAGTAGGTACGATACTCACTAACGATGAGGTTCCTTGCATTTCATCATTATGACTATAGGCGGTATTCCGTTTGACACCGCGAAGATTCAATTGGCTGATATGCTTCGGCGTGGTTGGCGAACTGGGCTATGAGTCGTCAGTACACCGACTCGCAGAGCCCGGGAAACAAATGTTCTCAACTATATATCGTGGACTGATCATAGGATGTGAGAACAGACTGCATTGATTTCCCTTCCCTCACCGAAACGATGATCGAAGATGAGTACACAGCCGGGAGCTGACAAGGGTATGAAGCAAATCAACTTACAGAAGACTGAGGGGAGATTCCTTCTCCTGACCAGGACGAACGTCTACACGGACGTCCAGTCAAGATTACCCACATGGCACCTAAGGATCCAATGATAGCTCCAAACATCATCCAACCGCTTTTGCTTGATAAATATCGGTTGCGAAGATATCTCTGGTCTTGTCTCCCCCGGGGTTTGTTTCTTCTCAAACCCCCTTTCGACCTCTTGCATATATACTGGGGAAGAGACTGATGTTCAAGCTCAACGTCGACGTTGGAATCATGCCCTGGTAAGAGTTGTTCCGTGTCTGATTGTCTACAACGAGAAGAAGAAGGATGGAAGAAAGGGAGGGAAGAGATGGAGTGTGGCAGTGATCGGACAGGATCGATCGACGCGGACGTCCGAATTCTCTCCTGCTCCTGACCCTCCATCGAGCCCCACTTTTACTATCTTTCTTGAGGAGAGTAAAGATCCAACAATGCTATCTATCCCATGGCCGTGGATTGACTTCATGAATACATGAACGACCGGGGGTGTGATATGAAAGGATAAGAATATTTGGACCAGTCATACTGAACTTACTGAGTTGGGATTTTGAAAGGAAAATGTCATGCGAACGTGCGAGGATTACTTCCGACAACCACGTTCGTAGATCGTAGATCGTAGATAGACTCCGGTGTCTGATGCCGTGCATCTGTGGAGCGGATAGTAGACTATATAAGGAAGAAGGAGGAGAGGATGGTAAGTTATTCTCACATGATCCTCTTAAACTTGACAATGAGAAAGGATGATGGATGTCGGCAAATCGGCCGTGGGAGGTTCTAACCATGGGCTAACGGACTAGCGCAGTCGACGATCGACGGTCACACGGTGAGATAATCGCATGGTCGTCTTGTGATCCTTGTTGGTGAGAGAAGTTGATGTGCTTTGTGTGAGACTGACGACAGAAGTATTCCCTGCGATCCTGCGCTGCCAGCATCGTCGTGACCAACATAAGAGTTCCCTTCGGATCCGACGGCCGAAGGAACGAAGGAACAATACGAGTACGACTTCCGGGCTGTCACGTGAGAGCCGGAGCCGCTAGCCGCATGCCATACAAAGTCTGAAAAAGCCACGCGAGTCCGAGTCCGCAGCGCCACAAACGTCAGAAAACGCGGCGTCAGAAGGCCACAAATCACAAAGTTGTCAGGATACGACCACATTCACAAAAAAGCCAATAATCCCCGCTTGTCATTTCGGCATGGTATGGCCGAAGGCCGGGGTAGGGGGAATCATTGTGTCTGCGCATCCCTTTGAGCATTGAACTTGATGTCTCGTGTTTTGCCTTGAATCCATCACGACCTTTGCTTCATTCCTTACTAATTTATCTAACCTTTCTTCGCCGGTCAACCGTCGCTCAAAGGGGACAAAGCTCTTTTTTTCCCGCTGCTAGCTGCTTCCGACTCTACCTGACACCTGACGTCAATTAGTTTCAGTGACATGTCCACCAAGGAAGAGATTCCCGCACTAAGTTTCATACTTGAACCAGCTCGTGAGTCAACGTTTCAATTTGAGGTCCAAGCTGACACGGTGATCTTCCAATCATTTCTCGATATCGCTTGGTGATTACCTCTCGACGGATGATCATGGTCACACGACACGCACTGGTGTATACTGGATACCATAATTTCCATCCCCACCTACAGTCGTCGCTTCATTACTCACCATTGGATGTCTTCTCAATCGTCGTTCACCCGCTGATATCCGTCTTTCTCATGCGGTCCTTTCCCCTTCCCCGACTCCCTCGGTGGATGGGAAACCTTCGACGAAAGAGATGAAATCCTTATTCTGGACTCTCAGAGTACCGGATAATAGTCGGTTTAGAATGAATCTGGGTTCTAGAGTATTGGGAATGTTTCCTTTCTTAATGGAGGTGTGGTACTGGTTACTCACGTGGGTGGCGATATCTCTAACCATTCTTCTTCCAGTCCCTTCGGAAGGGATGTTCCGTGTTTCAGCCATGATTCGACAGGAGGCATGCTCATCGCATAGCTATTGGACATACCAAATCGCCAGGGCTATGCAAGCGCTCACCATGGGACCCAAGACGACAGAATTGGCGGAGAAACATTCAAAGTTGATCCTTCATGCGGAAAAGTTTTTGCATATTGCCGTCGAACGTGGCTTGCAACGATGGGTGATGAAACATGAAATTTTGTTGTTTTTCTTCAACAAGTAAGTGGATTCATGCTCCTACCTTCTGTTACTGTCCCTCTCTGTCAAGCCCGAATCTCCTTCCACTTCCTGTCGGACTATCCGAAGGGCTTGCTAACCATTCTCCGCTTCTGCGAGTCTTCTATGACGATATCATCTTTTGCATCGCTCACTCACAGAACTTACGCCATGGTACACATACCAGCCACGATTGCCTTCATGGCCTACGCATATCGCTTCTTCCCAGCCCCCATTTTCCAATCCACACGTCGCACTTTGGTCCTTTCCAACTGTATCGCCTTTATCATTTTCTCCACCTGGCCTTGTATGCCTCCTCGGCTACTTCCGAAAGAGTACGGGTACGTGGACACGCTTCATGTAGGAAAAGCAGCCAGTAGTGAGTTTATCATATGTCGGGTATGAAGCACTAGTCTGACGGTGTAGTTTGGACCACGAACAAAGTTTGTTGTTACATGTCGATCCAGTCAGCATGCTCATGGATAGTTTCAGAATCAGCTTGCGGCCTTCCCTTCGCTTCATTTTGGGTATTCATTCGTCATGTGCGTCTGCGTCTGACATATTTCATTTACCATCATACTGACTGAATAGTGGGGTATCGCTCTTCCTGTACACTCCTCATAGGTTCATGCGCTGGGTGGCTCCTCTCTACCCTATACTTATCCTGCTTGTCATCATGGTAAGTGTCCTCCCTCCTCCACCTTCGTAACCCCGTGATATTTCTTTATCTCACCTCTGAGACTTCTGTACTGATGTAGCTTGAATTTGACTCACCTCCAGGCAACTGCCAATCACTATCTCCTCGACGCCGTCGGTGGCTTATTCGTCACTATCCTTGCATACCGTGCCAACCGCCTTCTGCTCAATCTTCGTCCAATCGAAGAATGGTGGTTCTGGGCGCTTCGGTGAGTTTCTCAATCAGAATATATCGCAGTGGTTAATCTACGAGAACCGAAAAGCCTATGGATAAAGCGGATTTCGAAAATGTGGTGAACAGGGAGAAAGTCGGTCAATTGGCAGTTCCGAGGGATATGAGTCAAAGACCTCTTTTGGCTGGAATTCCAGAGTAGAGCGAGCGTGTGACTTCATAACGATCATCTGTCATATCTGTCGGGTACGAAAATTCTGTCAGTGTGTAGAGTTGATGGACATGTGGCATCATGATAGTCGTCTTCTCGCGCGATCTGGCGCCTAGACTACGTGAGTTTTCCGTGCGGCCTTGGGGTTCGTCGATTCACAATTCCCGATTCCCGATTCCCGATTCCCTCTAACTACGCACGTCCTGCTATGTCTATACAATACTCATACAGCAAGTGTCTGTGTGGAATTAGAGGATGCAGGATCTTTTCGGTTATCAACTTGCTATCTTCACTACCAGTCAACCCGTTCAACCTAATGACAAGCGAAATGGTCAACCATGTTCACCAATCTCGCCAACCAGGTACCCGGTCGCGCGGCGCGGATCTTGCCCTCTGCCCTGCTTATCAACTTTTGTCGGTTCGTCGACTTGACAACCTCTCATTCCGTCGTCGTACGTCGCACTTTTTCGTCATTCCGAATACTCAATCCCAAAGCGATGACGTGATGTCCCTTTGTCAAAAACTGACCGTTCCTGCGGCTTGACTCTTCGGCGACCTCCAAATTCCTATCATCCATCCATTCCGTCGGCCGTCCGATCTCGCATCTCGGGGCTTGAAGTTTGAAGTTTGTACTTCTTAGTCTAGGCCTCTAGCCTATGGGGACGCGTCAAACTGTCAGAAAGGTGTACTGTAATCTTGTGGAACCGTGGAAAAAAGGAGGGTTGTCGAACTTCGGGTGTCTCACTTTGCCGACTCAAAACACTCGAAGAGGTAATTTGTCCGAGATCTCGAGAACGACAAAAAGTCAAGAACATCCATGTCTGACCACTGATGCCTGAAGGATGCCCGTTCAAAGGATTATTCCTCAGCGATTCTGGCTAGACTCATGCCAGATGATCGAAGGAAATTGTATGGCCAATGGGGGAATCGAGGTCTTCGAAGGCTCGTGATCTCAAGAGAGAAGCTTATGCCGAAAACCGAAGGACAGATGTGGCAAATCCGAATTTCACTTTCTGAGATGCTGAACCCCACATCAGGGATCAGGAAAGCGAGACAACCATCAGAGGTCAGAGCGAGACTAATGATAAAGATCAAGGGTCTGTCTCTGAAATTTATCAGGATTGTATTGGGCCGAGAATATCAAGAAAAAGTGAGTGAGATCCGGCGGCCCGTGTGAACGCCATCCCGGTTCTGATCCATGATCCATTGATCCTTTGAAATCATCCAATGAAATCATAGATCCATCCATCGTCATCATTCCCACGATCCCACAACGGTCGTCAGGTATATTGACCACTCAGACTTTTCATTCTGGTCAAAGATGATACAAAGCCACGAATCTGAGTGATTCAGGTCTTTTTTTGATGTATTGAAAAAAATTGCTTCTGACCGTCTCCGTGTTGATGAGACGTTTGTTGATCATATGATGATAAGATGAGATGATCAGTTGGTGTATCGATGGTTCATAGTGCCATGGTGCATGATCCGGCCGCCATTGAGGGTGTTTCTGACCATATGACGACAAAAAGGTAAAGGACTAGATAATGTACGACTTTTCGTCATTCACCAGTTGCAGCCAGAAAGCTCAAAGGTCTAAAGAAAGTCTCACGATCACGACCCACGATCTTCATCTCCCACGATCGGCTCTAGACCACTCGGTTCCCTTCCGCACTCTGAAAGATCGACTGCGCAAGATCGACGAAAACTAGACGATCATTCCTGCAACATCGTTCAAAGCTTCAAAAGTGTACGATCCACGCGTGTTTCTTGATCCTCCCCACTCTGAATCCCTTTGATGTCGCCAAACCCCGAACGGAATGGACGTTTGTAGGAATTTCTCAACTGGGAATCGTTCAGGTCATTCAGGGTTGAAGACGCTATAAAGATATCGGACTCGGCTTTGTCGTTTGGATACAAGGCACCATTCCGTAGTCCCGTATACCTACACTCCGCATTCCGTACTCCGTCCCGATCCTCCGAGGCCACCGAACCACCGCGTACCTCATAGCCGAAGTCAAAGGACAGGTTTGGAAAAAGTGGGGACGACCGAATAGAAAAAGACAACGACAAACGTCCCCTGTAACGATCGACGTGAGCGCTGGTCTTCTTTCCTTTACTCTCCTCCCCCCCCCTGCTCCACATTCAGAGGGGGGTTTTGTCAACTGCCGATTTGGACGTACGAATCGCCCGTGCCTGTTTTTGAAAAGAAAAACTCACTACCGGCACAGGTAGATCATTTGATGTGGTTGATTCAGATTGATCAAGACACTTTGTAAACGTACGTGGTTTTGAACGTAACGACGTATCTACCGCGTGAGAGACGCGAAAGGCGATCTAGTAATCTAGGATAGCTCTCGGTTTTTTCACCCCTCCCTCACCCCCCACTCTGAAAGAATCCAGTCCAGCGTCTAGGGAATTGGTCCGTGTAGCCGTGTACCTGATACCTACCCACCGTTAGCCCGTTGGAAGACATAGACTTTTCCCACGGAATTTGTACCGAGAAGGGAAAGAAACGGGTAGACGTAACAAAGGGATATAAAAGTGAGTGTACAGGGTAGAATCACAGGGCTTCTTTTTTTCTTCAATCCCCCACGTTCACACGGCCCCACAAGTGGTGACAAAGCATAACTCACCAACTCCGTTTATCCGTTTCCCCCTTTTCTACACTATCATATCTCACTTTCATCTTTTTTTCTCTCTCCCCGCCCTATCCCCTACTCTCCTCTTCCATTCCCACAATATCTCTCTCTAGTCTTATGTTCTAGTTGGTGACTAGGTATGGATACACGCCCTCTGTATCCTTCTCGAGGGCGTCGGGCGTCTTGTTCGACGACAGACTTTGACAAGACAGACGTCAACCTTTCCTCAAACGCCCAACTTCAACAACAGGGCGCATCTTACAAACTATCATCTCAACCACATTCACTATCTTATCCTACTTCTAAACCATCAACCACGCAATCGTCCTCCTCCAACACTAACGGTGACACACTCGACATCATCCCTTCCGACCAAATCACTAATTGGTACCCCTTCCGACCATACCGACCACCTATTGGTCAACCTTGGCCTACTCTCGCTCCAATCTATACCACCGCCCACCCTTCAGTTTTCTCCAATTCGCCCGCTCATTCACCCACCCACGTCGGTCGACATTCGCCCTCAATCACGAGCAGCGAGCCAACCCCTTTCCACGCCCCCGTATCTCTTCCCGGTGAGAACATGTCCGCTTCTTCGAGGGAGTCACCACTCGAACATGGTTACGCCTCTGCTCCCGTCGCAGAATCGAATTTTGCTTTTGGAGCTTCGACACATAATGCACCATGGCATGGGAATGGGGATGACAGTAATTGCAGTCCTTGTAGTAGTGCGTCACCGGCTAGAGATCATATGAATCTCCCTTCCACATTCCACTTCCAACCCAACATCGGTTCGACCATCTTCCCGGGACAATCGTTCCAGAATTCATCCTCGAACATTCCATGTCCATTGCCAGGTGGTAGCTCGTTCTTTCCTCGGTTGAGTCGACAAGCTTCGTCGGCATTACGACAAGCTCAGAATGGTCGAAAGGGTAAAGACAGGGATGAGATCTTATCGTCTTCAACATTCCGGCCATATACGGTCCCACCCATCAGTACACCCAACTTACTTCATCCTCCCAACCTCCCACATCCTGCGTTTCATCACCTAGGAGCAGGTCCTACGACATCCCTTCCATTGCTCACTCCGCCACCTTCTCGACAACCGTCATTGACAGACGGGGCGACAGCACCTAAGCTGGAAGGTTGGATTCCCCCCGCTGACCGCACGGTCCCGTGTCCCCGACGTACCCCTAGGCGCAGGAGAGATTCAGATTCTTCTCAACAAGATCATGACGAGATTCAGGGAGTGATGTCGTCGTCTCAGACTACTTTGGGTTGGGGAGCGATGGGCAATCTTCCTGTATATCGATATCAAGAGGGATCCTTTGCTGGAAGGGTGAATCGGAATGTTAACGCTTGGGATCATATCGGACCCAACTTTGGTCTGTTAGACGAACAACCTCCTAATCATGGTATTCATCCATCGGTCATCCATCCACCACCTCTCCATTCTAGCCATTCGTTTCATCATTTCCCTCAGACACATTCGTCGTCGTCTTCCGAAGGAGGTGTGGGACCAAGTCGGCATTCGAGGTCCGTTGGATCGAGCGTCAAGCGTAAAACAATTCCGAAAAAGGAGGTGAGTCTGGGGTCTGTGCGCTGAATGACAGCTGACGGATAGCTACCGTTGGAAGATCGTCGAGTGTATGAGTGTCCGGTGAACGATTGTACTGTTCGGTGTACGAGGGCGAATGATGTTCAGGTATGTCCGCTTTTTTCTTTCCGAGGTGATGCACTGACATCTCCAGCGCCATTTCCGAAATAAGCATAGTGAGTGACGAAGAAGCAACCAGAGGGTTTAGGCTGATAGGCAGCAAACAGTCGTCCATTTTCATGTCCTGTTTGTCAATGCTGCTGGGTGAGTCCCACTCGTTACTTTCGCACCGTGTCTGAACGACGCACTGATGTAGTAGTCGCGGAAAGACAAGTTGCCAGGTCATATGGAGAAACATCATCCCAACGTACCTTATACTATGCCAGAAGATCCGAGTGAATAAAAGATCATCCCCCCTCTCCCCATACCAATTCTTCTATCTCTTTACTTCATCCCAACTTCTTTCTCACCGACGTAAATTATCTCTTGAATTCGGGCGATTTGTATCTTATCCGAAGTTAGCGAAAATATTGGGTTTGTGCATCTTGGCGTACACGAACAATCAAGTGAGGTCAATTGTGATTAGAAAAATTCCGATGGCGATTACAATATATCAGCATGCATGAGTCATCATATCTCTTTATTGATTTATGTCAGTTTTCGGAGGAAAAAACATCATCTCAAACCTAACCCCTCCCATTTGTCGGCGGAAGGTACACCAGCTAAAATTTGTCTTAATTCTGATTCTAATAAACCGCCTAATGTGACGCCAGGAGTTCGGAAATGTACCCAAGAACCATCAGGCGATCGACCGAAGCGTGCAGGTCCGGATATAGGAGAAGACATCCAGATTTGTTGATTGGGTGGTTGTTTGTTGATCACCCATGTGCCGGGGGGTAGAGTGAGAGTCATGACTCCTGCCTGTATTGTGAAGGGGTATAGAAATGTTGTACAGTCAATGGGGTGTTATGATGATCACGTATGACAAGTGGGACGGAGGACAATATTGAGTAGGATGTATATGGCAGCGAGAGAAGATCAGGTCAGCGGGGATACGTTGACCGAAATGACAAAGTTGAGTATAACCCGAAGAGAGATAGTGAAGGGTTTTTGTAGACAGTAGGCAAAGGAGTGAGACAAGTGAGATAAGAGTGATGATTCGAAGTGAACAAATTTCAAGAGTTTCAAATATCACTCACACTATATTCAACCTCCCATTCACCTTGACCATAATCTTCACATAAAAGTTCCAAAGCTTCATGTAACGTATCTAAATCTTCATCGGCAATATGATCGTATTCATCTTGAGACAATTTCCTATACATCAAAATCATCCAAATATGGTTTCATGGGACAGAATGAAGTCATCATATTGAGAAGGTCAAACACCAGAATCATGCGTCAATGCATATATCTGATATGCGGGATGGTATACAGACGAATAGGAGAATAGAAATGGAAATGGGGAAAGGGACTAACATTATTTCAATACCTTCTGCAGCTTGTGATTCTGGTAATACTTGCATAGGTTGTTTGTAAGTTTTCGAAGTTACATGTAAATTTCTCATGTGATTCGTTCTTGATTGTGATAAGGATGGACGATGTGAACTTGAAGATGATGATGTTGAATGAGAGGAAAGAATTGGGGGAGAGATGAAAGGGATGGGTCGGATTGTTGTCAAAGCTGTCTTCTGAGGATTTCGTAGATATATACGTATTCCGGGCATGTTGTGGAGTATATTGAAGTTGTGATGCTGGTGGTGTAGTCTGATGATTGCAGAGAGCCTTGAGTTGAGATGTAGAAAAGACAAGAGATGTGCACCACCCATAGACGAAAGACGAGTTGTGGCGTGCCCGATCGAGTGTGGCGCTTAGGCGCTACTACTCGGATGGTAAAGTAGTACGTTCCGCGTCGAGTACATGTATGACTTTTCCAGGTTTTACAATGATAGTAAATAGACAATTCTAGGCAGCCATAGTGGTTCATAGACACAGCAAATGACGCGAATGATCTTGGAATGTGGTAGACATCATATCAGATATACATTCAACTACTCAAACTTCCTCATTGACGCTCTCAACAACTCCCCCAACCCCTTTAACCTCCCCCAGTAATGAGGAGCATAAATCATTTCCATTAAACCATGTAAGAAACCCCAAGATATCTCTATTGGCGGTAATGGATAATCTACCAGTCAAATAATTCCTCGATCAAATATGTATTCACTCCTTAGTATACGACACAACGTAAAACAGTATATTGTCGCGTGAGGGACAAGTAAATGGGTGTGAAGTGGACAAAGCACTCACCTACTGGTCGAGGTATCGGCGTCCGGATCCAAGAGAAGAACCTATCTTCCACCACTGATTTAGTATAACACAAACTTCTAAGACCTTCTTCACCCCCTGACTATCAGTTATGGGCTACTTATATGTCTGAACTCACCAAATCTACCATGACCGGAATCTTTGACACCTCCGAATGGCATTGCTTGATTGACATAAAAGACCGCCTATCACATCAGTTGCTTACAATTTGCGACTCTGACGATACTGACAAAACTGTTCATCAGCTTCATTCTGGGGACCAAGTGCAAATTTACTCGTTGATAGCTACCATCCCACATTCCAAAGCTTCTGCTACCCGTCGACATTCCTTACGACCTGATCCATACACCCCCGCACCTAGACCATATCGATTCCCATTCAACCATCCGATAGCCTCGTCGATGTTGTCATAAGGGACGACCGTCATCACTGGTGCGAACAACTCTTGTTGTGCTATCTCCATGTCCATCCGGACATCAACCACTAAGGTGGGTTGGAAGTATGCTCCATGTGGGTGTTGAGGGTGTATGCCGGCTTTCCCTCCGGTAAGAATTCGGGCGCCGGAGGAAGACGCTGTGGAAAGTAGTTTCTCTAGTCGTTTGACCGGAATTGAAGATATGAGCGAGCCTACGTCTTGTCCCAAACGTAGGGATTCTATACGCGGGAGAACAATATCCACGAGACGTTGTTGCAGATTTCGAGGGACAAGAATGAGCTCGATGCCGATGCAATTTTGTCCTGCCTAAAGATCAGTCCACCGTCAACCCATCAAAAGTGCGTGTTTACCGACTGACTGATCATTAGACGAAGCTTCAACAAGACGACAGGTGCTTACAAAGTCCCTCGGAGTAAAGTGCTAGCGAAATAGTCGAGATCGGCAGAAGGAAGCAGGAATGCTGGATCTTTACCACCAAGTTCGATACATGTAGGTACCATGATCTCCGCTGCTGCCTGAGCAACCTAATTTCTTAGGCCAGCCCCAAATGATCAGGTGAATTTCTTGAGAACCTACCTTTCTCCCCACTGACTCACTGCCAATGACTGACCTCAGTATGTAAGTTATCGTTGAGGGCGGACAACTCACAGGTGATATGTTTGATGGACGGATTACGAGTCAATCTCTCCGCCACATCTGGCAAAGCTACGACCAACTGAACGACCTCTTGATCCATCCCACATGCCCGAAGACAAGCTCGGATACCACCGATATACCACATGCTACTCCATGCCACTTGTTCGGAACATTTGACGACGATGCTGTTTCCTGCGAATAAAGCGGCAAGGATTGGTGATAGCAAGTTGTGGAAAGAATAGTTCCACGAGACGCATGCGAGGACACAGCCGAGGGGATGGTAGTGAACCTAACTAATATCAGCCCCAGTCACTCTCTTTTCCTGTTTTACTTCTCCCAGCTTGACCTCCAGGCACCACGGAGAAGAGGTCGTGCAATCCTGTATATCTTAGACGGGTGTTTGCAAAGAGACGAACATACGTTGCACACCTTGTGAGCTAAGAGAAGATTCGTAGGACGTTTCTGTGGTGAAAGAACCCGTTGCCCGTACTTCAACATCCTGGTGTCAGCACACTTCATCTACATCTCTCTCAAATTACCAATCGATTTTCGACAAAGTCACCAGAATCTCCCCTAACATGGCATCGATCCCTACTACGTCAGCGGATGACTCATGATCTGTGAAGAGCCTTCATGACCACCTTTGAAGTATGGCCTTGAAGTCGATACTTTGAGGCATCAGAAAATCTTTAAGCCCCTGGACAAGAAGATGAATCAGGAGGTAGGGATACGAAACCCAACTCACTCGTCTTCCCTGTATCCCTACACGCAACACTGACGATACCCTCCATATCTCTCAAAATCCAACCTTTCAAACTCCTCATCAGTCTTACTCTTTCCGCAAAACTCGTCTCTTTCCAATTTATCTGAGCCTTGACAGCCTTTTGAACTTGCTCGGCCACTTGGTCTTCCGTCAAAAGAGGTAATGTCATCAGATGATACTTCTCTCAGCTTCTTCTTTTGTGAGTAAGAAAAAACATACAGCAGTGGAAGGATCGAAACATGTTATGTGGTCCCGTTTATCACCTGTATGACCTGTTTCAGGTGGAAATAAAGTGTTATCCGTCTCATGTGAGAAAATGCTGGGATGGGGAATGATTTTTCCTGTCCAGTTGGGGTTTGCTTCCTCTTCATCAGCCTTCATTGATTGGTGTATACCTGGGTGACATACCTTAGGAATGGGCCAGTGGAATGGGATGACACGGTTGCTGAAACGATATTCTTTGTATCGCTTTATGAGTCGAGGGAGGTAGAGACATAAGATTGTCAATATCGCAACGGTCAAAGATATCGGGCGGGTGTGGAGGGTTTCACATATGTCTCCGGCTTGGCCGTTGACGAGGAGATGTTCGTACCATGTTTCCCGATCCCGGTACTCGAGGAGGGCCATGATACACAACTTTACAGATTTATGACGAGTGAGCTACGATCCCCGAGATCCGAGATCTATAGTAGTCAAAAGTTTACATGTTCATGTCGTACGAGGAATGCAGGCGCGTCCTTCTGGGGAAAACTCGGGCCCCCGCTTTCTCCGCACTCATCCTACTAAGGGGAGGGGGGGGGGGGCATGGTCCGGTATGCAGTGCTCCCAGCCAGATGGAGACAGACACAAATAGCAGAAGAGAAATAGATACGATGATACCAGAGAGGATGCAACGAAAAGTGATGATGCAACAACACAAAAAATGCAAAATCAATAACCCTCGAAAACCTTACAAAAATCCATGGTATTCGCTGGGAACATGGCAAGGGGACTGACGCTCAAAGAGTATTTATCCACCAGGCCTATTGCATCAGCGTGTGCTTCGACGAGTCAAAAGCTTTGCGAGACGTCGATAGCTAATACCACGGTAATCGTATCAGTTGGTGAGGATTTGGATGGAATGAGATAAGGAGGGAAGTGATAATAGGGAGAAAGGGGGGCAGTTCATGATTTGTAGAGAAGAGAGAGGGAAGGATCGATGACTTCTGAGGAGATTTGCTATGAAGTGAGAAAAACGAAGAATGAAACTACTCACGATCACTCATATCTATCATCCACTCACAATCTCTCTTCCATTGTCCCGCAGCTCGTTTGTTAGGATATTCATTCGCCAACATCAAAACTTTCCAAGAAACGTGTAGTTGATCTAATAAACCATGAAGAAAAGAATTATCTATCGGATTGGATTCTATGAATCTTGGGAGATGAGAAGCGAAAAGAACATAATGATGCTGTAATGATAATGGGGAAGGAATATCTGATTCAGTTGGTTTATTCCAATCTATTCATCAGCTTTTTATTCGTGCTACTTACCACTACTCTTAAACACTACTACTACTACTGGTGTACTGCGTACTCCATGAAACACTAGTAGTACTATGTACAAGTCTGCATGATTTATCCCAATCGACTTGGAAGAAAGAATGAGGCTGTGCTCTTCAACAAGACAAGGGAAATGGAGTATGCGTCGTTAAGTGTATAAGTTGGAACTCACCTAGTGGGATTGGACTAGCAGTTGAAAACAGAACGAAAGGTAGTAAAAACAAATATTTCAAAAACCACATTGATCATTCGATATACCTCGCTAGTTCTAGTCGGAAAAGTGTTAGTTGAAAGGTTAAGAAAGATGAGACACTGAATACGGAATGGACATTGTCTACCGTCCAACGCCAAGAATGACAAAGGAGGGTCGTGGGTCAGAAATGGAAGGAGTTTCTTTTTCCATGTCTCGAAGATGCGAAGGATGTTTCAAATATGTACGCGACGGAGATTTGATTAGTAAGAAGGCACCACACGTGAAATGACTTTGGAAGGCATTGAGGGAGAAGGGGCAAGGGTAGCTTTGGAAAGACGGAGGATACCTTAGCTGGCTGAAGCGGACTGATAGGCTTTAGACCCTAGGTCCGTGAATGTGGAAGCGAGCGGTGCAACATGCAACATGCTCTGTGATCTGTGATTTGTGATTTTGGCACCTTGTTGGTGTTGGCGTCAATTGCAAGCCGGATCATAATTCCCCGGTTCCGGTCCGGTCCTCTCTAGATGCTTCTTTTGCTTTGTCACGATCCAGGGAGCAAGATGCATGTCGCATGAAGCAGATGCGTATGATGACAGAACCCCTACGGATCTGCAGCTTGAGCTTCAGATTCAAGCTTGACCTTACTCTCAACCTCCATCACCATTCCAGGCGGTTCACTACTGCCAACCTTCACGTCCACAGCTTCATCGTCCGTTCCCACTTCCGTAGCCTCATTAGCGTCCGTAGCCGTCGCCACGGCCATCCGTTCGTTCTGCTCATTGACGAGATCCACCAGGATATGGAGATCGCGTTTCTGTGCTAACGCAGAAAAATGTCGTAGATCTGTTCGTGAAGCTTGTCGAAGTCCTCGCCAGGTCAGGCGAGTCTTCCGCTACGACGTCAGCCCCGTATTCCGACAACGGACGAAGGCGAGAAAGGACAGCAGGAGCATATGTAATGAGAAATGTGTGATCAAACGTGAAAAACGCACGTCCTTATTCAGTGCCGCTTCCTCCGCAGAGGGTTCCTTGCCCATTGCTTTGTCATCCTCATCATCGGCTTCAATACGTTTGATCTCCTCGTCTAGACTGACTGCAGTGGCAGGGCTGACAGGCATCAGCGCACTGTAAAAGCTTTAGAGATAGGGTAAGGCTGACCTTCTCCACCCCTTCAGTTGATCTATCCCTGTGAAACCCCTATTCCATAGTCGTGACAGAGACCGTGAGCCAAGCTTGTAAGGGTATTGGGAGGGCGGGGCCGATCTCTTCCGCCACTGCTCAGCCGCTTTTTTTGCGACAGCCTTGTCTAGAGGAGGGACCTCGAAAACACCTTCAGGGCAACTGTCATTTTTCCATTGAGCCTGCAGATTGTCAGTCATTTCCCAAGACAAGCCGCGACATCCGAGCTCACGTAATATCGTTCACGTGTTATGATGGACAGTACAGTCTCTTCAAACATCGGTCCATCAGGAATCATCTTCCGTAGCTCTTCCTTGATTTCAGCAACTTTGGACTTGATCCAGTCTTCGTTTTCCTGATCGACGATGAAAGTTTTGGGCATTCCACCGGTGAAAGCTTGCTTTGCGGCCGTAGAGGGGGTGAGGTTGAGTAAAAATTGGAAGAGGATGAAATACTGAACGAGGATTTGGCGACGGAATGAGGAATCAGTGAGCTAATCATCAAAGGTGAACACCATAACAACTCAAGACTGGTCGCTCACTTCATGATCAAACAATCTCTTGCCAGTAAGAAATCGTGGATGAAAGAAACCCCTTGCCGAAGCGTCCGACTGTCCTTCAGACCGTTTCCTCTTCCTGCTGATGACCTCTGCGTCTTTCCCCATCATCTCCTTTTCCTTTTGCGTCTGTTCAAATAGCTTGGGCAGAACGAACTCTGTCTTGGCTTTGAAGGTCTCGAATGGTGTTCGCGCAGGTTCCCCGGGATTCGATTGTACAGCAGGTCCATCGAGGGACGGGGGATATGCAAAGTAATGCTGTAAGGACCACAAGGTAGAGTAGAACTCTGTCTCTGTACTAGCTTTCACTTCTTCTTTGACATCCGATTGCATCTTGACATCCCCATCCTCTTCCTTTTCCGCTGAAGCATTTAGGGTGGATGACTGAGAAGTGTCCGATTCATCCCAGGTCGTTTTGATATCGTTATAGTCGCCACGCATGTTGATAGCACTCTTATCCGCAACACTGATGACCGAGCTGGCGAATTGATGGACCCGACCACGGAAAATGAGATCTTCAGGTGTGCGAGGAAGAAACCGAAGGAACGAGTTGATGATTCGCAAAAGAGGAAGTGCCTTGCCTCTAGATGCAGGCATGTCCTACGAAACATTAGCGGTAAGTTCAGTGAAGCGATACGAGACGAACTTTGGTAAACCTCTTCGCACGAGTTTCGACATATGCCCACAAGTCTCTCCATGTCTCCACAGGGATCAGTTCGACCAATTCTTCGAGCAATGGTATGAAAATCGCCCCTGGCTCTAAAGCCTGCACGCCTGCTAAAGTGAGTTTGACGTCTATTACTTAGGAGGGAAGCTTACCGGACAATGACTCAGCTGCGACTTCATAGAGAGTCAATATGATATCGAGACGATCCTGCAAAGCGGTTTGAAAACGACAAGTCTGCTCATCTGACGCATCTGGCTGTGGTTCGAGCTGCACTTGATCAGTCAGACGGACGACAAATGAAATTGAAACCGACCTCGCCCGAGACGATGGGTTGAATGACCACATCTTTGCCCACCAGCTCCAACGTACTTCTCAGTAGATCTACATGTCTAGAGCTGGACGATTGTTGAGCGTCACCATTGGCTGACAAAGACGACCAGACAGATTGCAGTCGATCCACTAGTTGATCCCTTGGGATGGGTGTCAGAGCCGAAGGGAATGGGGGAGAGATGGAAGTGAATCTACCGGATGATACGTCATTGACGACATCGGTCACTGCTGACCGCAAAGAGGGATAGAGGGACGACATGGTGCACAGGAGAAACGATTGGCGATGCACAACTACTGACATATACGGATGGGATAGATTTCACCAGATTGAGGTGGAAGGGAGTGATAAGGTTTGGGAGGTGGAAACGCCACGTGGCTCACCCTCAAGCCAAACGCGACTGTTTTCTCTTTCATCATCCAACCCTTTTCACCGCATCCAACACCCTACTTACTGTATCTCCCACTTGTCCCATCATGTCTCGTCCTCAAGGTCATAGAAAGTCACAGTCTACCTCAGCCTTGAACGTCCTAGCTAGCTCTAGCTCGAAGCATGACTTATCATCACAGAGTCGACCGTCGAGGCATCGAGTACGCCCCTCGGGTCTGCCAGCAGTCCCAGAATCAAATGGGGCGTCTGCTCACATGTCACAGCTCCCCGGCTTGACAGACCGCCGGTATTCTCGAGCAGAAACAGAAGTGGGAAACAAGCCTCAGATTCTTAAGAACTCTGAGCAGTCGGTGGTCAGAATGGAGGATGTGCGAGGTTGGCTCAATGACGTAAGTTGATTCGAAAACAAACTGTATGCTCAGAAGCTGACACCTCACAGGTTCGATCTTTGAGAAGTTCAGAAAGAAGACGATTATCTGCATTAAAGCACCTTGAAAAGACTTTGGTGGCCAGCTGTGCAGACGAGGGGAAGAGACCTTCATTGGAAGATTTGGTCGGCGCTCATAGTGAGTATCCTTCAACCAAAGATTATACCGGTCTGACGGTGATCTAGTTCACGATCCCCTTTTGGCCCTGATGAGTCGTCACGCTGAAGCTCTTGCCATTCGGGCGAATAGCACTCATTCGTCTCTTTCTCCAGGCGATGAACTCGGGGCACTGCTGGTGCCGGAGTTATCCATCATCGTTGTCATACTGCAAGGCTTATGCTTGCTGAGCCGAAAGGCAAAGCTTGCTGTGGCTGAGAGTTGGGTACTCGAGGTGAGTATGCTGGACCAACTAATACTTGAACAAGCTCACCCTTCTCAGATAACAATCGATTTATCACTCTTACTACGAGCCCAAATCCCCAAGGACAACGAACGACCCATAGTCTATAACATCCTGGAACTGCTTTGTTGTGTGCTGGTCGATTCACCGACAAATGCCAGAGAGTTCGAGAGATTGAGTGGGCTTGAGGCGGTAGTCAGGGTTCTGAAGGGTACAGGCGTGGCTAAGGATGTCCGGTGAGTCCCCATCAGACTAATACAGTCTTCGACTAATAACTCAGTATGAAGTGTATCGAATTCCTATATTTCTACCTCCTTCCCGAGCAAAATTCCCCTCAACGAGCGACGTCCACTGGATCCACTTCCTCATCCTCGTCAGCCGAGTCCACTCTCTTCCCTCCATCCCCTCTCTCCTCCACCGAATCCGACAGCTCAGCCCGCATGGTATCTCCTTCTCCGGCAGCGCACGTGATTCCCTCAGATAACCTAGCCGCCAAAATCCATTACCCCGATATAGACATTCCTTTCGTCCCTATGACACCTCGCAAACCACCTCAGCCCAATCTCGGTTACCTCACACCATCCACAACTAGACGCGTATCCGGCTCTACCACTCCCAGTCTGCCCACAGTGCCTGCCTCCCCCCGAGTACCTGCCAGTCCCTCTACCAAACGCCTGTCCTCACTCGCCGAAACCAGTCCAGATACGACAATCGTCGCTTCATCCAGAAAGTCGCAGCCGGCGAGGGATTGGAGACGATCTTCAACGGCAGACAACATGGATGCAGGTCTAGGCTTTGGTCTGCCGTCAGGGCAGGGTGGAATGAAGCGAAGCGCCACCGCCATTCGGCTTGCCTCACATGCACCTTCGTTCACCGATCCCTTTGCATCATCCACACCTACCTCATCATCGTCCACCACGCCTACCCCCTCTGCGGCACCGACGCCCATCACCAGATCGACCACACAACCCTCTCTGGTAGTTTCAGACTCTGAAGCAAAACCGTCTCATCGCCGTCCCAGCTCCATACATCGTGGTACGAGAGAACCACCGCAATCTACCACACCGACGATCACAGTCCCGGAAACTCCTCAACCACGAACGCCAAAGATTCGATACTCTCGGACTCAATCACACATGTCATCACTTGCCGCTCATGCGGAAGAGGCCCCACCCTTACCAGCACCTACTCCATCTCGTGGCCTGGCCCCTCCTCCAAATCCCTCGGCTTTAACCCGATCGCCTTCTTCGAAACCTCATCGGGCTTTTCCCGCTGAACTCACTCGCGGTCTACCACCATCAACTTCATCTCCCGCTTTGACGCCTCTGGGTATGACCAAACGTGTATCCTCAGGGGGTCGACCGTCACTCTCAGTAGATAAGGTGGAGAAAAATTTGCCTCATGAGAAGAACAAGGGCCCAGGTGTGAAGTCTGTTGAAGAAAAGAAGAAACTTGTCAGTCCATTCTCATTGCTCGTGAAAGAACAGTGCTGACAATGTAGCTGGGTATGTGGTTGGGAAACGTGGATCAGCTGGTGCAAGGTGTAGAGAAAGTCAGTTTCTGGGGCTCTGTCGGAGGAAAGAAGGGATGAGTAGCGAGTGGGCCAAACAATATGTTTGAGAGGTACGCTACGGTTTCTTGACATGTACCCCACATTCTCATACTGAATTGTCTATCCTGGCACTGATCACTTCTCTGACAACTGAGCTAAATGGAGAAATGTCGACTTGCACTCTGACCAGGAATCCTCTGAAGCAAGAGCATTCATACCACAGGTGATATACTATGAGTGCTCGAACAACATAAGATATTGAAACCTTTCTCAAGTGTCACCATCAGCGCTCAGGACTGTATCATTGACCGAGCCCTTGTTTGCGGTAGGATCCACGGTTCGGATCATTGTAGATTGGACAGAGCGGGACTGATGATCTTGTGGGAAATTCGAACTGGCTGCCACAGCCAAAAAATAGAGCAGACCCATGAACATCAAGCATGCGTGACCAGAGGTGTTGGATCTGACCATTAGCTCTGTCAAAATTATGAAGAAACAGTGATACAACAGTCATTGATCCAGGGCTCAGTTGAAAAGAGGGGTGAGAGAAGGAAGCTACTGTATGTCTCACCTTGATGCAGTTGCAGTGGTACGAGGTCTGTTACTATCCTGCCTGATCGCACCATAAGTTGAGATAAAGCCTGACGATATTCCAGTCTCGGGATCTATATGTAAAGTGGGATCATCAACAATCTTGCTATCCTGTGATATCCTTGAACTGAGGGGTGTCATTACACCAGGAAGGGAGTCATCGTCACCTGGAGAGGTTAATCGGGCCAACGACCCCGGTAGGGTCACATTGGTCCCCATACCTTGTTCGACATCTCGGATCGGGCCCCGTTGAGACTTATTTGACGACATGAATGGTTAAACTAGTGGTTGAACTTGTGGTGGTGATTTGTCGAAAGAGAAAGAGAGAGGGGAATGGGTCTGCTCAGTGGGTTGAATTACATATGTTTCCTAGTGGAGCAGGAAGAAGGCCAATATCTGGGAAATCATGACATCAGAGGTAGATTTTGAGTCTCCGAGTCAATCTCTAATCCACCTTCCACGCCTTCCACGTCTTATATCACTATGGGTTTCAAGCGGGGAAAGCATGTTGTCTTATTCTAAGCGTGAGAGATAGCAGCTCATGCTTGACAAGCTCGGGTCATGATCCGAGATGTGGGACACGGATCTCGATGGGCGAGTACCGAGCTTCTCCAACGTTCACTTCCTCCGGAATTAGTAAACGTTTCGTTCCTCATACAACAGGAGTTTTATTAGTAACATAGATTCAAACGATACTTTGGCACTGACTATGTAATAATCATTAGTTATCAGCCAAGTGAGTCAAGTGATCTTTTCAACATTTTCATGACTAAGAGCCGGTTCCATTCAAAATGTGAATGCATGTTCTCCGCCTACACAAAACTCTCATTACTCATTAGAGCCATCTAACTCAGCTTTCCCTCTCACAGCTGTCCAATCTTGGAAATCTCATCCTCTTTCCAAAATGGTTCATCTTCATTGTCAACAGGTCCATGGGATTTAGGAATTGAAACTGGATTGAAAGAGTGTCGAGTTGATTGAGAGAGCATTCGCCCCACATTCGAGTCATCCCTCAACAACCCATTGTATTCAACGGCGGCTCCGACGAGAGTCATTGTGGTGACAAGTAGACATACCCAGAGACAGCTCAAGTATTTACGCTCAGAAACGTGATTATCCCTGCTGTCTCTGTCAGCAATTAATTGTATTTCAAAACATCAACTCACATTGGCCTTTGAATCTGATCTGGCACAAAAGTGACAGTATCTCCTGGCATCACGATGCTATCAGGTAGAATCGGAACTGTTCTTGTGGATGATAGTGGTCTCGTGAACCACTCTCTGACCCGTGATATGAAGGAAGAGACAACCCCAGGGTGAGGTACTCCCGATGACCGTTGAAAGCTTGTGAGCGGGATTATTGCTGATTGGTCTTGGGGCGTGTTAGAAGTCTCTACACCTGCTCCACCGCTTGCCTCCTGGTAGGTTGGAGGAGGCGATGATGGATATCCACTAGTGGAATCGTTATCCGAAGTACTCATTGTCAGGACGTCTTCTTGGTTTTCTCTAGAAGCGATGGAGAAGCAGAGAGAGATGAAGTTGATTACATCAACTACAGATGATGATATGGCCTGCTTGATTCTGAGACTCAATTTGATTGGAAGGCCACCAATTCACTTATTATGTCATAAGCAGGGTAGAATTTATAGACATTAGAAGTCCTAGAAGGCAAGGGGGTCTAGGTCTATCCTTATGGGGTCTGCTCGAATTTCCTGGAACATCACGGTCTTTGTCATGACTAGAGGGGTTTGAAGTCCAAATCTCACTACCAGTTGACAATCACAACAGTATGAATTCCTGATTGGGACTGCTGTCCCCATGTGATAATCTAGATTGATGTCATGAGGTAGATTCTTATACTCTGGTAGAAGGTCTGAAACCTTCACGGTATGAATACGAGATGAGGAATAGTGGACCTCACGGGAGGAGATGGTTCACCCTCACGTAACCCGTGGTAGTCCATCCACTTGGTCCACCAAGTAAGGTTGATCAACGAATGCGGGTGAATGCTCATCGTCCTTACTGCCTACTGGACATTTACCGGGGACACACACATTTCGGTGATACCCTTATGGCGCCTAGTCTCTTCCTGACCACTGCCGAGTACTGGTCCGACTTTTCATGTCAAAACTCCTTCAAACCACCTGCATCATTGTTTTCATCTGTCAAGGAGGCAATGAAGGGATGTTCCGTCATCACTTTGATATGAAGAGAGCTACAGCAGGGATGAACCCAACCTCTCATGTATCCAACTCCCGCCGTGAGGCCAAATGATATGACAGGAAGAGCTGAATCCATTCAAGCTCTCCTCCACATGCTAAGATTCCGAAGGGGTCTGACAAATACTTGGGCCAGGAGGTTCAGCGAATGTACAGACTACGATCTCCACTGCCCATACAGCCGCAGTCGCAAAAAATGCAACGAGAATCCCTGAGACAACAGTAAATTGGATTGTCTCACACACAGTTCTTGGACTAATTGTCAGCCCCGGTCATTCTTCACCCAAGATCATAGTACACGATCTATCACAAGACACACATTCGGAGATTTCTTGAGATAAATCATGAATGAGAATCTGCGTAGAAGTAGACGTAAAACTCACTTTCCTACGATGATGCTCCCATTGTGACTTGAAATGTCAATGCCTTCCTGACTACTTGGCTGTCACGGCCGTCGAGCAACTTCTTCCTTATAGACCGACGGTCGACGAACCTCGGCTAACTTCACACTTCTGAGTCGATGTCTCACCCAACCAGGAGGGCGCAGACGTCGAAAGGAGTGTAACTACGGCGTACTTCGGCGTAGTTACTCTAACTAAGGCTTTGTTCTATTGATGGCGATGTATCTCGATGTATAGCTATCTCTATTTGTCTTTTACTACTGACAACAATCAAGGATCGCTGAAGAACTTCAGCGATCTTCTCAGCTAATATTATCTACTCCTCCTAGACGTTCATCCAACCCTCTCGCGCTTTGACGTACTTCAACGCACTTCGTCCAACTTCCCCGAGCCCTCGGCCATCCTCTTCCTCCTTCGACTAACTCCGCCTAACATCGCCGCACTTCTGCTCCCATTGTCCCTACTTAGCCTAACTCCGCCTAACATCGCCGCACTTCTGCTCCCATTGTCCCTACTTAGCCTAACATCGCCGCACTTCTGCTCCCATTGTCCCTACTCAGCCTAACTCCGTCTAACTTCGCCGTACTTCTGCTCCCATTGTCCCTACTTAGCCTAACTCCGTCTAACTTCGCCGTACTTGGTGTCAGAAGTCCTGAGTTACGTGTAGAGTAAAGAGGTTAAGGCGTGATGGGGTTTTGATGGCCAAAGGAGGGTCATTGTTGGTGGAGTAATCGAGGTGTCACGACGTAGTTCGTGACATTGGCCGTGTCGTGTATCCTCTCAATCTTGCCCACTGGCTCAAGACGGCTTGGGAAAAACGTGACTGACGGGATTGTTAGCCGATAGAATCGGGCCGGGACGGCCGAACCGCCGTTAGAATTACCCCTTCCGTCGAATATTTCTCCGTTCAACTTATCCTCTGAACTTTATTCGATCGTCTCTGGTTTTATGCGTGTGAGTGGAATGTGATAAGTATAGAGACATGTAGAATTGATGCATGCTCTTTTTCCCCTCTGTATTATCATCTAATTATAAGCGTTAACAGATTAACAGTCGGAAGACCACATACCTCTGTGTATAACATAACAAAGGCAAGTTCCCATTTCTACTCTCCTCATAATGACCTCTGTGTCGTCTAAGATCTCTCTTGAGAACCACCCAAAGTTATCCCACGATCCAGCATCGTATGCTCCGTGGAGGAAGTCGATCGAGGTGTATCTACAGATAGGTGACGTGTGGAATATCGTCACAGGTAATGATACCGAACCTGGTCGCGTAGGGGTTAGATCGGCAGCTGAGAGGGCGGGATCAGTACCTCCTACCACGCCCGTCGAAGGGCAAGTGGCTGGTAGAAGGATTACTGGAGAAGAGTGGAAGGAATGGGAAAAGTGGCAAGCGAGGGAGAATAAAGCGCAGGGGATGATCAAGGGAACAGTGTCGGATGCTGTGATGCTTGATATATCTGAGAAGATGTCAGCTAAAGAAATGTGGGACTACTGCATAGCCCTGCATGTAACAGCGACGATCGAGAATCAAAGGAATGTCCGTCAAGCGTTGTTTAGCTATGACTTAAGGGACGATGCGACGGCCGAAGAAATGGCCAAGCATGTAGAGGATTTCTCGAAGACGATGTCCGAAGCGAGATTGGTAGGGTTGAAGTTTGACTCACAGGAACGAGCTGGGTTATTCCTCAATACCATTCTAGCACCATCCTACAGGATCATTCAGATCGAAGTAACATCCCTCATAGCAGAGGAAAGAACTTGGGAAAAGGTCTTATCGATCTTCAATAAAGAAACGGCGAGACGTAAAGCGCGCCCTGTTGGTAGAACCAATAGGAAGGGATTCGCGATGTTCGTCGAAGGAAATAAAGGAATGAGGGTGAACCGAGATAATATCTCTGATGGTCAGCCCAGAAAAGAAACCAGAAAGTGTTATAACTGTGACACTGTAGGACATCTAGCGAAGTACTGTCGTAAACCTAAAAGAGAGGATACGAACAGGAAGGAAAACGCAGATGGAAAGGATGGAGGTAAAAAGAAATGGAGGAATAATAATAATAATAAGAATAATAAGAAAGGACATACGGTCTCGAAGGATGAGAACCAGTCCAAGGATAACTCCAAAACCTCCTTGATGTATTCGTCATTGGATGGTGAACACGAGGCGTGGGCCGGGATGGCCATGTCGACAGAATCGTGGTTCGATGATGACGAAGGGTACACGAGTAACATCGTATGGCCCGAAGAAATTGAAAACCCGTGGGTTGAGGATAAGGATAATGAGTGGGTGGGATTAGCTACAGAGTCTAATGATGTAAGCCACACTCGTGTAATCCCCACCTGGGTAGTGGACAGTGGTGCTACTCACCACATAACTCCTCACAGGTCGATAATGACGAATATTAAAAGACTAGTGGAGCCGAGAGTGTTCGGACTAGCATCTGGCAAGTCAATGACGGCTTGGGAAACAGGTGACATTAACCTCGAACTAGATTCAGGACAGAAAATGGTACTGAAAGATGTACATCACGTCCCCACAGCGAAGATAAGTCTTCTATCCCTCTCGAAGTTACTCTCATGGGGATGGAAGGCGAATCTAAGCAGCAGTGGTGGATGGATAGGTAAAGGTAAAGAGAAACTAGGTTTGAGGAAACATGACTCACTATGGTCGGTACGATTTGGCAGAGCGATGTCTGCCGCGATGATCGTGATATCGACACCGAAGGCGACTTCACCACTTGAATCTGAGCATCAGCGACTCGGACATATAGGTGTAGATAAACTAAAGAGTCTAGGTAGACAGGGACTATTGAAGAAGGACTGGGACACTTACAAGAACGATCCCTTTACAACCGATAAATGTCCCGCCTGTATGCAGGCCAAGATAACACGTCTACCGAAGAATAAAGAAGCACCAATGTTAAAAGGAGATGGTGAAGGAGTAGGAATGGATGTCGATATTGCTGGCCCGTTCGGTCCGGCGATAAAAGGTGAACGATATTTCTTCGTTGGTGTAGAAAGGGCGAGTCGAATTGTGTTCGCCGTACCGATAACGACGAAGAACGAATCGTCAGATATTGTTCGACAGTGTATCTCGAAATTAGAGAAACAGCTTGGTGAAAGGGTGAGGGTGATTAGGTCTGATGGGGGAGGTGAATTCGATAGCCTCGATATGAGGGAATTCTACCTATCAGCAGGGATCAACCACTACATCACACCAAGATACACACCAGAATTAAATGGAGTGGCGGAAAGAATGATACGTACCTTGAAGGGGATGGTATCAACGATGTTATTCGACTCAGGACTACCGAACGAATATTGGTCCTATGCTGTCAGATACGCCGCCATTATAATTATGAAAACCTCGATTGGTGTCAGTGGTAAATCAGGCTGGACATCACTCACAGGAAGAGACACGAACTTAGATAGCGTGTGGAGATTTGGTGAACGATGTTTCGTTCAGATACCAAGAGAGATAAGGCTGAAGTCAAACTTCACGATACCTAGGGGTTCGTCAGCCATTATACTAGGTCAGGATGAGGGTGTGAGCGGTTGGATCGTTAGAATGGACGGATCGGGACGAATCGAACACTCACGAGACGTTCGTCGCTCGACAGGACGAATGGTGGCTACTAGAGAGTCGCCAGATGTCATCCAAACCCCTCTTGACGCCATCGAAGTGGACCTAGACCCCGTCGTCAACGAAGAAATTTTCCCTGACGACCGCTCAGAAAGTGGCGAACAGGAAAATATCGATAATGAACAAGGAAATGATGTCGATAGAGACAACTCACCTAATACAGGCCCACAACCTACTGAAAGACGACGAGGACAGGGCATTTGGGGAGGAAATTGGATCTATGAGAACGATATCGTCGAAAATGAGAGAAATGATGAGGAAGGAAGAAATGATGGGGATGAGGGGATCCTGACGACACGTCACGGACGAATTATTCGACCCCCCCACCGTTTTGCAGGCCTAACAGACTCGTTCCTAGACTTTGGTCGCGAGCCTAATAAGTTAGTCTCACTCGCCTCTATCGCAGGTATCGAAAGTGATACTTCTCTCATTGATCCTATCTCTCCTGAAGAAGCAGTAAACGGCCCAGATGGTGAGAAGTGGCTGGAATCCATGGAGAAAGAGATATCTAACATCGAATCTAAAGAAACATGGGTGGAAACGGTGTTACCACCGGGCCGTAAAGCCATTGGATGTAAATGGGTATTCAAAGTGAAGACAGATTCAGAAGGAAACTTACTAAAGTATAAATCCAGACTAGTAGCTCAAGGATTCTCACAGGTACCAGGTGTCGACTACGAAGAGACATTCGCACCTGTCGGTAGATCGGGGTCGTTACGAATACTCTTGACTATAGCGGCCACCGAAGATCTCGAAATTCGTCAGGCCGATGTCGAAGGGGCGTATTTAAACGGTAAACTCGATGTAGAAATTTACATGAAGTATCCCAAGGGGATAAAACCGAAGCCTGGATGTAATACCTTGAAGTTAGTTAAGTCTCTTTACGGTTTAAAGCAATCTGGCAGGACATGGTGGATAGAACTCGGCGAAGGATTATCTCACCTAGGTTTTTCAAGAATCGAATCAGATTGGGGTCTTTACTACAGACCAGAAGGGAAAATCGAAGGAAAGGGAGCAGCAATACTGCTAGCCTATGTCGATGATCTGGTATTAGCCACGAAGTCGAAGGAAGAAGCGAAGGAAATTTTCGATGGGCTAGGTAAAAGGTGGATAATAACCGACCTGGGGGAGATAAGTACTATCTTAGGTATGAAGGTAACAAGGAACAGAGAAGAAAAGACAATATGGTTAAACCAACCATCATATATCGATAAGATAATTCAGAAGTTTCCAGAAAACGACTTACATCGAGACCGAAAAACGCCATTACCCCTTACTGCGAAAAATCCATCGATGTCGGAGGTGGAGAGTGAAATTCGACCATTTCAAGAATTAATAGGATGTCTACAGTGGTTAGCCACATGTACTCGACCCGACATATCATATGCCGCCTCATACCTTGCTAGGTACCTCACTAAACCGACGAAGAAAGTATGGGAAGAAGGGATAATGGTAATTACCTACCTTCGGTCCACTCGTTTACATGGTATTCGTCTCGGTGGCGAGGCTAGCGATCTAGCAGGATGGGTTGATGCCGATTGGGCAGGTTGTAAAGACACACGACGATCAACTACAGGTTGGATATTCATGATGAACAACTCACCGATAACCTGGAGTTCAAAAAGACAAGCTACAGTATCGTCGTCGACAGTCGAAGCAGAATACATCGCGATGGCTGAAGCAGCGAAGGAAGCTCAGTGGTTGAGAGGATTATTGAGGGAGATAGGCTATGATCAGCTAAATCCTACTACATTAAACTGCGATAACCAAGGATCGATATCACTGGCGAGAAAACCTGGTACTCACCAGAGGACAAAACATATCGATATTCGACATCATGCTCTTCGAGATCTAGTCAGTAATAAAGTTATTGAACTAGCATACGTCAGCACTGTCTATCAGAGAGCAGATGTACTTACGAAAGCTTTAGGTGGACCAGTACACTCGGTGAATATGTCAGCGATACGTGTAGAACCACCGAAGAAGAAAAACACTGGTTCAGTATACGTGACATTAGATGATGATGAAATCATCGATTACGATTATTCTGATTTCGAGGATCTAGGAGATCTGTCAGGTGGTACAGAGAACGAAGTGGTACCAGAGAGAGAAGTAGTACCAGAAGGAGAAGTGTGGGTGGAAGGAACTTCAGAGAAACCCACCGAAGGAAAAGTTCTCGTGAGCCAAAATGTAAAATTTTCAGGTGTACCTAAGAATGTGAGTAATTCGAAGATAGGTCAAAAACCACCGGTAGAACCTAGAGTCATTAGAGAGATGAAAGAGAAGAGTGAGAGAAGGGATAAGATGATACATAGTGGAGGTTCTACTCAACCTCCATCGTCAAATCCACGAATTTCGGGAACTTGGGCTGGTAACCAGCGACTTTATAACCACCGAGGACAGCCTCGATCTTTTCGTGGAGAGAGTCAACAGTATCAACGATCTCTTGTACCCTCGCATGGGTACCACCACCTTCCAATAGAGCGTTCCCTAGCAAAAGGAAATGTTTATCGAGGTTCGATTTCAAGATCCCCAGTTCAAATTGTACCTTCTGAGAGAGATCTCAAACTCAATAAAGTTCATGACATGACGAACAGTAATAAACTTACAGTCGGGAGGATTGCTGGGGAGCAACCTAAGGACAGGACGATCAGACGGTCCAGGAACCGAGGGAGTAGCGATAGTCGCGAGAACAGCAGGAGAAATTTGGGACATGATGATTTCGCTACTAATGATAGATATCGTCAGCCTGGTACTCGAAGCAATTTCATCGATTCTCGGGATCCTACTAGCAAACCTGAAGTTTTAAGAAGCAGAAAGGATAAAGGGAAGTTCAGAGAGTCACAAATGAGAGATAGAAGTGGAGAAAGACGAAAGGTGGACATACCGTTAATTGGAGGTAAAAGTGATGAAGTAAAAGGAAAGATAGAGAAGAGTCAGTCGTCAGTAGTGAGTGGTAGCCACGTGTCAGAGCGGAGCCCCGCGGGGGGCCCCACAGAAATTCATTTCACGATTTCACCTACCACTACTACCACACACATAACACTCAATATTTCATCATTACTACCTTCTACATCATCACAAACCTCGCCGTCGCCATCGATAAATCGTCCGGGACTACTGCAGAGTCGTGCATTGTCCCGTGGGGGAGTGTTAGCCGATAGAATCGGGCCGGGACGGCCGAACCGCCGTTAGAATTACCCCTTCCGTCGAATATTTCTCCGTTCAACTTATCCTCTGAACTTTATTCGATCGTCTCTGGTTTTATGCGTGTGAGTGGAATGTGATAAGTATAGAGACATGTAGAATTGATGCATGCTCTTTTTCCCCTCTGTATTATCATCTAATTATAAGCGTTAACAGGGATGGCAGCTCAGTATTGGTATCATCAGTCCCCTCTTCATTACGCTCGGAGGGATCAACCAGAGGAACATATTCCGGGCCAGGGGGTCCGTTGGATCGCGCCATGATTCTGGCCCTGCTTGCCCATCCAGCCATCCAGGAGAGGAGAGAAGAAGGAGCTACGGTGTCCCTTTGCTGCTCTAAATCAACGCTTGGAGTATCCATCTCTTGATAAACTATAGTGGAAATGCTCCAAAGACACAACTGTGGTGGGAAAGGAAAGGGAAGAAGGAGCGTATTTGAGGCATGGCCAGCGAACGGAGAAGACGATTGAATAGTCGACTTTCCTTTCTCTGGATCGGAGTTCGAGTTTGCACCGAACTTGGACCATCTTCTACTCCAAATTCCTGTGTTGAACAATGGATAAACCTACCAAAATCATCACCTCTAGAAAGAAAGAATCACCTCTACCTCTCACATAGAACACAGCGTACAGCTTTCTCTCTATGACGCATACGACGATGTCATCGGTCTTCTCTAGCAAGCGATCGCGACACGGATCACGACCTTTGACCGGATCTTCCCCCGGGCTGCAAATATAGAGACCCATGGACCGCTTTTCAACTACTGGGACCCCACCCGTAGATAAGGGGGCCGTTTGACACCAGCAAGTGAGATACATGACTTGCAGATGTCGTCCTTAAACGGTCAAGTCAAGCGATGAACGCAAGTAGATCGACTTTTGTCGTTAGCTCCGACTTCTACGGCGTGGTTTCCGTGACACCATCAGTTCCCATGGTCTAAATTGAAGGTACCATCAAATACTTTCTCTAGTAGCTCCACATGTTCCTTGATGTGCTCCGATATCAAGAGCTCCATATTGCGTCACGAATGTCTAGACCTGTCGGGCTCTGCCATCTTCGAAAATGCCACACTGCCACATTGCCACTTTCAGTCCTAGCCACATCTGTTGGTTGGTGAGACGAGAGAGGATACATAAAAGAGAGAGAGATGTCCCGAGTTTGATCTCGCGGAGTTTCTCGGTAATCTACATACGACTCGTGGTGGCGGTACGATCAACAACATCTGCCACTTCTGACATTTGCACCTCCAACTCACTTTCTTCCCATCGTCTATCTATCACCACCAAAGTCACTTGAATGACACGAGGAACCTTCATAGCATCGTACTCCGGCCTTTCGGCCGCTTACGTTGTATATATCTCGGAAGCAAGCCATAATGGACAAAACGAGAGAGAGAAACTCTCGAGCGACCGGATCGGACGTGGAAGAATCCGAGGGTGAGTGATGCCATCATCACGAGGATTTTACATCTTAGGTTACAAACAAACCCCCTTCAATGTGCGTGATGTATGATCGACCAAAAAAATGCGAATCTTTCCCTCTCCCCTACATTTTCATGTCCGGTTGATCAACCTTACTTACTTTTATTCACACGCAGTTGAATACCGAACGCTGAAAGCTGAGGGCGGAGGGTGGAGAGTGGAGGATGGGACCTGCTCAGCATCGCCCTAATCCGGGGACCACGGCCTAATTTACCAGTTACTCAAGACTATTTGTGCCTGAGACACATCCCTCAAACGTGTCCTCGAATCGGACGATAAGGCCTGTGAAGAGAGAACAGAGGGAGATGATGTTGGATCTTGAGGTGTGGAGTCATTCATCGGCTCCGATGTTATACGGACAAGGGTCCGGGGAGGGTGAGGAGTTGCACGTTGTGTCTATCTATCAAGGGTTGAGAATAGAGATATAAGCAACATCATGTTCGTCTTACTGATCATTGAATTGTCCACTCGCCACTAAACGATCGAATTTGACAGATACATCTAATCGACTAAAAACATGCAGCCCTCTCAATTATACACCATCCTCGAAGACCCGGTCGTACCCAAGACTATGAGATCTTACTCTATGTCTTCGACCACATCACTTTCCTCTGCCGCCTCAACCGGATCGCGTACTGCCGAGGATCTGCTCGACCGTTTGGTAGCTCAGTCCGTAAGTTTTCCTCTTCGTACCTGATCAACGACGAAGTTGAGATAAGTTATTGATAATCAGACTTCCACCCACATCCATCTGTGGGCCGCGGGTAACGTTCGACTTGGTTCTCTGGACCTCACCACTTCGTCCGCTGAGACTGCCGAGTTAGTCAGAGCTATGCAAGTTGATCCGAGAGTGAGTGTCTTGACATCTTCTCTTCACTCCTCCCTCCACGATGGTGACCGAATCCAAGTAGTCACTTGGTGTAGGACATACCGCTGATCGATAGTTTGAAGTCATCGCTGTGCGCCATCTCGACGATGACGGTGAAGACTGGAAGGTAAGCATACAATCATCACTAACAAAGACCGAGCTCACTCGAAGGTCACTTTCCGACGAACAGAAACCCTCCCTCATTCTCCTTAACTTCTCCGTCGACGGTTCATTTCGATTTCTTGGGTTTGACGATTGTACGATCATGTTGTTAATTAATGAGCGTAACTCGTATAGTTCCGATTTATGTGGATCACCATGACTGATGCATCTATATCACAATCAGTCTGACTGATCTCCTTCGGTGAATCACCACTTTTGATACTCACCAGATGAATGTTGATGATCATACTAACACACGCCGTAATTCACTGGATCGTACCATCATACCCGTAATAGGACATCTACCTCTTTTTCTTCGACTCACGACCTCTCCATCATCACTCTCTTCCTCCTCATCTCCAATCCCTTCTATAGCATCCCAACCGCAACGCCAGCAAACGACCCAGCCACTAGGTAAAACAGCTGGATTCTGCCACTTCTTATTACATATTGGACATGTACCATATTCCTCTTCCCCAATCATATACCTTTGCTTCGATACGCTGGCGACATCTTGTCGTCTTGGTGATGCAGGAGGAGAAGGTGGAGGAGTGGGAAGCAAACCTGAGGAAGGAAGGATTGGAAGTGGTCTAGGAGGTAAGATACTAGCATGGCGAGAAGCCACATCGTCTTTTGTCGTTCTGGACGTTCTGGGTGAAGAAGGGGAATACCACCATTCGGCAGCTTTCAGAGCGAGAAGTAGAGTAGGTAGTAAAGGTGGGATCCAATTACTCGATTGGCCACTCGTGATATCATCGGGTGTGATACGCCGGACTTTGACACCAAGCCAACGATGCCAAGGTCGGTAATAAGACGTTTTGTCAAACATGTATGCAACGTCGTATGAGAGGAAAAGGAGGTCGAGGCTGATATTCATATACGGATAGAGGAGTTTGAAAGTATGTTGTATCTGAGTATCAGCTACCTTCCTTCATGGATAAAGTTGACTCACCTTCGTGAGGGGTTGAGGGCGAGTAGGAGTTTCCGGATCTGTCGATCCACTGAGTTGCTCGAAATGATCTTGTAACCTGGCTCGTATGTAAGGTAGACCCACCTGTACGATCAGCTACTAATCTTGTTCGATAGTCTCGTTCAGGATGTTTCTCAGACTGAAATTACATAGCGATAGGATCACAACTCACGAGAAAGACTAACAATCCCCATCGTTGTTTCCTTGACAAGATGTTTCTCTTAGGAGCTATTCTATCAAGTCGTGGAGTCGTTTCGCCGACAGATGATAATCTCAACTGATAGAAATGTTCACTGATTGAAGCATCTACAAGTCAGCTATATGGCTCCACGGAATGTTCAACTGACTATGTTTTGATAAATGATGTCTCTCCACTATGAGCAAAAGGAGAGCAAAGACTTCTTCATGATGATTTAAAGCGCGAAGAAAATAACGAGGATATCGTTGAGTAAAGTACTGACCGTCAGTTCTGGAACTGTTTGTATAGTGAGAAAAGGGTAAAAACAAACGGTTAGAACATATCGGACGACAGGGTGAAGGAGATCACGAAGTTGGTCTTGTGCTAATAGTTCGAAGAGGGAAGGTCGAGAAGGGTCTGGTTCTGACACCCGAGGAAAGAGAGGTTCAGACGACGACATGTCCTCTCAATCTCAATAGTCGCACGAACCACTTGACGGTTCGAAACCTCTCATGTGGTAAGCTTAGCAATATAGAATCAACGATGTAACAAGTAAGACTCATTCTCATCGGCAAACCATCCTTATTCACCACCAGTTGGCAGCAGACGATCGAGACGGAAGCAAATTTCTCTTCCCAAACTCTCCTCTCTCACCAAGTTACTGAATACACTTCACCTCTTATCATACGATACCCATACTTGTCCTCTCACCTCGACATACAGCTCTGAAATCAGTGAAAGGTCAGAATTCTTAGAAATTCGGACATGCCCCGCGAAACTTTGACACCACAAGAAGTACGTTCCTACACCTCATAAAACGAGCTCTGACAAGCAGTTTCGTTCTCGTCTCGAAGAATGTTTCACCTCTTCTTCCACTGAAACCATCTGGTTGACACATAAACGATGTAAGTCATAGTTATGATTCTATGTTCTTCTCAAATACTGGAGGAATGGACGAGTGGAATGCTGAGTGTAAGATATTTTCGATTCTATGGATCAAGAAGAGGGTTATGAAGTTTTGTTGAGATGTACCCATGGTCAAACCAAGTTTTCCACACGAGTAAGTCATCTTTTTTGACTTCTAAATCTGTGTTCCTCATCTTCATCTTAGTAGAAAGACATACATCATCCATACTGAACAATTACATCTATTATACATCTGGTTTGAGGTATCTTCTTGAGGGTTTATGCGACTCGGACTTGGCAAGGTACATTCTTGGAAAATTAGACAGAGGATATGTATTGGAAGCAAGTTGATCTTTCAGATACCTCCCTCTTCTCTCCTTTCATTCCTCTCCACATATTCTTCTTTACTTAAATCCTCCATGGCCCCCCGTATGCGAAAACGAGATAAGAAACGAGAGAAAGCTAGAGCCGAAGCGACCGCGAAGAAACGTAGGGAGACATATACCGATGTGATCTTGACTTCTGAGGGGAAGAGAGGTATGGGGAGACGGCAGAGGGTAAGTCGTCATTTTATTCTCAGGTTATCATTCCCTCCGAATCCTTCAATGAGTATGTACCAACGTGGAGGATAAGGAATCGGATACTGCGGTCGTGGGCCCACCGGATGATTTGATGGCCCCGATGCTAAAAGACGTGGCGTCTCTGGAAAGATAACATCAAAAATGGTCCTTGGACTAGTCATGGAGTAAAAAGACAGTGTCCGAATGGGCTGGTTGTAGAGGATATGGAACAAGGGGAAGAGGTGGAAAAGGATTTTCTGACCCACAGCAACGCAAAGTTCTCGCGCAGAAGAAGAAAGAAGCAGAGAGAGAACGATTAGAATCACTTCCATCAAAAGATCATTCTTGAACAAATCCGCATGCATCTAATCTACCTAACAGAGGGGCAATACAACGAATCAGAACCGAAAACAGAATAACAGAATTGAACGATTGAATCTGAAAAGAACATCTTGTACACAGCCATAGGATAGAGCATGACAACAGACCTCGGCCGGCGGGGGCTGGAGGGGGTTTATGGAAACAACAGTACAGAGCATGGCAGAATTGATTCGAAGTGAAATTGGTGATATGTTGATATGTCGATGGATGGACGGATAGACGGTGAGCGATGTGTGAGGGAATACGATTTGTTACAAAGATAACAGGGAGGGAACCTGGCGGAGTGGTCGTTACGTACATGTGGGAGAGGGTGATGATGATGGAATGAGATGAAGCGAGGCGAATCGAATTGGCTGAAGATATGTGCAGGGCAAGCCAAAGTTCGAAAAAATGAGCTGACGCGATCGTGTCTCGCCAGTGAGATTGAAGACTCCTAATTTGAAGTAGAAAAGTCCAGAAGAAATAGAGTGTTACTGCACAGACGATTGGATGACCGTAAAACGGTAGGATTGAATGACTCGAGCGTTCATCTCGCTTCAGCCATCTTCTTCCGAAGTGTTTCTAGACGAAGCTTGATTGGATAGATGACTAGCTATCAGCTGTGCTACGCACTCGACGAATGTAGTGGATGACTCACGTTTCTCGATACCTAATTTATCTTCATCCCGAATCTTGCCAGGATCATACATGACATCATCCAACAGAGCTTGCAAGAGCCAGAGCGATGTTTCGTAACCCACTTCGGCCGCGGAGTATTCTCCTTGCATCTCTGCTATTGCAGCGACGCGGGACTGCACGTCAATCACTGGACAAACCATCGCATCACGCGGCTGACTGATAGATTTGGAGTCGAAGCGAATACATTGAAACGAGTGATGGGTGGAAAGAGAGGAAAATGCTCACCACCTCTCGGGCTTTGTCGTGTACCAGTCGATCGATGTATGGTAGGTCCTCTGCGCAACGCGCTTTGGCCCATTCGGCTTTCTCGAAACATTCGTTAAACCGGGTACGAAGCCATTGAACCACTATTGATCAGCCACTTTTCAAATGATGCCAATGCCCAAGTGAACAGGCTTCCCGATATTATCCTGGCATCTCCTTGGAGAGAAGACAAATCAGAGTAGGATACGGAAACACTTACTCTCGTTGAGCTCAACACTAGCAGTGTAATTTCCATATGCACTGGCCCGAGACTCCCAATAAGCTTGTATCTCATTGGTCCCTTTGACAATGAACGCCAGAGCTTTGCAGTACAAGACCACAGCATCTCCTGCTGCTGCTTCTTGCTGACGCAACATCATAACCTCGGATCCTAGACTACTAGAGCTCGACTTTCGCCTCGGTGAAGCGGCAAATGGGGGAGTACTAACTTGCATGAATGGTCCTGAGGTGATCGTACCAGCGCCTACTGGAGTGGGAGTCGCAGGTCTTGCTAGTTGTTGCCACATGACTAGTCGAGCATCTGCAAGTTCGAACAGAGCATATGCCTTGCGAGCCACTCCCTCTGCGGATCGAAGCACGGCGTCCTCTGCAGCGTCGATGTCCCCGGATACACGAACGATATTGGGACGACGTCTGGAAGCAGCGCGAGCGATCACGGTCGCGGCTGTATTGGCACCCGTACCAATGAGTCGGATGGCGGTGTTGGTCAGTGCGCGAGCTAGAGCGCCGGTTTGTAAAGAGCCAGGAGAGGTAGAGAATCTGTGACTGACTTCAGCGGCGTAGGCCTGTAATGGCGGTGGGAGGATGTTCAGAGCGTGCGGAATGGAGGAAGGACGGCTTAGAGCTGAAGACGAAGATTTGCGCGCTGCAGTCGGGAGGCTGGTTCCTGGGCGAATAGCGAATGGCGGAGTACCCTCAAGGGCGAATGGGGGTGAGTAAGACATTGGCGCAAGGGTATTTGGGGTGGTGGGGCTCGAGCTTGATGGCTTGAAGGCGGAGATGGGACGCGTCACGACACTTGTTCTGGAACTGGGCCGGCGGGTTATAGCAGTGAAGCTCGGCTTTTTGACCACTTGGTCTAATTCTGAGAGGGTCAGCAACCGTCCGAGCAGGCAATGAGATGACCAACCATCGGCCAATGCATTGATTTCCACCGTTTGCTTCTCAACAACGACATAATCTTTATCGACAGAGTCCTCCATGTCCAACTCTTCTTTTCCAGTCGTATGCCGAGGTCTAGTTGCCACGGTCATCGCCTGTGTTCCTGCTCCAGAAATACGCGCTTGACGGGCAAAAACGCCACCGGTAAGAGTGGCTGACGTCGGGGTGACGAGCGGAGGTTCTTCGACACTACCAGCGTCACGAATCGACGGTCGCCGAGAGATCGATGATATCGGACGAGGATCAGCTCTGACAGTCGTTGTCGAGGATGCTGCAGGGGGTTTGATCGTACTGACCTCTGGAGTGGGTACCTCATCGCTCAGGTAGTATTTGGGCTCTGTTCTTCGAATGGGGCGGAAGCTTTGACATGGTTGCATAGTCGAGGGCGAAGCTTCAACAGGTGATGTAGTCAGATTCTGACCGGGGACGACTGCGGGTTGAAGTCCTAGCGCTTCCTCGCTGAAAAGCTGTTGAGGTCCGATAAAAGGTTTGGATCCCTCTTGCGACCTCTCGCCACTGTCTGCCATTTCTCTGATCCTTGAACCACTCGATTCAGACTCGAAATTGACCGCTGAGCTGTCGGTTGAGGCGTCAAAACTCATTGTCTCTTCTTCATTGTCCGTCATATACCCTTCCCAAACACTGCAAGCGAAAAAGTCGTCAAAGCTCATCCTCTCGACGGGATTGCGTTTGAGTAGTTGACGTATGAGTGATTTGATGTCGTCCGACACGGGAAGACCACCAGGGGGGAGTGAATCGGTGTCTCCAGTCAGGTTCCGAGCTTCGTCCGGGAATCTAATGCGATCATTTCCCTGCTCAACTTTCTTTAGAAGCTCCCCATAATTGACAGCTTTGAAAGGTGGCCGGCCCACACAAACTTCGTACAAGATGGCACCGACAGACCACAGATCGGCTTTGGCATCGTATTTCTCATAACGAAGGATTTCAGGAGCCATATACAGGCTGGAATTTTAGCAAATGACCAACTGAGGGGAATGAGGTAACTCACGGTGACCCACATAAAGTGTCAGCCATGGTGGCGGCAGGAAGAAATCGTGCGAAGCCAAAGTCTGCCACCTTAAGGACTGGTACGCCATACGGATGACCTTCAGCTAAATCAGCTGCAGAGGCAGGAGCTAGGAGCAAGTTCTGATTTCGTCAGCGCTATGATTTGCTCACTTGCCAGCCTTAGTGACTTACTTGGGGCTTAAGATCTCGATGGATCAAGTGATGTTGACGAAGGAATTTGAGTGCCTGAGCTACGTGACGTCAGCCTTGCCGTGCCAGGCCAGAGTCTACTTACCTATCTGCCCAGCAAAAGATCGTGTTATCCGTTCGTCAAGGGCACCGGTCGGAGGATGAGGCCAAAAGATTTTGCCATCTTCGCTGGCGTTCGCCGTCGGTAACCAGCTGCCTGGTCGAGGGACAAAGTCTAGAGTAGGAATTCGACCCCTCTTCTTTAGATACAGGGAGAGATCTGAACCCGTGCAATACTCCATGACAAGATAGACGTGCGTGTCACTCTTCTGATTCTATCAGCTCGTCAGCTTAACCGACTTCATACAACCACCTGAATATACAAGGGAGGTAGAGTGGTTGATTGGCTTACGTAGCAATCTTCTAGAGCGACGATGTTCCTATGATGAAGCATTTTCAGGATATTGATCTCGCTCATGAGATTGTCAGTCAGCTTGGGGCTGTGGAGTTTCTGTCTATCGACAGCCTTGATGGCAAATGGCTGCTTGGTTTTCTGAAGACCGGTCAGCTTTTAGTTTGACAGGCAGATGAAAGACCTGCCATGTGATACCCCTTGTAGACAGTCGCGAAGCTACCTTTTCCGATCTCCGCGCCGATGTGATACTCGCCTACCTTATCCTTGAAGTGACGGTGGTGGTGATGATGGCGTTCCTTGTCACCTCTATCTCTGTCCTTGGAGGACCCGCCCCGCGCTTGCGTATCTGGCGGCATGATGGGTGAATTGGAGGGATAAGTGAGAGATCTGACCTGGAATGGTGCGGTCTCGGAAGGCCGGAAGGCCTCACGGCCCCTGAGTAAATGCTATGAGTAGATGGTGACGGAGGCGAGGATGGTCAGGCGATGGAGTGAAGAGTGAAGAATAAGAAAAGAGATGAACGAGGGAAGGAGGGCCCGTCCTTCTCTTTCCGTTGTGACCAACGAGAAAGCGGTTGGTTGGCTCGTTGGAGTGGGGGCCCCCTTTGGGTCGAGCCACCCTAAGATGACTGGAGAAGAAGGGGTGGTCGTACTTGGTGTTGATGGGCGAAGCCGCTCAAAGGAGAGCCCGTCGAGCCGTCGATCTGCACCTCTGCGTTGATCCGATGTACAGTTCGTACAGGTGGTAGATAACACTTGAAGTGAAGAATGGAAGGGAAGGATAAAAGATGCAAGTAAGGGACAAGGGGGACGTAAAGGTGAGGATGGTGGCGCAATCGATAGTGACCGGTCTGGTATTTCTTATGTGATGCGCTGCGGTCACAAGCAGGAAATCCACCGATCACGGGCTGATGGAAGGGAAGATGGGGAAAGATCTAAGAAAAGGAAGATGTGAGACGTAAAGAGATGGGGTAGATGTGGAGGAGAAGGAGGTGCGGTGTTGATGGTTGTGAAGGGATAAGGTACAGTAGTGGGTCACGGGTCGATCGAATAATGAATTGCAATCGCTCACTATTGTATCACACTGCGACTTTATCTAGAAGGGTGGCGAGAGCGGCGATGCGTACTTTACCGCCGTCGCAGTTGTGCCGATTGTTTGATGACTGAGACGACGATGTTTATACACAGATATCAAAAGATGGAAGAGATAGAATGTGCTGTACGACGTAGAGATTTTTGCCGTGGCGGTGGGGGGATAAGGTAGTCGCCGTTTTGAGCCAGATTACTACTGGGATCGACCAGGGATTACGTCGCTTTGACGCGACGCCTATTAAGAGTTTTAGGTTGACTTTGACCCGAGATGGCGCTATCGGACCAAATCGCACTTGGTACAATGCTACAAGTACAAGAGCGAGTGCTACTTATCGAATTGGAAAGATAGACCGTCTTTGACGCGTTGTCACACCATTCTTTATGCATCTCAAGTTTCTTTTCCCAAGGGCGGACAACGTTCTGATACGCGTGCAACGGAGGTATAAGGGGGTCGTGTGTGTGTGTGTATACTCTCAGATCTTTTTCAGACCGGATCAAGAGATCAATCATCTCTCAGGATTCAGGCTGACCAAGACACAAGACAAAGACCAAAGAAGCCCAGTATGGTCCGAGCTTATTAGGGAGTTTACTAGGATAGAGTAAGCATGAATGCGCTATGATTGTGCGGTTGAGAGGTAGGTGGTGGCAGTGGCAGCCGGCAGGCATCTGCATCCGAGCGAGTTGGGAAGGGGTGAATCGAGTGCAGTGCATGGATTCTGACTCTTCCTTTTCTTCTATTCCGATCGATGACTGATAGGGTTTGTCCGGACATTGATAGCATTCTATCGATCTATCGTTTCATCCCATGCAAAAAGCGCTTTCAATGACTTTGTATGGGCCACACATGGCAATGCACAATGACCGGTTATAGGTCAAGTTTTTCTCTGGGCGCGCCAGCTGGATGATGACGCCGTTTGTCCGTCCTTTCCCACCACCACCACTCTCTTCATCCTGCTTCTCTAACCTGTCTTGTCAACAACATCAACGATCAAAGAGTCGTCGTTGACAGCCATGACTAGACACTTGGCCACTCTGGCCCTAATCCTCCTTCATACACTCTCAATTCCCACCCATGCATCTCCTCTCTCCATCTTCCCAACCCCCATCGATGGTCTCCCAGTTCGACATCCTTTCATCGACACTCATAGACCTGTCTCACTCTACCAATGGGTATCTTTACGCTTGCTACGTAAACTTGAACAACGACAAGAGTCTAATGGAGGATGGATGACACGTTGGTTATCCATCGGTGGTGAAGGTGCCATATCAATCTATGTCAGTCTCAAATTCCTCTTTCTCTTTTCGATTCCACTGATTATCAAGATGGATCATGAGAACCTAACATTACCACACCGACCTTCGGCATTCCCTTCTCATCTCGTGCCACCTACCACGTTACCACTCTCTGGTATTTTAGAAGCATTCGACTCCTTCCCAGATCCACGTCCCGGTCCTCCGGAGATAGATACATCATCACATACATTCAAATCACAAGATCCAGGATTGGCTTGCGTCTCGCCGATATGGCCTCCTATCAGATTTGAGAAGCCTAAAAAACCCTTCAAAGTTGCATTTGTGGAAAGGGGAGGATGCGATTTCGCCACCAAAGTAAGAGCGGCACAGGAGAGGGGTGCGGCGGGTGTAGTTGTAGGAGATTCAGTGGCTAGATTAGGGGAGACCGATGAGGAGGGTAGGATGAGAGAGAATTTGATCACAATGTTTTCACCAGGTATGTTCATCTTTTCCTTCCACAACTTATACCTTAGAAATTGATTATATTAGAAGATACTATGGGAATTTACATTCCTTCGGTTTTTGTTAGCCGAGCGAGCTTTCTCCTATTCCGGGATTTACTGTCAAATGGGACCAACTCGGGTCGGTCAGAGGGTAAGGGTTTATGGATTGAGATAAGCGAAGGTTCAGACGAGGGAAGGTGAGTCCAAATTTTGACTTCAACACGAATAATTTGGCTGATCGCGAAAGCGCTCTGAGCAGTCTACTCTCCTTTGCACTTTTACTCCCCTCAACTTTCCTACTCATTACTATCGCCATTCACCGTGTACGTGTCGCACGTCAACGTGAAGCTGATCGTGCTCCTCCTTTACTCGTCTTATCTCTTCCTGAACGTATTTGGTCACCTGATATCGTATGGGAAAAAGATTCATCATCATCATCTTCACCTTCATCTCCACTTTCACCAATTCAACATCCCTTAATTCCCTCATCATCACCTTCCTCAACTAATCCTGATCTCTCTCCTCCGGTTCGTATTTTATCCGCGGACGAATCACCCTTGCAGAATCACAATATAGAGATGGAGGATCAAGTTGGACCATTAGATATGCAACCGTCTACTTCTAAACCAGGTCGAAAACATCGACATAAAAGTCATGCAAAGAAATATTTTTCAAAAGATGAATGTGCTATTTGTATGGATCAATTTGAAAAAGGAGATGTGGTTAGGATTTTACCTTGTGGACATGTGTTTCATAAGAATGAATGTGATGAATGGTTACTCAAATGGAGAAAGCTGGTACGTCCTCTTTCGTCTCTCGGGCCTCTCTCTGAATTCTTCCTTTACTATGTCGTCTCTCTACGTCTGCCTCATCTCGCACCTGACCAGACGCACGATCGTTGCTCCCTCCAATTGTGTGTTTATGCTTCTATTTAGGCTTCGTCATGGACATGAAGTCTTAGGTAAACTGACTCTCAGTGCCCAACCTGCAGAGCAGACGTCACCATACCTCCTGGATCCGAAATGCAAGGAAGTCGTCTCACCCCCGTCTCTACCGATCCCAATTTCGATCCCATCCTCGAACGTCCTACCCTCTTATCCCGTCTTACATCTCTTCGAACCCAAGCATGGCGTTCTATATCCCGTCTCAGGCGTGGAAACGGAACAGACGAAACCACCCCTTTGTTTCGTGATTCGGATGGTGAAGAGAGAAGGTCAAGAAGGTCAGATGTGACGGATAGTACTATACGTCCTTCTAGAAGACAAGAAGCGACAGTTTAGGTTTCGTGTGTTCAAGCTGCTCGTCGAATGTCAAGCACAACAATTCCTCATCTTTACCTAAAATTCTTCATCACTCTACTTTCCATTCTTGTTCCTTTTTACGGTTCTTTCAATTCATCGACATCTTCCGGAAACATAGTCACAAAGTCATAAAGTCGACGAAGTGAGGTTTTGGTTTGCAAATATCACTTTGTCTCTGACGGATCAAAACTTGTTGTGTACATGACGATAGGGCCTGTGTTGGTTGTATACATGATGAAATCTTTGTATGTATGTTCACGTCCTGCAGCTGCATATCATTATATACAAAACGTCTTCGTTTCATCTCATCCGTGATCAAATTGATCTTAAGGAGTATCAACGACATCCCAATCAGTGACTAGGTATTCATCCAATCCGTCGAGCTGTCGTTAGCCATCCAACTCATTATTCTGTTCATTGCCCTCCATCTGAACTGTGACCCATCGTGTCGACTATCATCCATATGTATAGTACGACCCATCATGTTGACAATAGTGCATGTATCCGTCTTTGTCGAGACGAAGACGGATACCCAGAAAAAAGATGAACACTCACTTCATTCATATCTTCTTCTGAAAGTGAAAAATCAAAGATTTCAGAATTTGCTTGAATTCTTTCTTTCGATACGGATTTAGGTATAACCACATGATTCTATATTATCTCAGTTTTGTTGTTCAACCATTTGTCTACCCTTGGGAAAATTTAACTGACATGTTGTATCCCCCAACGAAGTAATATTTGAGCAGGTGATTTATCATGTTTCTTGGAAATTTTAATCACGGAAGGATGTGAGAATTTATATCCTCTTGCTAAAGGTGCCCAAGCCTGTATATAAGCTCAACTCTTCGTTCACACCTTGAACCAGAATTCCAGTGTAGATCATTCGGAAAAGAACGAGTCCAGTACACTTTTAGTATGCGACTTGCAACTGAAAGAATGTCGAAGTGAAAGAGTAACTTGCGACGGGAAGCATCTCTAAGTGAAAGAGTGACAGAGCGAGACAGAGTAGGGCAAGGATTTGAACGATGAATATGAAGAGTATGAATTGGAGGAATTAGTTTACCTCAAGTACGATCCCATTCGCTTCACAGATCTTGACTATATCGGGATGTCGCATGAATGGATGTAAATCAATTTGGTTGATAGTTGGTAAAGGAACATTTTGGTCGATAATTTCTTGTATATGTCTAACACCGAAATTTGATACCTATCATCAATTTCCATCTATACATACTGAATCATTGATCAGCCCTCTCGCGATGTTGATGTTTCGACACACTCCAAGGAGAATGGATATGAAAAGAATGAAGTGACTTGAATACATTCACAAATCAAGAATCTCCAACGAGTATTCATTTTCGATCCAGTCGACGAGTATTGATTGAGGACAGACGGATGAAAAGTGAATTATAAAGTGGTATATGTAATGTGTCTTTTGTTTGGAAAGGGAGGGAGAAAGAGAGATGTTTTGATAACTCACACCTATACTTCTCACCAAGCCCTCTTTCTGAGCATCGATCAAAGCTGACCAAATTTCTTTCCTCACGGACGGACCACCGATGGGTGAATGCATAAGATATAAATCGAAATAATCCAGATTAGATCTTTTCAGAGATGCTCGAAGATCTTTCAAGGCGGAAGAGTAAGTACGATTATTTTTCAATTTAGAAGTTATAAAGATTTCTTCTCTTGATATTCCTGATTTCTCTGGTTGATCAGTTCAATATCCATTCCTTGATACTATCGAATAGTCATCAAGATGGTCTTGCTACTTCTCGAAAAGAATTCGAGATTTATGCGACACTAAGGCACTAGAGCACCTCAGGTGATAGTAGAAAGCCCCTGTGAAGTAGCGAGACAAGGGAGCCAAGAAGGAAGGGAAGGATGTCCAATGATAGGGAAGAAGAAACGAAACTCACTGCAAAAAGCAGCTACGGCTTTCCCCACAGACACTTCATTTTCATACCTTCTTCATCAGTCTTTGATATATAGTCAGGTTGGACGGGAGCCTACCATTCAGCCGTATCTATATGTCTATATCCCATCTCTAATGCCCAAAGACAAGCATCATAAGTCTCCTGATCGGACATTTCGTACACCCCCAGACCAAATATGGGTATGGACCTTCCGTCCAACATCTGGTCCATCAGTTTATCGAGTTATCACGATTATAGGGGATGGCGAACCTTGATTGTGGATGTGAGAGTGAAGTCCGGCATTATAGATAGATACTTATCGTCGTATGATCAGGCTGGATATGTCAGAGTTCGAGTTCTAGTCAGGTATGTATGCTGATGTGGTTGATGGATAGAGCGTTCATTCCGTCGAATGCGGGTCGGGGGACACGAATGTGGGGCTCCATATGAAGTTTCGTCGCCCCCCACATCCCGGCTCGTTGTCACAGCAACCGTATTCTTGAGAGGTCCGACAAGCCCACGGACGCAGTCAGATACTGGATAGAGAGAGAGCGTGAGCAAGGGGAAATACGGAAGCATGACCATCATGGACGACTCCCCAGGTCCATCCAACAAGCCACTCAACGCTTTCGTTTCCTTCCCCTCTCCCTACACTCAAACACTCATCATCAAAGCTCTCGTCGCTCTGATCCCATCTCTCAAACTATCTCTGGTTCCTCCTGACGAAGACGACCCGCCAGAGCTTCAATGGTGAGTCAACCCCCTCGTACCATTGCCTTCCGGATCGCAACTAGTCACGCAATATCGTTTTAATGGCCGTACTTGGCTGTCCTGACTCCCTTGAACAGAAAGCTAAGTACCTTAGGGCAGATTATGACCTACTCTCTTTTACCACCCCTCATTCTCACCCGAGAACACACCTCATATCCTCCTACATCTACCGCAAGGCTCTTATAAGGAAACATCAACTTCACAAGACGATCGAAGAATATCTCGTGAAATGTCGATATCGAGGGCGGAGGAGCGTGTTGGAGGATGCGACACCTAGAGGTTGGGTGGCGGAGTTACAGTTCGCCGATGAGCTGGATGAGATGTTGGTGGATGAATTAGGGGAGTTGAGAGAGGAAATGGAGAAGAATTGTGTTTCAGAGGGAGTAGAGAAGAAGTGAGTGGTCCTTCTGCTCCCACAAGACCCTCAACCGATTGCCTATAAATAGAGCGAAAGCCAATTGAAGGAGTTGGCATGATATATGAGCCGAGGGAGAAGAACAGACACTGATGACAGATGGTGGATCTTGAAACCTGGATTCGCGGATCGTGCACAGGGAATCAGGTTATTTTCGACGGAAGAGGAATTGTGAGTATACTCGACTCCTCGCTTTGAGTTGAGCTCATACTCAGACGTGCTATCTTTGAAGGTTTCGAGGATGACGAGACTGAGAGTGATCTTGATGAGGATGGGGATGGTGTGGAAGACGAAGAACTGGATCGGCTGGCAGCTAAGATAGCTGAAACTCAAATAGAGGAAGAAGCTACAGGTACAGGTGTATCAACCTCCCAATTAAGGCATTTCGTCATTCAGGTGAGCTCGTTTCTCGTAGCAGGAGGAAAATGTTGAAAGTGAATTAGGAATACATCCCTGATCCCATCTTGTTCGATATCTCTCAACTGGCTCATCAACCACTGTCGTCCGATGCTGTAGGGCACAAGGTGAGTTGCTTGCGCATATGGTATACGTTACCAGTTAATGATAGTTTCACCTCCGAGCATATGTCCTCGTAACAGGTAGCTATACCGTCCATCTATCTCGCACTATGCTAGCGCTATTCTCTGGTTCTCCATACACCCTACCTTCATCCAGGCAAGGGCAAGAACTAGACTTGAGGCCTCATCTAACGAACACATGTCTTCAAGTATGTTCCCAACTTCTCTTCGAAAAACATTGCCTTTGCTGATATCAGACTGACGCTTGGGGGGCTCCTGCTCCTCCTGAAGAGCTGGTCAAGCTCTTCTGGGAATTGGAAGGTCTGGATGCCCTGTCATATGACTCGAAGTACCGGTCCAGAGGCAGGATCACACAATCTTGGTTGGAAGATACATTCTGCCAAGTGGGGGAGGTCATTGGGGAGAGCGTCAAAGCCGGGGCAGAATGCGGATCTTTCGGCTTACAGTTGATACCGAACGCTTTCGAGGTATGTTCTTTTCTCGCCCTCGCCCACACCCACACGCCCCGACGGTCTGTGTACACTTGCGAAAGATAGTCCTATTGCCCCACTCTTGGAGGCACTCAGGCGGTATGCTTTTGATACCCCACCTTGCAAATGGTTGATGATGGGAAATTAGCTGAGCATCAGATCTTCGGTGTGGATCTTCTAATGTCGTTTCCCCACTCCGATAACGGAGACTTGCCGATTCCCCGGATTACGCTTCTGGAATACAACGCCTCACCCGATTTCCACCAAACCGGACAGAGACTTCAACCTTTGTTGGGGGATATGTTCAAGGGGGTGGTGAAGATCAGTGTCGCACCGTTCTTCAATTTGCGAATTGATGATGCCGACGAAGACCAAGGTGCATGGACAGTGGGAGAAGAGAAGTGGGGTTGGCGATTGGTTGGGAAAGGGGAAATCCGAGGGGGCCCATAGCGCTATGACGGCCATAACTTGACTTGTAGCAGAAGCAGGTGACTGACCGGCGGCCGGCGGCTGTGAAAAGAGTCTTGGCGTTTCCGATCTCGGAGGCGGATAGGCGGCGATGTCCGTCGATGCCACGCATGCGGTGCGGATCACACACAACCATCGTCATCACAACTCCTCTCTCTCTCTTCAACCTTTTCACCCAGGTGCAAACTCTGTGTTCGTTCACCTTTATACTATCACATCACTCATTTCACCACTCTAAATTACGCCTCACAGCACTCTTTATCTACTCTTCCACCTTAAATGAACGAAGATAACCCTTCTGAACCTCCACCGCCCAATATACGACCCTTCGGTCGTTCCAAGTATCATGTTAACACCGTAAGCCATCACAGAGCTTCACTACCTTCAAAGTCTGTCGAAAACCTCGACACTTCTCACCAGCCTAAGACATCACTGAAGGGTGTCACTACATCCATCAATCACACCAGAACATTCTTCACTCCCTTCCTTTGTCTTGTGATCTTTCTAGCCTTCGCCCCACCTGCCGCCGCTCATCATGTCGACTTCAACGTCGATCCCTTCACTTCTCCCCCAGACATCAATAGCAATCTACGACATACGCCCATTCTATCCGCCATAGGTTTTCTGTTCAAGTATGCCTTCAATACCATACAAAATGTGACAGGGCACGATCTTGCCTCCAATATGGTGATGGTGAAGCGGAAGCTCGACACTACGGGTATCGTAGAGGCCTGTATGATTCCCGTACTCGTCGCTCTGTCTGGTGTATTTGCTGGATTGACTCTTGGGTGAGTTTATCAATCCGCGAGGCTGCTTGAGTAATTGACTGATGTCAAAGGTACTTCTCGGTCGACCCAACTCAATTGCAAGTATTGAGCATCAGTGGGACGCCCAAACAACAAGATTATGCCAAACGTATTCTACCTGTCCGGTGAGTCGTCTGCAGGAGCCACCACGGAGTTAGCTGATTCGTTCAGAAAGGACTCTCATTTGTTGCTCACGACGCTCATCTTGGGCAATATGATCGTCAATGAGGCCCTACCGGTGGTCATGGATGGTGTCATTGGAGGCGGAATCGCCGCCGTAGCACTCAGTACCGTCCTTGTCGTCATGTGAGTACTGCCAAATGGAATCAGACTTTACAGCTGACGTTGGAGCTTCGCTGAGATCATCCCGCAATCTATCTGTTCCCGCTTCGGTCTTCTTATCGGAGCCAGGATGGCCTGGCCTGTCCGTATCCTCATGTGGATCGCCTTCCCCATCGCATGGCCCGTGGCGAAGCTGCTCGAATTTATTCTCGGCGCACATCACGGTATCATCTACCGCCGCTCTGAACTTCGTGAGCTCATCAAGATTCACGCTGCGGGAGGAGCTGGTGGCGGTGATCTCGATTTAGATACTGTCACCATGGCGCAAGGTGCTCTTGATCTCGCCCAGAAGACAGTGAAGGAGGCCATGACTCCCATCGACAGGGTGTTCATGTTACCAGTCGAAGCCAAACTAGACTACGAAACACTCGGACACGTGGTCCGTTCAGGTCACTCTCGTATTCCAGTATATCAAATGGTCGAAGTTCCCGATATCAACCTCTCTGCACCTACCATTGGACCCGCAAAAAAGAAAATGGTCAAAAAAGTCATTGGCAGTTTGTTGGTCAAGAGTTGTGTTCTGCTCGACCCAGAAGACGCTACACCTCTCGCATCGATCCCTATAAACGCCATTCCTTCAGTCCCATACGATGAGCCTTTGACGAACATGCTCAACGTCTTCCAAGAAGGTCGCTCCCACATGGCTATCGTATCACGTCGCGCTCGTCGGGTGGAGAATGAAGAAGATGCAGAGTCGGTCATGACTGCTGCCGCTGGTGGATTGAGACAACGTCTGATGCGCAAAGTCGCCGAAATTTCTCATCATGGAAAAGGAAGTACCACTTCTGATTCGGATAACGGCGACACTAGCGGAAGCGATTCTGATACCGATGTTGAGAAGGCTGAGAAAAAGAAGAGAAAGAAATCTCGAAGTAAATCTCAATCGTCGCCCAAGAGTGAAAAGGGAGAAACACTCAAACCGACCGAGGCGGCACAAGTCAAGGCCGAGGCGGAGAAACGGAAACGCAGTCTTGCCTCGGCCGCCAAACTCACTCAGTTGGAACAAAACGTACCTGCCGACGCTGAGCTTCCTGCTGAAGTAGTCGACAAGTTTTTCGAAGGGTTAGAAGGTCCACCGTTGGGTATCATCACCTTGGAAGATGTGTTGGAGGAGTTGATCGGAGAGGAGATTTACGACGAATATGACGAACATGGTGTTCCTCGTAGTGAAGCTTCCGCTTTCGTACCTCAAGAGGCGATGTTGGCTGCTCGTCAAGCTGCTTTGGAAAGAGATAGGGCTGCGGCTGCTTCCACACCTCTTCCTCCTTCTGCGGATGTGGGTTTGGAGGTTCCTCCTCCTGTACGTCGGGTGGCTCTACCGAAACTCCCGACGATGCCCAAGTTTTCGATGAGCAAACGAGCCATCTCACAACCTGGTCGAGCAAGGAATGCACCAGAACTTACTCAAGCCCAACCTCCACCTTCTACTCAACCTATCGCACAAGCTGCAACGGGTACGACCGAGGCGCCCATCATAGTCGTTGGGTCTGACGATCTGTCCCCTCCTAGGGCTTCATCCGGCATCGACCTATCATCTAGCAATATGTCCGAGAATCCTCTGCCCATATCTGATCCTTCGATCCAATCCAAGCCGCCCAGTCGTAACACTTCTGGTAATGCACTGCACGCCATGATCTCACCCGAATCCACCGCCTCTGCTCCAGCAGCCATAGCCTCGGCCGTTCCTCCCCGTCTTCTCGGCTCCACGGGGACGACTTCAGTCCCGAGTCCAACACCTTCCAAACCAGCTACGGCTTTATCGGAAGCTTTGTTGATGGAACGTTCTCGTCGTCGTCTAGCCACAGGAACCACGACAGGCGGTCAACCGGGAGTGTTACGAGCACCAAGTACGACACCTTCTCAAAGGGTGCCAGGTCCTATGGGATTACAACCACCATCACGTCAACCTACTCCTCCGGCGGGCACTTCGGTTTCTACTATAATCAGTCCTCAACCTAGGAGAGCACCAAAGTTCAAATCTGTCCCGACGCCTTTGCCCGGTACACCAGTGGATGAGGGAATGAAGCAGGACAAGAAGGAAGGTTGAGGGGAGGAAGGGGATATGGTCGTTGTGTATTTACGTGTAATAGTAATGGTTCGAGATTATACGTGGGGTTATGCAGAAATCCGATCATATCATGTGTGACAACTCACGGATACAGTGCTTTGATCATTCCGAATTGCCCTACAAAGAACATACAGTACCAATGGTATTAGCATGGCCATTAGCAGAGTACCTTAGACAGATGCAAAAGTATGTCCGGTGGAAATCGCCACATTGGGAAATCAAGTGGAACATGGCATGATGCGACAACACACTTTCACTCTGCCGTCTTAGCAAATTGACTTTGATTCACCTTTTCCACGGAAACAATGCCAGCTATCGTATCTACAAAACTAAAGTTCAAAGGTGAAAAAGTAAAGAAGAAGAAAAGAACACATCATGAGAGGGACGAAGGTGATGAACTAGCAGCTTTAGCAGCTGGAGATCCTAGAGGTGGGTGATGATGATTCTTTCCTCTCTCGTTCCCATCTGTCCTTATCACTCACTCCCTTTTCTTATATTTCACTCTACGTCCCTCCACTCTTGACGTCTTCTTCTTCTCCCCCTTTCTTCCCTCTCATAACACCTTCTTCCTCAGTTCTTTTCTTTATCAACCACTTTGCCTCTGTCACTTCCTCCCACAAAACATTACTTCATTCGAAGGTCAATAATTCTTCACAACCGGATCCACACCTCTGCCCTCAGATTTGGCGGTACTACAGTTCTCATATACGACTTCTTCTATATCACTGAGCTAGATTGGTAATGAGAAAGTGGTGTATTGATAAAACAGGATGGGTATTTCCAGAGGATATCATGGAGATTTCTGGACCTTCTTTCATACTTTTACCTTCTGATCCACTCACATGTCTTGCTGTAAGTCTTTTCACACCTCATCCTATCTTTTCTTTCTTACCTTCGTATCTGACCACTTGCCGCTTCTCTTCTCTGAGATTTCGCAAAAATCTTTCGTCTCAGCTTCTTCGAATACATACGTCGGCAGACATCACATCATCAAGAGCCCACTATTTCTCTTCTTACTGAACCCATGTTGAGCCTTACCCCACCCCACGTCTTTTCTCTATAATCCAATGATTACTTTGCTCCGAAAGATGATGGGATCTATCTGGTATCTATATTATGAGTTTGTGATATGTTCTTACCCACAGTGGGACCCCCAAAGACAAAAAGTTTACGCCGCACCGATCGATTTACCTGACGCACCTGAAGGAGCGGCCGATTTGACTTCTGCCGAGATACTCGCTGCTGTAGAACCGACTGATGTTAATCATGTTTGGGTCATTTCTCGTTTATCGGGAAGTGAGGGGGTAATTTCTTTGAGAAGTAGTACGTGAGTGGGGACAATTTCTCTCTTTCTTTACAACTCTCTTCTCTGGTATTTCCATTGTATCTCAGAAACCCATGCACCTTCATGTTAATTCAAGCTCAATTACACGTACATTCGTCCTTATCTCCCGCCTGACCCTGATTGACTACACTCCACCCAGACACACAATCTTTTTCAGCTTGATCAAGTAAATGCCATCAGTCTGCGCGGTCGACATGAGACGACAGCCACATGTATAACGTATGTGGAGTAGCACCAAAGACGAGTAGTGAGAGGAAAGGGGTTAAAGGAGAAGAGGGAGTTTCCAAAATGATAGGTGATAGGTGCTAATACTCAGAGGCACTTTCCTCACCGCTACACCTTCCGGCACTTTAACAGCCAACACCCCTTCCCGAGGTCCACTCGAAGCTTTCATACCTTCTCTAAATACCACCCACACCTTCCCCAGTCTCAGTCTTCAAACACATAACGAAAAATACATCTCCGTCTCTTCTGCCTCAGGTTTGGGTAAGAAACCCGAATTGCGTGGTGACGCCGATACTCCAGAAGACGCGCAGTTGCACATTAAATGTCAGAGGGAGTTCGTATTGAAGGCAAAGGTAGCAGCTGCGGAGGCCAAAGGAGAAGGGAGGAGTTCGAAGAGATTGTTAAGTACTGGTCCCGCACCTGGGAGTGTAGAAGATGAAATGAGGAAAAAGTAAGTCGGTTCCACTCAAAATTTTACAATTATCGTCATGTCGCATCAGTGTGCAGTATGGGAGTAGTGGGATGAGTCTGGGCTCATGGATGTTTCGCGAGTTAGACGGACAAATGGGAAGGTGACTAATGCTCAGTCGGGATTATCAAGCTTGGGGAGGAGGGAGACATGTTGTCAGTGATAGAGATAGAAAAGATTTGAAGAAGGCTCGTGAAGAGGGTCGATTAGCGGAAGCCATGCTTGATCGTCGAGCAGCCATGAAAAGGTCAGTCCGAATTGCAGTTAGTTCCATGGACTGAAACTCACGTCCAGTGATCGTTACGCAAAGTAAACCTTTGGTCAACTAAGGATTATACAGTTGGCAGGTAATCAAAGATCATATCGGAAAGATCTCAGTGAATAGCCAATGATGCATATTGTATCTTCTTGCATGACATTCATATCCTATCCACGTTCAAAAAGGAATAACTTTCGGTATATCTATATGAGTATATCCTTTACTTCCTTTTTCGAAATCGGCAATTATATTCCCACCATCATTAACACTTCTTAGAATATATTTATAAATAACCAAACCATCTAATCCAACAGGACCTCTAGCATGAGTTTTACCAGTACTTATACCTACTTCAGTACCTAATCCATATCTTGTCCCATCTGCAAACCTGGTAGAAGCATTGATGAAACAATTCGCAGAATCTAATCCTTTACACCAAATTGACATATTTTCAAAAGATTCAGTTACTATGGAATCTGTATGATGTGAAGAATGTTGGTTTATATGTTGTATAGCTGCATGAATTGAAGGTACGACGGCGATCGCTATTGTTGGACCTAAAAATTCCGTGGTGTAATCTTCTGGAATGGAAGGTTTGATTAATGTAGATGAAGAGGATATTGAAGATAGGGCAGAAAGGGATTGAGGATCACATTTAAGTGTTATGGAATGTGATATGAGTGCTAAAGCTACTTTTGGCCAAATGGTTGAAAGGGATGAGGGATGAAGAAGAAGTGTTTCGGCGGAATTACAAGCTGCCATGTAGTCGATCTGTCACTTAGCAACCATTTTTGTTCCCAGCTCCATTTTCCACGTGCTAACATTTTACAAAGCACAATCCCTCGCTGCCGATATTCTCACAAGGGACAAGCATTCCACCAGTTTCATCATACGTGGAGTGGAGTGACGAGATCAAAGAGTAGGATCATCCTCGAGAAAAATGGATATAGGAAGAGAAAAGTGAAAGGACGAAACACACACACACACACAGAGAGAGAGAGAGAGAGCATGAGAAAAGATGAAGGAGATATAGTAAATTTCCAAACCCACCTTAGACTCTACAACCACCCTGATAGCTTTCTCCTCCACAGCAGTTTCATCCAAATAAACAGCGCAGATCCCATCCGCATGACCCATGACAGGTATCCTAGTACTATTCTTTATACTACTCACCAAAGCATTTCCACCTCGAGGCATGACCAAATCTATATATTTATCTTGAGCTAAAAGAGAAGAAATTTCAGATCGGGTAGAAACGGATTGTACGAATGTAGATGGGATGGAAGTTTTTGATAATGCGGTAGAGATTAAAGATGAGAGTATGGTGGAAGTGTTTAATGATTCTTTACCACCTTTTAAAATAGCTGCGTTGCCTTGGGGTCAGCAAAGTAATCTTTCTAGTGATTTCACATCCTTCTCCATCATGTATGATCGTCTCGTCTCGTTTCATGACGACTTTCAACCACCCTCTCTCTCTTCCTCCTCAAGTGCTTGCGCCTGTACGAACACATAATCATTCCACCAATCTCTGTCTCGAAATGAGTTAAGACAGGGACACGGACAGTATTTAAGGGGCTTAGGATTAGGGAGAGTGGAATTGACCACTTACCAGATTTTATAGCTAAAGCAGCTATATTAACCACCACCTCAGGTCTCGCCTCGAATATAACCAATAATACTCCAATAGGACAAGTAACACGATGAAGTTCTAAACCAGGTCCGAGCTCTTTAGCAAAAGTCACAATACCAGTCGGAGCTGGTAAAGCGGCCACATCGGAAACACCTCGAATCATAGCTTCGTATTTACCCGGACGGGAGAGATCAAGACGGGAGACGAGGGATGAAGATAGTTTTCTTTCTTCCGCCAAAGCTTGAGCGGCCTTTTGTCAGCTCTAAATCTCTCCCGTATTGCATGATTCACGCATTTGCACCATACATCAGACCGGGTTGACCCACTTCAAAGACGGTCAAGTATGGGTAGGATGCGATATGTATTAGATGGTAATATATATCAATGGAGCTCGAAACCCACCTCCATATCTTTCTTATTAGCAGTCAGGACTTCATCCTTGTGTCGAGTCAAAACCTCTTGAATGGCAGTTAAAGCCACATCGCGTTCCTTCTCATCGACAAGTTGAGATTCCTCGAACGCACGTCGAGCGGCTATGGCTATCGTTTCCGCTGTACTAGTCGGGCTGCTGGATGACATGATGGTTGCGATAGGCAGTAGAGAACAAGTTTACAGGTCAGCAATTGCAATAAGTAGTCAGCTTGACTTTTGGGGCACATTCCAAGCTTAGGTTAGAAGAAATTTTGGTTCCGCTCGTCCACTTGCATTCGCCACCACTCACTCTGATCACCGGACCTTTGTTCGTATACTTCTGTTCCTAATTGCTGACCTGGGGCAGACGATCACTTAGACAAAATGGGAAAAGCCGAAGCTGGTACACCAAAGGCTATAGCCAATGCCATCAAGGCCAAAGGTCAGCTTCCTTCTCCCCTTCCGAGACCAAGCTGATGAACAGGTCTGGGAAGATTGAGATGGTATTGTCAGATATGTGAGAAACAATGTCGTGATGAGAATGGTTTCCAGGTGGGTTTCCCCAGCTATCTCAATTCCTCATCCGCTCCTAGCTCACTTGGGTAAACTGACAAATTCTACATCAATGTGAAAAATTGAATGGAGACACAAAATGAAGATGGATTTCTCGATACTGACTCCTAGGCACACTGTCGTTCCGAACCACACATGCGAAAAATGATGATAGTCGGTCCTAAAGCAGGTCAAACCATTGCGGATTTCTCGCGTCAATTTCAATATGAATTCGTCACTCTTCTCCGTACTCGACACAACACCGTGCGAGTAAGAGCTAATGCGGTTTACAACGAATACATTCAAGACAAACATCATGTTCATATGAACGCTACGAGATGGGTGACGTTGAGTGGGTTCATAATGACACTTGGAAAAGCGGGGATCGTAAAGGTTGATGAGGATGAACAGGGTTTATGGATTCAATGGATTGATAGTACCCCTCAGACGTTGGCGAAGCAGGTGAGTGACCCTGATCCTCCGCGGTCAACTTGAGATTTGTGACATTATTACTTCATCCTTAAACACTTCAAAACTCCTTCTCACTCTGGCGATGATCGTGTTATCTCTCCTCCCACTTCTACAATGCTGGCCAATTTGTGACAGGACTTTTATATACAGATGTGCTGTCTCGATGCTAATGGATCAGGCCGCTTTGCAGAAACGCGAAAGAGCAGAGATGGATGGAGAAGAAAGAGAACGGGCCGTGTTGGAAGAACAAATCGCTCGAGCTCGTGCGGCCTTACCTGAGGAAGTGACGAAAGACGCCGGATTACAAAAAGCCGAGGGAGAGAAGATCTCTCTAAGTTTGAACCTCAACACGAACCCAAACCTCTCCCCGTTGGACCGCAATGTCGAAGCCGAAGCTGGACCATCGACCATATCACTTGCACCCACTGAAACAAGCGAAACATCAAAATCCACAATCTCCTTTGGATCCATTTCTAAACCTTCCGTCGCCCCCGTTACCATCACAAACCCACTGAAGCGACCAGCACCGGTCAACGTGTTCAAATCTTCGAAAATGGCCAAGACGGAGGGAGAGGGAAGAGAAGGAGAAGGACAGAAGTCTCGTCCGGGATATGTATCAGAAGTGGAGAGGTTGATGAAAGAGGATCAAGCTAGAAAAGCGAGGGGTCCACAGGGATATCAGGGTTTTGGTCCTAGACGAGGTAAATGAGTATGAATTATCATTGTTGTATGTCTGTATACGATTGTGGGATATGTCCTGACTGATCTGAGGTATAAGATACTTCGTACCTCCATATCTGACCTTGGATGACCGTTCAAGCTACTAATGCTTCCCCGTGTCGCAATCCCCGATACCCGTTGCGGATCGCGCACCGGTCAAATGAGCTATTTGATTTGTATACATGAATCATCGTGTCTATCCTAAAAAGTTGTAAGCAAAGACGTGTAAAACCACCGAAGCTGCGCAGAAATCTGCAAAAGCTCTTCCACGTCAGCTAAAGGATCTTTCATCCCCCAAGATACTCACCTTTCCTGAGAAACCAACTTGAACTCTGTATCCCTACCCGGAGACACCTGTACTCTCAGTCCAGCAAGGAGGACGAATTGACCGGCTATAGCTCCAAATCTGTCCATCAGCTTCATCTAATTGAACGTGCATGACCTATTTTTATCAAAACAAAAGCGAGCAATTTCAGAAAATAGACCGGAGCAAGGTAGGGTTTCCTGATTGAGGGATCAATTATGGAGGAGTATCAAAAGGAAGACTCACCCTCCTAAGAAAGCGTTATAAGGATAACTAGTCACAACTATCCTATATGCCATCTGTAAAACCCCAGAAAGGAGTAGAAATAATAAAAAAGTATCGATCAACTTGATCCTTGCTCCGGTGGTGGTTTTGTAGTTGTTGATGAGGGTGGTGAAGGAGTTGCTCAATTGAGAGCTAGGAGGTGTAGGAGAGCTCATGATGATTTCGTTTTACGCTACTTTAGAAGCGACCGGATTCCAATACAGATATGCACTTGAGCAGATTGTTGAAGAAGTGTAGATATAGAGAGGTGAAAGGTGGAAGAGGAGCACGGGGATCTTAGGTTTAGCCCGAGATGGTACAACGTCGAAAAGATGACCCTTTACATATAAATCGTCTTTTATATCTTTCTTCTCACCCTCTTACGTCCGACATGATACAGTGGGATCATCATGATCTCTTTCAAATCAGTATCTAGTTCTTCTCTCATAGGAGTAGCTATAGCATGTTCAGGCAACGTTCTCATTTCTCTAGCTCTGTACGTTTCATCGTTTACCTCTATTCCCCATTCTCACCGCATTGTCCCGTATCCCTTCTTTTTATCCCACTTTCGTCCATACTTCAGCTGTTATCAGATGGACAGGTGTGTATGAGCTAAAACTTTAGAACAGTACAGAAGCTAGCACATAGAAGACAACATGAAGAACTCATCTCACGTTCCACAACTCATTCTGGGACTTGTTCCCACACCCTAAGTAATTCTGGATCATCGGAAACTTCATCTGAATCGGATGGAAGGGATACATCAGACCCTTGTTCTCCTTCTCCAATACGAACCGAGATCACTGCTTTACCTGTGCTTTTGATGTCATCGCAAGAACCAAAAGGTCAGACGGGACCACCCGCTAAATCTATCTTACTCGCTCCTGGGCCTCCGTCGCACCCTCAAGACTTTTCAGTGGATTCACAATCTGCCCAGAAGATATCAAGGGAGGACACCGTTCAATCATCTTTGACGGACGAAAGACCTCAAGCACAAGCACATAGAACAAGAATACATATAAAAAGTCCTACTCCTGGACCAGACGACGATGAAGGAAACGGAGAAAACGAAGGCAATATGGAACAGGATGAACAGAGGGATGAAGAGCAGGAAGAACAAGTGGAAGAAGGAATGTATCTTCGAAGTAAACTTTGGTGGTTGGGTATGATACTTATCACCATTGGAGAAGGAGGTAATTTCTTGAGTTATGGTTTTGCACCTGCTAGTGTTGTAGCTCCGTTGGGTACTGTTGTGAGTTTCCCTTCCATTTTATTCTATTTCACTGTCTCAATTTTATCTACCGAGAAAACGGCTCCGGCCTTGAATGTTTCCTGAAAATATCAGGCAATCTCCTCACGACGTTACGGCGAAGAGGAATTAGGGATGATGGAATGAAATCTAGGAGCTGCGTAACAAATAATGGTAGCTCATCTATTAGGCCTTGATAGCTAATTGTATCTTCGCACCATTATTGCTCAAAGAAAAATTCCACCCCCGTGAATTAATCGGCATGGGTTTAGCCATCCTTGGCGCAGTCACCGTCGTTTGGTCATCTAGTACTACCAACCCCCGAGTGAGTTTCAAACGTCCAATCAAAATCTTTGATATCTACCAAATTTGAAAGATATACATTTCCATTTCTTAGTACTCCACCTGAGAAAGAAGTCAATGTTGAAAAGGGGGTACATGTCTAATAACAGTTAAACCCTGATCAACTCAAAACAGCCATCTCTCAACCAATCTTCATCATCTATACAATCCTCTGTTCTCTCTTCGTTTTCATCCTCATCATCCTATCCCGTTCCCCACGATGGGGAGGGAAATTGATAGGTATCGACGTTGGTATATGTGCGTTATTCGGAGGATATACGGTACTTTCTACTAAAGCACTTTCTTCTTTACTCAGTACAATGTTTCTTTCTGCTTTGGAATACCCGATTACTTGGGTTTTGATCGGGGTGTTGGTAGGTACTAGTGTGATGCAGATTAAGTATCTCAACAAAGCTTTGATGAGGTTTGAAAGTAAGGTGAGGAAGCTTTTCTCTTCGGTCACTTGTTATCTGGGTGAAAGGATTAAAGGAAACAGGCTAGAGAAGGAATAGGAGGAGAGAATCAAGTAGAGAAAGAGAGAAAGAGAGAAAGAGGAAAAAGAGGGGAAACAGAAAAGCAGAGAGTAGAGAAAAGACGAGGAAAGACGAGGGATAGTCGAGGTTGACGAGGTAAAAGGGAAACAATTGCTAATGATTCAGGAAGTTATACCTACTCAATTCGTGTTTTTCAGTTTGGCAGCTATTATTGGATCAGCAGTTTTATATCAAGAATTCAGAGGTTTACCATTATCTCGTTTTGTTAATTTTGCATTTGGCGTGAGTTTTATCTTTCTGTCTTTCTTTTTCCTTTTTGGTCCAACTATCACTCGTACTTTTCCTTCCCCTGCCATTTTCTATTCTTTTCCGATCAGAAATAACGATTCCTTATCCTTATCCTTTCTATTACTCCCTCTTCTCTTTCATGTGTCATATTACACATTTAGACGATAATATCTCTCTTCATAGCCCTGTCCATCTATTCCTGCTCGTTTGGGTATTTGCGAGTGAAAGTCACCTACAGATTTCTCTTCAGATAATGAGTGGTGATAAAAGACTGACGAGTTCAGATCGGCACCACTTTTCTAGGTGTATATCTCCTCACTACAGTCCCTACCTCTCAACAACTTTCACAACTTTCCTCTCCTCCCTCTCCTCCTTCTCAACTTAACCCCATAGAAAACCTTTCTTCCCCCACATCTCATCCTTTACTATTACCGAACGAAAGAACTCCTCTATTACCATCTTCTTCCACCACCGCCGATTATATTCCCCCAATATCCCCCCGTAGTCCCATACCGACTCTTCCTACATTACCAAACATCACACCTGTTGGTACGACAGGTAGAATCAGACTTCTTTCTCGCGCGTCCAATAGAGACTTTGCTCCTTTGGGTCTGAATAGTCAAGCGGGGTTTTTGTTATTGGCTACCACTCCGCCTACACCAGGTATGAGAGCGAGAAGTATGAGTAGGGGAAAGAGGGATGAAGAGTATGTTTTCCCTGTGAGTGAAATGAGAAGAGGAAGTGTAGGTAGGACAGGATTGGGTTTGTGATTGTAATCATAAAGATTTTGAATGTCATTGTTAATTTGATGTCTTATTACGAGTCGTAGATTACTCTTAGTCTGATACGTTATAGAGGTAAGTATATTTATCACGATGTGAAAACGATGCATCAACCTGGTATAACTCCCTTTGATCCCAAAGATCACATGAACCCTTTCCTAGCAATTCTATTGACGGTCTCTCTATCAGTACCCTATCCACTCAACTCGGGAGAGACTCACAGAGATGACGTTTGAGCACTTTGGCGATGAGGTGCGTGTCGGGGAAAGCCATGCTCTCGAGTGATTCTGCGTACTGGAACATCAGTAAATGCAAAAAAGATATGACATTGTACGGCCGAACACCAGTTGGGGAGGATCAACCGGGCAGTAATCTCCGTTTGAGTGCAGGTCGGAGTGTTGGCGAATCGGTTCACGAAGGACGAAGAGACTGGATTTCGTTTACGAAGAGATGAGATGACGAATGGATAACAGAGAGCGAAGAAAAGACGCACAGGAGTAGGAACATCAGCACCGGTGATACGTTCAGGCGGGGCGTCGAGATAATCGAAAGCGGTTGATTCACAAATCTGAGCGAGAATCTCTGATCCTACACCGAAAGCTGGGAAGCCTCCTTCGACAGTGACGAGATGGTTAGTCTTTTTCACCGAGGTGATGATGGTCTCGATGTCGAGTGGGCGGATGGATCTGGAGCTTAGTCTTTCTCACATCGAACACATCAAGCCCTATCCCCACACGATTTTCTGTCGCCAAGGTCTATAAAAGCCACTCGCACGTTGAAGCGGACAGACGGCTGTCTCTGGGGACAGAGGGAAAGAGACAGCAAAGAAGCACCCACCTCAAGTTGACAACCTCCACTTTGATCCCATCCTCCTTCTCGAGAATCTCTGCAGCCTCAAGACAATGAGTGACCATCTTGGAATGCGCCACGACAGTAACGTCGGTACCCTGCTTCTCCACTTTGGCCTTCCCGATGGGGATGAGGAAGTCTTCTGACATCTCTTCCTTGGTCATAGGGAAGGAGACACCGTACATAAGTTCATTTTCGAGGAAACAGACCTGAGCGTGAGTTGTGACTTCTCAGAGGCATGCTCCACGATCCATATGTATCCCTTTGGCAGATGCTTTTCTCCTTGGCCATAACCTCCAAAGACGACATTCGAGAAAGAATCTGAGATCTGGGCTGGGGAAGAGAAGACCTTCCGGAAGATGAATATAACGAAGAGAGTATGATACGAGAGTAGATGAAATTTCACCACACAACTCACAGGGTTGGGATCTCGGATGGCACTCTTCAATAAACCTTTACAATCACTAGCGCTCCAAGGACTGATAACCTTCAAACCCGGGATACTACCATACCACGCGCAATAATCTTGCGAGTGTTGAGCCGCAACACCGGCAGCAGCACCGTTAGGACCACGGAAAACAACTGGACAAGGAACATTGCCTCCTGACATGTAATAAGTTTTTCCTCCGGAATTGACGATTTGGTCGATAGCCTGCATGGCAAAGTTCCACGTCACTGGAGGTGAGCTCCTTATCTCCGTGATCCAGCTGTCCTACCCAAGAGGCATGAACATATCGAAGGCTGCGTTATTTGAGGTGGGTCATGCGAAAAGATAGTGACATTATTTTATACATTGAGAATGGGTGTCAAGTCAAGCAAGGAAAATTTACTCACTGAATTCACAGATCGGACGTAAACCAGCTAAAGCAGCACCCACAGCCAATCCGGCGAAACCCTGCTCTGTGATAGGAGTCTGATCATCAATACCCCCCCTCCTCATCTGATGCCTCAAAACCCTTCACGATCATTACTTATCTCTCAATGTACTTCTCTCTTCCACCGACTTCCAACGACTTGTAAATATGTCAGAATTGAAAAAAAAGAAAATAACCCACATCAATCACACGCTCTTCTCCAAATTTATCCAAAAGCCCTTTCGAAACCTTTCCATCAGTTTATCTCCCATCATGCAAACTTTGCACAGACCTTGTATGCTCCATTGTATCGAGCGACCTCTTCACCGATGAGAAAAACGGTATGATCACGAGTCATTTCTTCTTCCATAGCAGCATTGAGGGCGTCTCGCACGGTCTATATAATCAGTTTCACTCATCTCATCTCATCTTCATTCCTCAGCCTCCTCCTTCCGCCCATCAACCCATTGAGAGTACACCTGAATCAGATCTAAATCAGACTTCGGAGTACTCACAGAGAGGAGAGAAGGAGGATCAAGGGCGAGAGAATACTCACCATGGTCTCAACCCCTTCTGAAGATGCAGCCCGTCTCTGTTCTGATCCAACCAACAACCGAGGTGCGGTCCTACTGACCCTGGCTATGGGGGAAGAAAGCAACGCATTCCGTCCTACCAACTTGGCACCCGCTGAAGAAGAGAGAGATCTAGAGGTGGGGAGGGAAGAGACGAGTTTAGAAACGGCAGATCTTGCTGCCATGATGGGTTATGAGGAAGAGGAATGAGAGGAATGGATCAAAGAAAAGTCAAACCAAAGCGATGGCGGCGATGGGGGAGGGAGAAACGGGAACGGCCGTTCCGCTGTCCGCATCCGAGGTTATGTTTATTTCTTATATATCCTTTCATTTAATCCCAGAAAAGTCGGCTCCTTCGTTGCATGCTTCTTCCCCAGCGATCCTGCGAGTCAGAACGTCAGAAGAGACGTATTCTGAACAGTGATAGATTACCTATACAGCAGTATACTCAGTAGAAAAGACCTGTATCTAAAGATGCAATCTGATCCTCTAGTGAGCTAGTTTCACTAATACGCAAGTTCGAAGCTCATGATAGTACCTTCACCTCGAACCCTTCATAGCTTCACATCCTTTGCAAGCAGGACCATTACTTTCTTCTTTTCGAGATCTGGCTTTATGTGGGTGTCACACACTCTCCCTCCTTCCCGCATAAATATCTTCTCCATCGATATTTCTCAGAGCTATCATACTTCTGTTCCTTGATATAAACCCCTGTCCGATCCTGTTCAAGTGCCCCTCCACCGCCCCCACTTCCCCTGGGGCCCTACCGCTGAAGAGGACCACTCTGTCAAGTCTTACTATTCTGAACGAACGGCAGGTCGAAGTGTAGGAAGAGAAAAGACTGACAAATAGCAATCCAATGGCATGATCTCCGTGTCATTCCTCTCACTTCGGAATGGATTATCATATTAGGTCATAAGAGCCGTACTGTATGTCCTCTTTTTCTCCTTCCTCTAAACATCTGCTGCAGGGTCTTGTCAACACATGAATAAACAGTACTCGGCTTTCCTTCGATTTCACTCTAAGAAGCCTTCTTCATTTACACAAGCAGAGGATTGACTGTAGGGATTGAGCGCTTAAAGATGGTTTTTATCATGCTCACTGACAGGACCCATTACGTGCTGTTTTACCACTTCCATTACATACCACCTCTCTCAAACCTTCTTCTCTTCGACAGATCTTTTCCTCTCTATCCAATTTAGAATCATCTAGCATACCCGATCCTATACCTCCGCTCGTACCCTCTCTCGAAACGCTACAAAAACACCTCCGTCCTTCCACTGCAGAATATTCCGTCAGCGATCTTGGTTCGCCTCAACAAACTGCGGAGACTAGACAATTTGGGTTTCTGAAACCATTGGGAGTATTTGAAGATGAAAATTCGAGCAAAGTAGCAGATCAGGGAGAATCACCAGAGACAGCGACGCATAAGGATTTGGACAAAGATATGATTTACTTAGCCATAACCACGACCGACTCTACAGTGGTTTATTATAAACTCACTAGAGGTATAAAGAAACCAGCCGACATCCCAGATGAATGACCGTCTCATATGATGAAATAACAGACATTCATGACATTATCATCACAAACTAATTCGTTCACATGTATCGTATGCAAGTTGGTTAGGCGCTTAGGACTCTACGGAGATTTGATTTTTCTTCTGGAGTCAAGAGAGGGATCATTTGGTGAATACCGTTGGAGTTGGTAGTGTAAGCTTGACGGAGGACGCTGATGAGGTGTACCTTGATGTCAGCTTAGTGTGGAACTCATTCAGCTGTCCGGCCGCGCCTCGGAGGAGGAGGGGGGGAGAGGGGAAACCGAAGGAGAGATGTGTTGTGGATATGACTTTACTTGAACAGGAAGCATTGGTCCGTTTCTTGGGACCAGGCCAGAGGCCATATCCAGCAAGACGGAAGATGCCATGGGGACGAAGGAAGGACGACTAACGGGAAGATCAATTTGTGAAATAGGATCCGATTTCAAATCATCATCATCATCCTGTTCGTCCGATACATCCGGTAATCCTTGTAAAGCTGCCAGTTGTGCTGCTGTTCATCAGCCTCAAACTCACATGTCGGAAGATGCCAGTCAGCTCACGAGGTACAAAGTGATTACTTCCTTGATCAGATCCACCGAGCGGATCGTCGTCTGACCAATCCGCGTCCTACATATCAGCTATCATTCAAAAAGATCCGACAACAAGGAGAACTCTTCCGCCCTGAGGACCTTGATGACAGTGTACAAAGTTTCAGTAGTCATAAGATGAAACAAGACCATCCCGATAACAGAACTTCGAGTGAAAGTCACACTCACCCCATCATCCTCTTCTACTACATCTGCTAGCCCGCTCAATCGTTTTTCATGTCCTACGTCTTCCACTTCATGCAATAACAATTTGAGAACTTTGACTGGAAATGGTATCATCGTATGTTGGATCGGATCTATTGTTAGGTCCTACTTTGCCAGACATTTTCTCAATTTATCTATCATAACTCACTAGCCTTCGTTTTAGACCGTGTCATATACTCTATTCACATTATTTCCTGAATTATTGGGTTTCAAAAAAGAATACTGACCTTTGCTATTCGTCTGAGTAATGATCATATCTCCCTTCACCTGGATCTGTTGTAACAAAGGCACAGGGGCCATGAACAATCTTGCCAAACCTAAATCGCTACCACCTTAGTTTATTGGTTCACGGTAGAATGAGAAACATACCTCACGCGGATATTCCACGATCCACTGATCGTATCGCTCATCTCGCACCATTGATTCAACACAACCGGCAGAGCTAGTGTCGTTGACCCATCTGGCATCCGTGCGTCCAATTTCGACAACAATTCTAAAATCTCTTCTGTATGTTCTACAAAGAGATATGCGAATGGCAATACCAAACTCTTCTCCGTAAGTTACTTATCTAGATCAAGCGAGGGAATGAAGTCACCTGAATGAGAGAGGGAAGTTGCGCAGTGACTAATCGATTCACTAAAGCTTGTAAGATGTCTAACAATACGGGTTGGATCGGACCAGGTGCTTTCCGAAGTAAGTGCATCACTAATCCGCCCACAGCTATAGCACCATCTTCTGGGAATGTCGGAGCCAGAAATCGATCAAGTAGACCATATATGTAATGTATCCCATCGACTTTCTTCCCAAGACTATCTTTTAGCGAAACATGAATCGAGTATAACAGATACGTACCATTCAAGAAGTCTTGGACAGTCTTTTCTCACCACCCATGTCAAATGCATTATACCATACTGTTCGTCAGCCATTTTGATCAAGAGGCGAAAACGATGATTGACTTGTATAGCATCCGAATCTTCAGAAACTCTCAAAAAGTTCATTATGGCCCATGTGACAGTATCGATCAACTCAGATTCTAACGGACCATCTCTTGTTCGTACTAATCGATTTGCCAATTGTATCGCTTCACAAGGAAGATGATTCGATTTGTCATCCACTGTCAAGATAGCTTTTGACAGGTTCGGTCCAAGGGTCATGACGACTATCCGAGTAATGGGTGGGGAAGTATCTACCAAAACGTCCAATAAGTCTTCTATACTTCCAGTCGTTACTGGATCTGCACGTCAGATGCGTGTAAGTATTGTGGATGAATCCCACCTTCGTAATTCGTGAACCAGACATCGTGTAAACTTTTCGCGATCATGAAAGCAGTTTCGACTGTCAAAAGCTCTGTATCCAAGACCAACAATGCCTCGATCGTCTCCAATGTGAGGTACAACGTCTCTTTAGTCGCATGAGGTAATATTCCAACTAAATAGTCGAGCATGGCCCGAGAGTGAACGCGAATGAAGGAGACATCAACGAACCGACAAAAGCTTCGAGAATTAGTCGTGCACTTGTCTATTTTTTGAGGATATCTACTCACTTTCGTATCGCTCGCACAGCGGCAAGCTTGACTGTCGTAGAATGATCAGGAGACTGCAGAGCCGATACAGCCACGACAAGGTACTGTCTACACAGATCCTCGGAGAGGAGTTGGGCGAACAAGGAGACGAATTGAAACGCCCGGGCTTGTAAAAATGGCACATCTAACCATGTCAGCGGCAAAGTGATGGCCGCACTCACCATTGTAATTTAAAGCACTGGGTAAGATCAGGGTGAACATCGCGTTATAATCCAATTTCGGGGAGCGACCTGCATTTATGTCTGCTTCCGCCTGTGTTCGAAGGTCACTCGAGATACCACAAAGCATAGCGAAGAGGGCTTCTAAACGTTGCCACCTAGGTATCAGCTGTAGTCTTGCAAGTACTCTTCACAGCGTACCAATCAGGATCTCGTTCCTGTCGCTTCTTTGAACAATCCTGTATCACACTCACACACATCTCTTGCAACAGGTGCACGACAGGTGTTGGGTACTTATCTATCAGAGACTGTCGTCGCGTCAGCCCTTGTGCTCCACAGATCACCAGAAAATTAGCTTACACCGATGACATCGTGACCACATATCCGAGCATTGTAATTGCCTGACGATTCATCGTCGTCGATCAAGAACGCATTGGGATCATCAAGCCATGTTTCAACCTATCCTTTGTTATCTCTTGCCTTTTGTCATTGATGGACTCACCTCATCCCTTGTTATCTGAGTATAAGCCAGGACGCTCTCCATCAAAGCTCTCATCAACATGGTCGGTGTTTCTCCTCCGCGTGGTCCCTCAAGTAAGGCTTCCCTGACCTTCGGCGACCTAACGGCAGGTTCAAGAAAATCGAACGCGGCACATGCCAATTCGACAAGACTGCTTGCGGGGTCCTTGGAATGGGCACGGGAAGTTGTTGATGGCGGTTCTCGTCCAGATGATGACGAAGCGACGTAGTAGATCTGATACGCAGGTATCAGAGAGATCAAATTTGAGACAACAAGGTGAGTGTGGCGTGGAAAATCCGTCGTAGTTTTGCGAGTTTGTAAGAGAGAATATGCCTTAGAAGTTAGTTTCTACCTCACGACAAACACGGTGACGTACCTCGATGATCTGCTTGCGAACAAGTATCTCATCCCAATCACGGGCGACCTCGGTAGCAGCATCGGCAGCAAGCAACTCCTCAAATGCACTCGTCCATGAACCGATGAATCCCATTGCAGCCTGTTGCAGATCACTGCGCTTGTTATTTGACCCATGGAATGTCGCAACAATCTCCCGGAAGACGTCGACAGTTTGTGCTCGGGTGAAGGGAGAGTGCATCTCGTCTTGTCAGCTTGTATCACTACATGTGAGTCACATCCGCTGACCTCTTTCTTTTGTAAGATAGCAAGCATGGGAGGAGCCAAGGACTGTATGACTGGCTGTAGTTGATCTTCACTCATGCCTTCGTCCAAAAACTCGGTGAGCATGGACATGGCTCCTTGGCAAGCATCGACATTGTCAGATTGAAGCAGCTCGGACAGGCTGGGCACCAACTCTGGCCATTCTTCTGGCCAGTCCAACTTGGCTATTGCGGCTGCTGCGAATGCCTATCGGAAGTTAGCCTACGTTTCTGCGTGATCTGATCTCGACGCACCCCTGCCGAACGTATCTTCCGGTGAGGTTCGGAGAGTATGTGGAGGATGGAAGGTCGAAGTTGTAATTTGATCTGTGGCGAGTCAGCGTGAGGTAAGTAGACCAAAGATCAGAGACAACTCTGAGAACTGACCTCAGGGGGCACCAGTGGGGGCTTGAACTTGTCCGCAGCGTCAGACCAATGAACATTTATGTATTGCTGAAGCAACAGACCGGCGGAGTGCTGAAGTCAGCAATGGTAGGGGAGGGAGGTTCAGAATTGAGAACTTATCTGACGCTGGATGGGATCAAGGGAGGAATTGAGCATCACATGAGAGAGTATGAGCCCGCAGTCTATGAGCCTCGGTCAGCTCAATGTGACCCCATTTCAGTCAAGGCTCACCTGGACGAAGGGAGAGGCCTTCGAGCTGCCGCTCAGCGAAATGTCGGACCTCGGCATCGGGGGAGAGGACTGATTTCAGAGCATCCACGACTGCATTCTCTAAGTCAGCGAAGGAACTGGCCGACATACTGGGTAGAGAGGAGGTGAGGAATGTCCGAACAGAAGAGGCAAGAAGATGTAGTAGTGAGTGGGTAGTGAGTGCACTCTGGTCGTCAAAGTCACGCGCAACTACGCGTCATCGTGAAAGCGGACATCGCCGCTCAGACCCCATCCTTTCCTTTCCTTTGCAGTGGCCTCACCCAAGTGATAGAGTAAGTTACCTCAAACCATCTACATATCTCTCTTTGTCCCGGGCGCCAGCACGGAATGGTATAGGGATAACTTTCTCCGCAGTGCCTGGTAAAAGTTGTCCTGACGTGGCATTTCCTTCTCTTTCTGTCTTGTCAATCAACAACTTTCTCTCTGACTCACTGTGACTATTATATCAACACATAATGAATTGTTCACGTCAACAACACTCCAAATGTAAAGTCCCGGCAGGCATGCTTTTTGACAGGAGTCACTTTAGAAAAGCCTCGACTGGCAGACAATCAGTGGAATTCTACAAACGCTGCTGCTATTGTCGGAATGCCTCACCTGTCCCTCTTGCCACCCCCTCCTCACAACATGGTGAAATCAAATGTAATACTTGTGGTGAGATACTCTCCACCCCCCATTTTCGAGGGGCTCGAGGCCGGCCCGTCCGCACCTGTGTTGCCTGTAGAGATGGGGATACAGGGGTTTTAACTCCTCGGTCCGCCCGGTCCCAACCTCGAAGACGCCTAAACCCTTCCTCTTCCTCTGATCCAGACTCACCACCCACCTCCCCTACTCCTACTCGGGCCCGAAGAGCACTCAGTAACAATCAACGTCCACAGAGACATCGACAACCACCTCGACGTCCTGATCAATCTCCTCCCCACCCTGCCGTACCACCTCCTCCCCCACGCCGTCGAGTCAACTTACATATTGGTCAAAAACGATGTAACCTATGCAAATGCTGGAAGTCAGCAGCTGAGTATCATGACGGGAAGCTGGGATGTGCCCAGTGCTTAGCACGCAGGAGGGAATACTATCACAGACGTCAACCACCCCCTTTGCCGTCAACCACGCTACCAACACAATCTTCCTACCCGCAACCCCCAATCAGTCCTATTCTTGGAGAACAAGACACTCTCACTATATCCGACGAGGCCAAGACGTTAATAGACAACTTTTACGCTGCACTTGATGAGGAGACCCTTGAGGAGTGCTCCATATGCAAGGAGAGATGGTTTGGATTAGGTGTTATTGAGGGCGTCTGCTGTCGCTGTAGGAAGGATCCTCACAGGTGGGGAGCTAGCAATTGCCTTGACCCAGGTAGGTCTTGAGTTCAAAAGATCCGGGATGCTCATATTTAGGACCCTCTCTTCAGAAAATATGCTCTGCTCGTGGCTTGGCAATACCCGAGACTCCTACTTCTGTTGAGGAAATGCTACTCTCTCGAGTTCATGTGCAGCTACAGACATGGAAGGTCAACGGCAACCAGCGCAAATACTCAGGACACACTTGCCTTTTCTCTCGTGACAATGATTCCCTCTTCACTCGACTTCCTCTTCTCCCCTCCCAACTGGATGTTCTTGTGATCAAGCCAAAACAAACCACCGCCAATTCTCAAGATACATTTGCTAGTCGTCCCGAATTTCAGGTGCAGAGGGCGAGAGTCTTAGCAAACCTTCTTGCACTGAAAGCCGTTCATCCTTCGTACCGGGATATAATTGTGGATGACAATGCCTTGGCAGCTTTACCTGAATCCGGCTCAGTCTTTGACCAACTTCGATCAACAACACTTGAAGATGAGATGGAGCTTGAGCTTCCGCCAGATGCTTTGGATGTTGAGGGTACGGCCGGGGATGACAGTGAGGAGAATTCTGGTGTGGTGTCTGAGGGGATGGTCCCTGTAGTGGACAGGATAAGGACAGAAGTCGAGCAAATACGAGAAGGGTTGGGTTTAGTAGGTGGAGACGAAGGAGAGCCGTCAACTCTGCAAGCTCAAACTTCAATCTCTGTCACAAACAATGTTGACAGTATCTTCCTCACCGCTCCACCAGTTGGATGCTCTCCTTTAAATGAGCATGACCGTTCTCGCTTCCTGCTCATCGAAGCTTTCCCCTTCCTCTTCCCTACAGGCAAAGCAGATTTACATGCTCCACGACCACAGGATATCAAGCCGGGAGAATACTTTCGGCACCTCTTGCGCTATAGTGATGGACGGTTTGCTGGTCATAATCGTTTTCGGTGAGTTTGTACTGTCTTGTGTCATTGCTGACGATAGATATTATGCCTTCAACTGCCTGCTCAGATGGCAAGCTCGGTCACTTTCAACCTTTTACATTTCAAGGAACAAAGAAGATGCAGAGTTTGATGCTGCGGCAATACAGGAACTTTCTCGAGATGATGCAAAAACTCTCGCAAAGCGGGTACGTCGATATGCAGCCACTCTCACCGGCACCCCTCCCTACTGGGCAGCAAGAAGCCGAGAACTTCAAGCAATGATTCGCCAGCTCGGTACCCCCCATGCCTTCATCACACATTCTGCAGCAGATCTTCAGTGGCCAGACCTTCATCGGCACATGCCCTCCCAACCCTCTTTGGATGCCACAGAGCAACAGCGACAAAAGGTCAACCGTCAGAATGTCAATGACAACCCAGCTCTTGCCGCTTGGTGGTTTTATCGTCGCTGGTCACTCTTCTTTCGAACCGTTCTACAGCCACTTCTTGGAGTTAAGGACTGGTGGTACCGATTTGAATGGCAACATCGAGGCTCAAGTCATGTTCATGGATTAATATGGCTGTCAAAAGCCCCGGACATTGGACTCCTGAACCCAGCAGATCCCACAACTGTAGAAGACTTTCTTTGCTTCTGGAAGAAACATGTCACGGCCGTGAATCCTAATCCAGATCATCCCCCTGCTACCATTCACCCATCTTCGCTCTCAGCACATCAACTTTCCTTCAAACATTCTGATCTTGCTCAACTTCTCAACAGAGTACAACGACATACACGATGTTCAACATACTGCCTCCGACGTCCCAAAGGGTCCCCTCCAGGTACTGCACTGGTCTGCCGGTTCAAGTACCCAAAAGCCCTTCAGAACGAGGATGAATTAGTGTATGGCCAAAGTGGGACGGTCAACTTCAATCTTAAACGCAATGATCCCCTCTTGAATCCTTATCATCCAGTCCTAGCCCAAGCCTGGCGTGCAAACACCGATTTTAGTCCATGTACAGATGGCAAAGCTGTAGCCACCTACATTGCTAAATATGCTTCCAAGACTGAACCACGATCTGCAGCTCTGGGGGATGTCCTGCAAGGTGTTTCAGCTCATCTTGAGGAGGATGCTCCTGGTCGTGTGGTGTACCAGAAGCTTCTTAGCAAGATTGTTACCGAGAGGGATTACAGTGCGCAGGAGGTTTGTCATGCTCTCCTGGATTGTCATATGTACGGAGCATCACGGGAATTCAAGTCTCTTTCACTGTTGGAACAACAAGACTGGCATGTTCATATGGTTGGAGAGGAGGAGGAACCCACCGCTGAGAAGGATTGGCGTGAGAAGTACAAAAGCAGGCCAGAGGATCTTGAAGCGGTGTGTCTTTATGACTGGTTTTTGTGGTACTGGCAGAAACGTGACAGGACATTTGGGAAAAGACGGCAGGAGCGGATAGTGCAGCTTTGGCCTGCTTATCATCCTGGACCAGAAGGCAGCAGTGAATATGAGGAGTGGTGCAGGGCAAAGGTTCTCCTACATCATGCTTTTCGACAAGAAAGTGATTTAAGACAGGACCTGGAGAGCTGGAGTGGATCATATGCAAAATGCCAAGAAGATCACCCGGATGGTCACAAGGATACCCTTCCTCGAAGAGCAGCTGGTCAACCAACCTCTCAATCAACTGATTCAGAATTTTCAGAGGATATATCAGATGATGAGAGGGAACTTGAGGATTTTGAGATCATGTGTTTGGAGGGTGGGGGCAGAGACAACGAACATGAGGTGATCACCAGATTGGGACGAAGAGATATGGATCTTCAAAAAGATTGGCTAATCCATGGAAGAATATGGGGTGATAAGGGAATGTCACAGCGTATGACTTATATCCAGGAAGAGCAGAAGAAGGTGAGAGTAAGTTTGAACAATCGAGAATGACACTTACCAACAGGGTTTACATCACATTCTCCGCCCACCTATCAGCCTTGCTTGTCTCAACCCTTCCCAAGATCTTGTTCTTCAAAAAATCATCCGCCATGCCACCCTGTCCTTGACTGGCAATAGCCTGCCCCCAGTGTTGTTGAACATTGACGGAACAGCTGGTACTGGCAAATCTTTCCTTATTGATGCGATCTCACAGGAGCTTACACGTCTTCAGCATTGGTATCTTCCAGCTCTTCCAGAAGAAAGCCTTATTCGACGCATAGCACCCACAGGGGTTGCTGCTTTCAACATTGGTGGACAGACCTACCACTCAGCGCTCTCTCTTGCAGCAGACACGAAGAACTTCTCGTCAGATATATCATCTACCAGATTAGCAAGCCTGCAGGAGGGATGGAAGGATGTGCGATATATGATCTTGGATGAGAAGAGTATGATTGGAAGAATGGCATTAGGGAGGATTGATGAAAGACTTCGGTTGATCTTTCCTGGTCAGTCACATCTGCCCTTTGGAGGTCTCAGCGTCCTGTTGGTTGGAGATTTTGGGCAACTCCCTCCGGTTGGTGATACACCACTATATGTCACAGGATGGAGACCTGGCAGATCAAGACGTATTGACCTTTCAAATATGGGAAGGAACGGGTATTTGGCGTTCAAGGAAAGCATAACTCTTTCTGAAGTGATGAGACAAGCTGGAAGTGACCCTACAAGTTTGGCGTTCAAGCAGACACTGGCGAATCTTCGGGCATGTGAGCCATCAGCTGCAGATTATGATCTCTTATCAACCCGATTTTGGCATTGTTTATCAACTGAGGAGCAGAATACGTTTGGTAAAAGCACCTATCTCTGTACCAAAAAAGACACAGTGGAGGAAATCAACCTGAACTCTCTTCTTCAAGCTCGTCAACCTGTCCTTCGGATCTCTGCTCGAAACACTGGACCTGGTAGCAGAGATGCTTCCGAAGATCAGGCTGAAGGTCTGCCAAAAACTCTCTTCCTAATGGAAGGTGCAAAAGTCATGATTACCAGAAACGTCTGGACCAAGCAGGGTCTAACCAATGGGACTACTGGAACGATTGCCGCAATTGGGTTTGCTCCAGGTAGTGAACCAGGGACAGATGTTCCCACTGTGGTCATGGTGGAAGTACCACTGTATACTGGCCCAACTGAATGGCACTCGCCGACAGGTGTACCACTTGTCCCTATTGTACCGATCACTTCAACTTGGGAAAGTTCAAATGGCCAACGGTGTACTCGTCAACAGCTTCCACTTCGGTTAGCCTTCGCCCTCACTATCCACAAATCACAGGGGATGACACTTGAAAGGGTTTGTATCGACCTGGGTACACGAGAATTTTCAAGAGGACTTACTTTTGTTGGTATTTCCAGGGTGAAGACTCTTTCTGGGCTTGCGTTTCGACCAGGTTTTTCGATGACCCGCTTGGAGGGGATTACTGGTAGACGTCGAGGACGTCGGGATGGTATGCTTGATGCTGCAAAAGAAGATGAAGTTCGACGTCAGAACATGGGGAACATGGAAGTGGTGAGTCAATCATCCATTGCATTACTATATACTAAATCAACCAGACATCTTCTCCAAATCCTTCCCAAGTGTCTTTGATAACGCCTGCTGATCCGTCGCCAAGGTGAGAGTGAGTCTCTGACCATTTTGGGGCCTGGTCACTCGATGAGGAAGGTGTCTAGCTTGGAAGAAAGTGAGGGAACGAGCGGGCAGAGGATGTTGAAGCCCAAGAGAAGGAATACACAGTTCACCTCCTCCCACCCAATTTCCAAAAGGAATGACAATTGTGTATGATTCCCTTGCATCACCAAAATCAAGATGGAAGCGCTCACCCGTCCGCATAGTCACGGCAAGAAATGTTGCTAATTTGAGAAGAAAAGGATCCCCAAAACCCTCTGCCTTCAATTTGTCGAGTGCGGGTTGTACAATATCATGATTGACATGTTTCATTTGATGATATCTGGTATAAGTCAATAATCATACGTACAAAAGCACTTGGGACTTACTGAGTAGACATTGTCACGACCTCTTTGTCCACTGCTTTCAGGAATGCTGCCGCCTTGGACATAAGATACTGATTTACCAACACACAGAGAAAAAGTAGTCTATAGGCCGCTTCGGCTCCACGGATGTGTCGCTTTTGGATAGTCTCAGCAGTTGTGTAAATACCCTTTTCAGTCTGATGAGCCCTTGCCCAGTCCCCCAAGTGCAAGATTTGGCTGTAAATTGTATCTTCTTCATGTTCAGTGTGGACGGAGCTTTCAAGGTGTCGTTTCCCTCGTTCTCGGATCAATTGCTTGGGGGACGCCTTCCGGTCAGTTGCAGTTTTCTCAAATGAGGTGAAACTCACATCCATTGCGTACATGTAAGCATGCCAAATGATCCTTGCGTCCTGTTCACTGAAGAAATTGGGTACATGAATCATCCAGTAGCGAGGGACATGTTCCATGGCTTGACCAAAGAGCGGACACGGAATGGCGAAGGAACAAGGGGGGATAGACAGCCTATATTGGCCCAATAAGATGTCCGCAACTTCTGCCATGTAGTTGAGTACATTTTGTTGATTGGACAGACGTAAATTGACGTATCCGTGGGTTTGGACCTCAAGTGGAGCACTTGCATGAATTGGAACTAGCAGTCAGCACGGAACCCGGAGAACCCGGAGAAATCAGCAACTAGTGCGTACCAAGATGTCCTGCTTTTGCTTGTCTGCGTTTCTGCTTGTTCTGGTGTTTTTTCTTTGAACCCTTTCCCCTTCGCTTTCCATTCCTACGTCGCTTTCCAGATTGGACCGTGTCTATCTCATCCGACATAAGTGCTTCTTTGGCAGCCGTCTCTGAATCCTCCCCCAAAGCAACAATCTCTTTCCACGCTTCAAGCCTCGCTCGGTTTCCATCAGTCTGGACAGCCCGCTCTGAATTTGCACCCAAAGCGAGCTGAATCCCTACAGGACGTACTCGGAGTTTGGCAGTGCGAGGAATCGGTTGATCATTGGGATTTGATTGGCTATCGGAAGGGGTCTTGTGATCATTGTTGGAAGGTAGCTTGTGTTCACTGTTTGAAGCTTCACTGTCGGAAGGTATGTATTCCGAGAATTCTTCACCATCATCACTCTGTCTATCAGCAACACACTCCCTATAGGTCACATATCTGTCAGTGCTCACCCATTCAATCTCAGACTCTTCCCATGATAGACAGTATTGAATCCCTCCGTCACTTGTCACACTTTCCACGTCACTCTCACCATCATCTCCTCCAATCTCCTTCTTGCTTGGTAGGAGGCTCCGCTTCCGTCTCTCACTCTCACCATCATCTCCTCCAACTTCCTTCTTGCTTAGTAGGAGGCTCCGCTTCCGTGTCGATATGTCAATACTGAATGACATTGTATTGCATGAGGTAGAGAGGAAAAAATTTCGTTGGCACTAACTAGCATAGAACCCTGACTGACTCAGGTGCAGGCGCCCGATCCCATCGACGTTCATAACGCGATATCCTAGTCGTCGACAACCATCCTTCTGCCATCCAGTGACAAAGCCTTGACCGGCCTTTCACACACTGTACATGTCCTATCGTTATCGCAGCCTGTTAATCTAGATCATCATGCCACTCAAAGACCTCTTGAGAGCTCGTAAGTCAGACAAAGGTCTCCCATGTCACAGACGTCCCGACTGAGGAATGCAGGTTTCACCTCTGCTCTTACTTCGATACCTTCTGGCACATGGAAGATACTCATCACGGACGATCATTCCCAACAGCTACTCGACACTGTTTACAAGAATTATGACATCTTACAACTCAATGTCACGTGTGAGTGATGGTCTCGGCTCATTAAATGAGGCATCTCCGCTGACCAGTTCAGCCGTGGAGCCTTTGCATTCACCGAGACCACCACAAAACTTGGACGCCTTGTACATCTTGACACCTACTTCTCAGAATGTTGAGAGAATCATCGCAGACTTCTCGGGTGGTCGGAGAACGTACAAATCGGCGCATTTATATTTCATCGACGGTGAGTCACCTCCGGATTTGGAGTACGGAGGTTGGCTGACTTGTTAGGGATCGATGACAGATTGGCCCAGCGTCTGACTAGTAATCTACCCGGCGACATTCTACAAGCGTTCGTAGAGCTATACTGCAATTTCTGGGGTCGGTCATGCCGTCGTTGAGGAAAAAGGATTCAACTGATGGACAGCGTTCGAGGATAGAGTGTTCACGATGAAATTACCCTCGGCTTTTTACAGCATGTACGGACCATTGGGAGGCGCTGCCTCTGCCGATTTAGCTCTCGAGGCGTTTGGGGATGACCTGAAATACGCAGGGAGATCGGTCAGTTTGACAAGACAGAATTGAAAATGCTGATCACGCAGATACTGAACCTGTTGGCCACCATCAATGAAAATCCTTACATACGGTACTACCAGCCTGCACATCATCAACCTCTTGGTCCTCTTGCCAACCAAGCCACAACTTCATCTCTTTCTCCTCCTGCACAGCAACATCCTCAAAGTTTACGATGGAGATCGGCCATGGGTGGGAGTGGTTCACGCGCTCCGGAGCCGGTAGGCGAACACTTGAGCAAGAAGATTGCTCTGCAGGTCCAAGCCGACTTGGACGAATACATGACGAACAATCCTGACTTTCCGGTCAGTCGTTTCTGTGTTCATCGATTTCAGCTGATCTATCAGACGCCATCCAGCAGACCAAGGTCCGTGCTCATCATTGTCGACCGTTCCATGGATCCAACAGCTCCGTTACTTCACGAATTCTGGTATCAAGCAATGGTCAATGACCTTCTTCCCGTAGAGGATGGAACACGATATCGATACAAGTACGAGAATACGACTGGTGGCAAAGAAGAGAAAGAGGCTGTGTTGAACGAGGATGACGCTGTTTGGGTGTCGGTTCGACACCTGCACATGAAGGAAGCTATCGACACATTGATGACGAACTTTCAGAAATTTGCTCAGGAGCATGCGGGATTCAGAGGGTATGTCTTTTGTCAATGACTTGTTTGCCAAGAATACTGCTGAATGTTGGCCAGAGGCAATCAGGTCAATCTCAATGATCTGAAGGATATGCTTGCCAGTCTGCCTCAGTTTCAGCAACAGCGAGAACAGTTCTCACTTCATCTCGATATGGCCCAAGAGTGTATGGCGTTGTTCGAAAAGAACAAGCTCAGCCAGACTGCCAGCGTGGAACAGGTAAGTGTTAGCGTTGGGTCTGAATTATTACGAACATCGGTCATCATTATACCTATGGCTCATCAGATAGTGTTGCGCAACTGGCTTCACCGCCGAAGGCAAAACCCCAAAAACATTGGTTGAAGAAATGGTCCCGTTGCTGGACGACCGAAATATGAGGTATGTACATCTCTATCTCGCTGTCGAAACCAGCTCATGACTCATAGTGCCGTTGATAAAGTTCGAATCATAGCACTGTATATCATTTATCGTGAAGGAGTAGCGGACGAGGATCGAAGACGATTGTATCAACATGCCAGATTATCACTCTCTGAGCAAACAGCAATAGACAACTTGATCTATCTCGGCGTGAAAGTCATCAAAGTGAGCTATCTGCCAAGCTCAGATACCTCGAGGAGCTGATTTCGAAGGACGCAAAAGATCGGTCGACCAAGGGAAGAATCAAGCAGAAATATCATGCGGCCGAGGGCGAGTACGAGCTTTCTCGATATAGACCTGTCGTCCAGATGGCTTTAGAGGTCAGTTCTCTCAACTCCCTATTCCTTCTCCCGGAGCGGACGACTGTGGCAGTAGTTCGGTGATTGTTCGCTGAATCACTTTTAGGATCATCATGCAAATCGACTTGATCAAACACTTTTCCCATTCGTTCGTGACATACCACCAGAATTATCGAACACACTTCGTGGTGGTGCTCCACCTCCACCTGCTCCATCATCTTCCCTCCGATCCGCCCGACCTACATGGCATAAAGCACCTTCGGCACGGATGACCAATACGGAGGGAAAACAGAGGATGATCTTGTTCGTTGCGGGTGGTATGACGTATTCCGAGATGAGATTAGCATACACTGTCGGACAAGCGTTAGGAAAGGAGATTTTCATCGGTAAATCTCCTCTTTCCCCACAGATAAGGTCTTCCAAGTGTCCCTCACTTGACACAAGAGAAAAGGCTAATGGTAAGGTTCAACACATATCACTACTCCAGAGACTTTTGTGGCGAATTTGAAATCACTCGGTAGAGGTGGGATAGGAGCTCATCCTCCAAACGCAACCCAACTTCATCCTCAACATCCAGGTAGACCTGCTCGATCACCAGGTAGACCAGCTACATATCAAATGTATGTTATTTCCTTCTTCCAACTTTCTTTTAAACGCAACATAAGTGGATATGTGAATACTTAGTTGATAAACTTTCAGGATCCTCGATCAGAGACATTGGGTACCACCCGTTGGACCCCCACCTTTAGCTCCACCGACAGCAACAACAAGTATGGAAGCAGCTCATCTTTTCGGTCCTGGTAAATTATCTAACAAAATGTCTGAATTAAGTTTAGGAAGTAAAGATGGGAAAGGTAGTTTATCAAAGAAGAAAGAAGAAGGTGAAGGGAAGAAAAAAGGTTTGTTCAAGATGAAATGGTAATTTCTCAACCGTCGATAATTTCGTATCTCCTTCCCTCCCCTCGTCTTGTCCATATTATCTTGAACGCTTTTTTACCGTTCATGCGATGAGGGGTGTGAGAGGAGTCATGATCAGACATCGAAGTATCTCTCATCACACGAGAAAAGGTTGAAGTCAAGGATAGGCATTTGAGCGAAGGAGAAAGGAAGGGAAGAGAAGAGAGGAAGAGGAAGAAAGAGGGTAGATGCTGGTAGGTTGAGAAGGAGACGGAGAACAAGACATCAAGATGATTTGCATATGCTCTAATGTTGTTCTTGACAAGTGTGATTTCAAGGTAAGACTATATACTTTTGAAGATGATCAGGTATGGCTCCTACTAAGTTTTTACTTTCTAGCCATACTCTGGAAAATAGTCGGGCTTGGTATCTGAGAGTCAGTAGTTGTTCTCGTCATTCTTCAATCTCACACCCAGTACCCAATACCCCATACCCAATACCCAATACCCAATACCCAATACCCGATATCCCCACCCGATACCCATACCCAATACCTATAACCGATACCCACATTCCATGTTCAAAACGCAACCTACCTCGTCCTCTTACGATATCTGATACATCCTTTGAGCTCTGTCATGGTACTCCTACTCATTCACACCATCAAACTTCTTCACTCAACTCACTCCACCACTGGATGAGTGAACCATCTGAAGAGGAGTGGGAATGGTAGCGGTCATTTTACAGGCGTAAATATTACACCAATTCAAGAAAGGAGAAGAACGTGTCCAATTCATTTACCCTCGTTCTTTGTCTCCTTTTTTGAGGGGGGTTATTAGAGAGGTCTACTATCCCACTTGAAGATCCACCTTTACTTCGGTAATCAGTCCAAAAGGACAGGATGAAAGAACGGATAAAGTGTGTTTAAAATTCGAGACTGAAAAGAACAAGAATAATGAACATACCGATAAGCTCCATCACATAAAACAGTGACAATAGTACTTCCTTTCCCTTTCCTCTTAGCCAACTCTACAGCTGCCCATACGTTCAAAGCTGATGATGCACCGAGATATAATCCTTCTTCATGTAAAAGACGATATATCATATTGATTGAATCTGTATCGGGAACGTGTATTGCGCCAGAGAGAAGTTCTATATCTGGTTTTAAGTTTGATGTTAGACGACCTTGACCTATGCCTATTTATCAGTTTCCCTTTCTTTCCTATGTTTTCTTTCTTTCTCTCTCCTCTTCTTTCTTTCACTCTGTCCCTTTCTCCTCTGCCCCCTCTCTTCTTTTCACTTGTGTTCATATGGAAAAGTATTGAAGTTCGATGGCACTGAACCATCTGGGAGATTGTAATGAAAAAAAACGATGAAGACGAGAGGAGGAATTCAGACTTACCCTCTGTTATACTACCCGTCCCTGTCCTCTCCAATTTCCCATTTTGTACCAAACTGTATAACACACTTCCAGGTGGATCAGCCAGCCAACCTTCAACCTTACCTCCACTTTTCTCATGGAGATATCGAGTGACACCGGCTAATGTCCCACCTGTCCCTGTGGCACAAATGAACGCATCTAATTTTCCCCCATCGGTTTGTTCCCATATTTCAGGACCGGTAGTGAGGATGTGAGCGTTTCGATTGGCCGTGTTGTCAAATTGATTGGTCCATACCGCGTTATCGAGTGATTCGGCGTATCTTTTAGCTTGGTGGTTGTAGTTTTGAGGGTTGTCAAATGCCACGGCTGGGCATCAGATCGGTACATTTCTACTTCGTCTATCATAATCCCCCTTACTTCGAAACGTCTTAGACACGATCAGGAACGAGTTTTTGGGAGTGTTCAGGAGAAGAAGCAGGAGAAGAGAAACTGAATGGTATAGAAGAGAGTACGAGCGGAGTGGATATGCGAGAATGACAGCAGAGGAGAAAGATAAAACTCACCAGGAACAGGTCTCACATCCGCCCCTAACATCCGCAACAAATCAATCTTCTCTTGACTTTGCGTATCTGGCATATAAATGACACACTCATATCCCTTACTCCGACAAACATGAGCCAAACCTATCCCCGTATTACCCGCTGTACCTTCCACCACCGTCCCTCCCGGTCTTATCAAGCCTTTCTCCTCTGCATCTTTTACGAGATATAACGCAGCTCTATCTTTGATGGATCCGCCGGGGGACATGAATTCCGCTTTGGCCAATATGGTGCTTCCTGTTTCGCGAGAGAGTGCATTCAGACGAATCTAACATTTCAGCTTCACGAGTCATGATCTTACCCTCAGACCCCCTCATCGTGTTGAAGTGACAACTCAGAGAAAGATGGGAGACGCCCGAAGGAATGGTCACTCACCAATGGAGTGTTACCGACCGCACCCACGAAACCATCCACTTCCCTACCATATCCCGTTACGGCGGTGGCGTAGCTCCTAGCCATTGGCCGTATGACTGAGCGTAGTAGACTCATAGTGAACTCTCTGGTCACCCACGAAGATGTCTATTCCAGGACGACAGGGAGGGAGAGGATTAAGTAGGATATTCGGAAGATGTTTGCGAGTTGTACAGTAAGCGAGCACGTCATTGTCACCTTGACAACTTTTTTTTTTCGATTTTCCTCAGGCACCGATCGCCACGTGGCGAGGAGAAGAATTTGATTCCGCCCTTCTCCGACTTTCGAACTGGAGTCAAGTAGTTTCGATGACTTGGTATGTCGACTATGACATGGCTGTGAGTAGACTGCAAGGCGCTCGCCTGCTAGAAAGAAGCTTTCAGCCTGTGTCATCTCTATCATCTCGCTGTATATCAAGCCGGACCCTCACTTTCTTCCCGGAGTCGACACACACACGTCCGTATTGGTCCCTCGACTGCCTTCCTGGTCCCTCACGCCCACGTTACTTATCCACTTCCAATGTTAGTCATGCCAAACGTCAAGATGCTCCCGACGGATCAGGTAGGACTATCGACATGGATCAATTCCCGCCTGAAAGAATACGGTAAGCTCGGGGTCGTCAATGATCGCTCACTGCTGACCTTGACAGTAATCTGTCCATCATCGCTCATATCGATCATGGCAAATCCACTCTGGCCGACAGGCTCTTACAGGTTAGCTTGCACAGATGCCTCACTTCAGCACAGCTGAGATCTTAGATGACTGGAACTGTACCCGAGAACTCCTCACCTCAGTTCCTCGACAAGCTCAAAGTAGAAAGAGACAGAGGTATAACCGTCAAAGCGCAGACGGTCTCCATCGTGCACACCCATACCGACGGTCAGAAGTATCTCATCAATCTTATCGATACACCAGGCCATGTGGACTTTTCCTACGAGGTTTCCAGGAGTTTGGGTGCGTGCGAGGGAGGTCTTCTACTAGTGGACTGTTCCCGTGAGTACACCAATTCCTCACTGAATTCGTCAACTTATACGTCGAAGAGGGCATACAAGCTCAGACACTTTCGGTATTCCACGTAGCTCAAGAAGCCAATCTCAAGCTTCTACCAGTATTGAATAAAGTGGACCTACCTCATGCCTCTCCCGAGGAGACCTCTGCTCAGATCGAATCGACTTTAGGACTGCCACTGGATTCTCACATGCGAATCAGTGCCAAGAAAGGCCTAGGGGTTGATGAAGTACTTCGTAGAGTGATTGAAGATCTTCCACCACCGCGAAAATGGAAAGATCAAGATGGTAAACTCCGAGGTCTGGTATTCGATACTTTGTGAGTACCATCATCGTCGACCGTCACGCTGATACTGTAGCTATGATCACTTTCGAGGTGTCGTCTCCCTCGTTAGGGTGTTTTCCGGGTTAGTGAGAAAGGGAGACAAGATCAAGTTGCTGCAAGCGGATAGAAAATACGACGTTATCGAGGTGGGCGTGTATAACCCTGAAGAGGTACCAGTGGACGTATTGCTCGAGGGTCAAGTAGGATATGTGGTCTGTAATATGAAGAACTCTGAGGATGGTAAGTATCTCGACCACGATGTGCTTACTCACCGCTGATAGCAGCGTTCATTGGCGATACCATGTGTTTAGCGGATAAGCCCGTTGAGCCTTTGCCCGGGTCCAAACCAATGAAAGCGATGGTAAGTCTGATCGCTCGTTCCGGCAAGCTGACCTGGCTAGGTGTATGCAGGTGTCTTCCCTATCGACAGTAGCGAGTTTGGTAGATTAGAAGAGGCCATTGCCAGGGTGAGCTGTTGAATTTCCATCCCGCGAATGAAACTAATAACTTAGCTTACACTCAACGACAGAAGTGGTAGGTCCCCGAAACGATTACCAAGGCTGATGATCAAGTCTCGGTCCAGCGTGAATCCTCTGCTGCTCTGTCTCAAGGTTTCAGACTGGGATTCCTCGGAACGCTCCATATGGACGTTTTGTGGGTATCTCACATCAGTGCTCTTCTTTCGCTGACAGATACAAGTCGACAACGTCTGGAAGATGAATATGACTCCAGTGTCATCATAACGGCCCCAACAGTCCCATACAAAGGTAAGCTCTCTTCCCGTATCTAGCCCTGAGCTCACGCATCAGTCATATACAAGGATGGTAGGGAGGAATATATCTCGAATCCCGCCGCCTTTCCAGATACAACTGACCCAAAATGCCGAGTTGCAGGAATTGAAGAACCCATGGGTCAGCTATCGATCTGTCACTCGCTCGGGGAGAGCTAACGTTTAGTACATTCCACCATCTTCGCCCCGACCAGTGAGTTCTCGATTGTTCTAGAAGGCGGATGCTCATGTTTAGATTACATCGGTGAGATGATGGATCTAGCGTCGCGATATCGAGGCACTCAACTGGAGTACAAAGTACTAGATAACACCGACCGAGCACTTTTGCGATATTCTTTTCCCTTGGCGGGTATGTTGAAGTGCACTGTCACGTCAGTCCAGAAACTGAAGAGACAGAAATTGTCACAGACTTCTTCTCCGAGCTCAAAAGTGCCAGTTCTGGATTCGCTTCTTTCGACTACGAGGAAGCAGCATATGAACAATCTGACTTGGTCAAACTGAACATCTTGCTCAACGGTAAACCTGTGGATGCGTTGGCAATGATCGTCCATCGTTCTGCCGCACCATCTATAGGGAGGTCATGGTGCAAAAAGCTCCGTAGGTCTCCGCTCTTTCCACACAATTCTCTGGTGCCCCTGTCATGTAAAATCGTCTGATAACAAGATCTTCCTGTCGTATGTACTTTGTATGGCTATACAGCTGACAGTGCAGGCGAAGTCCTCCCTCGACAGCTGTTTGAGCTCGCCATCCAAGCGGCCATCGGCTCCCGTGTCATTGCCCGTGAGACTCTCTCAGCGATGCGAAAAGACGTCACCGCGGGTTTGTACGGCGGACACTACGATCGAAAACTGAAACATCTCAACAAGCAGAAAGAAGGCAAAAGACGATTGAAGCGTTTGGCTGGGAACATTGATATTCCCCAATCGGCATTCTTCGACGTTCTCAGTTCTCGACCACGAGCATATACGACTATGTCTCGACGTGTCATGCAAGACGATCCGATACTTTCCCTCCTTCCTTCTGTCGAAGCTTCCGAGGTGGTCTCTTCCATAATATCTCCCATGAGGATTCCCCCTCCTATATCAGGACACGTCATCGCACCTCTCAATCGGTCATTGGGACTGTCTGCTATCCATCGACTCATATCAGACCCCAATGTCTCTGCAGAGGAGATTCACGAGGCTTACCTCGATCTGCACACTTCATCACATGAAGGACAACCATTTACACCTTCCGAGCTCCGCGCCATCTTCCACGCTTTGTCAAGAACCGGCAGGAAAAGTCTTTACCGCCGACAACAAGTGGAACGATTGCATAGTATCACCGATGAATTGACGGAATTACTTGGCTCCTCTCAGGATTTAGGCAATGGATTAGCTTTGTCTATCTTGTGTTCAGTCCGTGACCGACGAAAAGTCTCCCCCGCTGTGTTATCACGAGCGGAAGCGACCTTCAAGTCACTCTTTCCTCAATCTCCCCTTCCAACCGATGCCAGATCGCAAGAATTCGTGAAAAGTGTCAATCATCTCTTATATCTCTGCGCGCTTGCTGGTGATGAGAAGAAGTTTGATTATTGGTCCAAAATTCGAGAATCAGTCTCGGAACTCGATGGCGATAGTTGGATGGTTCTCTCTAGACTTGTCTTATTTCGTAATACAAACCAATCTAATCGAATCATTCCGACGGTGAATGATACTCTTAATCAAATCGAGGATCCGCAGGACATGATGGTCATCATCAATTACGCATTATGGTCTTCATGTCTCGACGAAAACTTTGAAGTGGTGATTAAAGCGTATGAAACACTCGTACCTACCACTCAACTTCCTTTCCCCCATCCTCACCCTCATCAAGGTTCGAAGGAGATAAACGAAACATATCTTTCTATCCCACCTGACATCTTGCCAACCAGAGAAACGTTCTCTCTTCTCATCAACGCCTTCTCATATCATGGTCATCTAGCATGTGCTCTAACGGTCATGCGTGACATGTTGGCACAAGAGATATCTCCGGGCGTAGGGGAATATATGTCTCTCATCAGAGGTTTTGCGAAATACGTTGTGATTCCTAATGTTGAACCTGGTCAAGCTAGAATCGGATTTCCTCGTTGGATCACACATACTGATAAAGGTGATATCACAAGTATATGGGAACGAGCTATTTCATCACGTCTAAACCTCAACCTCGATCAATCACCATTCGACTTCCATTCGGGGAAACATCCTCTTTTTCAACAACATCCACATAATCCCTTGAAAGTGAGCAAGCAAATAGACTCACTCGAATCGGTTCCAGCTGAAAGCGATTCAGCCGTTGGGGAAGATATGCAAGAAAGATATGATAGATCCGGGGGAGTGATGAGACGAAATGGAAAGAAAGAAAAATGGACTAAAGATATACTCGAAGATATTTTCGAAGGACTTCTTGCTCTCATTCCAATTAAAAAAGGTAGTAGATCTCTTAGTCCTGGACAAATATATACCGTTTTGCTCGCTTTTGCTAGGAGTAGTAATGGTGATTATCAGACTGTCGTTTCGGTCTGGGAAGCTTTGGAAAGGAAGTTTAACCAAGATGGTTGGATGGGACGGAGAGAGGATGGTAGATTAAGTAAACTTCGTCGGGTGTTGGGTATTGGCCGTTCGTCCGAGTCATAGAATCATACATACAGTTACAACTTGAGTCATTGTCATAATCGGTACACATCTTCATATTCTGGTCACTCGTATCAACGAGACATATGACATGGTGGTCGGAGGTGGACATTGAAAAGAGTATACAACCCCAATTATGTAATTGACATCAAAATAGAGATAGAGAGGTAGATGATACGAATGAACAACGTGTGATCATGATAATTCCATATGCATTGTGATACTTGTATGGATTTGAAACAAATCACAATTCTACATCTTCATCATCATATGCTTCTTTAATCAGACGATAGATATAACTAGGTGAATGATCACCTTCATTAGTGACGAAAAGATTTATCAATTCAGGTTTAACGTAATCGTAATAACTTCCCATTACCTGAACTCCACCTCCTCCTTCTCCTCCTTCTTCTCCTTTTTCACCATCACCACCACCTTCTTTCTTGATCCCTTGTCCACCACTTTCCCTCACCTCAACAAATGTTGTCTTTTCATCTTGTTGAAGATTATTGAGGGTAAGAGAATATTTATCCCCAACACCTAATTCATCCCTATCACCCCACAATCTCCCAGGACCTTGGAAATCAACAGCTGAATAATCATGATAACTATTCCAAGCTGGTGCGAATTTGAATTGTCCAGTGACGATCATGACTGGTTTAGAATATGCTCTAGCGGCTAAACAAGCTGATAAAGTACCGGATAAAGCGAAAAGACCACCATTGGCTAAGACGGTATGACAAGATAAGACGAGTTTTGTTATTCTTGGCATCAAAGCGTGGATGGATGAATCTGGTATGAGAAGAGTTGGGATGGAAGCTGAGGAAAGGGATGATGCCATGGAATGACCTAAGTAGCTGGAGGGTTTAGCATGAGTTGGTCCAGAGTGATTCATTCATCTGTCAAGAGGGTGGGAATGTGGACAAAGTGGGTCGAAAGAGAATGTTATATCCGCTGGTTTCTGATGACGGGCGGTGAATTGGAGGGAAAAGGCTAGGGGTGATGATCAAGAATACGTCCAATAGGAAATTTTGGTGGAAGGGTGGTAAGAGACTGAGGGGAGATGAGGGGATGAGGGGATGAGGGGATGAGGGTCCGATAAGGTCAATAAGGGAAGGGGAGAAAACTCACGAAGGAGCTGATTCAGCAACTACAACTGTAAATTTTCTATCTCTATACGCATGTTTAAGAAACGCTTCGACGGTTTTTGAATGTCCCAAAGTGAGGATTATCTCACTGATAGTCAATCACTACCCCACTTCACATATCCACACATCACATCTAGAATACATATTGGGAAATATGAAGTGTTCGAGATTTATCTTGACTTATTGGAGAGATTGTGAAAGTCGAGCAGTAAGCCAAGATGAAACACTTCACTCACCTCCCATGAATATGTTCCCTAGCACCCTTAGCCACATCCTCATGAGTACTTTCCAATTCCCCTTGTACCTCCTCTATAGCCTGTAACAAAACAGGTTTCAATTTCCCACTTTGTCTCATAAATTCCCCACTATCAACTCTTTTCAAATCCACCATTCTCACTCCCTGATCTTCGTTCCTAGTTGGGGACATGAACAGATTACTTGTACTTGTTGATAAATCAACTAACGAACCACTTCTTTCCAATTGTGACTGAGCACGAGAATGTCTCATAACTACGAAATTTGATAAAGAAGCAGCACGTTCCATCCCCCCGCCGAGGTCAAGATTGGGTCGTGGTGATCCAGAAGGGGAAGTGAAGGAGAGTTCGTTTGAAAGATAATGTGAAGAAGGAGCGTGGAGTCCTGGTGTGGTAGGACCTAGAAAAGGGGTTTCTGGAGCGGAAGGAGGAGCGGAAAGATGTGCGGTTGCGGCAGCTCGGTATTCTTCTCTTATAAGACGAAGAATACGTCGGATTATGTTTCCAATAGCTAGTTCTTATATTCAGTCATACTTTCGCTCGGTTCCATTTTGCCAGCATGAAGAGGGACGAGATTTATGATTGCTGAAAAGGTTTATGTAGGACAAACAAGAAAATGAGTGAGAGGTGAAGATACGAATGTATGAATGCTGGGGAGGGTGATTGAATGAAGAAAGAGACAAAACCCACCCAAAGGATTAGCTTCGACCAATTTCCTCCCTACCATCTTGATCAAAGCCAAAAGTTCATCGATGGTAGTGTACTTTGCACTCCGGACCAGATTCTGAATCAACGCAGCGGTAGCTATAGCCACATTTCTCGATCCTACAATCTGTCTAAGCACATCAGCCTCTCATCATCAAACAAATTCTAATGGAGGAGAACCAACCTTCGACGAAAGGAAGTGACGAGAGCTTCTGTGAGTTTGACATGAGGATCTATTGGTTTCTTCATCGTCAATATCATTCTTATCCCCCGTACAGAGACTCACCATGATGAAAGTAAGCGATGTAGCTTATGTTTTCGTTGTGGTAGAGAACGAACACAGTAGGCCATCCGCCAAGGTAAAGTACTTTCTGGACGGGCTCGTATTCGAGTAGGGGACACGGAGATTGATACTATCTCCGCGCGCACCTCTGCCCAGTTGGTCAGCAGCCAGCAGCATGCTTTGACAACATGGATATACTTTGTCACTCGACTATGAACTCTACACATGATATAGGTCAGTCCATAGGGTGTGGGCGTTTGATAGTCTGATTGACGTACAGGTCCTATCTCTCAACAATACGCAGCGGCAGCAACGGTACCATTGATCAAATCACCTTCTCTTTGGCTTCCCAAACCTGTAAGTCTTCTTATCTCCCATGATACGACGCGGGGGGAGTGAACTGAGGGTCAGGTCGAACTTCCAAACGACATACATCCCCTTCCAGAAGATATAACAGCCTATGTAGGTTTTCTCATACTTGTCCTCCTTTCACGTGGTCTGTGTCCAACTTTGACATCGATTCGGTAGATGACGGAAATGGGCAAACGTTGATAGGTAGTTCGTCTACCCATTCACATTGGAAGAACATGTCCTCGGTCTACGTCCATCACCACACGAAGCTATAGCCCAGAGAAGAGCTAGGAACGCTTCCATACTTCATCAACGTGAACAAGAGGAAGAACAGAAAGAGTGAGTTGACCATCTTTCCTGAACATGGTCGGATGGAGTTGACAAAGAGACGAGAGGCTTTACATAGAGTAGCACCGGGTTATAACCCCAGTGCGGTATTGGTACCTACTTCCGCTTCCACATCAACTCCGAAAGATTTGATGGGAGGGTCTGGGACCCCTATCGGAACGAACACCGTTCAAGCCGATACATATTCTTCAAACTCCATGGCGGGCATAACGGCGAGCACAGAAGGAGGGGCCGATCCGATGGATGAGTTGGTGTCAAAGTTAGAGGAGATGGAGAATAAGAGATGATATCGTATGGGAACCAAAGAAACTATGTTGTATGTAATCTTGGTTGTTGAACGATTTCCTCACCCTTCATTGTGGAAGCATAGCTCCACTTCATGCTACCTCTTCCATACTCACACAACACTTACCACACTGCAAGTTTACGACAAGCGAAGCAGGTCAACGCGGTTTCCAATTCATTCAATGTAAAGAAAGCGGACAGGTGGTACTTTAGCCAGTCATCCCCCGCGCTCCCCAAACGTACCCACAAGTCAGCCAAATGAACCGATTACCGCTCAAACTGCGTCCGGGGAGGATAGGAACACCTCCAACGCTGACCCGGACCTCGCTGCAGGTAGATACCCCTGCAGCGACAGGCCAAGGTGCCGAAGTCATCGAGAGAACGGGTTTAGGGGGACAGAGTGGCAAGGACGACGAGACTTCGACCAAGGGTTCAAAGACGATGTAGCAGCTTGGAGGCATATAGTGAGGAATATGAAGATGCTTTGACTGTCGTCCCTATATTATTCTCGCCAGTTTTGAAAAGATCAACGCCCATGTCATCTCGTCTACTGGCCGTATCTACGTTTCACCTTGACCATTCAAATTGCTCGTTTTGGGCCTTCTCGTCCCTTCCATCCTCATTTAAAACCACCTTCCTCTTATGGATTCTATCAAGACAAGGATCTCCTCTCCTTTGATTGTGAGGCGGCGCCTCATTTTTTACCCCTATACGTCCTAGCGACCCAGCATCTTTCACATACCGACCACGTCTTGGACGACATCATAAGTCAGGCCATCCTCTGCTATGTTGAGTATAAATCCCTCGAGTGGTCCGTCCTTGGATGGAAATGATGGGAATGATCCATCGTCCGTACAACCTCTGAGCTTCCGATCGCCCTCTGCTCAACCCCAAGCGAGTTTCGAGAGAGGACGAAAGCGGAGCAACCGCTAGCCTCTTCCTCTAGAGAGTATACTGCACACTTAGCTCATAGTATTTTGATCCTCGTGAAGGAACAGGGACCAGATAGCCTACGAGGAGAATCTTCGCAAAGCCTATTCCGAAAGAATACATCCACCGGGGAGAACGGGTCCCACATATACCCACCAACCGTTTGGCATCCCAATTATGGGATTCTGGCCGTCCTCGGCTCACCGCCAGGGGCTAAGACCTCGAACGACGATAGCTCGAAACTGTGGTGGCGAGGCTTAGCGATGGTGAAATCGCCTGCACCTACGTCGACATTGGGAGAGATGCCCGTTGTCACAAGTATCTTGGGCTGAGCGGATACATTATGAGTGGATGTACATACATGGTTGAGTCCCACACTTTGATGTTCGTACTAGGCCTCACTCAACCGAAGTGCCACGTTGAGCGCCACATAAACCGCCGAAAACGCCGTGTCGGAGATGTTGCCGGTGGACCCCTCGGTTCAACGATTTGCCGATTAAACCACCTTCTTTTGCGTCTGATACACTCAGTTTACTTTGATACCCTACTCGTCTATCTCACGTTGTCTCAGGAAGAACGAGACAGATCAGCGACACTCCTTCTCCTCGGATCAATCCTCCAGCCCCACCAAGACCACTTTATCTCACTTTCGCCACTTGTGCTTTTGCACCCAGACTTGCACCCTCCATCCCTTGCCTTCTTTCACCTCCACTCGGTCTCTTTTACCCACTTTCTTCTTCGTAAACCTATTGCGAAATGAAACGAACTTGGGAGGCTACAGGTCAGGAATACGCCCCACATCCTCCCGCAAATCAACACAACGAACCCTTGTGGACACAGATGCCCTCTCACCCTTACGCACAGGCTTACTCGTCAATGTCTAACCCTTTCACACCCCAGACTCTTCAAGGTGCTCTCAACGGTGGTTCGGCCTACGATCCAAACCTCTATCCATCGCCGCAGATCCCAGCAGAAAAGAGATCGAGGATGTCCGAGGCGCAAGAGTATGGTTTGAACCATGAGGAGACCGACGGCGAAGAGGATGACGACGATGAGGACGAGGATGGCGACGAAGGGCCTGATGGGAGTGGCAAAGGTACTCCGGCAGGAAGGAAACGTTCTCAGAAGAATTCTGATTCGAAGAAGGTGAAATTGACCAGAGGATCCAGGTCAGTCGTCCAGATGTTGCTTTGGCGGGATGCTGATGCCTTTTTCAGAGCTTGCATCGCCTGTCGAAAGATAAAGATGAGGTGCGTTCCAGATGAAAGTCCTGGACCTAATGGGCCTTGTCGAGTGAGCGCTATCAGAATTTACTTGGCGGAATCGAGCTGATCACTTTAGAGATGCAAGGTTGGCGGACATGAGTGCGTGTTCGAAGAATCAAATCGAGGAAAGCGGAGTACGAAGAAGAACGAGGCTTTAGCTGCTAAAGTGGGCAAGATGGAGGCTGCTTTGCAGAGGATAGGCGCAGTGAGCAGCTCGTCTCATTCTCTTAGACCAGCTGACCGGTACAGACGTTGAGCAATCTTGATCAAACATCACTCAACTCCTTCTCAACAGCACTGCATTCCGTCACTTCCGATCCCGAGATCATTCAGATCATTACTTCTCACACTTCCCCGGCCGCTGTACCTACCCTGGCCGTAGCTATGAACCGACCTACGTATCCGCCTGCACCCGATTCATATTCTGGCTCATACGACATGCACAACGGCAGGGGGGAAGACTCTGCTCATCAACCGCCCCTGTCACCTCGCCTTCATTCTCTTCCTGACAACGTTCTCTCACCTCTTGGGCTGCTTGCAGAAGCGAGCTTACAAAATACCGATCCTGGTGGTAGAAAGCATCATCGCAGTCTCTCTGGATCCAAGCCGGCACACCGACCCTCGCCCTTGAGTTTCAACGAAACCAGGTCTACTGCGGGGAGGAGAGGTAGCATGTCACGGACCGGAAGTGGGTACAGGATGGCCACGAGTAGCGTTCGAGGCGGCAACGGCGAAGACGAGCTCGAGAGCGAGGACAGGGGAGGCGTGGCATCGCAGAATTACTTTCGGCCAGGTGAGACTCATCCGTCCTTCGCAAGCCTCATACTGACCCACAGGAGCGGCACACATACCCATGGCCGGTGTGGACGACGATCGTGTGCCAGAACCGTTGACAATCATGTCACGGGAAGAAATGGCAGAACTTTTTGATATCTTCTTCGATCATAGTGGGTTTGATCAGTGTCTTTTCGAACTGACTTGTCTAGTGTCTCCCCATGTTCCTCTTTTGTATCGCGACTTCCACACACCTGACCTCGTCCTGCAACGAAGCCAGTTTCTTTGTACCGTCATTTGCGCCATTTCTGCCAGATACTATACCAAAAACCCGGATCTCCACGCCCGATTGTCGGCACATGCTAAACGATTGGCATTCGAAGTCCCATCACGGGGATACAAAAGTGTCGAAGTTTGCCAAGCCTATCTACTTCTCTCCCTCTGGACGCTGGGACCTGAAAAGACGTCAGTGTCACAGCTTTATGTCATCATTGCTGATCTAATTAGGTTTGAGCAAGACCGCACATGGCTCATGCTTGGTATGGCGATCCGTATGGCCACGGATCTCAATCTACATCGAAAGTCCGTTGTGTCCGGACTTGACACTGACGAAGGTCGAGCTCGTGATTTGGAAATCATCAATCGCGAACGCACATGGTTATTATGCTTCATCCTCGATCGATCTATCTCGGCGCAAATGGGCAAACCGTATACTCTCCGCGAGGATTACATCATCCGTAATGCATGTGAGGCTTCATGGCATCAACAACGATTCTCTCTTCCCTCCGACCGAGCCCTGGCGGCGTATGTCGTGTTGCAGCAGATCATGTCGAGGGTAATTGATTCGATTTATTCGTCTACGACTACGATCTCCGGTCTACGACAGGATTGTGATTGTCAGTGCATCCCTTACGCCCCACCGAAATTGGTTTTTTGTGGATCAGACAGACGCTGATTGTTTCAGACCTGCTGATCGTCCGTTCAGCACATGAGGAGCTGCGTCGTTGGCTGACGGAATGGAACAAACCAGAATCGTGGGTTTCTCTCCCATTCCTCCTCCCATCTTTTCCACCTTTTAGGCTTTTTCTGTGTTTGAGGGACTGAAACTGACTTGTACAGATTTGCTTCAGGAGATTCAAATGTGGAATATGATTCCCGCGCCCAATTCTACTACGCCTACTCGTCTCTTGTTCTCTACTCCTTTGGACTGGAAAATGCGGTGGATCGAGCTAAAACCGACATTTCATTCTTCCTCACAAACGTGTATGAAGCCGCCACCCGTGTGTGTACCGTCGTGAAAGAAGAGTTCCTTCACAAGGGTTATCTGCCTTATTTGCCGGACACGAATTTTGTCATGTGTAGTTATGCGCTATTATCATTGTTGAAATTGCTCAAACCGGAATTACAACCATATCATGATTCTGAAGAGGCCATTTTTAAGCTTGTCTCGTGGGTTTCTTTGTCCTTTTCACTCTGATCCCTTTCATCCTGACTCTCTGACGGCCTCATCGTTATCATATCTTGCCCTCACAATTCCATTCTTTCGCAATCATTGTAGGGAGATGTCATTTGTGTTGGTACTCTCTGGTGAAAAGGATGTGTAGAAGTGCCTTATCGAAATGCTGACCCTCAGGGAAGTAGAAAACATCCTCGAATCATGTGCCGTAGATCCTTCACACCAACCGGCCATTTACGCAGCTTTCATACGTGAAATCGTACGCAAAACTCGGGAACTTCGCAGAGGTCCTAGTGCTCAACCTAGTCGAATGAGCTCACCGGACGTGATGGGCAATGGGGATCCGACGGGACAACAGGGCCAAGTGTACGACCCTCAATTGATGGATCAAGCTTGGTCGCAATCTCAATCTGACGTGGAAACTGCTCAATTTCAGTTCATCCCCCAGGGAGGTGATATGATGTGAGTAGAGGATTACTTTCTCTACTATATAAGCTCTTACCTCCTGACCTGTCTTCTGTGATCTTCCCCATTTGAATGTCTACTCCCCATCATACTCATGATACACTAGGTTTGATACTTCCGGCCGTTCCCCTTCTGCCAACCATCGCTTGGGTCATGTGGTTGGAATAGTCTTTGCACACAAGGGAATGGCCTCGTAGTAGATGAAAGAAAGATCTCAGCTGAACTCAAAGGATCCTCCCATCAGCCGCTGGTCCTTCACAATCAATGCAAAGTTCCCCAGCTGCTCATCTCCTTCCTTCGACATACAACATCCCAACTCCTCAAGCTCAAAATGCCGGATGGGCGGAATACTTACCTACATTCATGAGTTCCGACGGGTTTGACGGATGGGATGGATCAATGTTGTTACCTGGTTTCGGTCGAGGTCAAATCACTTTGTCGGGAGGTTTGTTACATTCACAATATGGTAGTGGGATCATGTGAGTTGATGTTCCTTGTCCCCTTCGATTCTTCAACTCTTTGAGTCTCCCAAAATCACTTTTCTTCCCTTATCTTCGCAACCTACACCCCGCCCCAACCTTTTTCTCTCTGTGCACGCTTTCTGCCCCCGGCGTTGGCGTTGGCGTAAACATCGTGACCATCCTGAACACTCCATAAGTGGGCTCAGAGGACCCCTGGTGTAGGCATCAGCTGATTATCAGAACACCTGCTCAACATACACCCAGTCAGAGCAGAGCAGCAAGCAGAGTGGCTAGTAGGGCTCAATCACCTTTGTAATGTCATTGACATGGATCGGAATTGCCATTGGCATATATCGGAATTGTCATTTCATGTATCTCTATGGCTTGTGAGGTCCATCCTGTTCAATCACTGATGGCGGTGACCGCGTATCTCTCAGAGAAACTCACGCTCAAAAAGAATACAGATGATGTGCAAAGGAACAGGCAATGCATGACATTGTAAATCTCAAACAACCCAGAGAGATTTCACACTACAAGGTCCATGCTATGGTATATGGTTCTATGGTTCTACGGGTCGAAATGCGACTTGTTTGGGAAGTCTAAAAGTGAGACGATACATGTCTTTCCCAGGAGCGACAGATCTGACTAGATGAAGATTGTAATTTTCCATCGTAGATGAGACAGTATGATTCAATCGTTCACTTGCTCGCTAACCGTCAGCTTGTTCCTGATTATTATATACAGTATTGAAGCTCAAATTCAATATCAGAGATGATGTATACAAAAAACGTCCTGGATCAGATCCAATCGCTATTCGCATAGTCTATATGATGGAAGTGAAAGAAAAGAAATGCAAGAGGATACAAAACATCCAACAGTGGAAATCCCCAAATATAAAACTAATTGAAACAGTTTTGTAATAAAACTCACCGAACAGATATCCCTCTCAGCCCCATGACGTTCCATCTCACGAGTAAAGCAATAAACATGTATCAATGGCATAGGACATGAATCACCTTGAGAACCATATCGTTCGGTGAATTCCGGAATGGAAAGTAATGGATGATAACAACCTCGATAAGCATCTAGGAATTCGAGTGCGGAATCAGGTAAGTTCATGATGAAGTGGTTTATCAATTGAGGGGTCTTTGTCTGATTTGTCTGAGTTGTTTGAGTTGTCTGTTTTATTTGACATACTGGATCAGCTTGTTGTTTAGACGGAAGAAGTGGTGTGGGTGAGTCTGAGGATGGGTCGTCAATGAGAGATTCATAATTGGTTGAGAATCCGTTCAGGACTGGAGATGATTCGATCTCGTTTTGGGAGGAAAGAGAGGATGGGGATGGGGTAGAGGTTTGGGACGATGATTTGGTAAGATCTCGGATCCGTCGAGCTTCTTTCAAAGCCTTGCGTTTGTTAGAAGGGGTGACGAAAGGTTGGAAAGGTTCTGTCCATGCTGTATAAGCGGCCATCCGGATGAATTGTCTTCCGTCTAGTTCTGTCACACGAAGAGTTTCTTCAACCTGATTATCAACACATCGTATCTCTTCCACGCAAAACCCATCAGTGAACTCACCTTATTCTGCACACGATTATGCCTCATCCATTTCACACTCTCAGGGTTCAAATCATTCCCTAGAACATAACAACCCCTCTTAGCAGCTGGGATAGCAAAAGGTCCAACACCAGCCATAACATCCGCTATCACCTCTTCATCTGAAAATGATTTCACCAAACGTTCATGTTCCGATCCAAGACGTGAATTCCAATATACTTTGGAGAAATCAAATGTGAAAGAACAAGATTGTTCGTTTACAGTGGTGATGAGGTCGTCATCCCCGGCTAAGATTTCCATGTCGAAGTATCGATATTGTGCATGGATGGTATTGAGTTTATTAACGATTGTACGGAGATTCTTATTTTTCTTAAAACCATCAACTTTTTGTATCACATTTCTTCGATGTTATGAGAAGGACTAACATCGAGGAGAACTTGACCTATTAGGTTTTTATACGGTTGCCATTCGTCTAATAAATTGATATGACCTGTGAATTAACCCGGAACATAGGCATGGATCCTGTCAAGGGTATAAGTGAGGAAGGGTCAGGTTGGAGATAGTGAGTTAACTCACCAATATGACCTGTCATGGTGATCGCACTGGGAATGTCGAGACCTTCAGTGTCAGGTAATACAGCATGAAGGATTTCGGCTGTAGTTTTAGCTGGTGAGAATGTCTTCTTCAGTCGGACTACGTGAAACATAGGGTCGACTTACATGCTGCCCAGTAGTCATATCCCAACTCCACAACATCAGAGACTGGTATTGCCTCTTCAGCTCGAAGCACTTCTTTCGTTATTGAGGGTAAATCGTCTGAATGGTGAGCTAGTGCGAGAGTCACAACGCAAGGTAGCTGACCTGTTGATTCAACCCTCATACGTAATAGTCTGAGTGAAGGGTCATCGTGTACAACGTCTACTGTTTTGACTCTAGGTATATCTAGCATCTGTCTAGGTTATGAGCAAAAAGACCACAGAACAAAAAGCACGGACCCTTTGATAGATGGATGAACACGTAGTTGAGATATCCGACTGGCAGGGACTCGATAAGATACGATAGGGAATCGTACGGTGAACAAAGAACGATCGAGAGTTGTCATTCCTACATGCTTGGGAGGGACCAGTCTGTCTCGTAGTGATGGCGCTTGAGGAGGGGGAGAAAGACGAGAAGGACCAGCTTCAGTCGAGCTCAGTGTCGAAGGTGCAGTCATAATTCTTCGTACGTCAATTATGTGGGTGTTTCTCGGACGCAAAGAAATAGCCAAGACCTGGATCAAGTATGAGATCTTGAGCATAAGAATTTGTAACAAGATGTCGGGATACGGTGAGAGTTGAAGGAAAGTTGGCAGTTAGAATTTCGGCTCCGAGATATGATGGAGCACGTGATCAGAAGCAATATTCCAATCTATCTACTATAATAACAGATTAACCCTCGAGATAAAGGAGGGGACAAACCACGTGGGACAAACCACGTGGCGCGCGGCGTTACCCACAGGGTGGAAGCGAGAGGATAACATGGGAGAGAGACAGACGCTAGAGGGCCACACAGGTTCTAAAAAGTGTGTGATAGAGTAGAGAGGAGGTGAATCCACGGGTCCACAGATCCACGGAGTCGGCTCGAGAGGCGAGAGACGGGCCTGTCAATTTGACAGGTTGGCCAACACTCGTCTACTACAATAATAGAAGAACACGAGATAAACCACGTGGAGACAAACCACGTGGCTAGCGGTGACGCCCGCAGGGTCGAAGCGAGAGGATAAAGAGGGGGGAAAGGGGGGGGGGGGAGAGCGACGGAGTAAGAGAGAGATACAATAGAGGTTCACAGGTTCACGGGTCAAAATTGTGTGTGAGAGAGAGAGAGAGAGGAATGAATTCCACGGGTTTCAAGAGTTGGCTCAAGAGGTGAGAGACGGGCCCTGTCAATTTGACAGGTTGGCACACTAGTAATATATACACGAGAACCAAAGTAATCGAGTGGACACATAACCACGTGGCGCGGCCTCGTGCATTGCTTACATCTTGCTCATCTTCGGCCCTTCGGTCATACAACTACTACTACTTGCACATCTACAATAAGGACGACGGGGGCGGGAGAGACTGTACTCGAAATGAGTTCCATGGTCATAGCTTCTGGATCTCTTTCCGTCGTTGGGATGTCTCGACGGGCAGTATCGACCATATTCACTCGACTTCCTCTCGCTCACTCTCGATGTCTCTCGAGTGTACCCATACGATCCCCGATCTTGACCCCAGGCTCACCCTCTAGCTTATGTCCAGTATCGACTTGCTTGAAGTCACGTCTCTCTCGTACCATCCCGCAACCGCAGTCACCTCTATATCACCTACGAAACCTCTCCACCTCTACTCCTAGACATGCACCCCCTCCATCTTCAACTAGCACACCGACAAGTACCCAGTCCCCACCTCCTTCTACAGACCCCACCCCTCCCGTCGCTATCAGTCCGGAGAAACCTCCCGGTCCCATTAAGGAGCCGGCAGAAAAGGATACAGATTGGCGTATCATGGTAAAGCTCGCTGGCAACATCTGGCCTCGTGGAGATACCGGCGTCAAAGTTCGAGTGATCGGAGCGTTGGTTTTGTTGGTAGCTGGGAAACTGTTGAATGTGCAAGTTCCGTTCTTCTTCAAGGATATCGTGGACGCTCTCAATGTGCCCATTACCTCATCTAGCACGGTGTGGATCCTTGCTGGGGCGAGTATCGCGGGGTGTGAGTCAGATCTCAATCTGTCATCTTCTTTACCATCTCATCTGGCTTCATGTCCCACATATGAAGAATACATGTGTTATGGTCGAAAGATATACCTTAGTAACGTCTGGGAAGATTTCAATGTGAGTAGAGCTAAGCGACTAGACGGCGCCGCTAGGATCCTAGCAACATTATTTGGTGAATTAAGAAACGCAGTTTTCGCCAGCGTATCCCAAGCTGCCATCCGTAAAGTCGCTAGGGAGACATTTGAACATCTTCTCAACATGGATATGAGGTTTCATCTTGAAAGACAAACCGGTGGATTGACACGTGCCATTGATAGAGGTACCAAGTGGGGTTTACCATCCTTACAAAGTAAATTTGGACTGATCTCAGGGGAATCTCTTTCGTCCTCTCCTCAATGGTATTCCATATAATACCTACTGCATTGGAGATTACAATGGTTTGCGGGATTCTTGTGAGTTCCGATCGAGGCGGGGAGAAGACAGGGAGCTGATCATATAGTCTTGGAAGTTCGGTTGGGACTTTGCTGCAGTGACTGCTATCACTATGGGGTTGTATACTTGGTTCACCTTCCGGACGACTGCTTGGCGGTGGGTAGCTTAGAGGATGGTCGTGTGGAACAAGTGCTGATCGCCAGGACCAAATTTCGGAAAGAGGCCAATAACGCGGACAATAAAGGGGCTTCGGTGGCTGTCGATTCGTTGATCAATTACGAAGCTGTCAAGGTGGAGTATCTCAACCGCTGATTGACTCCCCCCTTACCAGAGTTATTCTGTCTTCGCCTTTCCAAATGTTCCCTCTGATTTGTCCCTTGGCTCCGGCCTGCCTCCTCATTGTCGTCTTTGTTTTTTCGAAGATCACCTCCACGTTGCATACGGGGACGATACTCATCCCAGACCTTCAACAACGAAAAGTATGAAGTGGCTCAATACGATGCCACTTTGAAAACCTACGAAAAAGCGTCCATCAAAATCGCCACTTCACTCGCTGTCCTCAACTCTGGTCAAAATTTTATATTCTCCTCTGCGCTGACCATGATGATGCTACTCGCTGCGCAAGGGGTGGTGAATGGTCAGTTAATGCTGGCCTTTATAGACATTTAAGCTGATGAAATAGGAACAATGACAGTTGGAGATCTGGTCATGGTCAACCAACTTGTATTCCAACTTGCTCGCCCTTTGAATTTCCTTGGGACTGTATATCGAGAACTCCGACAAAGTTTGGTAGACATGGAAGTCATGTTCAATTTATCATCTCTGGATTCGAATATAAAAGTTTGTCTCCCTTCTGTCCTGACACACATTTCCCCTCCCTCCTCTTATCTCCCCTGTCCCGTCCCTCTCCATATATTGCTGATTGTAGTTCATTCACAATAAAATGATGACGGAGTTGAGGCGCCAGCTCAAGGGGCGTCGAATCGAGGTTAAGCTGACATATAGGACCGACCAGGAGCCAAACCTCTCATTCTCAAAGGTGGTGAAATCCAATTCGAAAACGTTTCTTTCGGTTACCATCCTTCCCGTCCTATCTTACAAAACCTATCCATGCGTATACCCGCCGGACGTAAAGTAGCCATCGTAGGTCCTTCCGGTTGTGGTAAATCAACAGTTTTCCGACTATTATTCCGTTTCTACGATTCATCTTCCGGTCGAATACTCATAGATGGTCAAGATATAAAAGACGTTCAACTTTCAAGTTTACGAAGTAAAATCGGTATCGTCCCACAAGATACACCATTGTTTCATGCGGATATCATGCATAATGTCCGATATGGGAATTTAGAAGCTACAGATGAAGAAGTTGTTGAAGCTGCCAAAAAGGCTCAAGTGGATGATACGATACAACGACTTCCGGAGAAATACAGCACTAAAGTTGGAGAAAGAGGTTTGATGATTTCCGGAGGGGAAAAACAGAGATTAGCAGTTGCTAGGGTTTTGTTAAAAGATCCACCTATCTTGTTTTTTGATGAAGCTACAAGTGCTTTGGATACTTATACAGAGACGGAGTTGATGAGGAATATCAATAATACGTTGGTGGATGGGACAAAGACTAGTGTTTTCATTGCTCATAAGTGGGTTTTCTCAGCTTCCACAATATCTTACCTCATTTGCTTCTCTTCCCTCTTCACCCTTCTTCATCTCTACCATCTCCCCCATCTCCACTACATCTGCAATGCGTGTCTCGCGGATATCTTGTTTCACCCAATCAAACACTCGTATAAGTACTTGCCCCAATCCGATGGGATATCTGCAAGAAGAAAGCTGTGAGGTTAGGAGGGACACGTCAATAGATGAGGCAGTGGACTGATTCACAGACTACGAACCATATCCGACGCCGACCTAATCATAGTTCTCGCCGATGGTCAAGTGGCAGAACAAGGGTCCCACGAAGAGCTCTTGGCCAAAGATGGTGGAGTGTATCAACGTCTTTGGATTGCTCAATTATCAGAAAGTATAGGGGGAAAGGATGAAGAGGCCGAGGAAGTTGACGAAGAGAAGAAGTAGATGTGAAGTTGTCTCTAAGGTCACTTCACATCAAATCGGTCAATCAGATCTATCCAATGTAGGCGTTCATCGCTTCATCATCAGGAATATGGATGCTCCACCCCCCTACTCATACGAGACGAGTTACTCTACCAATGAGTGTGGGCGACTAGTGGTCCCAACTACCAGGGGCTCAAATCACATCTCATAATCTTCGGATGATGGTGAACAGTCCAAGGTGGATCGATCAGAAGGTAGATCATAAACAATGCATTGCTCTTGCACATTACCACTCTCACAATGTGACCCATCTCGACTCTTCGAATATATCATACAGAACCCTTCTCTCCCAATTCTACTCCAGGTCTGATGGGAGTAGAAGTGGAGAGTGTTAAACTGCCAAGATCGACATGCCCCTCCCTCTTTTTATCCGATATCTCAGCGTCAATCCCACTATCTCTCCCATCCTCACCTGACACTTGCTTTCCTGGAGATCCGGAGGTGATATCAGGAACCTCAACCTGTTGATCCTCATCTATAACTTGACCTTCGTATTCTTCCTCATCACCACCTTCAACTTTCCATAAATACCCTTCTATCCATCCTGCCACTTCTTCTTTCCCTTCTCCTGCGAACATAGCTATGGAAAATGCGTCTTTTCCAGCAGCGTTGGTTTGCTGTTCATTAGCTTAGCGTCCTCGTGTGAACATAAGTATCGATAGATGCATTCTCTTCGTTTCCCGAAGCGGCAATGAATGACGTTCGAGGGGAAGAGTAGATTACTTCATCGTGTGGGCCTACCGGGCATGATTCCATGACGAAGGAGCTTAGCAGAAGTAAAGAGTAAGGGGTAAGGGAAAGGCGGAGGTGGAGAATGACTTGAAAGACGAGATGATGTGACACAGGAGAGACTGACTTTGAGAAGTTTTATTCCTCCACCATTTTCTTCCCCCAGCTCTACTAATGAACGAACGATAGCTGTATGGTTATTTATCACTGCGAAATGTATTGGTGGTGAACCTGCTTCGTTTGTTGTTGACAATAGCTCGGCGGGAAGATGAGGAAGGAGGTATTCCAGTATATCTGATGTCAGTCGAATTTCTTTCTCCCCCACTTTGCTTTCTTCCCTCAGCTTAATTTCATTTTGTAGACTGGGTGGAGGAAACATGTTCTGATGTTTCTTTGCAAAGCAGAAGCGAGTAGGGTCGGATAAGTGCCGCTGAGTCGCTAGGCAGATCCGGAAGAAAAGTGAATCAATTACCAGAAGTAGAGCAGGAGAGGCCTATCATCTGTTCAAAGTGGAGAAGTGGAAGCGAGAGGGATAAATGAAGTACATCTGAATGTCAGGACTCACCTAAATGTCCATTCCCACATATCATATGTAAACATGTGTTCCCTCTCTCATCCCTGGCCAAAACGACAGTCTCCCAACCAAATTTGTCCACATAGTTTTTCACTTCGTCCAATTCACCATATCGACAACTCAGCAGGAATTCTTCTTCTTCTTCCTCCGTAGGTCTTCTTCTCTCGTCCTCCGTACTGGACTTGTCGTTCATTTCAAGCATATTGTCACTGCTTACTGTAATAAGTTGAGAAGTCTGAAAAGTTGTCAAAAATTGAATGTTCAACAGCTTGTGAGTCGGTGGGGCTCCGCGTTTTTTTGCCGGTTGACTAGATCGCCACCCACTTTTCTTTGGCTTTTCTTCTGCAACAGTTAACAAGATCTCTGATAAAGTGAATAGACATGAAAGATAGATAACATAGTTCAAGATGGTAAAATCAAGGAAGAGTTCTCATGGTAAGACTGTAGATATCGCTCAATTCTTTTCAAAACCCGAATCATCCACTCCGGCCAGAAATACGAAACTCGATCGTACCCTTCCATCCTGTCCGCCCAATCGACCCGTGGCCCCGGTGGGCAAGGTAAAAAAGAGACCATCTGGAGGATCAGAAACGAACCCGTTGATAATCAGCGATGATGAGGTCTTTGGCGATGTTCAGGATAAGAACACGACGACGAAAACTAAGCGGAAATCTTCTCCTGTACTACTGCAACCCGATACCGGCGAATCATCAACTACCTCAAATTCGGCTGTTAAGAAGGAGACTGTAGATGGAAGACGACCTTTTGCTGGTTTACCTAATTTTGAAATACCTACCACTTGGCCAAACATCGTCAATACCGCTGAACAAGATATCGATGAAGTGGACGACGCGTCGGACGGTTCGAAAATCGATTTAGATACCAACGACTCGGAGAATGATTCGAGTGTGGGAAATGTCAGTATCGACGAAGATGAACGACAAAGGGGAGAGAGTGAAAAGAGGAGAGAAGAGAAAGAAGTAGTGGAGGTACAACCTCATTTACCTGATGGAAGGGCGGAACAGGATCTGGCACAGCGGACAGTGGACCTTAGTCTGGATTGGATAGAAGGGGATGAAGAAGGGATGGGGATGGAAGAGGAAGAAGAAGATTCTGAACTACAATCTAGAGAAAGAAGGAAGGCTAGGAAAGTTAAAGTGGATGAAGGCACTAAGATGACTGAATGTCCGATTTGTGGGGTGTCACTGAAGGGCAAGGTTAATACTGTGAGATTTTCCCTTCTTCTCTGGCTTACTCGCCTAAGTGTCTCCTCCAGTCTGGACTCTTGACCTCTCCCTCAAAATCCGCCGATCAAGTCTCACTTTTCTCCTTTTTCGACGTCTACTCTACCCTTGTTCTCTCATTTCCTTCTTCCAGATGTTTCTGCTGGAGAGCAGGCCTCGTCGGGCTTTGCCAGTCTACCGACGTCCCTGGATGATACAGTATAAAGGATTTGAGCTCACTAATAGGTGATTACACATCACATCAACACATGTCTTGACTCTAGTCATATCGCTCAACCAATATCTTCCTTCGATCCCTCGGCCCACTCAGCTCCACCGAATATACCTTCCCCACCTACCCCTCAGACGAAAGGACCCAATGCGTTTTCAGTTTTGATGAGTGGTCACAAAGAACGAGAACAGTGGAAAGATGCAGAGGCAGATTTGAAGAGGGACGGCAAACGTTTTGCCGGTCGGAGACCCGCTCCATTCTACAAGGTGTGTCAACCTTGTTCCATCGCCCAGTTTTCTCACCTCTCCACCTCCCTAAACACCTCACTTCGTTACTTTACTGGTATTCGTCACTCACGCATCTCAACACGATTGATCGTTGGAAAGGTGGTCGATCATATTGGAGAGGCTAAACAGTAGGTCATGACAGGTATGCCCGTAGCTGTCGACGCTTTCAGATATGGTGCAATACCCAAAGTCACGGCTTATCTCTTAACGTGTGTCCACTCCGTCGATCAAATATGTAGATCTGACGGAAAGACATGCTCACTCGGATCATTATACCAATCTATCACGATCATGGAACCACGGACCGATTTATTGTTCAGAGACCACTGCTAATTTGATCATACACATGTTAGGGGTAGAACCAAAATGGGTGGTAGGTCAACTCTTTTCATCCTGACTCACCTCTCCCAAGACCTTCCACATGAAATTATCTCCCTTCGTCGATGCCTCACTATGCTTGATTCATGGCGTTGTAAAACAGGTCATGACAGACAGCACGGCTTGCCTAATGATATACCTTTTGAAATGCCCAACACGGGCGGCGTTACCGTGACTCCCATGGAGGCCAATCACTGTGAGCTTCGGTCTGTCTAAGAGATATCAAGCTAAGAATCAGGCCCTGGCTCTAGCATCTTCCTTTTCGAAGGTCGTCAAACTGTCAACGCTGGTGATTCGGGTTTTACGTCTCCTTACGTAGGAAGCAAAAGAGTGTTCCGATATCTTCACTGTGGGGATTTCCGCGCGTACGTCTTGCTATTGTACCGTCTTCATCACTAGCTATCACTTTCCTCCGATGGACAAAAACTTGACACTGTTGTCGTGCTTAAGCCCGAGATTCATATTGGTCCGAGGGTTGACATATAGATGTCCAAAAATGGTTCTTCACCCAGCTATCGCCAAAGCTAAAATTGACACTTGTTATCTCGACACCACCTACCTCAACCCCAAATATTGTTTCCCTCCTCAACCTCTGGTCATTGAAGCCTGTGCCACTCTCGCACGAAAGACCGTCCGCGGTCTTCTCGATACCGCTCCACCTCTACTCGAACAAAAACCAAACCCTCATTCTCTCCTCCCTTCCGATACCTCTGTCTTAGACGTCAAGCCCAGCCTTGCCAACATGGATGATGATGGCGACCCTGAACTCGAGGTGAAGTCCGAGATTCCCGATTATTCAAGTCTCAATCCAGCCCCCCAGATTGACGAAGATGTCAAACTTGGGGTGAAAGTGGAGTCTGGTAATGATATTTATGCGGAAGCTGCGTTGCAAGAAGAGAAGAGTAAAGCTATGATGCAAAGCTGGTTGGTCAAGCGAGAAGAACCCGAAGGTTTGGAAGAGGTCAAAGAAGAGAAGACAAAAGGACGGACGTTGGTCGTCATGGGTACTTATTCCATCGGAAAGGAGAGGATTGTCAAAGGTGAGTTTGGCCATCTTATCTCAACGTCATTTAGCTCAGAGCTCTCTTTCAATGACTGACGCTGCTGAGAACGCGTAAAAAATAAGGACCGCTGATGTGTAAGCTGTAGCTAAAGCATTGAGAACGACGATATATTGTGATCCGAGGAAGAAAGCGATACTTCTCTGTCAGACAGACCCGGAACTTCATTCTCTTCTCTCTACCGATCCTGTATCCGTAAGTTCCATTTCTGCCTATGCACACACATCTCTCCACTCTATTCCATTCTTCGAATTCTATCTGGCGCATCTGCGAACATCCTTCTTCCTGAGTTTCTACTTTCAAGCTGGGATTATCACCTCACCGGTCAAGATCGTTTGGTCAATGACGGCATACTCGAGGGAATTGCCCAGAATTTAAGGATCAGAAGCTGACTCTCCAGTCCATGGTCCACCTCCTTCCTCTAGGTAACATTCAATTGGACAGATTACAAGAATATTTGACACGGTTACATCCTCACTTCGATCGTGTCCTTGGATTTCGTCCGACGGGATGGTCATACTCCCCTCCGGCGGGAACAGACCTTTTGCCCGATGTCAACACTGTCATCCGGAGGGATCAGAGTAGGGGTTTCACAGATGCTGGTTTGAAACCTATGAGAGGGTCATGTAGACAGTATATGATGTATGGTGAGTGTCAGGGTTTTCCTCTCTAGTTCCCACGCTTTCTTCCTATCGGTCTCTGCTGTCACTCCCCTATATCCTATGCTCCGGTCTCTTGATGTTGATATGTTCTTGGAACGTCATTACGAGGATTCTACGTGTATGAGATCCTAAGGAAACTCGTGTATCTGAAAGGATAGAAAACTAATTCACAGGCGTGCCATATTCCGAACATTCGAGTTTCTTCGAGCTCACCTGCTTTGCGTTATCTCTTCCCGGACCAGAATTGAAGATGATAGCTACTGTCAATGTGGGGAATGAGAAAAGGTTAGTTGCTGTCTTTTGTCATTCTTTAATCCTATGATAGTCTACTTCTACTTTACATGAAAGAACCTTCCTACCATTCATCTCACATCACTGCCAGTAAGATATCACATGAAGTATGTCTTCCCTGATACTGACACTCAGTCGAGCGAAAATGAAGAAATGGTTTGAAAAGTGGTTAGCGGAAAAAGCCAGACGACGTGAAAAAGGTCTTCCGTCAATTGTCGATTACAGAGATGAGACACATGTGAGTTTCACCATGAAAAGGTTTATTTTCTGGTGCTGACGACGTAGTGGTGATTCCTATGTACTGTATCAATCACTTTACCTCATAACATCTATCAATTATCCAATCAATGTATCATATTAACAATGCATTATTGTATCACACAGACAGGATCCAGGTCGAGGATAGGGGTGACTTTCACTTTCTTCTTTTGTATCGTGATCTATCATCAGCACCTGTCCGATCAAGCCATGTCGGGATGTTGTAGAGGACAAACAATGGGGGAGAGCAAACTACCAACAGGAGGAACTACAGCTGTAGGATGAAGTGTTTTTAGGGAGATTGACTTACGGGGACCATGGCACCTCCTGGTAATTTAGTGCCCTGGGGTAAAATCATAGGAAAGTCGGCAACGCTTGACATGGGAAGGACAGCTCCACCAGGTAAAGAAGTCCCGGCGGGTAAACTTATGTATCATCAGTCTCATTCTCTCATTCCTTCTTTTGTATTTCATCTGCTGTCTACCTCTTCCCATCATCTCCACATTCACTGGATGGGATACACCCTCGGGAGGAGAGACTCACAAGACTCCTTCCGTACTGTCATCAGCTCATGTTTACTTCATACCTGAGTGGTCACTCACATAGTATGATAAGCATGATATTTGATACCATAACCATCTGGTACTATCGCGTTCTTTCATCTCAGCACGATCTACCAACCTCTCTTTTCTAAATTGCTCTAATCAAGGGGGTAGAGAAACTTACGGGAATCTGTTCCTCCACAGTGACTGCAAAGGGATGTACGGGTTTTCCCATACCTATCCCTGGTGGTAATGGAGGTTTTGAAGCCATTTTGATTATCTCTCTTTTCCCAAATTACCACCCTATGTTTATTCTTCAAACTTCCGTTTCCCCAGTTCAGATTCAAGAGATTGATACTGGTTATCCAAGTATAAAGAACATCTTTGAACTGATCTCATTCCCACCACGTCCGTCTTGGAGAGCAAAGGAAGGTAAATTCCACGCTGGGGTAAAATGTCAAAGGAACATGTAGCATTGTTGAGAAAAAGTGCCACTTTTCGAATTCGCCACATTCGCACGCGACCCTCCACGTCATTCAAACTAAGTATCCGTCATGACCCGCCTCCCTCTGAACTCAACTCACACGCATGACAAAGCATTGCATTCATACATGTTCAACGTGGTAAAACATTCAGAAGATTGTGATCTAGGATCTTAAAAGTGTTGCGAGGATATAAAGGTTCGAGGAGAACGATATGCGATCGAGAGAAAGAGGGACGAGGAATATGTTGCTGGTGGCTCTTTTTGGTAGTCTAGGAGCTAGGGGTTTGTTGGCTGGTCCATCGGCTTTGGATAGTAAAGTCGCTCGGAATGTCTTGGAGGGAAAACCGGAGGGATATTGTTCTGTAAGTTTGATTCCCAAGTCTAGGTCCAAGCCCACCGAGTTTCTCCTGTTGGTGTCAAACCACATTCAGCTAAACACTCACATCTTCTCTCTTTCTCCTACGACAACCCACGGGGGGGTTGAAGCGCTTCACTTCTTAGGGCGATATATCTGGTCTCTCTCTCTCTCTCCAAGTAGAGGAGTCGTGATTTCAAACGGTTCAGTAACCATCCTGACCCCAGCCTTCCGGCCCGATCGAATCCACTCATTGTTTATACGAAACTATCGAATCTCTCAACCCACGTCTCTTCCCAGTCATACATTCCCTCGTCGAAACACCCTTCTTCCGACATTACAAAGTCGACCTTTATCGCGAATGTCCGTTTTGGCACGATAATGGGTTCTGTATGAATCGCGATTGTGGTGTGGAGGAAGCGGACGAGAGTCAGATACCGGAGAAATGGAGGAGACAGGCATTATCAGAAGTTAGTGTAGTACCTCCTGATGAAGGTGAAGGAAGTGTGGGTGGATGTTATTTCAGGGAACAAGATTTCTGTTACATTGAGGATGATGCGACTCAAGGTGGGTCCATTCTATCTTTTTTTTGTTTGTGTTAAACCTTCTTGTCCTTGTCGTTCTTCTTGCCTTCCTCTTGATTCTTTTTGTCCTTGATCTTCTTTTGCTCTCATGTATCTTGATGTGCATGATAGGCGTAAGGGAAAAGAATGAAGTTGGGTATAGTACAACTGACACGCAGAGGGACAATACGTCGATCTTACTCTCAACCCCGAAAGATTTACAGGATACGCAGGCGATTCTTCCCATCAAGTTTGGAGAGCTATCTACGAAGAAAATTGTTTCGGACTTTCTGAAGCCTCTTTAGATTCTCATTCCCCTCCTTCCCCTAATAAAGCTTCACGCGCGTCCGCCGTTGTGGGCGCCGGCTCCGGTGCTTCGTCGGGTGGTTTTGGATTCTCCAAATTATCAGAAGGCTGGGGTACTGAAATGCTCAAAAGTCAAGTGAGCGAAGGTACATGCGAAGAGAAAAAAGTCTATTATCGCGTCATCTCAGGATTACACGCCAGTATCTCCATTCATATCTGTCACGAATACTTGGATCAACAAACAGGTGAATGGGCTCCTAATCTACCATGTTTCGTCTCCCGTCTAGCGACACATCCGGAGAGATTATCAAACGTTTACTTCAACGCTGTTTTGATGTTGCGAGCGGTTGAAAGGGCCAGCAAATATCTAGAGGCGTATGATATTTCCACAGCGCCCTTGGGACGATTGGACGAACTGGGGAAGAAGAAAAGGGAAGAGGATGTCAAGGCTAAAGGATTGTTGAAAGAGGTTTTACATTTGGCCGGAAGCGAAGGTATGGCACATGGATTTGATGAAGGTGATTTTTTCACTGGAGATGATGCTTTGGTGAGTTATCATTTGAATCTTCATTGTACAGAATTGACGAGAGAAGATCTTAAAAGAACAATTCAAAACGCACTTTAGGAATGTCTCAAGGATTATGGATTGTGTGGGTTGTGATAAATGTCGATTATGGGGCAAGTTACAAGTGTCTGGTTTGGGTACGGCTTTGAAGATTTTATTCGAGCTTGACGATAAGGCTTTAGAGTGAGTCTACTCTAATTTGCTGCGTGTTGAGAAATCAAGCTGATTATGTGTAGTCCTAAAATCAACCCTGACCTTCTTCAAAGATCCGAAGTGGTAGCTCTCTTCAACACTCTTCATCGATTATCTGAATCACTCGCAGCTGTTGAAAACTTCCGTAAAATGTACGCTCAAGCTCAATCGTCTGAATCTTCCACAAACGCAGAATCTCAACCAACATCGAAACGTCGCCGAAAGCCCAAGAAGGTTGAATCATCAACAATGGCTGAGACATCTTCGAGGACAATATCCGCTTCTGCCACACTTGGATTGGTAGTTTCCGCACTGGAGACGTTTAGAAGGGGATGTAAAGGATGTTTAGAGGTATGCTGGAGACAATTGGAAAAAGGAAGAATGGGACATTTAGTTGAGATTGTAAAACGTTGGGCGGAGGAAAGAGTACCAGGGATTATGGGTAGAGTAGAATTGTGAGATCTTTTTAATTGTTTGTACTTTACTGCCATACCTTGCATCATCCACTTCAACTATCAAGTTCCATAATTACTGACCGAAGGCATCCTCCTCAAAAACTACTTACTCGTTATAGTTGTCATCATAATGAGAATAAGAATAATCTTCATCCTCGGAAATGTATTCCTCCTCCTCCTCCTCCTCCTCCTCCTCTTCATCCAGTTCAGGAGGTGGTACCAATTTCCTTGTTCTTTTATCCTCTTGCACCCAAATATCTCCTTCTAACGTTCTGTCAAACTCTACGTTTTGAAAGATAGTCCCTTTCAACTGAAGTGGTCCTGTCAAAGTAGGTTCCGAACAATAAGCTCCACTCTCATTCTTCCACATTTCCAACTTTATTACTCCTTGAATCACCTCATTATAATTCTCATAATTCTCATGTGTTGTATCATCATTCACGAAATTAAGATGTACTTGCCAGTTCGGAGGATGACGAGGCATAGTTTTCCTAATATGATCCCATGAAGGATTTCCCTGCACTTCCTCTGTTATATCTAAAGCAAAATCTACCAATACATTGAATGAACTTTGTACCCAAAAATCTTCCAAGTTCTCAATTCCTAAGTCAGTTGGAGGGGGTACTGAATAAGTAGCTTTGAAAGGTTCAGAGATACAACTTACACTCCAATGTGTCCAAGGATTTTTCTTTGCATTTGTACCTTGTCCAGAAAGATCTTCAAGTTGACATGGGAAAGTGGTTTGTTGTCTTAATTTGGATAACACGGAAACGGGGAGGTTTGAAATGAAGAAAGAGTTATATCTATCTGTATGAACTGTGACACTGTCAGGATAAGGAACGAGTCGAAGAAGAGCTGATTTTGTGGCTTCGTCTTGTGCTTCTGCTCGTTGAATACTTGGAGCTTGAGATAAAGAAGGACGAATGAAATCTGATCCTCTGACAGAGGGATTGGTGGATGAAGAAGGTGAGGAATTCGAAGTGTTGGAACGGTGGGAACGGTGGGAATGTCTTGGCATTTCAATATATTTGTTTGTATATCTGGTCAAAGTAGAAGGATAAGATGATGAGATGTCGGGAAAAGGGATAGATAACATGTTTGTTGTTAGGATGTAAAATGTGATCGGAGTTGTAATGTCATATCAAAGGGAGTGAGTGAAACGTGTAAGCGGAGTGAACCTCACTTGTCAACAGATGAGGTGATCGTGAAAGAGGTGTAAGCTATACACGTGACGCCTTCATTCGGATTAACATCTCCTTGACGTCGGCGGATGATGTGAGTGTCGAGTGTATCATCGAGACGAGGTAGAATAGGATGAAGGGCGGGTTTTCACCATTACGATGGATGTCGTTATCAGGAAAGTCAAGAAGGCGTAGTTCTCAAGTATTTCAGACTCAAGTGTGAGATTGATGGAACTGACGGTCAAACAAACGATCTTGCCCTCTGGTCACCTGGAGTGATCAGTAGTCAATCGTCAAAGATATCATATAATATGATCAAGATGCTAAGTTCAGTACGAACGAAGATCTCAATGCTGGGAAATGATACAGACAAATCTTTCTTGGACTTGCCCCCTCCCCAAAAATCATCTCACCCGTCTTGCCCATTTTCTATCCTTTGTCAACTTCCGTCATTCATCCCGATGTTACCCATCTCACAATCCCCACCTCACCCGCCAAACTTCCACACACCCCTGTAAGAATGCATCACTGGTCTATTCCAAGTTTCTTTTGCATCGAATTGATTGGCGTCATATTGTTCCGGAGGGAAACCTAAGGCGTACGCGGGAAGAATGATGATATCTCCTATTAACGAAGGAGTCTGAGGTTCGTATAAATTCGGAGGGGTGATTCCGTAGGCTGACAGAAGGTACCGGAATACGGCATCGGTACTGACTTTCAGTAAATCTTCGGTATAGCATGGGAAAATCTTACAAGGGACCTGGACCGGTGATTTCCGACTGAAAGTAAGCACAGAAAACGTAACAAAAGAGGAACGTCTGCAACCTCTCACTTTATGTATACATCTGCACGACATAGGGAAAAAAGAAAGAGGGTCGATGATTCACATTGGACTGTAAATGATGACTGAGCAGAGAGAATGAGGCAACGATGAGAACACCAAAACTTACGATTTTTGATCCATCCAATTTACCCTCCTCTTTTGCTTGCTCGATCATCTCCATGATGGAGACCACCACATCTATGAAAATTGGGTGGAATGGTTTTGCCTGTTCGCCCGTTAGTTATATTTCTGAGTGGTTGAATCAACAGCGTTTAAGGAGAGGGAATCTGCTTCATGATCTCGAGACGAAAGTCGAACCTCACCATCATGGTCCATTGACACAATTGAAAACTTCGTATGATATCATGCTCTCCTCCCCGCCAGTCTCCCATTTTATTTTCCACCCAAGCATTGTACTCTCCACCAATGACGACAGATACTCCTGGGTCGGAAATACTTTGACCGTGTAGAGGAAAGGATAGATTGGTGAAAGAGAGGTAAGAAGCGATTTGTGGGGGAAGTCGGTTCTCTGCGCCGTGTCCCCAGTGATAGGGATGAGCTCGTGGCTGAATGTCAATCCGAAGTCTATCGTGTCCCTCCCTCATAATTCCTCAGAGGCTATGGAAAGAAAGACACTAGAGAAAGGGTCACTTACGGCTGTATCTGCGTCGGTATAGATTCCACCTTCTTGAAGGAGTACTAGATATCTTCAATCAGCCGATGACAACGTGAATTTCACACTGTTGATATCTACCTCGACAAGAGAACAAGGGTTATTATTGTTGGGATTGTCACTTACCTTAAAACATCTGACTTCATAATCTTTTTCGGTAGACTATCCCACACATTCCAAAACTTCTTACTACCTCGTCCATTTCCCTGTATCAACCAATCAAACATATCTTCCATTCCATTATCATCAGCAACGAAAACATCCCAACCTAATTCCTCCCATCCTCTAAATACCTGTGGTGTACCTTCCAACCCATTCTTATCAGTACTAACCACTCTCTTCAATAGTTTCTCTTCATGATCTCGAGGAGGTAGATGTAAAGCTAGACGATTTAGAGAGTCATGGAGATAAAGACGAGAAGGAATTCCATCAAACCATTTATCCACTAATTGTCGTAATCTATCAACGTATCCTTCGATCTGAGGGTTGAGAGTTTCTAGAGGAGCCGCATAGCCTAAATGAACAGGGTACCAAGTTGGAGAATACGCAGAAGATTTGAGATGAGCCAATTTCAGAGATTCGAATGTCAATGCGTGTTCTTGTATATGAGTTGGGACCGTATATGTAGAGGAGGATGTCGAGGAGAATATTCGAAAGGGAGATGATAGGTAGTATGAAAGGTAAGTGGTGTTGCCATCGTAAAGATAGAGCCATAAGGGGGGAAGGGATACTAAGGAGAGAGAGACAGAGACCCAAAAGAAACGTCTACTTGCAGTTGGAAGTAGCTTGGTCCACTTCATTCCTGTCGCTTGTTGGTTGATGTGACTTTGCCACCAGACTTCTTCGTATGCCAGAAGCTAATATGGATCAAGGTCAACATGGTGGGAGAGTCACTTGGGAAGTGATTTAGAAAGGCCAAGGGTGAAACTCAAAGGCATTATGTCTGGTGATGGTGATGGTCATGGTGTCGCAGTCATACATATGCAGGATGACAAACATGAAACATCTCACCACGATTGAGTCAGAAACAGCGCCCGAGTTCATCCACAATTACTGTGAGTACTGTGATGCCCATGAAGCATGCCGTGTGTCGCCTTCCGTTCGGAATCGGATCCATCTCACCTGATGTCGCCGGCTCAACGCTCAACGTATCGATGTATCAATGGCAATGGAAGAATAGTGGCCAGCGAAGTGATGGTCTCAATACGTTCCAGTGCGCCCACACCGTGCCGGAATCAATTATCTTTCTTAGTTTATTTAAACCTATTCCATGTTCTGAGATTCCTAATCAAGTCTGAGAATCCTAATTGACATTACTTATTCATTAGTAAATTTCGATTGAATTCCACACATCTTCTCGTCCTCCCCTACCTACCTACTCACTCAACTCACCACATTACAAGTATCATTCCTCCATTTGAATATTCCACTCGTATGCGACCTTTACTCCATATTCCTCGACATCTCCGTGGTCTGACACATGGACAATTTACTCTCGCTTCTCGACCGTTTCTCCGAAAAACTCCCAACTCCTCAATTCCTTCCTCCTTGTCCCCTCTGTCTGAACGATGTTTCACCTCAATCCCAACGTTCCACAAAGTGCAATCTCCATCCCCACCATCACCCCGGGTTCAAAGCTCATCAGAACCACTACGCTTCCCTCCAGACATGCCGAGAGAAGATTACGCCAGTCCTACCTTATACACCATATCGATATTCTCCCGTACCATTCGCATCATCCTTTATACCGTACTGGGAGTCTCAGTCATCTGTATCGGTGGCTTTGAATTGATGCATCTGAATATCGAACACAGATTATTATCTACTCCATCAGGAGTTTCTACTTCTTCGGAAGACGAATACGGTTGGCAGGAAGAGAACCAAGGTTGGACAGGTGGTCCTAGCGGTGGAACCGATCCGAGACTTGGATGGAAAGGTAGATTAGCCGTTAGGACAGCTTGGAGTTATCAAAATGAAGGTTCTGGTGGATTAATATCGAGTATCGATAATAATAGACATGATAGAATCTCAAGAAGCTCCGTTAGTGTTCCTTCTAGAGGGTATGATAAGGGGTATGAGATGGCGGCGGAATGTTTAGATCAGGCTATAGAGATAGCGGAGAAAAAGGGAATTGAATTCCCTCCCTCATTCTACGCAGACGCCTCTGGTTTACCGAAAGCAGGGATGATGGGACAAGTCGGAGATTCAACGGCGGTGGATCTGTTCATGTTGAAAGCGGGAGTTTTGGAAAGGATAGGAACACCTTCTGCTTTGACAGAAGCGAAGGATCTGTATGAGAGGGTTTTACCTGTGAGTATGGATCGGGAAACCGTCGTGGGACAGAAAGCGAGAAGAATGAGATTGGCAGGAAAGATTGGAGATCTTCATATTCGTTTAGGTGATGAAAAAGCAGCTATGGGATGGTGGATTTGGGGATTAGGTTTGGCTCAGATCAACCCGAATACTTCAAGCAAACTCTCCAATGCCAACCCCTCACCGAAGGGTTGGTTCTCATGGATAAGAAAACCCAACACGGTATCCATTCCTCAAGCGGATGAAAGTACGACGGAATCGATCACAACACTCCCACCTCCTATACTTAGAACGACGATATCACTCCTTATCTCCACCTCGGCTCAATTGGCGAAAACCAATCAACTTTTTCAAGCTGAATCAGTCCAGAAACAAGCTTTATCCTTACTTGAAAAGTCATCTACCTTCACATCGCCCACATCCCCTCTGATCACGGATCGTAGAAAACCATCTCCCTCCGAATTGTGGTCGCTATGGATCACCCATCGTCAAGCTTTGCTCACCCTCCATCTCGCTTCAGTCAGACATGCCCGATCTCTACCCGCTTTGGACATGTGCAGTTCGGCTTCTCACACCGCCGATAACGTACTAGCGTCTCTCACACCCTTGCCAACTTTATATTCGACTCGTAGTAGTCCCTTATATCCTCACGCTACCAGACTCAGAGAAGATGCGATCGCTCTGGCAGCAGAAGCCGCATATACAAGGGGGCTCCTTTTGGAGAAATCGGGCACGGAAGGGTGGGAGACGGCGGTGGAGTGTTTCCAACATGCCATGAAGCTAGTCGGGGGTTCTGGGGAGGAAGACGGTGCAGGAAGAGGGGAGGAATGGTCAAGGTATTACAGGGGATTTGCTAGGGTTAGAAGTAAGATGGATAGTGCACTGCAGGGGAAGTAGGAATGACCCGGAAAAATTATTGCGGTGACGTATGGAGTTCGCAAGTGGGCGTTGAGAGGTATATCTGACGGGTGATGGTATAGATTGATTTGTTAGACGATGGCCAGGCAAGGGCCCTAGACGACCATTACGGGTTCTCGTAGTGTTCCATGATCTTCATGCAGCATGATGATACAGCGAATCTCCGTTCCGTCTCCATGACGCTCTCTCACCCACTGACCACCCCGACGCGCTCCCTCAAGCTGTCCCAGCGGCAGCTTTACGAGCTTCCCTCACCGCCCGGAGTGACCCCTGAACGGCATATTTCTGGTTTCGACGGAACTGAGATCAGCATAATGTCCAATATAGCAAGGCCCTCGAATGGCAGCTCCAGCTCAACTCCATCCGTTCTCACCAACATGAAGCTGACCGTGCAGATGATTGCCTTCTCCACATTTGAACGACTATACAATGACACACGACAGCTGTGAAAAAAAGGCGGTAGTAATACAAGAAAGAAGATATAAAGAAGGCCCAAGGAAAGTGAGAACGATTCGACGAAATTGACATACCTTTGCGTCTACTCCCTTTTGGTTCGGATGCCTGGAAGTGACAGCTCTCTTGATTTTGTTCTTGTGAGCTTTTTTGTTTTGGTTATGGCTAGAATGTCAGAAGCTGCCCTTCAAATTTTCATATTGCGAAATCATCATGATCCTCCTCTCCATTTTCGCTCGTACTTCCTTTCTCCATTGATATTGTCACATGTTACGGGCGGGTTTCAGGCAGTAGGAAAACGAAGAGAGGGATAGAGAAAAACAGAGAGCGGGATGAAAAAGAAAAGGGGAGAGAGATACTGACTTGGTATGATTCTTTGATTTAGCCATGGTGAATTCCTGAATTATCAGCTATCATCCTTCCTCCTATTTTCAATGATGTCCAACATTTATCCAACTCCTTCTCTTCATTCCACCTAGCTCCCTGATCAACTTCTACAGACTCCCAGGGACCAGTTATAGGTGCATCAAATAGAGTGAACCACATGATAGCCTGCGAGGATAAAGTGAACTTACGGCGATATAGGTTGAGGAATGGTTTGGATGCTTCAATTTGATAAATCTCGAAGAAGCGGTCACAGTGTCGGAATTTCGTCCTCGGGTATTCCCGACCAGTGTGGCAATGTGGCAAATGTGGCATGCGACATGTGGCACCTTCCCTCCCTTCTGTCATCTCGCACGGAAACAAAGGGAATTTCCCCTTTAAATAACATCATCTCTCCCATTTGTAAACACTCATTTATCATACATCTTTACACTTACAACATCATTCATCTCATTTCATCAAACGGAATAAACATCAGTTTCATAAGAACAATATAAGAGCAACACATTTGGGGAAGATGACTTCGGATGACTCAGACACTGAGAGTGTACATAGCACTCATAGCTTTTATCGTACTCGATCAAAAGATCGTCGTATAGCTCAAGATAGATGGTTGAGTGATTTACTATCTCGGGTCAAAGAGGAAAAAAGGGATTTCACTAGTGATGAACAATATCACATCAATAGCATCAGAAGAGAAAGAAAGATGAGTGATATTTTTCCTGGCATCCCAGCCGAACCGACAAATACTACTAATGTCCCTATTGATTCTTTACCGTCAGCACAAGAAATAGAAGAACAAGTGGATCTTCCTTCAGACTTTATCGTTGTATCTGAGACTACAAGTCAAGGTAGATCTCTTCATCCTAGGAGGGAAGACTTCACTACGACCACTGTCGTCCTTCCAAGAAGAAGAAGAGACACTTCATATTTGACAGCTGACGGTTGGACACGTCAGAGAGGTACAATCTATTCTGCTACAAGTACCAATCAGAATGGCAGGAGGCATAACGCATTCACGAGGTCTGGTCGTTTTAAACCTTCGAATACTTCTAATACAGCAAGTACAATGACGGCAGGAGCGAGAGTGGATAGAGTAGTGGTAGAGAAAGCATCGGATGATGAAGAAAGTGAAAGCGAATGGACGTACTGTATAGTGGATGATGAGTTCAAAGAAAGAAAGTAGGAAGATTTGATAGGGCAGTCAGATCTGAATGAAAGAATGACAAGATTGATGATGGTAGTATGAACGATTGTCGAATCATTCATGTTCTGATCGAAGAGACTCATTGGTTTGAATGAGACAACAAATAGAAATTGGTGCAGTGATTCGATCGAGTTCCATTTTTTCATATTCTGTATCAAATGGGATCATTTTGGATCCTGTACTGCACTCGTCTTCGGAACACATCTCACTTCATCGGAGGGAATAGACATTGTTCGAATGGCAGTGATTTGAACCTGTTGGTCAGTCATATGTCCTCGAATCTCTTACATTTGCCCAATCTACCCCTCTCAAACAGAAAGACGCCTCAAAGGCTACAAAAGCACCTTCCTTTTTGATCCTCACCCCATTCAGCCTCCGTCTCATATGTCAAACATGTCTTCTCTCTTCTTATGACATCTCCTACATTCACACGAGAAGCACTCGCTACCTTCTTCATCCCTCATTCCTCCCTGTCATGTGGTCAGATACACGATATAGTACCACCACCAGCTCCCTCTTCCATCAATTCACTTCCTTCAATGACAAAAGCTCCACATCCCCGTTGAGCCAGGAAGATCAAACAAAAGTGGATGACTGGTTGTCAGAGGTCATGAATCGGGTAGAAGAACAAGATAGAGAGTATACAGCGGAAGAAAGTGAACTGATCTCGTTGATCGCCATTTCTAGAAATACCGATACACATTTGGTTCGACAAGTTCCGCCCGTACCGAGACGGAATGTCGTGAATTTTTCTTCTTCGTCAGGACTCAGTAGCGCCGATAAGATACTGAGCATTGGTTCGTCAAGAGAGAGTAGTGTGAATACGGTTTTGCGAGTTGGGTCGGATAAGAGTGGATATACGGGTAGAGATAGTGTGACCAGCGTTCAGACGGCGATAAGACTGTCAAATTCTTCTCAGCTGACAGATCTTTCGGAAGGTGTGAGATGGTCGGATGAGAGAATGTCACTTGAGAGGATGTCAGATGGGAGATTATCAGAAGAGAGAGGGTCAAGTGAAGCGGAAGTAGAAGGTGGCAAGGTAGACAGGGAAATTGATGATCCACCGGAAGAAAACACGAGTGGACATGAGAAGGAGAATAGAGAACGTGGTGAATGGCAAGATGAAGATGAGTTGTCCAGTCAAAGTATCGAACACCTGACTCGGATGGGACACGATGGAACGAAGGATCTCTGGGGAATGAACAATTCCTTGAGCGGAGAGAGCAGGGTGATCTCTGTTGTCGGATGAGAGACAGAGATGAGACAACCCACTGTTCAGTCAGCATACATTAAGATACAGATAGAGAAATGAACGCTCACCAATGGAAGAAGTAAGACCTTTATTGACATGCATTTTCTTGGGTTCGATTGATCCGGAAGGGTTCGTAAAGACATTGTCCCTTGTGAGGGCGGCGGAGGAAGACGAATATTTGATCTAAAAGGGCTGAACACCATAGATCAGTACTTCACAGTAACACTACTCTTATTCCATCCTCTCTGCGAGAGAAACATTAGTGAAGATCAACATGCAGCATCTGGTTTTGATTTATCCCGAATAGATCATGAGTCTTCAGCAGCCGTGACCGACCGAATTTAGCGTCTTCATCACACCGAACGACGGGGATGAGTACGGACCTATACCGTGATATGCATACACGCACTGCCTAGTCAAAGAGACACCTGCCATACATCCGACACGTCAGAGCCCTCATAAACGCATTAAGCCGACTCAGTAGCCATCTCGAGCTTCATTTTGGCAATCGCCATCGCTGGGTTGAGTCCCTTAGGGCATGTTCGAGCGCACTGAAATTAGCGTCGAGATGCGACGCAGGTATCAAGGAGGGTCGTTGGGATGGACTCACGTTGAAGATGGTATGGCAGCGGTACAAAGACATGGAGTTTTGCATCTTCTCTTTTCTGTCTGCGCCGTATGAGTCCTGGAATGTCAGTCATCAGCCGCACTGCCGACTGCGCGATTGCGTTAACGAGAAGGGGAGATGGAACCCTTGAGCCCAAACGAAATTGATGCTTGCGCAAGATGAGGGTCGGGACGAGGTATAAAGAAAAACCCACTCTGGAATCCGCCATCCACCTGTATGCCTGCATCAACACTGCCGGTCCTAAATACTGGTCCTGGTTCCACCAGTACTACCTGTCAGCTTCCGTCACTAAAAATGGGTGGACATTCGATGCCGAAATAGGCACTGAATATAGGGAGGGGTTTTGAAGCAGTGAAAAATCCATGTACTCACCGAAGGACACGAAGTTGAGCAACAGGCACATAAGATACACTCGTACATCCCATCTAATTTCTTCCTTTCTTCAGGTGATTGAAGGAATTCCCCTTGTGCGGGGGGGTTGTCATTCTTTAAGAAGGGCTCGATGGATTTGTATTGTTTGCTACACTTCAGCATGTCTGCATTTACGCTGACTCGGGTGTGTGAAAAGACTCACTAGAAAAGTGTGAGATCTGGGACGAGATCTTTTACGACGTACACTGAGGGTCAGCAATCCGCCAAGAAAATCATTCGCCTCAAAAGATCGGGTCACTGAAATCACGGGATGTTATGAGAGACCTCAGAGATCGACAAATGGCATGGTCTCATATACCGGAAAGGCGAGACACTCACTATGAGGCAATGGGTACACTTTCGATGTCTTACTCGTATCCTTGTCAATCCTACACAAACAAGCAAGAGTGTTGACACCGTCAATGTTCATAGCGCATGATCCACATATACCTTCTCGGCATGAACGTCGGAAGGTGAGGGTTGGATCGACCTCATTTTTTATTTTTATCTATATGTCAGACTTGTGACCTTCCAGTCTAGGTATATATATCTGCGATTTCCAGATCTCTAGATCTGACTCCACAGTTGGGTATACCTCGATCGTGTGCGAGGACATCATGAACTCTGTAAATTCGCATCAATGAATCCAGAGTGACGACAGAAGTGGGGAGAGGGAACACTCACCAAAGCATCTAGCATCATCGGACCACATTGTGATAGATCGACTTTGTAACTCTGCAAGGTAGGTTTCTCGGCTGGTGTGTCTGGATTCTACATGATCAGCTTGACAAAATGGCAAAAATTCAACAACTAACCCAACGATATATCTTGAACTCCTTCAGCTGAGCAGGTCTCTCTGCAGGTTGGGCGAAACCTCTGCTCTGACTAGCATTGAAAGATCTCACGGCGAGAGGAGCAACACTCGCCACTGGTCGTGCAGCCGAACAAGAAGGAAGGGAACGGAGAGCTGTGGATCGGATCATGGCGTGTATGAAACAGGTCTATGTGGGGTGCAAAGTACGAGTGTTTGAATGGTCGATGTGAGGGATGAGATGCAAGTGTATGAGGTAGATCTGGCGATGTGGAGAAGATGTTCAAGTGCGGGACTGATCGGGAAACAAGTCAAGGGAACGCTGCCGGAATAAGCCGGAAGTGAAAGGCAGACCAATCAGGTAGAGACGATTTAGATGCATGACGTGGCATTATCTTGATAAAGCACAACTCATGCTCTAATCACTAGTTGACACCGTCCCCTGGTACTCCGTGCATTGCTTTACGCCTGTAAGCAGCTTGATCCCTCAACCATCTCCGGTAGGTAGACAGGGAGACAATCTGTGAACGTGAGTCGAGTCCAAAGGTACGAGTAGCATCAGGAAGACACAGATCTGGAGAGACGAGGTCAATATGGGGAGAGAAAACTCAGTAGAGAGGAATGTTTAGAGTCCGAAAAGGGGTCCATAGACAAATGATGGATCGGTAGAACAAGGGGAATACCCAAGTGGGAGAAGATGAGACTCACTTTCTCGCCATAAAAGTCAGGAGCGGGATTGTTAACACTTTGAAAGCTAGGGTCCACCCTTTTACGGGTGAAACGATGGTAGAACTCTCGATCCATCACTTCGAGAGGAGCAGGATTACCTCTTGACAGAGATGGGTGCGTGAGGGAGAATAACGACGAGCCGATCGTTGGACCGACCAAATATCCAAGAGCTATGTATCAACATATGACCAGACCGTGGCTGAACTATGTACTCACCCATACATCCTAAACTGGAAAAGAACAGCGTCAGCAGAATATCCGCAGCTAACATTATCCAACGACGCATCAAGTCTCGGTGGCTCAAGAGACGGGTCTAACTTGATACTCACGTTGCTCCTCCATACACGTACCTATCAATCAGCTATGCAGCTTGACATGGAGACAACTTACATCGGTTCAATACCCATTATCAGCTGCGTCGGATCCGCTTCAAGACTCGCAAAGTACCCTCCACCTAGGAACAGTCCGGCAAACGTGGTGGGGATTGTGGTGAGGGTCGACCAAAGTCGTCTTTGTCGACGGAGGGAGAGATATTGGGGCCATGAGAGCGGAAGAGCGGAAGCGGTGGTGGAGGAAGAAGGTGGAACATCGACCACAGACGATGAGGTAGACGAGAACAGCCTGGAAGAGACGATAAAGGAAGCCATGGGAGGAGGTGATCTGGGATGGAATGGGATAGGACTGATCAGGAAGGAGGAAGGGCGAGCGGGTGGCCGCAGAGCCACAATTGCCGTCCGGGACATGTCACGTGTAGCTACCTGTCTTCGGTCACTTGTGATGGATCTTCTCTGAATACTTTCTTATAATAACACCTTGACGTCAGAACAACGATTAGCTTTTAAAGAGTGAGGTTGGATAGAGGAGAAACTGTGGGAGGAGGAGATACCGAATGTGGCAATTCGGAAGTGGGACGTGCGGGGCTCCACCTCCTCCACCTCGATTGAATCACTGGGCACACTGACTGGGGCATTGACTATAGATACATCCAAGACACGACGTTTGAACAACATGTCCCCAGCTGACCCTACATCATCGTGCCGAACATGCTGTCTCCTCGATCTACCTGGAGATATTCTGAGTCAGATATCGTCGTACGTTATTCTCCCCTCAAGGCGTGTGATGACTCACCACCAGCTACCTGCCTCTTCCCGAACTCTTTGCCTTTCTCTCCCTCCATCCCAGACTGTTGACTCTATGCAAAACGCACCTAACGCCTCTCCCTCAAGCTATTCGCCAAGTAGTGAATGAAGGATCTCCATATCCCCCAATTCTCGCTGCCTTACCCTCTTTGAGGCTCTTCCTGCCCGATGATGGTGGTCGAATGTTCATTGATGTTTTGGTCAAGTGTCCTCCGAGATGGATTCTGGAGAGGTTCGAAATGGGAAGATGGAGAGACACTATATGGAAAGAGTCTTTCGAGAGAAGGTTTTTACCTAGTTGGAAGAGATATAAGAAGGAAGAAGATACCTGGCGAGCTGTATTTCTCAGGTGAGCGTGTGTCCCGAACTTCCCTACCTCCCCCCTTCCATCGTCTTGCAGACCCTGCCCGACTGAATTGCTTCAAAATCTTATGAGTAGAACTCTGAGAAATTTAGAACACAGAAATACAGGTTGCTCGCATGAAGAAAGATGGACCGTGAGTTTCCCTTACCCTGACAGAGGAACCTGAATTCTGATAAAAAAGCATTGGATAACTTTACATCGTCAGGGTTTTGCAAGCATAAACCGTCATGATTCTCGGACTTTCAATCCTCAAAACGTGCATAATGAGCTTAAGTGGATCTTCTTGCTCTTGATCTCCCATATCAAGCTGATCAGCAGATCTCAAAACAATTTCGCCACACAGCCAACAGAAGTGCGGGCAGTCCTCCATCTTCAGGACGTCAGAATAATCGCCTTGGGAGTTTTGTGGGACAAACCATCTTTGTTCGTCAACAAGAATGCGCATCTTCTTCTCCACCCTCCTCTTCTGAGACATCAAAAAGAAGATTGGACCTGGTCCATCTCTCGACCGGGGAAGTCGACAAAGCCGGAGTCAACTGTTCCGGGAGGTTCATCTTTCGTGGATCCTATGCAAGGCATTGGCGCTGTGCACTCCCCTTCCCTCTTTCCGATGATTGTTCAAGATACTCAGCGGTCTTACGCAATACCGAATTCAGAAGCTTATAACTTGTCTATCAGCCCCGCCTCTGCAACACCCTTTAGTAATCTGCGCCCTCGAATTCGACGGTTCAGTATTGGTAATGAACGGAAATTCGGACGCAGAGCCAGTGATACTGGACGACATCCATGGGTCTTCGGAAGAGATCGCTCAGCCTCTTCTTCCTCCGCTTTAGTTGGACCCACAATGAGTCGGCAACCCCAGTCAGAATCTAGCTTTACTGGCGATTTTTTGTCTTCTCAAGAGGGAAACTCAACGCCATCATCCCTCATTCAGCCCTCACGACCTTCATTCAGACCATCTCTCCTTTCCCAAAATCCAAATCTCATGCCATTCATGCCTATCCTTCACCCCCAACCTGCGTCCTCGCATGCCCTATATCCTAATTACACACCTTTTCCGTTCCACCCAAATCGTCCCCTCAGTGATCTCCCAGAAGAAAGATCTGACGAGGCAATCATAGACCGACGAATATTACATCCCGAAGTCGAAGATGACGCAAATCACTTCCATGGCCTCAGAGATGGTGTTTTGGAAGAAGAAAACGATTGGAATGAGTGGGACCCGATAGCGCGTGTGCGCAAACGATGGGTCGGTCCAATGCTGTACGTCTCCTTGTATCGACCAAAGAGATTTGCTGAGTAAGAGTCTTGTAGCTCAACTCCACCCTTGTGGCCGAAAGGTAGCTCGTCCAATTGGCGCTCGTGAGACGTCAGACGTAGAAGGGAATAACGTGGATTTAGGTCCGGACGGAATGTATGTCAGTTTAGGGTTCGAAGATCTGAACGCAATCATGGGATGGGTGGAATTGAAAGGCGGTGGGGGAAACAACGCCGAGGCGTTGAGAAATGGTTTAGGTTTTGGATAAATCTGCAATGGAAATGGCGAGATCTGTGAGACGGTCGAGCTACTACAAAATCTACACTACCCCCGGCGCTTCAATGAGACTTCGTCATATCAAACGCCCCAGGGTGAAGCTTGTGAGAGCCGTCACTGTCAAATTGCCACGGCCCGTATGACTCATTGTGAAGCTAGAAGGCGAGGGCTGAAAGGATGACTTAGGGTCAGTTCTACTCTTTCCTTTACTCGACGACTCCTCTAGTTGCTTCAAACATGTGATAACACAGTGTTGGTGTCACACATTCAACTCCGGTTTTACTTCACGCATTAATTGACTTTCGTTTCGTCTGCTCCTCACGCAAGCCAGCTTCACCTTGTTATTCATCACCTATTCACCAACAAGTCTCAGTTTAAAAGATATCTATTGACTATCTTCAACCAAAGTGCGTCGAGAGGATATCGCTGCAATCATGCCTCGAGCTTCAAAACGTCAAAATCAAAGTAGCGCACCAGCCTGAAGCAAGCCTTCATCCAAATCTCGTCCACCTGATCATGACAAAAGTCAAAATCCTTCGTCATCCTCATTGCCCCCCATCACGGAAGGTACTCTTGTGAGTCAACCTTGTGAGTTTAACAATCAGAGGAATTGGCCAAACCGATATTCAGTCATGCATCCTGCTGCCTCAAGACTACTAGGTTGTGATCCTCATGGGCTACATCATGCCTGTTTCCTCTGTGCAACAGATCCAGATGTTAGTGAATGGTGTCCGTACACCACGCCGTGGTTTCGACAAACTTACTATGATGGACCGCCAACCTCTCAAGAGGGCAGTGACCATGACACAGAGTTGGACTTGGGTAATGATCAGGAAGAGACGGATGCTGAAGAACGTGTGTGGGACTGGATTGACAAGGTGAGTGAGGGGAACAAGACTCCTCAACATCTTCCAAACGATACGAACGAACAGCCAGCATCAACCAGTCAACTGACCCACACGGACAATGGGTCTAAAAGACAATCCGCGGATAGATACGAGGAGTACGAGTGTTAATGCTTTCAGCAAGTTCATTAGCACATGTTGTGGCCATGGGGCTGTTCACGTCGATTCGGTGGGATGATGTGTTTGATACATTACGTTATCTGTGTGGGTGATGATCATGAGGATACGCCAGTGAGATTTTCAGATATTTTTCTGGTTCTTTTTCTCCTCAACTTCCTTTTTCATTCACTTCGTCCTTCTGTGTCATACTATATTGATTGCATAATCACCGAACTGCATGTTGTTACTGAGGGATTGTCAGGATGAGCTGAGCCCTTCTCAATTCATATACCGCCAACACAACTCCACTGCCGGTGTGATGTGTGCACTGATGAATGATTTACTTTCCTTTCTGTCAACAACAATGCTAATGTGATAACTCTTTTCTACATATGTCTACTCTACTTCCTTTGACTGATTGATACCCTCAATGACTTCCCCTCACAGCCTTGATTGACCATCATGTCGCGTCCTTTGAATCCCTGCCCCTTTCGCACGCCATCGTTGATGTATCGTCTCCGACACAAGCAATACTCCTCCTCCACCATTGATCACTCTCCTCTTCAGACTCGCGTCAAACCCAGTCTCATCGCCTCCGATCTATCAATCACACTTCAGCAAGCTCTCACGGGTGAAGCTTCCTCTCCACTTTGTTCTCTCTATCACACCTCAATTTCTTCACTAGACAACCCATCACTCTTAGAATGCCTAAATCTTCCAGCCAAAGAACTCAAACCAGACGAACATCCTCAAATCCTCGCGGTTCTGGTAGGAAAAGAAAAACTATCTCCAAACTCCCTTCTAGTACAAAGACAACAAAACCCCCGCCTAGTGGTCCTTGTTCATACAACCACAAAACACGTTGGCCAGATCGTTTGCCTCACCGATGGCACCCTGATGCTTCCAGATGGGTAACATGTGAAGCACACGGAGACCACATGGCTTGTTTTCCATGCTCAACAGATCCTGATGTAACTAAATGGTGCCCTCTCACAACACCTGAATGGCGTGATTCTTTCACTCCTGAACAGAAGGCACTGGGTGGTGACTATGTCCACTCGATGGAGCAAGGTGTCAGTGTTCAAGATTCAGAAAATTCAGAAATTGATTCAAATGCCATGTCCAGGGCTGTGGCATTGACATCCACCACCGGAAACTCACAGTCTAGTCTGGGATGCATTGACAATACAGAACTTGAACAAGGGTTCATTGGGACAAATGAGATTAACAATAGTTTTGACTTGAACCAGGTGTTGGTAGACAACCCATCTTTCTTAGACCAGATTTCGATGGATAGATGGTCAAACTTGCCTCAGATGGGAGAGGAGATCATACCACCACAACCACAGTTTTTCACGTTGGAAGATGGTACCATACAGTGAGACTTTTCAATCTTTCAGCCAGAGGAAAACGGGAATGGTAATATGTGGATCTGATACAGCTGGCTCAGACAGTAGTGACTACAAACATACTCATGCATCTGGCTGATAGGGAAAGAGTTCAAAGAATGTTCCACTACTAATGTGTTATACAAGTCGAGAGTTTCTCTTGTTTCTTGGTTCACTACCTCTTAGCCATGATATGTTCATTGTGATCATTGACCAATTAACAAGCTAACATCACACTTTGAGGACACCTCACATACTCGTCAGCACTATCTTCAATCAGTAACACGCATCATATAGACGTGTTCCTCATTGTGTTTGAATTGACCAATATGGATAACGCGCAAGAATTCTTAGTTTTTGTACTGAACCATCAGGACAACATGTCCCTTTTGTCTTGCTTGCAGATGTGAAAGTCAAAATTGTCACATTTTATCCCTCTTATTTCCAAAAGTGAGTCCCTAGATCACATGAGGATATTGAGATCTTATATATGATTAATCGAGGATGTTTCTCTTCTTGATCAAATTCCGCCCGAGTCAAGTTTGTATGTATCAGTACTCATACATCATGTTGTAAAACGTTTCATTTGTCAACAAGAAATTCAAGAAAGGAGATCTCCTCTCATGTCTCATTTGCTCCTTTAAGCTTTCTGATTCGCGCACGTCATATAGACGTAAAAATCATCATTTGACACATGCCAATTTCCTTCCCCGCTGAGGAGCACCAAATCGACTAGTATAAGTACATCATCCTTCTCTTCCCTCCCCTCTTCCTCCTGACACTCATCTCATCATACTCACGATCATCATCAACTTCAGAAAGTTCTTCAACATTCACGATCGGACCGAATAAACAAGATGCCACAACCTAGAGCCAAGTCCAATCGTTCGAGGAAAGACAGAAACACAGACCCCAGCAGATCTGCTATCTCAAAACCCACAAACAGATCATCGAAACGCTCAAATGAACGTAGCCGTCATTCCAAAGATGAACAAGATCCACCTGAAGAACCATCCGATAATACTATCCTAAGTGTTCCTTCTGGGACAATGTGTGATTATCTCAATGCGGATTGCTGGCCACGCCATTTTTACGCTGGTCATCCACCGGCCGACACAATCATGAATTGTCCTTCTGGTGAGCATACCTCTCATTATGTATGTGGTCTTTGTCAGACGGATGAAAGTATAAGTCGTTGGTGTCCCTTCACCACCCCAGAAATACGTGGGGAGACAGATAGTCAGGCATTGTCAAATACTCCATCGACCCAAGTGGGAAGTAATATGTTAGAACCGGTTGAAGGGTGGAACGATAGGATGAGTACAATCTCGGCCACGGCTCAATATCGTGTTGACAATACACGGGAGACATATAACAATCTACCTTGGACGAGGGGAGGTTCCAGCTCTGGTTTTGTCACCGGGGGACAATCAGACAATTTTGCTGCACTTCCGGGAATAGAAGAAAGGATCACCGAGCTTGGCGAAGATGAAGAGGTAGATGATCAGAATTGGCTTTCGTAATCACGTCAGTTGAACAAGACTGACAATGTACATGAATGATGAAACGGTGGGGATATGTTTACAACGTCTTCCTCTGTGTTCGTCGGCGTTTCTTCTTTGATTCCTCAACAGCCTCATCCACCTCCGCTATTCCTTCCTCAACCCCGTCTTCTTCCTTGACTTCAGACATCCTTTCCACATTCTCTTCGACTTTGACCGCTGAGGACCTCTTGATTCCCCTCTTGCTCTTCGTGGCAGTCCTCACCTCTGTCTTAGCCTCTTCGGTCACCTCCTGCACCCTGGGCTCAACCAGCGATTCGTCCCCCAACTCCCCATCACCCTCTTTTTCTACATCTGAAAGACAGACAGGATTGCCGTCTTCATCCACATCACCAGTTTCTTTGGTCTTCCTGTTTGGTCAGTTTCACCTCTCTTGTCGTACGGCAGAAGAGGTCTAACGCACTTTTTCAAACTTGACTTCCGGCCTTTTGTCTGTAATCCCGGTTCGGGATCAGGAGGTCGGAGGTTGTCCCAAATGACATCATGCAAACCGCTACGGATCAGATCCGGACGTTTAAATGATGATCACAACTCACTAGATCCGATATAATTCGAATACCGCCTGCTCCTTGTCTTTGGCCTGCTCATCAACTTCAGCTCGACGGAAAATATGACGATAGTCATCTATCATTAGAGGCGTACGTAGAAGGGAGGCGAGGAACTGTCAAGATGAAGGAGACGATTTGACACACCTCAATCATCAAATCCACGTCATCAGGTAGATCCGGCGGTAAAGCTTTACATCTGTCCGAATGGGCCCGTTTCTCCATTACCGTTTCAGCGCCAGGACGTGGCTCAGAAAGATGTTGTTTCATCCGTATACCGCGTTTCTTCCACGTCTCCGCGATACGAGGAATGAGAACGGAAGGTGGTTCGGTGGAAGGATATATCCAGTCGTGGTGCTACTTCGTTAGACATAGCTATATGTATGTGATGTAATGACACACATAATCGAAAATACTGTATTTGTCAGGATTAAGTGATTCTCAAAACGCAATAAGACTGACATGGGAATATCTAGTTCTTGACATAGTGGTAACAAATCGTCGACATTATAACATATCTGATGTGTCAACGACACTTCTTCTCACAAGGAGATGGAGAGAACCCACCTCATCATTCTCAAGCACTAATCGCTTCTTCACATTGTCACTCAAGCGGGTTGTGTAGTTGAGCTTAAATCGCTCCAATGTTCCAGGTTTGTCATCGTACACTCCTCCCATGTGAATGCTGTCTATCAGACTTGACTCAAGGGACAGTAATGAGTGACTCGCATCATCACTCCATCTTGGTCAAGGCCCATTCGGTCCATGATCTCACACTGATAGTCGAGCTCTCGTATACTGGCCTCAATGACGTTAGGTTTTGGGGAACCGAGTTGTGTGAACTACCTGTCAGCTTTGTCGGCAGCTACGTGGCAGTAGGATATCCCATTTTCCACTGATGCTAGCTGCTCATATTCCAACAAGCTCGGTATCGTGAGGTGAAAGGAGGACGCAAGCATGATGAACTCACTTGACCCGGGTGCATGGTCAGTCGATGCCCATACTTTCTGGCGAGCTCCCCGCACTCTCTCAGCCCAACATCTGCAAAAGACAGATCGTAGCCGTATTTGGCATGGGATGCAAATGGAAACATTTCTGATGACATACGCATAAAACGTATGCTGGTAATCAGCTTGCCTGATATCCACAGAAGGTCGAAACTTACTGATTTTGTTCGTTCCACTGTTTCCCTCAGCCCAAGAATTTCATGCCTTGAGGACCGACTCACCTCTATCATCGTCTTCAGATCCTGGACATTCATCAAGGCCAATCCCTTGGGCAACTCCATACCTTCTTCCTCGATACTTGCTATTCGACATGTTCGCGAGCAAAACACGCTTTCCGGTTTTTGTTTTCTCAATACGGTGTTCAAGCATGCGTATCCTAATCGACCTTACACATAAGTCAGCAGCAGTCAATCGTCGTTGAAAGAGGGCTCGCCTCTAAATGTGGTTTCTTTCCTCTCCACAGGGGGAATATCATATTCGATCTTGGGATAGACTTTAGGTTTTCTTTGCTTTTTGATGATTTCATTTCCGTCGGAATCAAACTGCGGTTCATCCTTGGCTATCCTGGATTTCTTCGGAGTGACTTTCTTCTTCTTGGGAGTTTCTCCATCTTCTCCAGTGGTGTCATCATGCTCCTCTTTTTTCACCTTTTTAGGAGTCTTCTTCTTGTTGGCAATAGGCGGCTCCGGCTCATCCTCCGCAGGGGAAGAAACACCCTCGGCTACCGCTATTCTAGCCTTCTGAGCGGCTTTTCGACCTCGTTTGGGTGTTTGGATTTCTAGTTCTTCGACAATCTCTTCGACCACCTTTTTAGCCGTGCGTCGTCTTTTGACGTTCCGAGCGGTCACTTGTTCAACAGCATCTTGCACCGCTTCTTCTATTTCAGGAGGTGGAGGAGTAAGCTCGTCGTCCGATTCTTCCTTGACGAGATGATTGGTAGGGGACATATGTTGAAGAGCTTGAACCAGTGCAGTACCTGAGGAGACCCCTGAAGAGAAGGGTACAAGTATGGGAGGAGAAGTAGAGTCATGGACCAGTGGCAGTGATGCGCGGATACGGCGAGGCATCGACAGAGTAGTATTATTTCGAAGGAACAGGAGGGGAAGGGGAAGGTTTCTTGGTGATATCAGAGGGGGAATACGACGATATAGCCTGAATGGAAGAGTAGGGAGCATGGACACAACATGAAGAGTATAGTATAAGGAAAGGTAAAAGACGACGAGTTATATGTACGATGTGCGACGCGCCTTTCAGCGACTGGGAAGTCACCGTCGATCGACAATGACGTCGTGATATGTTGCTTACGTAATGACCCATCGGCCGGTCATTCACGGCGGTCACAAACTTACTATCACGGCCGCTCTTGCACCATGACCAAGTATCCAGCTCGACTACATGCCAGAAAGGTCATCTCAGAGCTACGTGAGATCATTCCGGAGAATGACAGGACAAAGGTGGGTACTCATACACAAAGTCGTAAGCTGACGATATCAGCGTCAGGCCATCTTCCTTCAAGGTGCTCCCGTCACATGTCGTTTTGACACTGACAGGGAACTCCCATTCCGTGAGCGCATTGTCATTTGTCGTGCTGAACTCATTCAATAGATCAGGAAGCAAACTTCTTCTACCTGACAGGATGTGATGTTCCTTCTTCTTCCGTTCTGATCACCTTCACCTTCGATACGTCCGAGCTCAAGCATGATCTCTTCATCCCTCCCGCGGTACCTGAAGAAACCGTGTGGTCTGTCCCTCCGCCTTCACTGGAGGAAGCAAGGGTGACTTATGACTCGGACGATATACAACACACAACAAAACTGTCATCTGCCATCCATCAGGCTCTTAACAGCGACATAGTACTACATGTATTGCCTGTCACACTGGATTACCCACCCCTTCCCGCTACGATAGCGAATTTACTTCGCCCTACAGAGCGGTCGAATGGATTCTTAGGACTCTCGCATACGTCCGAATACCTCTTGACCGCCCTTCAACGTTCCCGGATCACCAAGACGTCGTACGAGATCGACCTTTTGCGTGAAGCCAATAGGATTTCTAGTCAAGCACATGAGGTTCTCATGCGAGAGCTCGGGAAGCACGCAAACCGCAGGAAAGAAAGTCAGAAAGGGAACAGGAAGGTGCGAACGGGAAAAGAGATGTTGAGCGAATGGGAAGTGAAAGGAGAGCAAGATGCGGCCGCTTTGTTTGAAGCCATCTGCAAGAGGATGGGGTGATTTATCAATTTTCTCTTGCTACCGAGCTGATAAAACAGGGCAGGGATGTCTTATCTCCCAATATGCGCCTCTGGGACACGAGCAAGTACACTACACTATGTGTGAGTCAAACTTCAGCATTTCATTAGTAGCTGACGAGGGTCAGATGTAATGACAAGCTTTTCCCTTCGACGTCAATGCCTCGAAAATCTGGCGATACATCTTGGATGCCTCGACCTCTTGCACGAGGTTGCTGTGGTTCTGTCCCGGACCATGACCACACCGTGGCATCTGGACATCACGAAGATTCCTTCATGCCACAAGTCCTCCTCATCGACGCAGCCTGCGAATGGGAGAATTATGCTGCGGATATTACGCGCACTCTGCCCATCGGTAACGGGGGTCGGTTCACCCCTCGTCATGGGGAGATATACGATGTGGTGCTTCGAATGCAGAAGGTAGCTTTTCAATCACTCCCATGAACGCGCTTTTCGTCATATGGCATGGCTGATGGGCAGGAATGTGAGTCCATGGTCCGTCCTGGTGCCCACTGGGATACACTCCACCTTCATGGCCACAAAGTTCTCATCGATTCCTTCCTTGCGCTCGGCATCTTCACTGGCGAGCCATCTGTTATCCTTCAGTCCGGGATCACGGCGGCCTTTTTCCCTCATGGTCTCGGACATGCTATAGGTCTCGACGTGCATGATTCAAGACAAGAGCTCAAGGCTGTTCACCTCAATTTACCACCAGAAAGTCTTTCCACACCAGCCAAGCTTTACTCCTACTTGCGTATCCGGCGTCCACTGAAAGTAGGCATGTGCGTGACAGTCGAACCTGGCTGTTACTTCCCTCCACAACTTATGGAACTGCATGGTGTATGGGAGTCAGAGTACGTCGATAAAGACAAACTCAGGGAATATGTGTCCGTGGGCGGAGTGAGGATCGAGGATACGGTGGTTGTCACTGAGGATGGATGGGAGAATCTGACTATGGTGGTGAGAGAAAGAGCGGATGTAGAGGCATTCACGAGTGGAGAGAGATGAGCAGTATCATAACTCTAGATCCTCTTGACATATATAGACATTGTACACTTTACGACTTGGTTGAGGTTTACATGATCAGAATGGTTGTCGAGGTTATCGCCACGAAGCAAGTTTCCGTATCTCCGTCCGATTGATTCCGTCCCCCTTCCCGTCACACTCCGGCCCTATACTCCGGGAATTTGGTCCATTTCTCATTCCACATTCTCAACTTTCATTGAAGTACATTCGTAGCATATACATATAAAAAAGCATCATGTTCGCCAGTCGATTCGCTAAACGTTCCACGGCTCTTGCTAGGGGTTTCGCCTCTTCCGCCAGAGCCGAAAGAAAGGTCGCCGTACTCGGTGCTGGTGGTAAGTCTGCGTCTCCCCTCATTTCTCTCTTCAGTGATCGGAAATCTTGTCAATGAACCGCTTTATTTGAGTAACTGTCCACAGAGGAGCTCGTCATTAACGTATAGGTGGTATCGGTCAACCTATGTCCTTGTTGCTCAAACAAGACCCCTTGGTCACTTCCCTGGCTCTGTACGATGTACGAGGTGCGCCCGGTGTGGCTGCAGACATCAGTCATGTTAACACCAAATCGGAGGTTAAAGGGTACGGTGCGGATGAGTGAGTGAACGAGCTGTTCTTCATCAGTCGTCACCTACTACCCAATTTCTCACTCGTCTGCATCCTGTACCTCCGCTTCGAAACTTCATCTGCCTGATTGCCTGACCCACGCTTGATATCGGAGACGTAGAGCTGATAAGAAAGCATTGCCTCTGCTCTTAAAGGTGCGGAGCTGGTCATCATCCCTGCTGGTGTTCCAAGGAAGCCCGGTATGACGTGAGTTTCCCCCCCTCCTTATCGATCGAATGCTCATTGTGACAGTCGTGATGATCTATTCGTGAGTTATACCGAGTTCTGTCTGCTGCTTATGGGCCTGTTTCTCAGATAATTCGAGAACGGCAGTTGTTTGTAGAGATTGACGGACAGAACACCAACGCCTCCATCGTCCGCACACTCGCAGAGGCATGCGCCGAACATTGCCCCAAAGCTATGATCGGTATTATTTCCAACCCTGTCAACTCTACCGTGCCCATCTTCGCTGAGGTGTTCAAGAAGAAGGGTGTCTTTGACCCGAAGAGGTGAGTCCATTCCGTATGCACATCCCCTCAGATTGCAGTCACTTCGCAGAACTGCTTTCGTAGTTCCCACATTTCATATGACCTGGGGAGAGATTCATATGGACACAGCTGACTTGAAGACTTTTCGGTGTCACCACTCTCGATGTCGTACGTTCTTCCCGCTTTTTGGCCGAGATCAAGGGTCTCGACCCCAAAGATGTCAAGGTCACCGTTGTCGGTGGTCATTCCGGCGTAACCATCGTCCCTTTGCTTTCTCAAACACCGCAAGGCAAAGATGTGAAGGGTGAAGAGTACAAAGCTTTAGTTCACCGGATTCAGTTTGGTGGTGATGGTGAGTGATAATCAACATTCTTTCATATGATCTCTTCATTGACTTCTGTATCTATCAACCAAGCGGCACTAGCTTGACATGTTTAATGATGCGTACGCTGACACCTCGCAGAAGTCGTCAAAGCTAAGGACGGTGCCGGATCTGCTACCCTTTCTATGGGCTTTGGTCAGTCTATCCCCTCTTTTGATACACACGTGAGCTCATGAACAGCCGGCGCTCGGTTCGCAAACTCCCTTTTGAGAGCGATGAACGGAGAATCTGGTGTCGTCGAGCCAACCTTCGTCGAATCCCCTCTATACGCCTCTGAGGGTGTGGATTGGTTTGCTTCCAACGTAGAGCTCGGACCGGATGGTGTCAAGAACATTCACCCTGTGGGCGCACTTAGTGCGGAGGAGGAGGAATTGATCAAGGCTTGTTTGCCCGAGTGAGTACTCCCATTGAGAAATGTCAAAGCGGCCACTTACAGATAGCTTGAAGAAGAACATCAGTAAGGGTGTAAGCTTTGTCAGTTCTTCGTAGATATCAGAGTGAGGATGAATATCATTGCTTTCATGCTGCTTGCTCATTCAGGATTGGTGTCTGTCTGAACTAGTGCTGGACAGTCCTTGAATGATATCAGTCAATGTGGACCTTGTTCTCTCAATCACCTGCATCTCACTGTCAACATGAAATATATACATGACCTGACTGTTCAAGTGGCCAGCTAACGTCCTACCGTCTAAGGGCGAGTTGGCCCATGACCATACTTTTTTCTCATCTCTGCCACTGTCAGTGGACGATATCCGGGGAAAGTGTCAGGTTTGGCGCTTGCACTTGCACTTGCAGTTGCTTGATCTTGCTTCTGATAAGCCGTGGGCCAACATGTCTTATCAGAAGCTATAGAGCCCCATTCGGAGGAGGAATCATGCCGCGACCCAGTGCAAAGACTGGCATCAGATCTACCACTCTCAGTGACTGAGAGAGATCTGCTATATACAGCTCTGGTTGAGTCTCCGTCAAACCGCCGTTTTGAATCAGGGTTGTGGGTATCTTGCAAGCTTCGTGTTCGCGGTCTCTGTGCGCGCTCTACCAAAAGTTCCAACCAGCTTCCTGGACTTTGGGATACATGCTTGCCCTTGTCTCTCAGAGGGACCTTCTCATTTTGAGCTGAAGCTGATTTTGGTCCATGAAGTGTTGTAGGTGTTGAAGGAGATGGGTGGTGACTTGGCATCCAATTTGCAGTGAGAGTTGAAGGCCTGCGAGGTGTCGGGCTTAGGCTGAAAATGGATCCATTAGTCTCTTTAGTACTATCACTAGGCCTTGGGACCCGGTGAAATGGGATCCCCACATCTGAATCTCTGTTTGCCTGATCTGAGGAAGACATGTTGCTACAGAGCTATCTCCAAATATGACGGCCTCTTCGTTCAAATGGGTAGCTTCACTGATTACTTGGGGTGCTATTTACTCCTGTCCATCAGAAACGTCCCCCTATTTATGCCCTGCAAGTCGGCCTTCGTCGACCTTCGGAGCTTGCATAGCCTGTCGGGGTTAGCCATGGGGTGTACATAGCCCACTTCTTCGCTCGTTTAGACTAACCCCATTTAGTTACATTTAAAGGATAGGTCGTCGCTCAAGTAACGGACCAAGGTCCGATCAAGAAGGAGAAAGCGATGAACCTTCCCTCGTCCGGGCATCACGGTCGAGGCGACCGAGACGCCGAACTCCCGGACCCCCGACGTAGCGTTGACAACGGGGTTGCGATAGTTACGGCCGTCGAATCCGTCTCCTCGGTGCACCGCATTTGGGTCTATGTATCTCATGCTGAAAGCACTTCGAGGATGTGTGAATCACGACTGATTGTCGTCTCGGACAGAATAACATCTTTCATCATCTACATCTGCACTTCTTGTACAACAAACGCGACTCATCGGAAAGGGGATTGATAGGGAGAAAGCTGTTACCATTGTTTATGATCTTCTGTGCGGATCGTCCTTGATCACCTCTCCCTGTGATAAGTGACATGCGAATGAGACCTTGGCGACAAGTGAGGAAAAGCGGGATTTGACTGATGTATATGCTCACTCGAAACCCCGCGAGAATGACTGACGAGAACCCTTCTACCCACAGGCGTGGCCGGACGTAGACCAGTTGTGGTATGTCCATCATGAAATTGACGATTACGAGAATCGTCCCTCGTTTTCTCCGAGGTCCCGTGAAACGTTCTTGTCGTCGACGGTGTCGGACTTTGTCTACGACTCGATGGATATCTTCGGTTAGTCATGGAAACCGTCAGATGATCCGCCCTCGATCCGCTGATATCATAAGGAGGGGCGACGGGGAAATGCTGGGTGAGGGGTATTGAGGGATTGGTAGGTGGTCCCACACTAATGCTACTTGATCTCCCTGGGGGCCGCACCATTGGTTCTTGGAGGACAGTACCTCTCAAATTGGGGTGTATGAAGTGTTGACTCACCGGTCTTCGCCTGTTTGACTGACTGTTAAAAGTGTGAGCTCGCACAGTGGTCGGTCGACCACGAGAATGGTCTCTTCCAGGTCTAAAACTACGTGGGTGATCACTTCTGGATCTGGAAGTAGACGACCTCCGTCTTTCAGAAGTTCGTGAATGATGTCGTGAATGATGTCGTGAATGATGTCGTGAATGATGTCGTGAATGATGTCGTGAATGATATCGTGAGTGATGACGGCTTAGCTCAGAACGACCTAATGAACGACCTCTGGTGACACGCGTATCCTTAGTGTTACAAGCACAGATAATCACGACATAAGACATGAATGCGTTGAAGTAATAAAATACTCTTCTTGTACTTAGCGGTCAAGATGGAAGTGGAAATGTGAAGGTGGCGAAATTTCGAATGTGGCGTTTCACCCTTTCGACCTTTTATGCTCGAACGGCCCATATTACGTCGTAAGCTTCGCTCCACATCGCCGGAAAAGGCATCGTAACCCAGGATACATCACCCTGACTGGTTAGCTTAATCAATGGAACAACCCTGGAAGTCTTCTAGTCTAGACTCTTCTAGTAGCCTCACCTGGGATCTCGGGCGGGAACCTGGCGACACCGTCTTCCCAATGTGGCGTCGACGAGGAACCGACGTCCGACATCCACGGGACCTAGTTCTTTGATCTGTTTTATCAAGCTCATGAATACGATGCATCTGATATCAACCGCAAGGGGTATGGACAACCACAATCTGATCTTACATCAATCAATCAACGAACATGTATTGACTGCCCAGTTAGAGTGAGGTTCACGAGCTACTGTATCAAGGTTTCCGTCAGGTCAAGAGTCTCGGATGGCATCAGGCGGTGTATCAAGAGCAACACGGACTTTTGTCTTTTGATTGGGCTCAGAGGACTCCTGATTGGACAGCGTATTTTCCCCGCTTGCAACCTGGCCTGAAATCGCAGGTATACGGGAAGCGATAACCGTTCTACCCTCACTAGAAGCATTGACATAACATTGCGAGGCACTCACGAGCTGGAGAGTGGTGATGATCCCTTGGGCCAATTACTGGTTATTGAACAACTCCCTCACAACCCCCCCCCCCCCCCCCCCTTTAACTCTCTAGTCGTTATGCCAGAGGATAGAGTCACTCCTATTGACTTATCTCCTCATTGACTCAGCCAGTGTTGACCTGAAGACCAGATGTGCATGGTCGGGGTTGTAGTACATACACTTGATATCAGCAGGAGTGGGTCACTGAAGCGCTCCCGATGATGAGAACTTACCTGCTGATCCGCTAAAGTCTGGGCCCCATTACACCCTGTACAAGTTTCCCTGTGTGATAAACCAGCTGTGCTGTACTTGTGCATGGAGGAGTTCTGTGTCACGAACTACGTTGTGACACCCCAAATATCCCACCAACAACGACCCTCCTTTGACCATCAAACTCTCATCACACCTCAACCTCTTCACTCTAGACGTAACTCAGGACATCTGAGACCAACTACGGCAAAGTACAGAGGGATAATAAGGTGTACGGGCATCTGGATCATAGGGACGGTGAAGTGCGGCAAAGTTAGGTGGATTAGGGACAATGGGAGCAGAAGTGCGGCGAAATGAGGTGGAGTTAGGTGGACTAGGGACTATGGGAGCAGAAGTGCAGCAAAATGAGGCGGGATTAGTTGAAGGGGAAGAAGGATGGCTGGGGACTCAGGGAAGTTGGACAAAGTGCGTTGAAATTTGTCTAAGCGCGAGAGGGCTGGGTGAACATCTAGGAGGAGTAGATAATAGTAGCTGAGAAGATCGCTGAAGTTCTTCAGCAATCCTTGATTGTTGTCAGTAGTGAAAGGTTGATAGAGATAGCTACATGCAAATTGAGATACATCGCCATCAGTGAAAATCTCTAATTAGAGTAACTATGTCGAAGTACGAGGTAGTTACACTTCTTTCGACGTCTGCACCCTTCTGTTTGGGTGAGACACCAACTCCAAAGTATCAAGCTAGCTGAGGTTTGTTGACTGTCAGTGTCTCGGGGGGTGGGCTTGTCACAGAGGACAACAGAATACAGGACTGCAACCTGAGAATGGGACTATGACCCAATGAATTCTCTGGCTCGTCAAGAGAGTAACAAAGATGACAGAGGATGCAGTGATGAGGTCAAGGGGGACAGGTGTCACGGCCGTCGAGCAATTACTTCCTAATAGACCGACGGTCGACGAACCTCGGCTAACTTCACGCTTCTGAGTCGATGTCTCACCCAACCGGGAGGGCGCAAACGTCGAAAAGGAGTGTAACTACGGCGTACTTCGGCGTAGTTACTCTAACTAAGGCTTTGTTCTACTGGTGGCGATGTATCTCGATTTATAGCTATCTCTATCTGTCTTTTACTACTGACAACAATCAAGGATCGCTGAAGAAGTTCAGCGATCTCTAAACTATCTATACTACTCCTCTCTTCTCATAGAACGTCCCTCAACTCCTGCACTGCCTCACGCTCAGTCCTCTTCGTTCAACCTTGCCGTACCTTGCCGTATCCCCGATATCCTACTCCGCTCACTTCGACTAACTTCGCCTAACTTCCCCTGTTCTGCTCTCCCTCGGTTCCCTTCCCCTAACTTCGCCGTAGTTCTCCGCTAGGCGGGGTTATCGTGACAAATACCCTCTTGGTTCTCGTAACTTCGCCGTAGTTGGTCTCAGTGGTTCGAGTGGAGGTTGGTGGTGGTGAAAGGAAGGACGGTGATGGTGAAAGGAGGGTCGGTGATGGTGGTTGTCAGGGATGTTACGACATAGTTCGTGACAACAGGGATAGTGAGGACTAGAAGTGTTGGGCTTGGACCAACTGTGTTCGACGAATGAAGAGGAGATTCATAATTGAAGAAACTACTGAAACGTACAAGTTTATATAGACTAAAGCTAGTACCGTCTGCAAGTATCGTTTGTCATCTTTGACCACCAGTAGCTACCATTTGTAACTACCATCTGTAACTACAGTAGGGTCCGGGAATTCATGGAACGCCTAAACCTGTCAAAATCGTCGTTTCTTCTCTTCCTCTGACCGACGGTGGACAAACCTCGGCTAACTACGTTCGTAGTGGGGCGTCAATGTCTCACTAGGACAGGGTACTCGTCGGGGAACTACGGTTAACTACGCCGTAGTAATAGGTCGAGTGATAAGTGATAAGGTAATCGTCGAAGAACTGCGGCTAACCTCGCCGTAGTACGTCGAACTGCTCGGTGGTAACTCTCCTTAACTCGATGGTTGTAGCTACTGAATATATCGCTCGCTACTGACAACAATCAAGGATCGCTGAAGAAGTTCAGCGACCTGTAACCTATCTATACTACTCCTCACTTCTCATAGAACGTCCCTCAACCCCTGCACTGCCTCACGCTCAGTCCTCTTCGTTCAACCTCGCCGTACCTCGCCATATCTCCGAGCTCCTACTCCACTCACTTCGACTAACTTCGCCTAACTTCTCCTGCTCTGCTCCCCCTCGGCTCCCTTCCCCTAACTTCGCCGTAGTTCTCCGCTAGGCGGGGTTGTCGTGACAAATAATACCCTCTAGGTTCTCGTAACTTCGCCGTAGTCCGTCTCAGTGGTTCGAGTGGAGGTTGGCGATGATGAAAGGAAGGTCGGTGATGAGGAAAGGAGGGTCGGTGATGGCGATTGTCAGGGATGTTACGACGTAGTTCGTGACAAAACCCCTCCTTTGCTCCTTGATCGCGTCTCTCTCTGACACGTCGCAACCGTGTTTGGGCGCCTGTAGCTCTTGATTCTACTATGCATGCATCTTTCATACTTTACACACAGTTTTAGCACTTCCAAACAATGCCTGGAGTGAACTTTGCACCGTCCAAAAGGGGAGCAATTGCGGCTGCCGGTCAAATTCAGTCATACCGGTGGGTAGCAGCCCAGTTTGGATGCTCCATAAGTACTGTCTCTCGTTTGGTTGCGCTACAGAAGAACCAAGGTACCTGTTGAACTCCCCCTCGCCCAGGTTGTCCCTCTAGATTCACTGGTCGAGTCCTAGCACGAATTCACCACATTCTCGTTCGAAACCAAAGAGCAACACTTCGCCAATTGCTTGGTCTTTTCAGAGAACATGACATCTCGATGGGCCTCACCTCCCTCCGGCACATTATGCGACACAAATTGGGTTACAAAAGACGTATTGCCCGTATTAAACCCTTCCTGACTCCTAATGCACGCCGTCGTTGACTCGCCTATGCCATTGAACATAAACACGATGACATCAATGATTGGAGAAGGACTATTTATGTGGATGAAGCCATGATTCGTATGAATGGATCCGTCCGGTCCTGGGTGACCCGGCGAGATGGAGAGGCATGGTTGGAGGACTGTATGACACCAAAACTCTTCTCTGCAAAGAAGGGGTGTATGATATGGGACGCAATATGGTATGGAGGACGTTCAGATTTAGTCTGGTTTGATACCACGGAGAGTCAAGGAAGGAGGAAAGGTGTGACGGCGGCCATTTATTGCGAACAGATCACAAAAAAGGCTCTTAAGAAATTTTGGAGACGGGTTGACACCAGATGGAGGGCATATGGGGGTGCTAGGATCTTAGAAGATAATGTGAAAGTGCATACTGCCCAAGAAAATCAATCAGTAGGTCAAAAATTCAAATTCCGCTACCTCAACCATCCCCCTTCTTCACCCGACTTAAATCCAATAGAGAATTGTTGGGCATATCTCAAGCGTGAACTCTCCCGACTTCCCAGGAAGCCAACAACACCAGAGGAATTGTTTGAGACGGCACAAAAGATGTGGCGCAACATCCCACAAGAAGTTATCGACAGGACAATAGATAGCATGATTTATCGACTTGAGAGGGTGAGAAGGGAAAATGGTTTTGTCACCAAGTATTGATCCAATGAGTGAGTGATCTTGCATGCATGTAGAGCGGACTTGATTGTATATGTATGCTAATTTTCAGGCTTATACAATCATGCATGCAGGAGATATTGTGAGAAATGTTCAAAACGCACGGATTTTGGAAGCGTTCCATGAATTCCCGGACCCTACTGTACCATCTGTGATTACCATCTGTGATTACCGTCTGTACTGTCCTTATCAATCCTGATTAATTATGAATCACTATTACTTTGAGTCCATACTTATTTTGGGTCATGATTACTGATTCATGACAATCCATGAAATGTGATCCTTTAATACCTGAAACACTCCCATGCTACCTGGATGAGCTCTGATCTTTCAGGGGGTTCAGAGGGTGTTTCTTAAGCACCCACATTAAGCAGATTGTGAGTCAAAAATACCTGGTTCAGTCCTGCAGATTCGGTAGAGGTTTGAGAGGTTCGAATATAGGCTAAATATGCTTAGTAGAGTGGTTTTCCTTCTGGTTCTCTCAGTTGAGTCGTGCACACTGCTGAAAGTGATGAAACCTCTGACCATTAGTGCGTACTCGTCATTACTAGTGTCTACTCTTCATCAGTGGCGTACACTTCTCGATCAGTAGCGGGTGTGTATCAATCAGTAGTGTTACGACTCTACCAAGCGTAACCCGAGTTCATGTGATTTCAACACATTCCAACTGAATTCATGTGACTTCAATATGTGTTCCAATGAGTTCATATCAGTACATGTGATATCACCATGATACCATATGAGTTCACCATGAATTCATATGCATTCATCATGAATTCATACATGTTCACCATGAATACACCTGATCCCATATGGGTTCAGTCAGAAATCACCTGAATATCGAGTGAAACCGTCATGAACTCACCAGAGTTCATACGAGTCCGCATGGACTCACCTGATTCCGGGAAGAATTCACATGATATCATTGTGAATCCACATGATATCAACCCGGATGATTCTGAATTCATATGACAAGTTTGCGCATCACAAATCCCTGGGAAAAGGATATAAGGAGGACATTTCTATCTTGTAGTTTCTTCTTTCCAAGGATCAAAATATTATTTGCCACTCACAAAAGACCTCTTCTTGACATACTACTTACATCCAACACATCCCTCATCATCAGTACCCCTGTCCACACCATCACACATGCCCATATTGTCATCTCGACCTACCCGGATCCTTCGCAAGTCACTTTAGTCATCCAACCACATCAGAAGTCTACGGACAACATACTAACCGTCTGTCACGCCTGCGGGTAAACTGCGGTTGCAAAGTACTGCCTTGGGCACTGAAGGGTTTTAGTCTCTGGCTTGTAGAGCTTGATGACTGCCTTAGGTACTGCGGGTACTGAGGTGTTGGGTTAGAACCAACTAGGTGACTTTCAAAGATGAAGTTCGACTTCAAGATGAAGATACATTGCTGAAGAAAGAGGGGGGAGATGTGCTCCTTTTACACCCTTCAAAACTAAAGTAGGTGTACTAAGTGAAAAGGGTGTGAGGGATTTTCTAGCCAATCACATGAATGCCTCAGAGTGAGTGCACCGCGGGAAACTAAATCCAGCCTGCCTCACTTCCAAACTGCTGAACCTTCCAGGTTTCAGCCAATCACGTAAATGCCAAACTGTTGAACTGCTAAATACCATGACTTAGATTTTCCTTCAATCCTTATCACAGTTCCTAGCATGAGTCATATTTCCTTATCACTAATCTGAGCATGAAGCAGAATTCCTTATCACTATTCATGACACCGGATCAATCACCGGATCAATCACCAGGTCAACCACAGGATCAACCAGTCAACCGGTCATCAGGATAGCCTTGTGAAAACACCTGTTTGAATATGGAAAACACGCTACTTGTCACGGTCCTGTCCTTGACAGACCTCAATGGATCAAAGACAGGTGGACTGCAACTGTTTAGTTAGCTTGGACAACGACGGTTAGTATGTTGTCCGTAGACTTGTGATGTAGTCGGACAACTAAAGTGACTTGTGAAGGATCCGGGCAGGTCGAGATGACAATATGGGCATGTGTTGTGGACAGGGGTACTGATGATGAGGGATGTGTTGGATGTAAGTAGTATGTCAAGAAGAGGTCTTTTGTGAGTGGCAAATAATATTTTGATCCTTGGAAAGAAGAAACTACAAGATAGAAATGTCCTCCTTATATCCTTTTCCAAGGGACTTCTGATGCACAGATCATTTGTATGATTTCGGGTTACTTTGTATGAATTCATGTGAATTCGTGGTCATTTCATATGAATTCAGGTGAATTCATGTGAAATCGTATGAATTTGGGTGAGTTCATATGAAATTGTATGAATTCGGATGAGTTCATATGAAATCGTATGAAAAACATGAAAATTCCTGAATCACGGGTCACGACTTTACCGAGTCGTGACAGGGACAGATAAGTATAGAGACATATAGCATTGATGCATGCTCTTTTTCCCCTCTGTATTATCATCTAGTTATCTGCAAACAACATAGATCCTCTGATCTTCATGCTACCCGAGTAAGAGCTGACATGCATGATAGGTTTAGGTCACTTGGTCATGATCAGGCATCAAGAAGTGTCCTGTGAAGTGTCATGTGTGGTGAGGGTGATTTCTTCCATGTGTCATGTCTTCAGTCTGTCACGGGGAGAAATCCATGCAGCTTTGAAGTGTCATGCCTTCAGTTCGTCACGTAAAACAAGCACTTGGCTGCTGACGCCAGATATTCTAGGGAACAGTCCTTTGAATACCCCTTGATTGTGAATATGTTAGGGACACAGAGCTGCACAAATCTGATCAGACCCAGTGGGAGACATTCCACTTGGGAGCTGAATGCAATCCTGGGTGTTCCTCCCAGGAGAGATTGTGCATGGCCAGTCTAAAATACATATCTCACCCCATGAAAGAGAACCACAAAGGAGTTTATAAGTGAGATAAGTACTCAGCACCCGTTTGGTGATGACCATACACTCCTGGTCCCCAGACTATCTTGCACACACTCATGGAAAACCAACGATTGGGACATCCAGATAGGTCCAAGAAGAGACTCTTGGGATAGTTTTGGAGGTCAGAGTTTCACACTACTTGTCAAAGAGACACAATGGAAATAGTGGTACATAGAGTCACCAGTAGCACACACAAGGAAGAGGGGCTGAGCAGTGATCATAATACAGTTTTGAAAAAGCTTTGGCTGTGTCCGGTCACCTCCGAAGGTGTACACTTCTCCGGCTCTGTCCAAAGGGGGTGTTTTGAACCGAACGTCTCCGGCTGTGTCCCTAACAAATATAATGTCCAAGCGTAGAACAGACTAGAACATCTCTAGTTGATGAGAATGAGTGGAAAGTTTGCAATGGTGATGATATGTCTCCCCCAACCTCTTTTGCATTCCTACTCAATCTTCCTACTCTGTGTCTAAATGGATAAGCCGACTACTAACAGCTATAAACTGTATCTCTATCCCCCACAGCCGGTCATTCACACTTGTGAGCGTGCCAGATTCTCCCCGGCTATCCCGCACTGCTGCCCGTTCCGACTGGTTTCCGAGTCTCACTATGCCTACCTGAACCACGCTGGGGAACGGTCACTTGGTTGCCTCCACCAGCAGGTCGGGTTGCACCTGAATCAGCATGCGGGTCATTTGGAGCATCATCCTTCAATCGAAGGGGAACGAAAGACAGTCCCCCATGGATGTGCGGGGTGTCCTCTTCTCCATCAAGTAGAGGCTGCCAGAAAGTTTCTGGCCGAAGCAAAACAACCCAACCTTGTAAGTGGTCATCTGAAGCTTCATTTAGGTCAAGACTGGGTGGGACAAGGGAATTTTCTTGGTCACAGTCTGGGACGGGCAAACTTACCTGAGAATATGTTGAGAGACGCGTTCTTAGTGTCTCTGAAGGGATTGTTTGGCGGGGGAGCGAATCTGCTTGAACACGTGAGAGAGATCTCCCTCCCTTCTTCCGAGCACTCTCGACAGTCGAATACCAAATCTGCTTCGAGTTTCCAACGGCACCATAAGGTGGTTCTGCGTATTTTGATGGGAGGGACTGGGCCCTCGAGGCTGTTTTGTCCTTGGAGTTGGATGTGACATTATCAGATCTCGAAGGTCCTCTACCTCTACGGGATCCCGTGGCTGGAATAACGGATGGTGCTGGGGACTGCTTCAATTCTGTAGAATAGTGGTGTTTGATTCCGCCTGGTGTATTAGATTCATTTGACTTGAATGAACCACGACTGGTCACTGATGGTTGGTACCAGGAGGAGCCTCGGTTACGGACCGCTGAACCATTTGTGTCAGGTCGTGCTGGACTGCTTGCAGACCCGGACGTCGCCTGGTTTGCCCCTAGACTGACAGGTGTGGCTGTTGCCGGAAGGGACAACAGGCAGTGGGCATTCCTCTCTGATGAGGATGGGCCGCTCGTGGAACATGCGGCTGGTGTCTGCGGCATAAGGCATGGAGTGCTTTCCAAACTTGTTCGGCGGGTAGGCCTCAAAGACAACATTCAAGCTTACTGGGTGCATACGGGATAGTATCAGTATCAATAATCCTGTCTTTATAATCTGCAGTAAGTACTTCACTTCCCACCAATCACGCGGATCCATTCATGACCTCCACACGCGGACTGTCAAGGGGAGGTTCAATTTGATATCGGAGAGTTCTTCTTTGCTAACGGGGCTGTGCTACGTGTTAAGACTCAGGATGAGAAGGAGTATGGAAGGGGAGGCAACGGCCGTGGTGATCGGATCAAATTGGCAATCATCACTCCGGTTGGGCCTAGACCAGGTCCTGAAAATTGATGACCGGTAGATCGGGGCCCAGGCCCTGCGTCTCAGTTTTAACTCCGAGATCATCTTGCGGAAGAATAGCCCGTGCGGCATAGAAGTCGATCAACGCGATTGCCTCGATGCATCTACCAATTTACATAGAGGTCAAACAGGGGTTGCCACCATCTCTTACAGCACATCCGCAGGCCTGACAGCGAAGTTAGAGGTCAAGAATAGTTGAAGGATAATCATTTGACTTCAAAGTTTCAAGTGGTGCCGGCAAATCAGTCTTTTCTTTGTCCGTCCCAAAGAGTTTCAAGCTGTCAGGGTACACCTTATAAGGGAGCTCGAGACTGCTGTTACATACGTTGTTTTCTGCTCCTCTCAGCTGACCAACCATCAACAAACCTGGGCTACCTACTGGGGTGTCTATGTCTCACAGAGACAGGGTACTTGTTGGAGGACTAAGATGGCTCACCCGGAAGTTGATCACTGTCACGAACTACGTCGTGACACCTCAATCATTCCACCAGCAACGACCCTCCTTTGACCATCAAAACCCCTATCATGTCTTAACCTCTTCACCCTACACGTAACTCAGGACATGTGAGACCAACTATGGCGGAGTACAACGGGAGAATAAGGTATACGCGGGTCTGGAGCATAAAAAGGCAAAGTGCGGCGAAGTTAGGCGGAGTTAGGGGGACTAGGGACAATGGGAGCAGAAGTAGGGCAAAGTTAGACGGAGTTAGGCTGAGTAGGGACAATGAGAGCAGAAGTGCGGCAATGTTAGGTGGAGTTAGTCAAAGGAGGAGAAGGACGGCTGGGAACTCGGGGAAGTTGGACGAAGTGCGTTGAAGTACGTCTAAGCGCGAGAGGGTTGGGTGAACATATAGGAGGAGTAGATAATATTAGCTGAGAAGATCGCTGAAGAACTTCAGCAATCCTTGATTGTTGTCAGTAGTGAAAGATTGATAGAGATAGCTCCATTCAAATTGAGATACATCGCCATCAGAGGAAACCCTAGTCAGAGCAACCACGTTGAAGTACGCCGTAGTTACACTCCTTTTTGAGGTCTGCACCCTTTGGATTGGGTGAGACATTGACTCCAAAGTGTCAAGTTAGCCGACTGTCATGGACGGGGTCTAATCCCCAGAGGGTAGGTGTTACGACCTGGCTAACCAGCACCAGGCCATACACTGGCCATGCATGTGACATCTTATGCCGCTGCGCTAAAAGGCACAATATCGCAATCAGCCCTATGATTGCGATCCGGTTATAACCTGATGTCACAACTGAGGTTTGCAGGGTCGTGACAGGAGCCCCTCCTTCAAGGGCCGAAGTCCCTTGAGGCCTTCAGGTTTAGTACCCAAACCTATTATGGTTTGACAGCGCTTTGGGTTTGATTCTCAGAGGGAGAGACTTTTGGAGGGGGGCCTCACCCGCCACTGCCACATCCCACCAATGTGGCAGAGCAAATATGATGCGCTCTGGGTGGGGATCAAACCTGCTACTGTTTGATTGCAATATTCTGTTATGACCTGGCTAACCAGCACCAGACCATACACTGGCCATGCATGTTGTCACAAACCGTGTCATAACATCCCTGACAACCACCACCACCGACCCTCCTTTCACCATCACCGGACCACCATCCGCCATCAACCACCATAACCTGAACCACTGAGACCAACCACAACGAGGTTATGAGAACCTAGGGGTTATTTGTCACGACAACCCCGCCAAACGGAGAATGACGGGGAAGTTAGGAGAGGGGAACCGAGGGAGAGCAGAGTAGGGGAAGTTAGGCAAAGTTAGTCGAAGTGAGTGGAGTAGAGTATCGGGGTTATGGCGAGGTACGGCGAAGTTGAGCAAGGAGGACTGAGTGTCATGATTAGTGATAAGGAATTCTGACTCATGCTCAGATTAGTGATAAGGAAATATGACTCATGTTAGGAACTGTGATAAGGATTGAAGGAAAATGTGACTCATGGTATTTAGCAGTTCAGCAGTGAGGCATTTACATGATTGGCTGAAGCCTGGAAGGTTCAGCAGTTTAGCAGTGAGGCATTTATGTGATTGGCTGGATTTAGTTTCCAGCGGTGCACTCACTTTGAGGCATTTATGTGATTGGCTAGAAAATCCCTCACACACTTTTTATTTAGTACACCTACTTTAGTTTTGAAGGGTGTAAAAGGAGCACATCTCCCCCCTCTTTCTTCAGCAATGTATCTTCATCTTGAAGTTGAACTTCATCTTTGAAAGTCACCTAGTTGGTTCTAACCCAACACCTCAGTACCCTCAGTACCTAAGGCAGTCATCAAGCTCTACGAGCCAGAGACTAAAACCCTTCAGTACCCAAGGCAGTACTTTGCTACCGCAGTCTACCCGCAGGCGTGACAGCCGTATCCCCGGTATCCTACTCCACTCACTTCGACTAACTTTATCTAACTTGCTCTCCCTCAGCTTCCTTTCCCTAACTTCGCCGTAGCTCTCCTCCAGGTGGGGTTGTTGTGACTACTCTTTCCTAGGTTCTCGTAACTTCGTCGTAGTTGGTCTCAGTGGTTTGAGGTTGCGATGGTTGGTGATGGTGAAAGGAGGGCCGGTGATGGTAGTTGTCAGGGATGTTACGACGTGGTTCGTGACACCAAAGCCCCCAGATGTGACCCATTGTTGTCTGCTTCGTGATTGGCCTCCTCTGTGTCCTTATTCCGAGCTACCCTGACCTGTTTAAACCCTTTCCCCCTAAGCACTGTTGATGGCTGTCACCGCCGTCAAATAACTTCTCTCTATTAGACCAACGGTCAACAAACCTCGGCTAACTTGACACTTCAGCTTCGATGTCTCACCCAAACAGAAGGGTGCAGTCGTCAAAAGGAGTGTAACCACGGTGTACTTCGACATAGTTACTCTAACTAGGGTTTTCACTGATGGCAATGTATCTCAATTTGTATGTAGCTATCTCTATCAATCTTTCACTGCTGACAACAATCAAGGATCCCCGAAGAACTTGAGCAATCTTCTCAGCTAATCTTATCTACTCTTCCTAGATGTTCATCCAACCCTCTCACACTTAGATGTACTTCAACGCACTTCGTACAACTTCCCAAGTCCCCGGCCATCCTTCTCCTCCTTTGACTAACTCGGCCTCACATCGCCGTACTTCTGCTCCCATTGTCCCTAGTCCACCTAACTCTGTCTACTTTTGCCGTACTTCTGCTCCCATTGTCCCTGGTCCACCTAGCTCCGTCTAACTTTGCCGTACTTCTGCTCCCATTGTCCCTAATCCACCAAACTCCGTCTAACTTTGCCGTAGTTAGTCTCAGATGTCCCCAGTTATGTGCAGAGTGAAGGGGTTAAGACATGATAGGGGTTTTGATGGTGAAAGGAGGGTGGTTGCTGGTGGGATAATTGAGGTGTCACGACCTAGTTTGTGACACTGCTAAACTGCTGAACCTTCCAGGCACCGGGCGCCAGCCAATCATGTAAATGCCTCACTTGTTAAGACCTGTCCCCGGTGTAAGGTTGTTGGGATGTGGAGACAGGGTGGATAGCAGAAGTTTACAGCAAGCTTGGTCTATGACTGGCCGGAGTAGACCATCGTGCTGGTACAAAGGTTGACAAAAGATGTATCAAGTAGGAAGGAGGTAATAAATTGAGATCAAGTATAAGAGTGTCTAGTAGTTGGAACTATATACAAAGGAAGGTGGGACTTTGGAGCGAGGACCCAAAGTCAGACTTGATGATAGATGGAGTGCCACCTGTAGGATGATCTTGCACTGTCTATGGTCAAAGATGACTTTGGGGAGAGCGGAGAGGTAATGAGGAGAAGTGAGGTGTGTTGAGATAGTTTTTGTTGTTAAAGTAGATACACATTCTGCCGCCCTTATATACCTTTCAGAATAACACGTTTTCACACTGATTCCCACAATCCACAATGTGGCGTGTGGAGTCACATGACTAGCACAATTCCACAATGACGGGTGTGGGGTCACATGACTTGTTGTGATGAGGTGTTATGACCTGTGATTATGCATGCCCCAAGCAGTGCTGAAGATTGCTTGCCTATCCAATGCAAATCCATGTGTACAATTTGTGCATGCATACAGGACCAGAAATCATGCTTTGTCATCATTGGAAGACAAAGCCATTTCTCAAAATTTGATAGGAGACCGACCTTTTTGACCCAAAACAGACCATATTCTAGCTGATCCCCATAAATATTTTCTCAACTACAATGCTGTAGTTTGTACAGATCATGATGAAGTACTAAATTACAAACATTTTGGTATGCTGCTGATGGTCATGCATGGAAAACTGACAGAGCTAATGCAGCCCAAGCTTGTACACAATAGGGGTATTCAACTGCGTGTAATTCAGGGTAACGGGAGTATTTTCACATGGCTATTACATGTAACTCTCGTTTGACGTGTTTATGCATTACACATATTCAAGACAATTACAGAGACCTGTATCTCTCCCAGATCTCGCGATATCGCTCTGAAACCTTCACCAATCTGTTCAGCGTGCTCGGAAACACTTCTTGAGCTAGTCAGATTACCATGACCACCCCCAACGACTTGTCCTCCGGAGTCTCTACCCCCCTTCCCGTCCGTCCATTATTAGACCAAAGAATACTCCCACAGATGCCAATCCGTGTAATTTAGACGTAGAGAGACTCATAGAATTGGGTTTGTGTTACGACCGAGAGCTAGGCAGTGACCTGACCTAACTTCAGTGGACAACGACGACGAGAGATGAAGTGATAGCGTAGAGTGGATTGGACGATAACGATAGAAAGTATCTGAGTGTAGGATAAAGGGTATGTCTGAAGTCACTTAGACGAAGTGCGTGAGTGTAGCGAGCGCAACGAGGACAGGAAAGGATGTGAAGTGTAACTTTTGAGAATTCATTGCTAAAAGAAAAGAGAAGCTATGAGTGCCGTTTATATACACATGCACCTCCACCGCGCCTCCACTTCTTATCTATGATGGCCCAATCATCCAACTAACCAATGCCAGCCTAAGGCTGTCCTTTTACTCAGGGAAGAGATAAGGATTAGTCATGCGTGGCAACGCTTACTCAATCCGTGGGAGAATTACTACTTTAGGAAGGTGGAGGTTCAGGGTCTAGATAAGGATGAGTCATGCGTGGGAACACTTACTCAATCCATGGGAGAATTACTGCTTTAGGAAGGTGGAGGTAGATAAGAGAGATAAGGAGTGATAAGGCTCCCAATATGCCACGTCATTCCTCTTATCAATTTCCATAATGCCACGTCATGCCTCTTATCATCCTCCATAATGCCACATCATCCTTGCTTATCATCTTATATAATGCCACGTCATACCTCCTTGTATGCAGTGCCATAACAGTTTGGGTACAAATTTTTGGAAACCAACCTCAGTTCGTTGGGAGGACGATGGAACCTCGAATCAAGAAAGTTCGCTGGCCATGCTGCTAGATTGGCTCAACCAACCCAACAATTTTGATCGATTTTGCAACAGCTACGAGCAGTACAATCAAAAGAAGGCCTCAGTATTGTGTGCTCAGTATTTATTTGGACAAAGATGTCTTACTATGAGAAGTTGGACTGCGATTCGAAGGAAGGTTTGCAAATTTGCTTTTCACTCACTATCCCTTACTTCTCCTGTCCCCATCTTACCTCCTATGACAAACACACGTCTCTGATACACATAAAGAAACACGCGCCAATTTGGAGGGTTCGTCAGTCGTCCAAGGGACAGAACAAAGCCCAGCAAACATAGGAGAATAGGGGGTTAGGAGGTCATTTTTGCGAACTTCTGCCTGTCAAAAATCCAGAGGAGGAGTTGCACAATGCGCCAGGGCTCCCAAAAGGCTCCTCACACTGTACAGATCCTCCCCCAGGCCTTAAAAATCATGCGTACAGGGGTTACCTGGTCGCAGTGGAGGGCCAACGGGGGAGGGGAGGGGGAAGGGATAGGGGGGAAAAGGGGGGAGGGGGTATGAAGTGGATCAAGTTCTTCTTTGTGTCTATCTCTGAGTCATAGATTAACTCTCTCCACAGTCTATGGGCTAAAGCCTGGGCTGATCTCCATGCTACTGGAAACGGTCAGGATGGTCGCAAGCTACAAGATGCAAGGCCAAAGAATAGAGAAGTGATTCTTGAATCGGTATTGAGTAAGATCCCTTCTATCCCTTCTCTTCTCACCTCTGGGTTTTTTTTCTCTGTCTTTCATCGATTTGTTTGTCTGTCTTTCATCTTTTGTTCCTGTGGCTGATACTCAGACAATGCACAATCCAAATGTCCTCACTTCAACGAACTCACACGAATCTTTCAAGAAAGAGACTCAGGGCCGCTCAACTTCGATCTGACTCTGCTTCAATGTCCAACCCAGCTCACGATCTTGTTGCTCAGAGACTCGGTCTCTGTTGGCCACTTCAAGCAGCTCAAGCCCCCGCAGATAACACTCAATCCCTGCTCTCAGAGGATTCCCAGCCAATCTCGAATTGGTCCTGGTCTCCTGGACTTCAATCCCTTTGTAATGACACTCTCGAGACAGGAGAAGATGAAGTAGGGGAGATCTCTAATCAAGATAACAGCTGGGGGCCTAATCAAACTGTATCTGATTGAGCCAGTTGTAGGTTGACTGTTTAAAAAGCTGAAATCCTGCTTACACATGTAGGAAAACGTTCTCGGGCATCAGACGTATCTGCTGAGACGTCTTCTTTCCTCTCAGAGACACAGGAGTACAGGAAGCAGAAACAACGCTTTGCACAAGAGGGTTTGGAGATCCAACAACAGCAGCTAGAGGATACCCGACAGGCCAGGAGATTGGAGAAAGAGGAGAAGGAAAAAGACAGAGAAGAAAGCAGAATTGTCACGGCCGTTGAACGACTTTCTCCAACAGACCAACGGTCGACGAACCTCGGCTGACTTGACGCTTCTAAGTCGATGTCTCACCCAATCAGGAGGGCGCAGACGTCGAAAGGAGTGTAACTGCGGCGTACTTCGGCGTAGTTACCCTAACTGGGGTTTTGTTCTACTGATGGCGATGTATCTCGATTTGTATATAGCTATCTCTATCTGTCTTTCACTACTGACAACAATCAAGGATTGCTGAAGAACTTCAGCGATCTTCTCAGCTAATATTATCTATCCCTCCTAGACGTTCACCCAACCCTTCGCGCTTTGACGTACTTCAGCGCACTTCGTCCAACTTCCCCGAGTCCCCGGCCATCCTCCTCCTCCTCCGACTACGTCCGCCTAACATCGCCGCACTTCTGCTTCCATTGTCCCAACTTAGCCTAACTCCGTCTAACTTCGCCGTACTTCGTTGTCCCTATGCTCCAGGCCCCGTATATCTTATTCTCCCGATGTACTTTGCCGTAGTTGGTCTCAGATGTCCTGAGTTATGTGTAGAGTAAAGAGGTTAAGACGTGATGGGGGTTTTGATGGTCAAAGGAGGGTCGTTGTTGGTGGAATAATCGAGGTGTCACGACGTAGTTCGTGACAAAAGGGGTCCTCACACTTTCATTACGACTGGTTAAGTGTGTTGGTCTATCACCAGCTTGAATCCCAGGCATCTCCTGTAGTGAAGGTGTACTTGCATCTGTCCCTGTTTCTGTCAAAGGGATTGGGCCGTCATGTTTTCTTGTCAAGGGGTGGAAATGCACTCGAGCCTTTGAGACGCTCCGCGCCTGCTGGGCAATCGCATGGGACTTCACCTCACTTGGAGCGAGAGAGTGGCTCTGCTGGCTGGCTGCTTGCTTTGATGAACCTTGCATTCCGTCACCTCTGGATGTGTCAGTTCCTACGACACACAAAGTTGGATCTCGTGTTACAGAGTTCTTGTCTGAGGGAGGCTCTGTTATGTATAACCACTCTGAATCTATGTCTCCGCCCGGATCTTGTGATGGTAATGAAGAAGAGACCACTACCACTCTCAATCGGGATGAGTCTCTCCCAGATGGTGCACTAATTTTAGATGCACGTGCTGTAGCTGTGACTGTCCCAATAGCTGGGGCGGAGCCCTGTGACTTTGTTTGGTTTCTTGTGTTCGTCCGGCCTCTTTCCTGGTGTGAAGGGCTACCTGAGCGTGCAGGCATCCTATAGCTGTCCGTCCGTCCAAGTGAAAGGGGACTGGGAGTACGAGTACGTGCAATGCTGCAATGAACACAAGAGCCACAAGATAAACAAGTGGCATGAAGTGGGGCCAGGTTGTAAGACTCATTAGAGAGAACTTTCTTGACTGGTTCAGCTGACACAGAGTGATGTTTGTGGCTTCCTAAGATTGGATCACTGAGCTTGTCTAGTTCTCAATTTGTGATGTCTATGCCACCAGAGAATGAAACAGTACTTGCAACATGTAAAGAGCTGGAGGAAACCCGGTGTCTTGGTGTCTGGTCAGTCTTTGATGGTCTCCGGACGGTTCTAATCTCAACGGCACTGGAACTCCTAACAGGTAGTGGGGGTTGTGTCGGCGGACTAGCAGATTTCGTCTTGAGCGCTTGAGCGGCTGCCTCATATGGACCAGAGAGTAGTGAACCCTCTGCCAGTAGGCGTGCTCGGAGGTTTTTCTCGGAGGTGTCCCTAGTGTTTGTCATCATAGTGAAGCTGATGAATGATGAACAGATTTGAGATCAGTCATGGTTATATACCTTGACAAGATGACTAGTTCTCAGCAAGCAGGGGTCTCCATTCATGATGAGCTGACAGGCAAACTATCTGGTTCTTACGAGAGAAATTGGGCGTCTGTAGAGTCCTGCCAATCCGCGGGCGGAGGTGGAAATACTGGATAAACTGCCTTTTTGATCAGTCCGACGCCGGAGGCCCGCGCTGAGGAAGTTGGGGCCTTGGATACTGATCGGCCGAAAAG